AGTTGATCTCGGGGTTGTGTTTCTTGAGCCAGGAGTATCCGAGTATCAAATCCTGTTTCCCGAGGTGGGTTACGGCTAGCTGGACGCGTTCGGAGTGTCCGTTGTACCGTAGAACGAGGTCCGCGATTTGGCGGATAGACCCAGCATCATTGGGGGTGCCGTCGACGTTGTAGACCGGTATGGGTACTGAGAGATTTCGGACTGGCACATTATTTCGGTTGACGTATTCTGTGTCGATAAAGTCCGAAGTGGCTCCGCAGTCAACCAGACCTGAGAGGGAGAGCTTGAGCACGTTCGCAGTGGACTCAAGCTCGAGAGGAAGGTGGAGCGAGTTAACCCCAGGAGCGGCAGAGATGGTATAGCTGCCAGGTAGCTTTTTCTCCCAGGCAAGTCGGCGAATCCGAACGGGGGCTTCCGAGGGGGCAGGGGGTGCGTCTTTCGTTTCAGGCTCGTTGTAGGGCAAGGAAGTTGATTCATCATACAAACAAGTGAAACGATTTATGGACACGAACGAGGGCACACCAGTCACTCGTCGCGGGGGACAAAATCCTCTGCCGGAGCCTCCGAATGCGCCTCCGCTAAGGCCGCGGTGTCGGACAACCGCGCGAGCAGCTCTCCCAGCATTTCGTCGCCGAAGTTGCTGGATTACCTCGTCAAGGATGTCCACATGGCGAACATCGGCGGGAAGCGGGCAATCCCGGGCCAAGTGATTGGGGTCGCCACACATCTGAAGCAGGCTCGACGGGGGGCGCCCCGAGCCCTAGTACGATCCAACTCCATAGGGACGGGAGCCGGAGGTACCGAGACGGGGGCGCGGGCCGCGGGTGGCGCAGGTGCGGCCACCGGGCGGATGGGGAACGGAGTTGCCGAATGGGCGATAGGGAATGCGCCACGCGGAGCCCCCGAAGGCGTCCGCGGGGTGGTTCCCTTGATAAGCTTCGCCCGCACCAAGGCTTCGTATTGGCGGAAGGCCCGAGTGCGCCAGCCCAGATAGTCACGGAGGTCTGGGGGGTCGTTCGAGGACGTGATGCCATTGTTGATCAGGGGGTCAAGTCCATGGCGGTACTTGGTCACCTTAACCAACGCGTCTTCGAATCCGGCGAGGTCCATTAGGTCCTCGAAGTCGTCGGTGTATCCGTAGACATCCCGCGTTCCCATATGATAACCCGCGCTCTCCAACTTGGCAAGCGCAAGGTCCTGCTCGTTCTCCTCAACGAACCGAAGGCAAAACTCGGAGAGGAATAGGTTCCACCGAGGGAAGGGGAAGGGGGTCTTGCTTCCATGACGCTCTGCCCACTGCTGGGCAGGTCCCTCCGCCATATAGGACATGGCGTAGCGGACGGGCCTTTTTCTCGCTCGGCTCTCCGTTGACCACGAAGGCCTCCTGGGCAAGCCGAGCGTAGGTTTTGACCGTATAGGAAGGCGCGGCCGCGTTTGCGATCTCCGTTAAACGCAAACGGGGGGTTTGGTCGTAAGACCAGTTTTGAGGCGACAGTAATGTCACCAAATAACGCATCCGCGTCGGGGGCATTCGGAGATGCCAGGGCGGTTCGGGAGCTGCCGGAGGTGGTGCGGCAGCGGAAGCCTGGGAAGCAAGGTGGGTGAGGATATTGGTGAGGTTGTCTAGTTTCGCCTCAAGTGCGTCCATGCGCGTCAGCGTCCGGAGCAGCTCCGGTAGACATAGCGGGCGTAAAGACGACAAGAGCAGAGGAGGAGGGGTCAAGTGGCAGGGGCGGTGACGAGGGGGGTACGGACTCGTACTCCGAGCCTGAATCAGCACCAAACCTGGCAATCTTGACCGGTTAATCCCGTAGAGAGTTTCTTCTGCTGTAAGGGCAACCCTGGAGACTCCGACGAAAGCCTAGCAGGGGAGGATCCAAAGCGTGAATAAAAGCTACGGAAATACACGGAGGGACCGACCTAGCAGGGGAGGATCCAAAGAGAAGAAACTCTAAGGGTCCGCCTGCTAGGGTGCCAACTATATACTGGCCGTCCGTAACTGCCGACGTAGAGCGCAGAAGGCCTGAGCGGCGTTGCAGGCTCTGTCCCAAGGTGATCGTTGGGAGGGTCTTGACGGATCAGTGATTGTGCGGGCGAAGGAGGCCGTGGACGATGGTTGGGGTGGGTCGGAGCGTCCGAGGGGGTGCCGGTCGGATGCGCCTCGGATGCGTTCGGAGGGTCCGAAGGAGGCCGAAGCGGGGGTTCCCCTGACAGGCTACTGGTGAAGGGCTGTACTCATAAAACCTGGGGGAGCTCATGCCAGCCATGGCCGGAGTACTGTGACAAAAAATGTGACATTCAATCAATTGTGAATATCTCAATGAGTTTGACAGCTATGACTAAGATATTACCAGATATGGAAAGGCAAATCACCATTTTTTCAGGCCGAAGACCCGGATAAACATCTAGGTAGGCCTGTGATCTAGGGCAAAGGTATACACCCTAATTAGGCTAAAATTGATATATCCTGACATAGCCATCAATTATACTGATGTCCATCAAAAATCGTTCCACATTGATCACTTTATCTTGATGCCATCAATCCCATCATCAATACTATGATCTAACACCCAAAAATGAATAAAATGGTTTTTTAAAAAGTGTGACATTTGTGACCCTTGAGCCCTTCCCCAGGTTTTATGAGTACAGCCCTTCACCAGTAGCCACGTTTTTATTAGTATTCCTGAGTGAATGAGCTGAAAATGAATAAAATGGTTTTTTAAAAAGTGTGACATTTGTGACCCTTGAGCCCTTCCCCAGGTTTTATGAGTACAGCCCTTCACCAGTAGCCACGTTTTTATTAGTATTCCTGAGTGAATGAGCTGCCATAGGGACGGGAGCTGGAGGCGCCGGAGCGGGGGCGCGGGCCGCGGGTGGCACGACTGGAGCCACCGGGCAGAAAGGGGCCGGAGCCGGGATGCGGTTGACTGGAAACGGAGTCTGAATCAAACCGCCAGGCGTCTTGGGGGCGGCTGACTTGATCAGCTTGGCCCGGACCAGGGCCTCGTATTGACGGAAGGCCCGGGTGTGCCAGCTAAGGTAGTCCCGGAGGTCCGGGGGGTCGTTCGAGAACATGATTCCATTGTTGATCAAGGGATCAAGTCCATGGCGGAACTTGGTCACCTTGACCAACGCGTCTTCGAATCCGGCAAGGTCCATCAGGTCCTCGAAGTCGTCAGTGTACTGGTAGACATCCTTTGTGCCCATGTGATAGGCGGAAGTCTCCAGCTTGGAGAGAGCGTGATCTTGCTCGTTCTCCTCGACGAACCGGAGTCGAAACTCAGAAATGAACGAGCCCCAGGACGGAAACGGAAACGGGGCTTTGCTTCCGTGGTGCTCCGCCCATTGCTGAGCGGGTCCTTCTGCCATAAACGACATGGCATAGCGGACGGCCTTTTTCCTCGCTCGCCTCTCCGTTGACCATGAAGGCCTCAGGGGCAAGGCGGGCGTAGGTGCGGACAGCGTAGAGGAACACGCGGCTGCGTTTCCGGTCGCCGTTGAAGGTGAACGGGGGGTTTGGTCGCAAGACCAATTTTGAGGCGAGGTTGATGTCGCCAAAAAGGGCTTCGGAGTCGCCCTGGACTGGAGTCGGAGTCGGAATCGACGTCTCCGGCGATGGTGTTTGGGGTTCGCCAGCATTATTAGCGGCAGCAGCAGCAGCGGAAGCCTGGTTGGTGAGTAAAGCAAGGGCCTCAGTTAGGCTATCGATTTTCGCCTCAAGTGAGTCCAGCCGGGCGTCTGCGGTAGGAGTGACTCCGGACGGCATGACGGGTGCGGGGACCACAGGAGTAGAGGAGGAGGGGACAAGTGGCAGGGGCGGTGACGAGGGCGGAACGGACTCGTACTCCGAGCCTGAGTCAGCGCCGAACCTGGCAATCTTGTCCGGTTGATCCTGTAGAGAGTTTCTTCTGCTGTAAGGGCAACCCCGGAGGCCTGAGATCAAGGTCCTAGCAGGGGAGGATCCAAAGCGTGAACATTGGTAAGCGAATACAAATGAAGCTGACCTAGCAGGGGAGGATCCAAAGAGAAGAAACTCTGAGGGTCCGCCTGCTAGGTAGCCGACTATATACTGCTTGTCCGTAGCTGCCACTGTCGGGCACAGAAGGCCTGGGCGGCGTCGCAGGCGAGGTCCCAGGGCGACCGTCGGGAGGGCGTTGACGGATCGGTGATTGTGCGGGCGAGATGGAGGGCCGGACCGGAATCAGGCGCGTCTCCGGGCCGAAAGGGAGGTTCCTCTGACAGTAGGTAACGAGCACCATCCCATGACTGCTCCACTGTTAAATGCTCCAGTTTGGGTGTGCTGCAAAGAATGTCAAGACACGAAGCTGAGCTAGAGAATTCCCGGAAGTCAAGATGCGTGATTTTGTCAAGCGGTATATCTCCTAGAGATCCTAGGCGTCCATCGGAGAGTAGCAATTGACGCAGGCGCCTTGCGGAAGGGAAAACGCCAGGTTGCAGTAACATATTGCCCACGAAGTTGAGGGCAAGACTCTCTAGTTTGTCACACCGGAATTCCCCAAGAAAAGTCGCACCCTCTTTCAGGGTCATTTCGAGTGCATATATTCTCTACGCAAACGAGGTGATGATGGATATCAGCGTGCAGATGTGGTTGGGTTGGAAAGCGTTGCTGATATAGATATCGAGGAGAGTGCTTCCTGAGTGTGAAAGCCACAATGGAAGAAGGTCAAGGGTCCTCTGGTTATATGCAGCAACATTGGCAATGGGAGGATAAATGCGAATAACCCTCCAGAGCTCTGGTAAGCTGAGGGCCACTGCCCGCCAGCTGGAGCATACGCTTGCAAGAATGAGTGGCCCTGTTCTAAGCCTGCTGCTTGACCCAATTTGAGGCGGTTCAAGGGCAATGAAATGGTAGAACACCAGGCTCACAAGTTCAGGAGGAAACGATCGCATGGTGTACACAAACGCGTAACGTAACAACCCCATGCGAATATCAGTCACGTTCAAAAACAGCTACATATCCTTTCTACTCTCGACCATTATCATCTGCTAGACAACATAGAGGTGACCCATGGCCGCATCCAAACGGCGTCGATATGGAGGTCTGGACCCACAAAAACGGGAGGAATTTTGTCGTAGATATACTTCAACGGAATGTCAAGCCCGGTTATGTTTTCAGGCGTTATCGAGTCCAAGCTCCACTCAAGTGGTCCCAAATTCGGAACCCTGGATGCATGATAGGGGAGGGCACTGTTAACCTGCGAGGCACGCTCAAAAAATTCGACTAATACTCTCTGATTCGGACTGAGAGAGTCTGAGGATATCTTGATCGCGACAATAAGTTTGACCTGAAAGATTTTTTAGGCCAGCCGTGCATTGAAAAGGCATAACAAACTGAGTAGCATTGTCCCGCACTCATCAGCATCCACTCATCCACGTCACGATAGAGCTCCGAGAGGCTCTCAGAATACCCAACCTCTACGACCAATGACGGCAAGTCAGACAATTTACGCGTTTCAGGCTGGATGCTGTTATCACCCTCCTTGTGCATGCCTCCTGAACCATGCACTTAAAAGCATTAAACTTGGTTCTTTCGAAGGGAAAGGGCATACAGGTGCGCCGAGTTAGATCCAGCTCTGACATAGCACCGGTTTTCCAGGCAAGCAAGGTAGCCTGCTGCTGAACCATGTCCGCGAAGTTGGCGGCACATGCACGGGAAATCGGAGTCGTGAATTGGCGTATACGCAGTTTGGCCTTGTCGATAGTTATCCTGAAGAAAAGGAATGTCATGCGTCGAAAAGTGAAACACCAATGCGTCCACAAACTTGAGAGTGAACCCCTTTTGGCTTTCCTGGTATGCTAAAAGCCTTTCGATGAGAAGCTCTCGGTCGACGTTTGCTGGGATGGAAAATGACAACTCCCTATGACGATTTGGGTCGACTCCAACACTGACTTGAGTTCGCACAGCTTTGCAGAGAGTGGCCAGGTCTGAAGGGTCGGTCACAGGAACGTTCTCCACAGAGAGAGATGAAGGCAATAGTTCAGCCATAGAAGCAACTAATGGATTCCCTCGCAAAGTATGAAGCAAATAGGAAATCCCAGGACGATGTTGGGAAAGGGAAGAAAGGATCCCCTGTTTGTGACATTTGAGTCAACGCGGGATTTTGTATGTCTTCGTCCAGGACGCGTGACGTCACATTAGTAATCATGATGCAACTCAATCTCCTCCGGCCTTTTATACCGGTAAATGGTCTACGATTTCTGACGACTCCCTCGAATGCAGAAGCCATATCACTCCGGCGCTCGCATCTCTATGTGCCAACTTCCTCTGACCGGATGCTGGAAAAATCACTCACAACCAGTTCGGATGTGATAGTCTACGACCTGGAAGATAGTGTGCCCCCAGCCGCCGCAGATAAACTGGCCGCACGCAACCGTCTATCTTCCTTTCTGACTGTAAGACGCATGCATAGCGGTCGATTCAAGCTATAGTCGTGTAGAAACCGGATTTACCTTCTCGAGAGCGCGTCGCTGTCCGCGTCAACGATATCACTACACCTTTTTTCTTGGACGACATAGCTGCAATCGTGACTCTTCATTTTGCGCTCAATTTTTTATGGTTTGACCACATTTAGGCTGCTTCGAAACGCGTTGGTAGTCTAGTTCTTCCTAAAGTTCATGCCGCGGAAGACCTGGATGTTGTCTCACAAGCATTGCAAGCAGCAAACAGAGTCGTATCCAACTCGCTGGAGCTTATTGCTAGCATTGAGAGTGCCCGAGCGTCAGTAAATCTTGGCACGATTGCTGGTTGGAAGGCAAAGGACCCACTCGGGGGAACTCTGACTGCACTATTAGTATGGGAGTCCTCTTGCATATACTGATCTTCTGACAATAGTTTAGTTTGCCGCCGAAGACTGTAATTTTCCTCGTGATGCTATGATCCCATGCTGAGCTGCTCCGAAGACTGTGCAGACACCTCTATACTGAGATCACCCTCTCGACGCGAGCTTCTGTCAGTCTTCATAACCAGAGACCTTAGCGGTAACTTACGCTAGCAGGTACACCCGCTCTTCAATTGTCATCGCTGCTAAAGCATTTGGATTGAACGCTATCGACATGGTTTGTGTCAATTACAAAGATCACGAGTATCTCGAAGACGAATGCCGAGAGGGCCGGCAGCTTGGCTTCACTGGCAAGGTCGGCGTTGAGTTCATTTGATTGGAACAGAATACTGAAGCAAAGCAGCAAGCTATCCATCCCAGTCAGGTCGATGTTATCCAATCAACATTTGTACCGTCTGCTCCAGGTAAATCGTCTATGAGTCCGCCTGCTATAGGCTGAATAGACACAGAAATCGAACGAGCGGCGAAGATAGTAAGCCAGATGGAACAAGAACATGCCGCGAATCGCGGTGCTACGGGATTGAACGGGGAAATGATCGATATGCCGATGATTCTGCAAGCGCAGAAAATTCTGAGAATTGCCAGGGCTGCAAACTTAGATATTCCCAAGTTCTAGTTTCAAAGAATCTATGGTTCTTTGCTCGAGTTACTTATCTAATCTGCTGTGGTGACATCATCTCTTCCCACACAACTTGAACTTGTCGATGAGCGTCTACCTCTACGAATTACCCACCACCGGGGCCATCTCATTCTCTGACATTTGCGGAGACGTAACACCGGACAAACTGTTCACTACCCATATATCCGACGCAACCCAGTCTCGCGCTAACCTGCGAGCGGTGCTGAAGGAGAGCAAACGCACGCAGATTGAAGAGAAGGACCATCTAAAACTAGTTAAAGTGCGTCGAACAACAACTCTTGAAATAGAGCACCTTCACGAGTTTACTAGGTTTTAGAAGAATACCTACCCAAACTGCGTGGCTTGATTGCATGCGTCGACAACGCCCAGATAGAGCTACTTCAGTCTGAGCCCAGTGCGTTTCTCGACCTCCATTGTCTCTCTGAAGCAAACTCGATACAGTATTCAGCTGGAGAACCACGCTCTCTGCCAACTTCCTCCACCACTCGCCTCGGTTGGCTTTACCGTCTTTCTACGCGGAGTTGGCATACACACTGCTCACCTACGCCTTCGCCCTCTCAAATCTTGCCCATGCCAAAGTTGCGCTCCTCGGAGCCTACGAACGCAATCGAAACATTTCCGAGGCCGATCGCAAGGCCAAAGACAACCAGTTGAACGTTGCAGCAGACTTGCTATATCGAGCCAGTGGGATTTTCTCGTATATCGGAGAGACGGTTCTTGGACAGTGGGATAGGTCGGGAAGCAGCGCCGGGGTCGCAAAGCCACCTGATCTGACGCAGAACATGAATAATGCATTGGCAAAGTGAAGTTGCTACCACGCCCTACTCGCTCACTTTAACTCGAAATCTAGGCTGGCCTTGGCTGATGCTCAGACGCTCGCCATACGTAAATTGCTCTCCAAATCTGCTTATGACAGCAATGTTACGCCTGGCCCGCCACTCCCCAAGTCGCATCCCTCACCTGCGTTAATCTCGAAACTACATCTAGAATGTGCTGCGTTGTACTCTTCTGCACGGACTCTGGCCAAGACTTCGGGGAGTACGAGCAGCAATGGCAAAGGTATCAACATTAACATCAGCAAAGACGGTGAAGTCTCCACGGATCTCCGACGATATTTGAACGACGAGACGGCCATTCATGAAGCACTGGCCCATAAATGGCTTGGGGTAGATGCGGGTGAAAATGGAGGCACAGATCGGGGTGGGGACGCTGTTGCTTTTCTGGTGTGGACAAAGAAGGAGCTGGAGGAACTCAAAGGACGGAAGAAGGATCGCGTTTCGGAGGAGCTGGAGAGTGTGACCGTGTTTTTGAAGCACTATAAGAAGATCAACGACTCAGTGAGCCGTAGTCGATCCAACCTGATAACGCATGCTGATATTTCTAGCTACATTTTCAGCCTGTACCTTCACAAGCAGATCTACAGTCGCGCATTCCGGCAGGAAGACTAGTGCAAGGAGCAAAGACTTTTGTGCCTCCTCAGCCTGCGTTTGGGCCAGGATCGCTGGAGGATGTCCGGAGGCAGGCTGAAGAACTCGGCCTACAAGACGACCAGCCACAACAAGGTACATATGCTGGGGCTGGATCATATTTCTAGCAAGACAAATAGTGTAACGTGTAAATGTATTATTATGGTCAAGATAGATTCCGTGTGGAGACTGTTGAGTCTCCAGGCAAACAAGTGGTTCAAGTTCTTTGATTTGGACTGCCCATTTGTTAAAAGCTCGTTTAATGTGTTACAGCGAGAATAGCAAAGGCCATTCGAAACCAATTGAGCTTCAATATGAACATTTGTCGAAGAACAATTCAAGGGGAATGTGAATCAAACGAGAGTTTTCGGGAAGAATCATCGTTGAATCCCATTCAAGCCGTCCCAAATTTGGCACAAGAGTCGCATAATGAGGAGTGGATCGTCAAGGCGCGTTCGATGCATTCGTTGTGTGGCAGGGTCGAGTTTGATAGCAACGACCTACTTATTCATCATGAGGATATTCAAGTCAATGCAATCGCAGAAAGGAAAGGACGCACTGGGAACCCTAGTGGTTTGCACTCCTCATCATCATCCAACGATCAGCGTCTCGGAAGAGTGACCGTGTTTTCGAAGTACGAAGATGACTCAGCCGCGTCAACTTGAACAGACTTGAACAAATTGATGGCGCAGGTTGACTGCCTGTACCTTCACAAGCAGATCTACAGTCGCAAATCCCAGCGAGACGATTATTACTTGTTCAATGGGTAGCGGATTAGGTAATCGCCAATCTCTTGAACCTGACCATGATACTCATCGACCCTCACAGCCCTATTGACGTCGCGACATCGATTAAACCCCCGCTCCTAAACGCCCGACTTCAAAAAGCTTGTAGGCGCTGACTTTGACATCCTCCAAGATCCAATCAGGAGGACTCGCAAGCACTCGATCTGCCTCGGGCTCAGTCAAGACTCGCCCCAAACGCGAAATTGGGCAGATACTTCACGCCGCATTCATGCTTTGCCTGGCAGTTTATGACTCAGTTGCAGAACCTTTGAACGACGGCGACGGCGGGCGCTACTCAGATGATTTACACGGCCAACGTCGGCACCCTATCGGCTACTGTACCTCAAACACTGCCCTATTATCTATTGTGCCCACTGTCAAGCCACAAACACAAAGTATAAAGAGTCTGCCAATTCATGTGCTTTTTCTTCAGCTCCTCTTCCTTTTCGCAGCGCGCCTCTCATCACTTACACCGTCGCTCTCTTACCTCTTCGAATCAAATGGCTGTTCGTCATCAATATCTTTTCCACTTACCTTGCAGCTCATTGTTACCGCAGTACAACCAATCCAGAACCTACAACCAACAACCCCATGCCGTCCAGCCCATGCAAGCCGGCGGCAACCGCAATGCGCTGAACCTTCCTATGGTCGATGGCCAGCGTGAATGGTCGCACGGCGTCTTCGACTGTCTCTCCGACCCCCTTACTTGTACGACCGTCAATCCTGACTGGAAATAACTATCCTTGACCTTACCATAAACAGGCGTCGTCTCCTGGTTCCTCCCTTGTGTCTCTTACGGCCGTAACCGTGCGCGATACACCGCGCTCGAGAATGTTAGTTTGCTTGTTCTCTCAAGCTGATTATCCTCACACAAACTCTAGGGCGGCGTCAGCAAAGACCCCATGGAAGGTATTATCAGCAACGACTCGATCATCTGTGTGTCTCCCTGAATCTCTCTGTTTTTCGTTGACTCAGTCGTCTGTTTTAGACGGTGTTGCTGCTTGCTTCGGCTGTGGTGGTCTGATTGGCATGGGCGGAAGGACACAAACACGTGGTCGTTACTCCATCCAGGGCGACGGTGCAACCGACTGCCTGCTTGCCTGCTTCTGCGCACCGTGTTCCCTTACTCAAGAGAGCCGCGAGCTCGAGCTCGAAGAGCAAAGCCTGAACCACCCCGGTGCTGGCTTCTCCATGTTTATGAACCAGGCCCAGACCGCCACCAAGACACAGCAAAACTAATCTATCTGCGATTAGATTAGACTGTTTATTTACCCATGTCGCTGCTCTATTTAATTTACCCAATACACACTCTTTTCAGGCACGAAAACGGTCGAATAAATATGAATCTTATCTTATCAGCCGCATCATTCTTCGGATCACACGACCCAACTTCGGAACGTGTGATGCCATCGTCGGGCGGGAGAGTTGGAAGGGTGGGCTATCCGTCGCTTGAGCCGGCAAACGGCGGTGGGTACGGTTGAGCTACTGGCTATTTGTGAAGGGGAGTCCTCTCTAGTCGTTGTCGGACGTGACTTGGTAATTGTGTTCTGCGATTGAGTCGTTGTGGGAGGCGGTGAGGCTACGTTTCCAACGAACGCTGCAATCGGAGGGCCCGGGAAAGAATAGGGAGCGTTGGTGTTCGAATAAACCTATCATCATCAAAAGTCAGATTCCGACTTGGGAAAAGCTGGGCCTACATCAACAAGTATTCCGGGATCTGTCGCGCTATACGCCCCCGGCAGCTTGACCAGTTCATTTGAGGTTGGTGCCCCAGAGCCTGTCCCGCCTATGGAAAGCTGGCTGCAGCTTGCATAAAACTCCGCGCCACCTTGCGAGACACCATTCTGTAGCGCAATGATTTCATGTCGGAGTAGGTAATTTCCCGCAGCGATGTTGCCCGGCAAGCTCAAGTTGGCAGGAGCGCCGCTGTCTGAGTAGCCATAAGACAAAGCATATAAGATAACTTTAAGCATACTCAGCGATGCCTGAACCCACGCATTCGTTGCGGGATCACGGCCCGATTGCTCGATTTTGAACCATCTAGCTTGAGTATAGTCGAACTGGGTGCAAGATGTGCTGCCACAGTTCGCCAGGTAAGTCAGCATAGGCCCAACCTTGGCCCTTGTTAGCTCCTCGTGCTTCGGCTTCAATAGAAATTCACATTGTGGAACCACGGGCCTTCAGTTGACACCCAGTCGACCTGGATTGCATCGCCTGGATTTGCGGTTGCGACTAATTGAGCAGGTTGAGCATTAGGTCCACAGCCAAGGTTGACGTCCATGACGTTGGTAACTGGAGAGTTGGTGTTCACTTGTCTAATAACGGAGGACGGCGTGCCAGACGAGCCCAGTCCGTTTCCAGGATAGGGTTTCCCGGCCACCGTTATGCTGCCAACCCACCCATGAGCCTGGGCAAGGGTAAAGATTGAGTAGCAGGTCAGCGCTAGAAGCCAGAGTCTCATGGAACGAGGAGGAGAGTGAAGGTAACCTCATGTTTCGGTGAAGGCTCTCTTCTCTGCTTCCGCGTGCTATTAACGCGTGGAAGTGTCCCGCAGTTCATGGATTAGCACACCATCTCACGAGATATTTCAGTAGCAGACGGAAAGTCATCGCATCGGTTGACTAGTCGAAAACAATCTTCTTGCCCTGACTGGGTACGATCCCTGTAGCCCCCTTTTCCTTCAACGCCCGCTTCGCTGCCCAAGAAGGGTGTAAACCCGCGGCTGGTGTTTGTGGTGCTGGTTTTGTTACTGTGGCCGGAGGATGATGAGGAGGATGATTGTAGTGAGGAGGTTGTTGCTTTTGCCATGGTTTTGAGCTGAGTCTGCCATTGTCCCTCGACGACTTCATCATCCGATTTGCTTTCTTTTGCATTTTCGCCTGCGCCTCTGCCGCTTCCTTCTTCTTATGATTAGCTCCCCTCCCGTATTTTTTCTCCCAGATTCTGTAGCACTTCAGAATAGGTCGGGTAAGAAAGAGATGGGTTACTCACGCTCGCCTGGCTCGTTGACCGCGTCGATTCTTGCGGCCAGTATCAATTTCATCAATATCGTCACCATCGGAGTCTGAGCCGGGGATGTAGCCCACAGCTAGTGAAGGGAGAAATTGTGACTGTGTCGGTGCTGACGGCGTTTTGGCCTTGCTTGAGACAGCAGGTTTTGCTTTTTTGGATGGCGGCGGAGCATTATCCAAGTCCTCCTCGTCAGAGTCTCCGTCAGAATGGACGCTGCCCGATTCCCAACCATCATCTGCCTGCTCCTCTTGTTCTTCCTCTCCAATAGCCGATTCTGTACCACGGTCAGTGTCATCTTCAACGTCACTTCGTTCTGTGCTCTCTTCTTGTTCATCGTCTTGTTCATCTTCATTGTTGGGCGCTTTGCTCAGGTCCTGTGACTCCGTTTCCGTTGGAGGCACCAATATAGCACGCAAACTTGAGACAGCATCACCCAGCACTTTGGCAAAGGTTCGATTGCTTGCAATTCGATTTCGAACCCTCTCTGCTTCTAAAGATCTGGATATAGCTGAGGCTACTGGGTGTCAGTTGGATAGCAGAGGGAGTAGCAAGGGACCTACAAATAGGCAATTGAGACTCTATTGCTATGCGGACGGCGTCATTGGAGCAAATGTGGGAGTCCTTGAGTAGTCGAGCTCGGAGGGTGGCAGAAGCGAATGCTGGTGTGTCCACAGCTTTGAGCTCTGTTAACTCGGCCGATAGGTTACTACGCGCATCGTCGTCTGCCGCATTCCTGCAAGTGATAAGTTTGGCTAGAGCTGCTGACCCTGAATACCAACTTGAGACGGTTGATCTTCTTGACGACGCGCTGGGTTTCAAAGCTTCGTGCTTTCTTGGCCGTTTGTTGGACCTCTTTGATTGTGTGAAACTATGCACAAGTTAGCTGGGCGGTCCAAAGAGGGTTGGAAAAACTTGCCAGTTTCGTGCCAAATTTGGTTTCGGGGCTGACCTTCGAACATCTCATCCAAGACCATTTTCAGAAGAGCGGAATTACCTCAGGTCGTTTGCGCTTGATGCCGCGAGGGTGATCCATGGTGGTTGTAGAAGGAAACTTGTGGTTCCTTTTCGGGGATATGTGACTTGCGATGGACGACGTCGATGAAGGGCGCGTTTTTGCTACTTTCGAACGGCATACCGAGTTTGTCGACGCGCAAACAAGACTACTCTTATTGGATCTAACCCAAACGCCGTCGCAGGTGGAAGAGAAGGAAGAGACTGCTTTGTTTCGCAAGTTATCGAACATTGTGTGCATTTTTGTCTCTCTCTCGTTCACTCATTTTGTTATCATGGCCCGTAGCTCGATGAGTACCAGGAGCAGGCCCATCTCCTCGATCCATATCTTGAACAGCTTGTGGTACCCGTTGTCGGGTCCATCAAGTATCGTTCTCAACTCATCTACAACAATGCCGGTAGCGACCCTACCAATCCAGCTCGTGTCGAACGCGTCGCGGCACTTCTCTATGGCTACGTTAAGAGCAGGGGCTACAAAACGATCAGTAGGTCTTAAACCTCCCAAAGTCACACTGTTAAAACGGCGCCAGCCCGTTTCTTCCCCCATGAGATTGAAGATCTTGCCTTGGCTCGCGCTTGCATGACTGGCATTGCGACACAACCCAATCAATGGGCTCTTCGCTATGCTGGTTTGCTTTGGCTTTCACTCATCTGCATCATCCCCTTCGACTTGGTGCAGTTCGATGAAACGACGGAAGGAGAAACAGCAAATGCTTTGGAGGGCATCACGCGACCGTTGTTGTCCCGCGCTGGCTTGGAAAGAGATGGTGCAGCGTTGATGCTCTCGCGGTTCTATACGAGGTGCGGTCATCATTTGCTTTTGCATTTCCCAACTTAAAATAGCCAAGAAAAGACACCCGTCTGCGATTCAGCACTTTCCTGTCTTACTCCGAAGAGTGCATATCCACCGCGCAAGATGCTTTCATTGTCATTGGGCTGCTCCAGGTCCTGTGTGAAGTAGCAAAATCTGGCCCCGCGGAGCTTGTGCAGGAATATGCCTCTCGATTTTTCGCAGTGGCTGAACAAATCGACTTGAACCAGGTCCTTGATGCGAATACTCTGGTCCGCAAATATAAGACCAAACTCGTTGCACGAATACCCCTTCGTATTCTTCCACCTCCCGCTGGGAAACGCAAAGGTTGGCTTTTATCATTCAGAAGACGAAAATGACATAATCAGGGCAAGCAGGCCGTGATCTTGTCAGCGATGGTCGTCTCGAGCCACAAATTGCTGACCAAGATATCGATGTTCCCGAGTCCGTGGAGACTGTCTTGGAACAATTGTTTAAAAGTCTACAAGACAGAGACACTATCGTCCGTTGGTCCGCCGCAAAATCCATTGCGCGTATCTCCGAACGACTGCCTGTTGAATTTGCCGAACAAGTCCTGGAGACTATTTTAGGGCTCTTTGACATTCACTCTGTAGCAGCAGCAACGCTTTACGATCTCCCGGCTATCGCAGAGAGCACCTGGCATGGTGCATGTCTAGGATGTGCCGAAATGGCGCGACGAGGACTGGTATCACAAGAAGCCCTTGCGCAACTTATGGAATGGCTATCCAAGGTCTTACCCCTCAGCATATCAATGTTTGCTGATTTCATCATTTTGTAGGCACTATACTTTGACCTCCGAAAAGGCGCCCATTCTATTGGCTCCAATGTTCGCGACGCAGCAGCTTATGTTCTCTGGTCATTAGCACGTGCCCAAACTCCCGAGGCATTGCGGCCCCATGCGAATGACCTTGCTCGCCGACTGGTGACTGTTGCACTCTATGATCGCGAAATCCACATCCGACGAGCGGCGAGTGCTGCTTTTCAGGAATACGTAGGACGAACTGTGGGTTACTATGTCGCCAGGAGTGCAATGAATTGATGACCACAGAGCCTCTTTCCGCATGGCATTGACGTTCTTCGAAAAACAGACTTTTATGCTGTCAGTATACGGCGTCATGCATTCCTCGTTGCAGCACCACAAGTATCGGAGTTTGCGTTTACTTGTTGCTTTTTGATATGATGCTAACTACTTCACAGACACGTTGAATATCGGGACTTTCTGTTCGACCATTTACTCAATGTGACTGCCCGGCATTGGGACGCATCAATGCGCCAATTTGGCGCATCATCGCTTCGCTTAGTTTGCACGCCACATCTCAATGATCTTGGCCCCCTAGTTATTTCGCGTGCTGTTGGTCAAGCCTGTATTATGCGATCACTACTTACGAACATCTAGGCAAAACTCCTCAACTCACCTGATACAGCAGACCTGCATGGCGCTTTGCTTATCCTGTCAGAAATGGCTTCGGCTTACCGGGAAGCTATCGATGAGCGGGAGATGAGGTTACGTGAGGTTTGTTATAACCCGTGGCTTTACGTGCGAGTGAACCTTGAATGTAGATTTTCCAATGCCTCTCACTCGTTCCGGAGAAGACTTTACTCGGCCCCCGAAACGAGCTACTCACTGCAACAGCTTGTACCGTTATGGCACGGTCAATATCTTCTACGGAGGCAGAACAGCCTCCTGGTGTGCTGTGGCGCAAATTGCTTGAAGGTGGTCTCAAGCATCGGACCGTATTTGTGCAAGAAGCAGCAGCCGGAGCTTTGGGCGCCGTCAGCAGTCTCGTTGACTGTGCGAAGCCTTTCCTTAGATAAGTTTGGTTCCTTGTGGAGACTTTTTTCCCTTGTCTCATAGTCCAAGAACATTGATTCGGGAGATGCGCAAGTCCGGGCCAGCTGTTCAACAGAGTATGGGACGGGTTCTGGGTGCAATGAACTACGAAGCTTTCCCAGAATGTTTACCCGACGCATTGAAATGCTTGTTAGAGTGTGTCGGAGTCGATGCGGTAAGAGACATTGATTTTTTTTTCCCTACGTGGCAAATTAAAGAAGAGAACAGTCGCCAACCACGTCTAAACTTACAGTTGAAGCCCGACGGAACTGCTACACCGCTATTCCGCAGATTGTTAGCAATTTACTTCCTCGACTTGAACGACGTGAGTTGTGGTTTGTTGCGACAAGTGCTATAGAATTCAAAATTAGATATCTCGGCTTCGACATGCAACGCATTGTTGGATGCCATGCTCCACGGATTGGACGACTATACGATTGACGAGCGCGGAGATGTCGGTTCTTGGGTGCGAATCGCTTGTCTCCGAGGGCTTACAACATTCTGCGAGACTCTAATACCGAACGCCAACCATCTGTCAGCCTTCACAGAGTACTTTCCAGCAGACAAGTATCACGCTGTTGTCGCTGGAATTCTCAAGCAAGGTGTGGAGCGACTAGACAATGTGAGGCAAGACGCAGGAGATTGTTTGCACACACTTCTTTTTCTGGCACCGCCAACGGTACAAAATGGTCACGAGTGGGCGCCTCGCGAGCTTTCTGTCCTGAAAAACCTGTTTTTGGCCAGGTGAGGCGGCTTCCCGCCGTGACTTGGATGATCTGATACACGTGGAAGTAGCGAGGCCGAAGTGATAGGTTGGAAAGATGGCGCTTGGCTTTTCCCGAGAGCTGTTCGAGTACTCAACGTGCGGAGATATCGACCCGCGCTTCTGGCGGGGCTGGTTCTGAGTTTAGCCAGCAGAACGGAAAGCACGGTGCGTGGCCGGGGCCAAGCGGTGTCTTTCTCTTTCTTCTTCTAATGCAGCTCTTATTTTTAAAACAATAGCAACGACCCGTGGCTCGGGCTCTTGTAGAATACAGCAAGGCACTCCCACTGAACACGGGCGGAGACCACGATGGCACGGACAACGCATATCATCTCTTGGGATTGGCAAAGGACCTTCTGAACCATGCGAAACAAAATTTACAAGCCAATGGCGTCGTTATTCCGGTTCTACAGACGTTCAACATCCTACTCGAAGCCGATGTGTTGAGCAGGTTATCTGAATACCCTCCAGGATTATCTTGGTTCGTGGATCAAACACTGATCACGTTACTGACAATTCAGCGTTGGGTAGCTTGCAGGAATTGGTGGCGATTGCAACCAGAAATGTGGCGCGGGTGAAGAACATGCAGCGAATCCAAGAATCTATGAAGATGTTTGTGCGGAGACTGCCCGATATGTTGACATTCTCACTCTGGCTTAGTGTCGCGAATATGCTGCGTATTGCGCCGCTGTTTTCGCAGTCTGTCCAAGGCCTAGAACACTTCCTGGTGCATCAGTTCCCCCATGTAGGCTCTTCTTCTTTGGTGCCATGAAAAAACGTCTCAACTTGAGTTAGATTCGACATGCCACAAGTGAATATCTTTACCTTGTTTTGCAAAGCATTGATCTAGGTCGCGACACGGATGAGGTCGAGGAAATAATTCTGGAGACAGAATGGTGTGACTCTGCACTTTCTTTTGAAGCTGTCGTTCTCATTATCCATAGGAGTTCAGAGGATGTTGGTGTCGCTGAAGGAGGCTGGGTGCGGGTGAAGGAGGCGTTTATGACATAATCGTGACCGATTTGGCATTGTACCATCACCACTGTTTTCGTGAACGCAACTATAATACCCTCGCTCGTTCCTTGATTTCCAGCTCGACGTCGACGCCAGCATGTCCACTGACCCTCGAATGAGCGACCGTGAGCTGGCCGCCATTAACGCCGCTGCAGTGACCAAGGAATACCGCGTACAGCCTCATCTCGGTATGTTTCACACAAATCCTTATTTGAGTCTCTTAAAATCATCTACGCAGACTACAGGACGGTCTCTGCTATCAACGGGTGAGCCATTTACTGGATTCCGGCGCCACTTCCAGGCCAACTCCTTTCCAGTCCGCTTGTGGTCCTCGATAATGTTAAAGTGAGGGTTGCTGCGGCATGAACAGACCTTTGAACTGACGTCAACTAGTTCCCCTCGTATAATGAAATCGTGCAGCTCACGCTGCCAGACGGAACGAAGCGTGGAGGACAGGTGTTGGAGGTCCAAGGGAAGAAGGCGATCGTCCAAGTCTTTGAAGGCACACATGGCGTGGATGTCAAGGCGACCCACGTTGAGTTTACGGGAAGCAGCATGAAGCTTCCTGTAGCGGAGGACATGCTGGGCCGTATATTCAACGGATCGGGAAACCCCATCGACCAGGGTCCCAAGGTGTTTGCGGAAGACTATCTTGACATCAATGGTGCGCCGCTTTCAAGTTGTCTTTTCCTGGGTCTTACTCAATATGCTACCTCAGGCTCCCCGATTAATCCCTATTCTCGCATCTACCCTGAAGAAATGATCCAAACTGGCATTTCGACGATTGACACTATGAATTCGATTGCTCGAGGACAGAAGATTCCTATTTTTTCAGCCGCTGGTCTGCCGCATAACGAAGTAAGTCCTTTTCGTTGACCTCATTTCTGAATCTAATGGGTCTAGATCGCGGCTCAGATTGTACGACAAGCGGGACTGGTCAAGGGTCCGACCAAAGATGCGCTTGACGGCCACGAGGATAACTTCTCGGTCGTGTTTGCGGCAATGGGTGTAAACATGGAGACGGCGCGGTTCTTCAAAGAAGATTTTGAGTCAAACGGCAGTCTCGACCGCGTTACGCTCTTCTTGAATTTGGCAAACGACCCTACGATCGAACGAATTATTACGCCGCGACTTGCTCTGACGACTGCTGAGTACTATGCGTACCAACTGGAGAAGCACGTGCTCGTTATCCTGACCGATATGTCTTCCTATGCAGACGCCCTACGAGAAGTTTCTGCTGCCCGAGAGGAAGTCCCTGGTCGACGTGGCTACCCTGGTTACATGTACACCGATTTGTCGACCATTTATGAGCGAGCAGGGCGTGTTGAAGGCCGAAATGGGTCGATTACGCAGATTCCTATTTTGACAATGCCAAATGATGGTACAGTCCTTGGTTCGCGGCAAGACTTTTGGACTAAGACGCTTTATAGACATCACTCACCCGATTCCGGATTTGACTGGTTACATCACGGAAGGTCAGATCTTCGTCGATCGTCAGCTGCACAACAGGCAAATATACCCACCAATTAATGTCCTGCCGTCTCTTTCTCGTCTCATGAAGAGCGCAATTGGGGAAAAACTAACCCGAAAAGATCACGGTGATGTTTCTAATCAGCTTGTGAGTCGTGTTTTTGTGTTGGTTCAAGGCGAATTCTTAGCGCCACCACTAGTACGCCAAATATGCAATCGGTCGGGATGCTGCTGCTATGAAAGCGGTAGTGGGTGAAGAAGCACTGTCATCTGAGGATAAATTGGCACTCGAGTTCTTGGACAAATTTGAGCGGCAGTTTGTCGGACAAGGTAAGAGCGGTTTTTTCCCCCCTTCCGAATCAGGCAATTTCTGAACTGAAACGCCCAGGGGCGTACGAATCCCGGACAATCTTTGAATCGCTCGACTTGGCTTGGTCTTTGCTTCGCATCTTTCCGAAAGAGCAGCTTAACCGCATCAACCCATCGATCATTGCAGAGTTTTATGCGCGAAAGGCGAGCAAGAAGACTGGTGAGGAGGAGAAGCTGCTTATTGACGCTTGATGGTCGGCGGACATAGTTGAATAGATTCTACACACAGTGACACACACCGCGGACAATGCAAATACGTATTGTGTGACTAGCGATGTGACACAGTAGGCTGATCTTGCCCTGAGAGGCATGTTGCCTATAAGTATCATGTTGGCCGACTATATAGCCGAGAAGAGGGTCTCACCCTCGCCTCATGGACTATTGCCTCCCCGTAAAACGAAAGGCTGAAGACGAAGACGACTCTTCCCCTTCAATATGGTCATCACAACAACGACAACGTCCAAGAAGACCTACAAAACGACCCTGTCTCCGTCATCCTAACGACGTAGAAGATATTGGCATCGTCGCCCCTAATGCCGACCCAGGCCCAGCAACTGGCTCGTTACTCCAGCTCAGAAAACCTCCAACAATACCCATCGACGCCACTTCCTCCCATATCGCCTCCCATATACCCCCCATATCAAGGACAACTCTCAAAGAGCTCGACCTCGATGCAATAATGCGAAATCCACAACTTCGTGCGTAACAACGCGTTCTGTAAACAACACCAGTTTTTTCTGACCAGCTTGCAGGACACGACTTGCTGTTTGACGGAAACCTCCAGTTTCGCCCAACTTCAACGAGACGCAAGACGGAACGCGCGGAAAAGTACTGGCAAGCAATCACAACCGAGCTCGAGACAGGCTGCACTTGTGTCTCGTTCGATATTCGTGGAAAACCCCATCCGACTGTGTGTGCTTGCGCCCATGTCTCAACCCCAGCAGTCAATCCTGTCGTTGCTTATTCCCCCACCCTCCATGTGGCAACTCTCCGAATGCCTTCTCGAATTCGAGCGCTGTTGGAAGAGTTATTAGAGGTGTTGCTGCTTGTGATTCAGCCACTGTCGACGCTGGGTGGCGCGCCAGCAAGTCCCACGGCCGCGCAACAAGCCGACCATCTTGCCCAAGCGGCGTATATTCGCTCAGTCTTCGATCCAGCCCTTATCGAGCAAGAGCTAAAACATAAGCTTTTCGACCCTTCCAGCCTTTTCCGTGCAATTGGTCTTACTCTTCAAGGCCATTGTGCTCCAATGCGAGATCAGGCAGTCGAGCTTATGGTTCAATTAGCCCAAACGTGTGCTCCAGGAGGTAACGGCACAAAGGCGGACGCGGTCCGGGCGGTGAGGATGTGCATGGACATACTCGAGCTCATGAAACTGGTAAGGCTGCTTTCCCCTTTGTTTGTTACTAGCGTAGATTAATCTCGGTGGGACAGGACATTGCCAACCACCAGCTCCAAACGTTGCGACCCTTCCTGATACGCACCTCGGGCCAGTTTGAGCTACGGTCCTTCAAGAGCCGCAAAAACGGGCAAGGCTTCCAAAAGACGCGCGAATGGCTTGCTGCCGCGCATGCATCGCTACTTGCCCGTAGCGATCCAATACCAATACCATACCCCCCAGGGCAACTACATTACCAAAAATTACAACGTAACCAGCAAATCTACCTCTCAACACTCAGGGGCCTCACGGACCTAGTTTTCACCAGTCCATCTCCCGCCAACCTCATTTCACTGCCCATATCAGTCTCGCAGGGATCGTTACCCACCATCTCCTCACTTCCCGGACACCCAGAAACGACCTACCTTGACACTGCGCGGTTATTACTGCTCAATATTGATGCCGGCGATCTCACAGCTCTGTCCATGTTCTTGTTGCTGTTCCGCCAACTACGTTTCTCCACTAGGAACGGAAACGTGGACGAGTCGGAACTTTGCAAAATAAAAGGCGAGATCCGGGACATTGGCTCTGCACGATTAGGCTATGCCCTTTTGTGTGGAAAGTCTTACACTGTCGACAAGGAAGAGTTGGACAAGTGGCGCTCGCTGAAGCAAAGTGTCGTTCTACAAATTGCGATGCGAGCCCGTGGGACAGCCACTAGCGTCGATGAGAGTGTGTTAAGTCTGGCCCAACGGTGGGCAGATGAGAACATTCAACATGGCGCTATTCTGGAGGGCATGCTTCGTAACCGGTTAAGGGACGCCGTCTTCCATGCCGTTGTCTCACGCACATTTCCCGGTCGCGATAGCGTGGGTGGTGAGACACCGATGATGGCGGGCATGGAAGTGCTGCAGGACGAGATCAATACCCTTGCTGAAAACATCAGTCGACTTGCGCTTATCCACATCAACACCTACCTCGCCGTATATGAGAGCGAGAACTTTTTAGAGACGGGTTGAACGACGGGTAATGATAATCTTATTCTTTCATCATGAAGAGAAGCTGAACAACGACAACCCCACTGTATCCTACCATACCAAGCATCACTTCTTACTTCCCATAGCATCATCATTCGCATCCACATAGTACCATTCACCACCCCATCAATGCACTAGTTTCGTCTCTCACTGGAAGCAGGAACACGGAGATAACTCGAAATGAACAGCAGCTGTTGCCGTCAGGTCCTCTGCCGCGTCATGTTCGGCGGTTTTTCTTACCGCGTGCATTTTGTGCGTAGGAAGGCTGGCGCCAGAAAAAGAAGAAGGTGTGAGACCACACCCGGTCGACGCCGAGATGAACATGGAGAGAGTTGGGCTTGAACTTGCCATATGCGGTCGAGGATGGTGTGGTAGTTTGCCGGATTTGGGCTGGCTGCAAGTATGTGCTAATAGTCGCGATAGTCGCGCGAGCCAAGAGTGGGCAGCCAAGGGGAAATCGCCCCATCCGTTCAATGGTTGCAATCGCAAACGCACTTGCCTTAGCGTATTTGATTCAGATGGCTTGGAGGAGTGCTTTGTCCGTCCGACTCGACTCCCGGTTTTGGCAGATTTACCAGTGGCGTACGGTCGCCCAAACGCCGCAAGCAGTTGTTGCTGTGGTTATTCCGTCTCCAGCAGCAATCCCTCGAAGAGTGATCTCCGAGTGGGGTGTGTTTGTCGCTATACCAAACAGAGCTTAGACGGGCTGATGCGTCTGATGGCAGACGCCGGACTGCAGAGAGAGAGAGAAAAAAAATGCACACACACAGACTCCCACCACCCGGGAGCTATCGGGTCGAAGATGGGCTGATTTTCAGCTTCGAAGTGCTTGTTGCCCGACGGTGGCATGTTAGATTAGCTTGGAGAGAATACACAGCGCTGTGATTGGGCCCAAATGACGAGCCTCAAATCCGACACTGGCCTAACAAGGGAAAAAAGCATACGTCGGGAATAATCGGACGCTGTCGGGGGACGGCGGCGAAATAGAAACGGAAAGACGGAAAACTTCATGGTGGAAAGTGACATTTATTGGCTGCACATGGATCCCTAAGCGTACACTAGTGTCGTCTTACCGCTTCGGTGCATAGCGCGGGAGGGACTCGAGTGGTTTGGAGATCAAGTAACCTGATAAGCGCAAGTAAGCCATATGATGTTAGTTCGAGAGAGAGAGAATATACCTTTCAGTCCCGCAGCACGCTCTCCGGCGAGACCAAACCCATTACCCGCGCTGGCCTGCTTCTCTTCTTTCGCGCCAAACATTCCCGAAACGACACTGGCGCCTGCGGAGGCGACGGGACGAATATCCACGCCCGCAACATGAGTGGGCAAACTCTCTTTGGCATGCTCGCGCCAGGAGGTTATTGACCGCTTGCCCCGAGCCGAGGCACGGAATACGAGCCCAGCAAATATGTTGAGGCAGCCGATGGAGAACAGAAAAAACGCGGAGACCAAGGAGAACCGGTCGACATGGTGTGAAAGGATCGCGGCTCCGAGGCTGCAATGCGTGGGTCAATGAGCTCACTGTTCAGTCAACGAACGGGGACTTACAGGCATTGAATGATCCCAATCGGTCCGAGGCCGAACTCTTTCCCCAGAATAGGAAAGAAGCGGTTGAAGAAAGCAGACGGCCAGCCGACTTCAGAGAGAAGCAGGACGATGACCTGGAAAATGAGGAGCAGGCGATTCAAGACGGCCCAGAATACGCCTGCAGGTTGGTTGGGGACGGTGCTGTTGCTATTTTACACATTCATTGAGCCAGGCTTTCCGGCAGAGAAGACAAAAAACTGACATAATGTAGTCATCGTTCCGGGATGTGGAGGTTGAATTGAGTGATTCGGCGTTGCTGCCAGCGAGGTGGTGGTTGACCGCTTGGATATCGTGCACCAAAGTCACGATATTGCTCTTTAAGAAGAAGAATTCAGTCCATCTGAAGCGCGTGGCACGGCCAGTGAACGCACCGCAAAAACGAGAATCAGTCCAATGATACTGAGGATACGGAGGCCATTCAGCCCGATAAAGATGTCTAGTTTCAAGTTAGTGTGACCTTGAAAGCAGCAGCAGCTAGACACGCACAGGCACGGGGAGGCAGCATTTGGTTATACAGATTAGGTTGCTAGCGATACAACGGGTCGTGTCGTTCGAATGAGCGTAAATGGAGCCACAGGCTCTTGAGTGAAAATTTCGTGATGAGGCGGGGAGGAAAGCTGTTATGGGCCATTGTGCCGCCCGTAGCACGTATTTAAGGGCTCGGGCAACCGGCGATGCGTGGCCCATCGAGAAAACAAAAAGACCATTGTGCTGGGGTTGGACAACAATGAAGTGGGTACGCGGTCACGTGCTACACAGCCTTATCGACATCCGCCGCGCCCATTCCCCGTTTGGGCTCCGATCACTGCCAACGACTGCCCGCCACACCAGCAGTCGATACATAAGCCTATCCCACAGTTCTGTCTTCTCCGACAATCGCATTGTGCATTGCCACAAAACCTCAACAGCGTTGCCCCATCTAAGACAAGGATCCCTCTCATCCAAGTTAGTCAGATCTGCTCCGCGATGAGGCGGTAGCAGCTCGTTGTTGGATAATGCTACTGAAGGTAGACTGTTAAAGTCCACTTGTGTTTCCAGTGCCTCGACTCCTTCCAAACAAGCTGAAATGAGATCATCGAGTGCAAACGGTACTGGGCCAGACAAGGCTGCTAGGCGCAATGTAGCCGAGGCAGCGAGTGTGACGGAATCTGCCAGTTTTGCTACGGCGTGTTAGTGAGTGAGTAGGTGGACAAAGGACGGCGACAAACACGACTGCGATGCAGCTTGGACTGCCAACAGAAGACATCGACAAATAGTCGCTCGCCATTCGCCTCCAGTGGAGGATTCAAGCTTTTGTGCATCCACAATTACCAGAATATTGTCCAAAACGCTGAGCCAGGAGACTGCCTCGCTGCCGGAGACAGAGAGCTGCATCTCGATCCATTGTAAGAGGGATGATTTGAGAATGAGTGACGTCGTTGCTTGCGCGTTGCATGTCAGATTAGCGAGGACCTAACGATTAGGCTTAGTTGAGAATAAAAGTTGAAAGCAGGCTTATACCTCGAGGATACTATTTCGTAAGACATTGTCTTGCTCCGAGCTTTGGAAAAGATCGGCCAGTAGTTCCCATGTGTGTCGCCGTTTCAACACGCGCCAGTCGTCCGTGCTCATCATACCATCGGAAATGAATCGAATCATCCAACTTCGCTCCTTCTTCCAGTCGTCGCCACTGTTGTAGAGCATCCCATAGAGCAAGGGAACATCAGTGGTGTCGAGTGTAGGCCGTTGCAGTAAGAACCGTGCCGTTAGTGGATAAATGAAGTTAGATGGGTAGAAGATTCCGCGAACGGCATGGGCGAGTATGAGTGTCGTATAGGACGGAAGTCTCCGAAGTGGTTCTGAGGGCGATGAGGGAAGCATGTTACGGAGAACATTCATTACATAAACAACATGTGGCTGTTCCTGCATATCTGCGAACTAGAGTAGTACGTCAGCTTCACTTTGGTACACATAGAGACGCTAACATACCTCTAGATGGGCCCAGAGACCAGCCAGTTGGAGTCGTGAAAATTCTCGTAGTCGGGAATCTTGACCCGATAACGCCCGGATCAGCAGACCGACGATATTAGTTCGAAACATCTCAATCCAGCCGAAAGCGCTCTCGGGTACTTTTTCCGCCATTGCTTGTGCAAAAAGCAGCACCAAGAACACCGGATCATAGACTGAAGCATCTGACGACCGTTCTGAGATGTCTCCTGGGGTTGCATCAAGCGTCCGCCATGTCGGGAAATGTGAGCATGTTCGGAAAACCAATGTGGCATCAAGCGTTTGGATGGCTTCTAGCGCAGTTGAGCAAGTGGAGCCCTCAGATGCGGACCACTGTGAAAACAACGGAGACACCGAGATCTTCCGCTGTGCCTCAAAAAGATGGAATATGGCCAGGAGTTGTTGGTCAGCTACCGAACAGGTACCTTGATAAATGCTCGTAAGGGGTTGGATATGCGTTGCTTGACAAGTATTATTTGGGTGGAGATGGAAGAGGGTATGTAGCGCATGAACAATTTGTGTGCGCGTGGTGCCAGCGCAGAGTTTGAAAAACTGGGGATGCTGAATGACATTTTGTAAAAGGCGATTGACGATCAGTGGCTGGATCAACGATCAGTAAGCGGTATATTCATTTTTTTTTTCGAAATAAACGTGCCTTGAACGAGGCAACCTGAAGCAACGCAGATAACAACTCGACAGCTGCGCCATCACCGAGACTGCCTTGGATAATGACGCCGGCTAGCGTTTGAGCAGTATCTGAATCGACCACTTTCACATTCCTCGCCAATGTGGCTTGGAGATCACTTAGACACCGCAGCAATATCAAAAGGGTACTCACCAAGCCCATCCAAAAGTTCGACAGTTGTTTCACGCTCAGTAAAAAACGCAATTGCCCACTCAAGAGCGTGATTGAGTAATGTTGGTTTTGCATTGCCCATATGCTTCGCCATCCAAGTCCCGAATCGGAGAGCTTCTCGCGTCGGACTAGAACCCTTATGGAGGTGTGCCTCGAGCCAATCATCCAAGTTGGTGCCAATGATAGGTATGTGTCGCAAGAGGAGACGAAGGGAAAGTTCTGCATGTGTACGAAGTGACACTGATGTCTTGTCGTCGACCAAATGACGGACACAATTCTTCGAGTGCGACATCCACATGTCACTGTTAATCGCAACCAGTTGGTCCATTTGGCTGTCCAAGAATGCGTAGACAACATGGAGGAGTTGATTTGAGGACCGTTCGACAGCCATATCGCATGACAGCCAGCTCTCGAAAAGGTTGACAGGAAAGGAAGACCGGTGCAGCAGAGCAACAATAATGTCCACAGTAGACGTCGTCCAAGGACTCTCCTGGTATAACAGCGAATGTAGATCAAGCGAAGTTAGTGGCAGCTGCGCCTTCCGGGACCAACTTGTTCGGGCTTGATCCAGTAATGAGACGGTGATTACATTTGGAAGTTCAGAAGCTCGTCCAGACAATCCCATCGGGATACAGGTCTTGATAACAGCAGCAATCATAGCTTCGAGAGCAGAAGAGTTTGGAAGGCTAGATCGGAGGCTGGAAAGAAGTTCAAGGTCTTCATGAGAATTGGAAGTTGCCAAAGTCTTTACTGAGGTCTCCAAGGCAGTAATCACCATCTCCAAAGGCTCCGGTCGCACAACAGCTTCCTTGCTCAGAGTACGAAGTGCATCCCACAGGTCTTGAGCCTCTACATACGGTATCCACGGCAAGCAAGCCGGCTGTAACAGCTTAGTGATAATTAAAGTCGAAAGTCATGACCCACAGGAACAGTCAGTGTACTACTGGTCAGCGCATTGAGCCAGTGACCCGATATATTTGCGGCCAAGTCCCTATCTTCTCGTTTCTGAGGGTCAAGACTGGTTTTGAGGAGCGTTGATATAGCTGATTGACGTCAGCCATGTCCAAGACTGACTGACGAAAACTAACCTTTAACGACGTCTTCCGAAACATCGATTTTCGTGCATAAGGAAAACAGCGCAGGCGTTCGGATGAAAGCGTATTCCTTAACTTCCGAGAGGCTCGAGGAAGAAAGACACTTGTCTGCCTTGGTGAAAATGGCCGTAAGAAGTCCAAGAAGCGCGTTGGTCAAGACCAAGTTCTGGTTTGAGCTGAAACTATGACCGATCAGGCATATGGCTTGCTTGAAGCCAGATGCAGTAGCAATGACGGACTGGACCAAGATCTCTCTTCGTTGGGAGATGTCTGAGAGTGAGGCGTGGATGAATAGGTCATGGAATGACCGTCTGGAGAAGAGTTGTGTGTCAGCGTTTATATGCGTCATTGATGCTTACGGGTTACTGAGATCAGCATCATGAAGGCCATCATCGATATGCGTTGGCGGGAGGTATTGACGCAGGCTTGCGAACTGACGCTGTACAGCTTGTGGGGCATCGAGGAGAGTTCCAGAGCAATTTTCCGTGATGTAGGACAAGAATCCAAGATCTCGTTGGATGCCGGCAAGACGCGAAAGCAATCTCATCAAAAAAGTGGTGATCGCTAACAGATGGGCTGGTGGCAGAGGAGATTTGCCCGTCATTTTGGCACGAAGTTGTTCAACTGCAGTCATGATGAGAGGGCTAGGGAGTTCAGAAAACTGTGTGGCTTGCATCTCCTCGATGTAGCGATAAGGTGTCTGCAAACAACGTTGAATGCAGTCGTCCACAAAGGAAACGACAGCAGCTGCTTCGTCTGCGCGAGATAGCCCTTCGATGGGTGTATTCCGAACTCTGTGTGCTAGCGGAATCGCAGATATCCAAAGCGACGCCTCACCCGGGCTGTTTTCGAAGATATTCGACCGCTCAAGTAGACTGACAACAAGATTGTGGAGTGTTTGCTGTAATGAGGGTATTTCACAAGAGCAGTATGCATCGAGGAGAACATTAGAGTGCGTTTTCCCTGAGGCTAGTGGGTTCGTTAGGAAAAACGCTCGATCCGGGACCACAACACAGACCAGCCTTGCCACTCCATTGGAATTGATCACTTTCATTGAGGAGACGCAGCACGTGAAGTTGCTTAACGACGTTCAACCTCGTCGCCGAGTCCCTGTCTTCTTCAGACCGAGTTGTCGCACTCAGATCAGAAAGATTTTGAACCAGTTTGCCGACATCGAACCGCGATTCTGCAACTAACTGCGGGAGGCAGGAATGATACATCCACATCAACCTCTGCGCACTTTCTGACAACAAGGCTGCTTTGGTAGGATCGCCCTGTTTTGTTGCCTGTCCAGAAGCAAAAGCTACGATGACTTGGAACTCGGGGACTCGATGGCGGACCTCTCGTTCAAGATCGCGCTGTAGCTTTGCCCATTGTCCATCCACCTCGTCTTCCTCCAGTGTAGATTCAATTGTCCGAAACACATCCAACACCCGACGGTACTTGACCAAGCATTTGGAGAGTGCCAAGGCAGTACAGTGCTGAACGAGTCCGCTTGCCTGCTGGAGACCTTTTGAGAAATGGGTTTTGGTGCCAACCGAAGGAAAAGTATTTTCCAGGACAACAGACAGAGGCGGGGGTGTGGGATAGTACAATACACCGTTTTCTGAGAGAAATGAGTCGGTAGGGATCGGTAGAGCCAGCACCGAGGAAAAGAAAGAGACGTTTGCGATCCATTTAGAGGACAAACGAGGCTCGAGCGTTAGTCCAGCTGCTCCCCAATAGCTGTTATGAATTATGAGGCCATGTGAAGATGGCTGTAGGGATTTTTCTTACCCTGCTACTAGTTCGGGACAAGCACCCATTATCTTGAGCGCAAGTTCTTGCTGACGAGAGTCTTCATTGACCTTCAGTGTTTTCAAGACATTTGACAAGATCTTGTTATATATTTTGCCAGTCTTGGCCCGAGAAGAACCGTCCTCTTCGTCGTCGTCCTCAGACTTTCGTGGATACCATCCTCTATCCTTGAAGCAAATGCCAATTCCCGGACGAGTACATATCGCAAGCAAAAAATGGTGTGCGATGTCTGCTGGTATGTTGCCCGGCTGATCGTCTTCGGGAGCAACGCGATCATAAATCTTGAGAAGCTGCTCACAAGAAGCGAATCAGCCAGGCTCATGGCGGGCGAAGTGGAAGCCTGCTCACGTGCGCCACGGTTATCTCGCCAAACAGCCCGATTTTGAGTGTCCGCTTGAGCTTTAGGTCCATCCATATGCCGCCCCAACACAGTTCCAACACGCGCCGGACGACGACAAACGGATCTTGGGTCAGACCACGGAAGATGGAGAAGAATGCATCACGGTGTTGTTCTAGGAAGAGTGTCTTGACAGTGGCGAGCGTGTCCTGTTCAATAAACGACAGACAGAAGAGCATGTACGAAGTTCGGATGTCTGCTCATAGCTGGGTCTGGGTACGTTTTGGGGAGTGTATTGCTCACCTGGCTTGGCGAGAGCATCGGAAGAGTCATCTCCTTTCGTTCGACGTCTCATGTTGAGCAGCTTAGGAAGCGACTGCCCAGTTTCTTAGTTTGCGGTCAATGGCCGTGGCAATATACGCACTTTTGTCTCCCAAGCAAACGACTCGAGCAGTGCTTTCCGCTCTTTTCCACGCCCAAAAGCCGACATGGCGTTGAATAACTTGAGAGTAACGAGGAGTAACTCGTTGTGCGTTGCACCGAGATACGAGTTGAGTCTCTTCATCCATGGCGGCGAGATGAGTGTCCGAAGAATCGGGAGACCCGATGCGTGGAATGTATAATGGCTGTTGAAAAGGGCGAGCAACGAGGAAACCAGCGAAACAACGGGCACTATCGTTCCGGGCTGCCTAACATTAAGTTGCTCCCAAATAGTGAACAGCTCTGATGCTCCAGGAGAAGAATCGAGCCATTGTTGAGCGAGGAGAAGACGGGAATCGGTAGTTGCGATGAGGCCATCGCTTGGCCAGACCGCAAACTGGTTCCGTAGATTGACGAGAGCTGAAAACGATGAATGAGTTATCGTGGTGGTTCGGAACGCAGCCGGATTTACCCGAGGTAGGGTCAGCTGCACTCAAAGCCGCGCGGATATCGCTGGCCGACGTGTAGTTCGTGTGGTGGACTGTCTTGACGCGCTTCTTGGGCCGCTCAGGGTTGGACATCCAGAAAATTTGTGTGTGACCGTGACATCATCAGCTATTGATCGCCGCGTCCAACGCGCTCAGGGATTTACAGTTCTTTCACACCAGAATGACACCACACGAGGCGAAGAATGCAGAATGGTCTCGAACCCTGCACGCGCACAGAAGCGTGAACTCTATAAATACACAGCCCACAGTCACATCTTCTTTTCTTCAGCCATGTCTCACCAGAAACTCGTCGGACAACAAGCCCCTGCCATAACCCTCCCCAACTACGATGGCGAAAGCTTTACGCTGACTCCGGGAGCAAAGGGAATACCCACCGTACTGTTTTTCTATCCCAAGGCTGGTATGTTACGTCCTCGGCTTGCTCCCTTAACACTCAACCACACCACAAGGTTCTTATGGCTGCACCAAAGAGGCCTGTCAATTCCGGAACGCCATCGCAGGTCGGCTTGTCCTCTTTTCTTTGTCTTAGGTTAATACTAACGTCGACAGAGAAACCTACCTTCCATACGGACAAAGTCGAGATCGTTGGTATCAGCCACGACACTGTTGAGAAACAGAAGGCGTTCGTGGAGAAGAACAAGCTCACAGTACAGCGCTTTACGCTTCCGGCTCTCCATATGCTCAAACATCCAATAGTATCCTGTGCTCAGCGACACAAATGGCGAGGCCACCAAGGCGTACAACGTTGGCAAGGGTCTATTTGGGTTGGCTGAGGTTGCTCGCGTAACCTTCATCGTCGACGGTAAAGGCGTAGTTAGGTGAATTTCCTCGACAAGGGTTTACGGTACAGATGCTGATGAGTTCCAGGGATTCCGTCGAGGGCACACTCAACTATGGCGCACACTCTAAGTTCGTCGCTAAGTGGCTGGAGAAACTGGAAGCAGAGAAAGAAAAGCCTGCTGAAGCTGCGACAGAACCGACGGAAACGACAGAGCCTGCCCCCGAACCTGCCGCCGAGCCTACGGTTACCGCTTGAGAAGATTCACGACATTCATGACCGCCTACTCTTTTCGCCTAATTAGCTATGTAGTTCTTTCTTTCTTATCACATCCACGCACATCGGGTTCAATTGGACGCTATCCACACAGAATTGTGTCTGTAAGCAACAACACGGCCAGCGCGTATAGTCGTTCGAACGTAGCCAGGGTTAAGCACCGCCAATTGTGTTGTGGGCGTTCCGTGCAAGACGACAAGATTAGCGGGATCGCCGACAGATAATGTCAGATCTTTGTAAGCTTCTGTCTCTCCAATCGCTTCTTTGGAGGTCAATGTCACTGCTCGCTAAAAGAAATATGTCTGAGTATGCACCTCTATCGAGTCGACTACACACCAATAAGGTTTTCAAGTCGTTCGGCGTTGCTGTTTGAAACAGCGCGACGCCAAAAGTGCAGAGTGATAGTGGATCGACTGAACCCTGAGGCGTAAATGCGTTTTGCACGTTGTTGACCGCCATTGCAATCTGGATGTTGTGTTGAGCCGCGATTTGTGGAATGTGCAACGTTCCTCTAGGCGCCCCTAACGGAGAATCACCACGGCCCATCATATACATATCGCTCTGGGGAAGGCCGACAAATGTTATCGGGAGGCTTCCCATGGCCGAAGTTAGCTCCTTCCATTCCTCTGGTGTGAAGAGCTGCAAACGCGTGGCATGTCCAACGGTAATTTTCAGGGCAGGGGGCCACGAGAGCTGCCTTGCTTGTTCAATGACGTTAAAGATAAGCGGTTCGGAAGTCGGATCGAGGTTGTAATCGAGATGAAAATCGACATGGCACCGATGCTTCAGCGCCAAGTTGAGAATCAGACCAATGTTGAGCTTTGCTTGCGCTAGCGTGGGTTCCACATAGGGAGCTGAGCCAACAACTTGGAGATCGTGCGTTTCAAGGGCACGGACAAGCAGCGAGTAGTTCTCCCCAGGATCGACACTTTCAGTGTCATCGAATAAAGGCTCCTGCGCAAATGCAGCTAGCTGGACATCGCAGACGTCACGGAAATTAGTGGCCAACTGGACACCTTGCTCAACACACGAGAAACCAACCGCTCGATCGACCTCTACAAAGGCCCGCATTGAGGTCACACCACACTCAACGCTATCACGAATGAGTTTGTGGCCCCGTTTGTAAAGATCGCTGGGCTCAAAGGCAGCTTTCGCCTGATTGGTGACTTTCAGCGCTTCGGAGAAGTCTCTAGGGAGCGGTTTGGGTGTGGCTCTACGCCAGAAAGCAAGTAGGCAAACCCAGTAACGAGTTGACAGCGGTCCAGGATGAAGCATTTATCAAGATGGATGTGAGAATGGCAGAGCGATGGCAAGACGATTCCCCCATCCGCAACGACGTCGGCAGCTAGGTTAGTGGTCTCTTCTGGTTGGATAGACGATATTCTTCCATTCTTGCATTCGATGTGGTACAGAACAGAGTCGTTCGCTAATCGTGCGTGGTTGATGGAGAGCATCATAAGCCTTGGTGTGTCAGCAACTGGAAACCACGGTTGCTCTCCGTCCTATTTTTGTCCTATTTCCCCCGCTGCGTCTTCTTAAAAGCCCGGCATGGGGCAACCTTCTTCCCAGCCAGAATGTCGTGTCCCAACTGCTTCACGGGAGAGCTGCTCGATGGCGAGCCAACGGGAAAGACCTCTGAGGTAGATGGCGCTGCGTATTTCGCGCCAGGTCCAGAAAACGCGACCTCCAAGCGCGCCATCATCTTGCTCACCGATATATTTGGACTCCCGCTCAAGGTAGTTATTATTTTCAGTGTCATGTCACTCTAACCTTTCCTCCTTTCAATCGTCAGAACTCCAAAATACTCGCAGACAACTTTGCTAAATGCCTCGAATGCGACGTCTACGTTCCCGACCTCTTCGCTGGCCACCCACCGGTGACCGTCCAGCAGCTATCCGCGCTGCCAGAGAAAGCTGGCGTGAAGCTTGGCGTTGGAAAAATCGCCCAAATCGTGTGGAAAGTGCTGCCCAGCATCCCCGCCATGATTCGCAACAAACCGTCGGCCGGTGCTGCCCGTGCCCTTACCGCAAGTGACGTCTCCCATCGTTAGTCTCCAATTGAATTTCCTCCAGTTCATCAACAAGCTTCAAGAGACCAAGCATTATGAGAAGCTCGGTGCCGTAGGGTAGGTACTATCAGCTCCCTTTCCCTTGTCTCATCCTGCTCCAGCTACTGCTATGGTGGCGGCGTCGCTGTCCTATTAGGCTCCCAACATCCAGATCTTCTCAGCAGCATTGTCCTTGCCCATCCGTCAAATCCTACTGACGCCAACGTCCTCGCTATCAAGGCTCCCACCGCTTGGGCTTGCTCTGAAGGCTAGCGATTTGGTTGTGACTGCAGGAACTACCACTGCTGACATTCCCTTAGAGGATATGGGAATCAAACCCGCTCGTCTCGAGCAGCTCAATGCACTGTATAAAGGTCGAGAGGGCAAGGACAACTTTGTCGAATACGAGTTTACTGTCTATCCCGGTATGTTGTCGCTGTTCGCTTTCTCCAATCGACTGAAGTTATCACAGGCACTGGTAAGCGCATCATCACAGTCCTTTGGATACTTGAATAACATCTGCAGCTCATGGGTTTGCTGCTCGGCCCGCTCTGAAGTTCCCAGAAGTCAAGGAAGGGTTCGAAAAGGCCTTCCAACAGACAGTGGGCTGGTTCAATAAGACAATTCCCCATGATACCCGTACTTTTATCCTATGCAGTAGTAAGTGAACTAAGTGAACAGCATAACAGTTGTTTTCGGTGATCAACACGACGAGCGCGACAACACTCGGCGGTGCTATGACTATTAAAAGAACAAGCGCGAGAATCGAGAGCGTCTGCGAAGCTGATGAGACAAGGGTGAGGAAGGACATTCCCGCTGCGACCAAATGAAGGACAAGTATCTGAACCTCAGCCAAGATCTGTCGAATCACATTGATAATGGTGAGACCTCCACCAGAGGTGCATCGCTCAGGTTTACTTATTGTTCTCTTATAGAATTATTGGCTCACTTGCGGAAAGTAAAAGGTAGATCCCTGAGGCTCTATCTCAACCAGAAGCATTCGAAAATATCACTCTGGCGTTTCCTGGCAGCTCTTGCTTAGCGCACAAACTTCGCGAGCATTGGAAGCATGAACACAAAGTCTTATCGTCACCGAGTCAGGCCGCTCGTTTGTTATCGCTTGTTTATGGCTATTTATCCTCTTCCCTTCTATTTAACGCGATTGCGGTCCAAGCTTTAGGCAACAACATGAGCTTCCAGTACACCGTTTACAAAGGCTCTGCTGCTGGTCACATTGTCGAGGCGGTTACCCAGAGCGATGGTCCAACCCCTACGCAGGTCAGAATCAAGATCACGCATTCCGGTGAGCACCATCTTGAACCAGGAAAGGTCGCTGAGGCACGGCGAGGTATATGTGGGACCGATGAACATTAGTCTGTCTTGTTCTTCAACGCAGGCTGCCCTTACCAGATTCTATTAGCAAGCACGCCGATACTTATCAATATCCTTCCAGTGATTACCCACTTTGAAGCCTCTGTGAAGCAATTTCCACATGAAGACTCGGATTATGCGCGACATATCTTTGCGTCTTGTCGCTTTCCAGATTGTTCTCTCGGTGGTGGTCGTATCTTCTCGCGACTCGATCGTGTTCTGCGCTTTGGACATGCTTTCTCTCACCTATTGAGGGCTGTAGCCCGGTCCCGCCATATTTATTTCTTCTGATTATTTTGTAGGCCGTTGACTGTTTGATTGCCTGTAGTTTGACACCAGGGAGGGCTAGGTCAGGTCTCACTTCCATGTTAATTTCGTCTTTGGGAGTTTGTGTTGCACCGAGGCCAGCTACTATAGCATGTCAGCCCCTTCATTTCCAGCATGGCCTTTGGCCCATTGGAAGGTTGTCTCTGCCCTGCACTCTCTGATCCTTGACATCGTCGCGCATGCCAGATCGCTGTTTTCTACGAGCAACAATCCGACATCTTCCCAGTTCTGTAACTTCTTCGTGAGGCCGTCGATTGTGTACCTTGAGTCACTGATGATATGTAGGGGCCCGCCGGGGCGGTCGATGGGGCACATCTCCGCGGCCTCTTTTACTGCCGCCAGCTCTCCGTCGGAGTCCGACCTGGTTAGATGGCGAGAGTTGGGCTGGGATTCTCAATGACCTGTTCCTTGGGTCGTTTTCCCCAAAGAAGATGCCAGATCCGGCCTGCATTCCGTTTTTTAAAGCTGACGGGCCGCTCGCGGGTATGTCTAAGGCCATTTTTGCTGTGTTCCGCGAAGACGCGGAATGTGTCTGCTATGGATCCTCGTGTGGTGATTTTCCGGTTGAACGGGATGACGTTCTCGTCGAGTGTGGGCAGTATGTCGTCGAGGAGCTCCTCTGTCGTCTCCAGCTGGGCCATTCTAGGGTCCCATTTGTCTTGGATGGTGTGCAGCATATCTCTCGCCTTCTCATAGCACTTATTTGGGTGTTTGCATTTAGATATCGTCCGTGTTATCTGACATGACGCACATCTGCAATCGACTCTTGATGTGTGTCTGCGGGTCTGTATTTTGTTTGCCAGTTCTTCTGCATCTCTGACTGTTTTCACTCGGTGGTTTTCGAGTAGACATTGAACGGTCGATTTGGGGTATCGGAATAGTCGTCTGGGTCAGACTTGACTCGGATGTGGTGCCATATCGGCATGCCAGTGCTTCGTTGTATGTCGTGGGCCACTGCTATCGCTTCCATGCCTACATCATGGTCTCTGCTCGCTTTGATCATGCGCGCGAGGTCTTGCCCTACCTTGTTGGGCGACACTTTGGGTTCCCAGTGTTGAAGGAAGGGGCTTGTTCGTGTTTCCGAACTGCCAAGAGAGCTTTCCATTGACAAGTGAGAGCTTTCCGCAAACGACCATGTCCGCCGTTCAACTGTTTCCCCAGGTCCAAACACGCGCCATCTCGAGCTCTCCGTATGGACGGACTTCTGGAAAGGGCGAAGGCCCGTTCTGCCCAACCCAGTTTACTCAAATTTCCGCAACGCGATTCGCGCTGATGGGTCCTCATTTCTCTGGACAACCTTTCCGCGGTCCCTTATCTGCCTATACACTGGCACGAGACACAACAATCAATACTCTCTGAAATACCGCCTCCGAGCTCACTTGTAGATCTCATGCTGTCCATTTTAAAGCGCATTCCGCCCAAGGTTGCATGATAAAAAAGGGAGGAGCGAAAACGGCCCAAACCGGGTATATTCAACAAAGATATTGACACCACCGCAGACAATTAGACCAAGTTCCACAACAGCACGTCCGCACCCGTACCCGTCGCCATCAATCCAGCTCCAGTTCTGCGTGCAGCGTTTGGCTTCGCGTTTGGGTTCGTGCGCGCCGGGGCGGGGCCCGTTGCGGTGTTAGGCACGGAATTGCCCGAGGGCTAGGGTCCTTGAAGAGCCCGCCGACGTCACTTTCCCGGCTACGGACTCCGCCCACCCCTTCTTACTTCAGCGACTGACTATATGCGCCTCATAAATCACTTATAGTCATTAATTACCTTTGTGTCTTTCATTCCATCCTCCGTATACTTGTTACTGCCCTTCTCCTCATCAACTTCACACAAATAAAGACCACATCTCCATGGGATGCTTTTTGGAATGCAGGAAGAATTGGGACTGGGACTGGTCACAGAACTGTGTATTACACTCTAAATTATATCAAAGCATGCGAGTGAGGAAAGCACAATGGAAAGCAGGACAAGAAAACAAGAATGTGGGACAAGAATGCAGTGTCAACGATGGGTATGAAGAGATGATTGTGTCTGCGAGCAGACGCTAATGCTCGCTGCACGTAGCATGCCCCCTCCCGACTGTTCAATGACTAACTCGTTAAAGACGGATGGAACGACAGCATAGTTGTCCATGTGCTGGATTCGTATGGCCCAGAAGCCGTAGAAACCGATCTGAGTGGCGTAACCTGGGTGGCGAAACTGGAGCCCCTGTGCCCCAGGTGGCGCATTTACTGCTCCCCCGTCTTGAGCGAGCTTCATCCCTTCGATCACTCGCGCAGGTAGCGTATTGAGTGACGTATAATGTTGTGCGCTTTGTGGGTGAAGGATGTAGTTACTGGAGATAGGAGCGTGAAAAGGGTATTGGCCGCGTCGGAAGACGGCAGCGGAGAGTGAGGTTGAGTTGCAGATCTGCCAGGACCCTCCGACGAGAGTCTGTTCATAGATTAGCCCCGTCCCAAGGCCGATGCACAAAAATATCAGCTCCCGAGTTGGACCCTGAGCATTTTTTGCCAATACAACTTTTCGGAACTGTCCAGGATGACGAAGAGATATGGACCCTCGCAAACCATTCCGCACCCGCGGAACGACGGGGCCAGCCATCAAGTTCGGACCAGGGAAGGGACCCGGGCTCGTGTACGGAAGATGAATGTTCATCTTATCGCGTATGTGAACATTTCATCGATGTGATTCTGAATAACGGTAGACTCACGGTGTTCGGAGATAAAAAAAAATTATGGGCGTCACGTGGGCCCAGATGATGATGAGTCGTTGCCTTGTGACCACGCTGTGACCGCCCCTCCTTGTCCTCCCATGCCTAAGAAGAAGTCCAAGGCTTCCCGCCAGTCGCGTGCAGTGCCCCAGCCCAAATCTTCATTGTCCCAGAGCCCCATGCCCGACCCTTTCGCTCTCGACAAGATGCTTGATGCATTTACTGAAGAACAATGGCGGGAACTCATACCAGAAGTCGTTGACGAAAATGCACTCAATCCTGTGAGTGGCACTTGGACTTTACAGCTAAACAAACCGACATTCTCGCATTAGAACTTCGAGACGCCCGATCGCACTCGCGGACATGGGTGTATCATCAACTTCCGCGATGCACCATTCATCGCTGTCCTCTGGACAAACCCCCGAGCACAGGATGAAGGAGTATGGCTTTGCCACTATGCTTACGATGGAAAGCCCACCGAGCCTGTTTCTCTGCGCGAGATGTACTTGAAGGATTGGCACCCAGCATATTACGATGAGGATCTCCAGTGGACGTCTGATGCTTCCTTGGGCAAGGTTCCCCATGGTGAACTTGATCAAGTTTAGCACCTTGCTTTTCTGACTTATCATACCATAGAATCATGGAAAACTTTTCCTGTCTCGTGTGGCACTGTTCTTGCCCTCGAGCACCAAAACAAACTATATTTCGGTCGGTCTGTGGTTCCAGCAGCCTTGATGAACCCACGCTTTTCTCCTTTGTGCGTTTTCGACCAGGTCCCCACTCCCTTTCCCCCTGACATGTAAAACTTGGCGTTGTTCTCTTTTGTTCTTCTATATTGGTCAACGTTTGTTTGTAATTGTACGAACGAAGCAAAGCAGTAGACTCAAACCCTCCAATTGAAATTCTTCTTTGTCCATCTCAGTGTAACTGTGGCGAATAATATGCCAGTATCACGGTAATGCATCACATCCATATGCCGCCCCAACACAGTTCCAACACGCGCCGAACGACGACAAACGAATCTTGGGCCAGACCACGGAAGATGGAGAAGAAATCACGGTGTTGTTCTAGGAAGAGTGTCTTGACAGTGGCAAGCGTCTCCTGTTCAATAAACGAATGTACAGCCGCGCTAACAGTACAAAAGACAAGATATTACCGCCAGCACCCAACAAACGCAAATATTACGAATATTACCTGCTCTTTTCTGGTTCCTCAAGCTCATATTTCAACAGATATGGCCTTGGGACATGAAGGCGTCGGAATCGTCGGAATCGCCGAGCAAGTCGGCAGCTAGACTCGAGACCAGTCGTTATTGAAATCACGTTCAATAACGACTGGAAGAAGAAGAATATATCCTAATTGTCGTCGTTCGTTGGCTCGCGATTGATGGGTTTTTAGTCGGAAGTCAGCCCCGGGGGCGCTGCCCCGAGACTACATGATGAAATTGGCAGACGGCGAGCGGTATGGAGGAGCCGATATGGGTTTACATGAGAGTATATAAGTAAAGTGATTATATATGGATGGAAAGAAAAAGGGTGTGGAGTGAAACGGGGTGGGAGCGCAAAAGTACAGCTGGCGAGACAGAGTGAGTAAGTAGATATAGAAGCAATGCAAGCATACCTGGCGAGACAGAGTGAGGTGCTGATGTCCTCTCCGTCGTCGCCAGGTAGCTTATAGGGAGCGGGAGACAAAGTAATGCGCCGCTGCATTGTCTTTGCTCTAAGCGGGCTGACCGAGCTTGTCAGGATTCACGGCGCTGCGTGAAAGCGGATCACGTACCCAAACGAGCAAGATGCGACCCAGCAGCTCGGGTTCTTGCTCGCCATTCCCGCTTACGACCTGTCGAGAAGGTGGGGAATGTGGGTGAGAAAGCGATTGCGTTGCGTAACGCTGTGCTCACCTCCAATTAGACTTGAGTAAACACGAGTTTAAACTCGACTAATTGTCGTCGTTCGTTGGCTCGCGATTGATGGGTTTTTAGTCGGAAGTCAGCCCCGGGGGCGCTGCCCCGAGACTACATGATGAAATTGGCAGACGGCGAGCGGTATGGAGGAGCCGATATGGGTAATGGAGGGTAATGAAAAGAGATTTATGATGATGATGAGGGTCGGATACCGCTGCCGCCGGGCGCGTAGGAGTCCGTGTAGGACCGTAGGATGTTTGCGCAAGTAGACTTGGAAAGCCTCTGATGACCAGCGCCCGGCTGCTTGGATGATGTGGGGAAGAGCACCATCTTCTGCAAGGTGGGTAGCTCCGCCTGCTCGGAGAGACTGGCCGGCGATGTTGGGGTTGGGGAAGAAGTGTTTTAGGCGTTTGATGAACCAGGCCCGTGGCGGTACTTGGCCGTTTTCCCGAGCCCACAGATAAGGGTTGAAAGGCAGTAGCCGGTCGCGAGAGTCGAGATAGAGTAAAAAATACTTCAGGGCAGCTTGGTCTGCAATTATGATGCGGTTACCTTCAAAAGCGACATCAGCTTTGTGTGCCGGAAGCCAGTACTCGTAACTCTCTGCATTCAACGTGACGGATTCGCGTTTCGTGTATTTTCGAGGATTCCGTAGTTTAGGGTTGTCAGGCATGGTCATTTCGCCAAGACGATGGAGCGCATGGAAGCCCGAGAGGAGAATGGCGAGGAAAAGGAGATCGTCATGGGTGGGTATGGCGGGTAAGCGGTCAATAGCAGTGCGTAGATGTCCAAGGGTCAAAGGGTCTTTCCTTTTGACAGCCTGGCCATGGATGCGTTTGCAGCCCTTCAGAGCGCGAGACACGAGAACACTTCTACGCATCGCGCGGACTTGGGGGAAAACGGCTTCGAGCTGATTGCAAATACCTGACAAATATGAGTCGACAGAGTTGGGGTTGATGTGTGTCGAAGCGATATACAACGAAAAAGGCCAGGGTTTTTTCTGTGGGTTCTGTTGGGAATTGGTTGATACGACAAAACTCGATCCAAGAGTTGAGTGCCGATCCGTAGGTGTGGGCTGACGAGATGTCAATTGAGGCGTTGAGGGCGACAGCGAGTTCGCGTTCGAATCGCTCATGTGTCCAGGCTTCCCGAATGGGTTGCCTGGACGGGATAGTGGGTGTAATCATTGTTCGGGGGCCCCCAGCGCCTCTTGTGGGGGTATAAATTTGTTGATAACAAGTCCTGGAGCCAATTCTCGAGCAACGTCGAGACGGCCGCGGGAGAGAGCATCAGCTACGGAATTGAGTTCGCCAGGGATATGCAGCACGCGCAGGTCGACATTGAACCTCAAGAGGTTATCTACTGAGCTGCGTAAGATGGTGTTGTACGCCGGTGTTGCGCGCGCAGTGTGCTGAAGATACTAACAGTGTTAGCATTGTCAGTGAAAATTGTGATGCGGTATCGTGTTACGCAAGACGTGTGTATAAGAACATTGCGACAGTGCCAGTTCAAGGCACAAGCAACACATAGTGCTTCATAGTAGAAGATGATATTGCTGGGGGTCTCGCTCGGAACGGGTGCGTGGAAACCTAGCAAGTGCTCAGGTAACCAAAAACCCATGCCGCCGAGGGATGCGTCGCAGTACATGGTGGCAAAGGCTTCCGTATGTGGGTTCCAATCTAATGCATCAAGCAGCAAGGTGCTATTAGATCGCTCAAGGTGATTCACGAACCATGCGAGGTCGGACTTGATAGCCTTGTTGATATAAATTTGAGCATGCGCGTTGGACTTTCCCGACATCTTGTCATACATATTTGAGAGAGCGGGTCGAAGTAGGAAGAACATGTTGAAGGACCAGTTAATCCACCCGGCGAGGCATTGAAATTCGTGAAGTGTGCGGCGACGAGAGACGGCGATGCAACGAAATCAAGAACAGCGGCGATGAGATCGGCTTTCGCAGAGGGCGGCAATGTCATAGTCATTGCGTTCGGATCGATCTCGAAACCTATGATGGTCAGCGAAGTGCCATGGAGCTGTTTCTTCTCCTTATGAGGGATGCCGAGAAGATCCCAAAGTCGGAGGAGTTTGACCTGTTTGGCAGGCATGGACTTATGGTAGGGCTCATAATAGAGGAGATTGTCGCTGTATTCCCACCCATAAGCATCGTCAACGTAGCAGAACAAGTCTACGATGGACTTGACGAATATGGCAATCCAGATCACGAGCCCCATAACGGACGACCATATCCTCGGTGACCCACAACTCCCAAACGTGCAACACCAGTCAACATTGCGCTGTAGCGCGCCATTGTCTTTCCCAGACAAAACCTCAGCCTTGGTTGGGAAGTTGCTTGTCGCCACTTGCTTGATCTGCATAAGTGGGTGCAAGGGTATGAGTCGGAATGCTTCAGAAACATCGGACTTGAAGAGCACAATATGCGCATGAGGCTCTTGACGACGGAAGCGAAGCAGTGCGGGGATAAACTGCTGCATCGTGTCCATCCGTGGACCTTTGGTTTGCAGTTTGTCAACCATCGTGTTTGGCGCGAACGGCCCAGCGCTCTGGTGCGAGACTAGACGGAGATCTTCGCTATGAGGCTTTGGGACCGCAAAAATTGGGGTGCTGTACATGCCGGGGAGCAGGTCCGGGCCAAAGGTGCGTGAAAACCGACCCTTTGCGACCTCAAGGTTGCGCTGACTCGCAATGAAGTCCCGTTCGCGTTCAGACGGTGGTGGAGCCCAAGAGTTGTCCCAAGTGGATGGGTAACCAGAATCATGGTGCGTGTTAATCCACGGCCAGAAACCCTCACGGAGGCCGGTCAATACTGAGCGAACAAACAGTTGATTGGGGTGGCGACCTAGCAGGGCTTCGAGGCGGTCAACCCGTATAACTTGGGGAACTTGAAACAACTCGGGGTTCTCCAAAATGGTGCGCATGGCCGACGCGTTGGAGAACTCATGTGGAGATGGACGAGGAAGTGGCTCGTCAGTTTCGGTATATCGGGCAGTTCGGCTATATGACGCTTGCTCAAATTCTCTCCAGCCCATTCCTCGCATGAATTGCGGGAGGTAGCAAGCCACAACTTCCTCGTCATCTCCCAGTTGCTCCGGCGCAAAACGATGCAGGAGTGTATCATGACCACTCCTAGGCGCGCAGGTTACGCTTATCCGGGCACTCTTCGGCTGGATGATTCCCGTGGCACTCGAGGCAGACATGGCGGTAGCGACAGTGCGCAAGGCTGCAACGCTTTCGGTTGAAATTCTTGCAGATCTCAACAGGTCCGCCTCTCCGTCGTTGACTGCTGGACGAGCGGTCGCGCGCACTGGACTGGTGCCTTTCAATTGTTTGCGCGACATAGAGTCCGGTTTCGGCAAGGTGAGCGTGTCTGATCTCGTGCAGAGTTCCAGCGTCATCGAGCAGCAGCCGTCGGGTCTGTCCGATGTAGACGCGGAGGGCACGATCATACTTGAGGACGCGACTGTGGTAGACCTCGTGAGTACTTGCGAAGGCTGCGTTGATGAGACGGTAATAGGTTTGGAGTTCTGTTGCTCGCCCTTGGAAAGCGCTGTTGACGGCCTCCGAATAGATCCAGAAAGCTGTGTTCCATTGGGCAGCGGTGGTGATGGTTGAGACCACTTTAGGTTTCCGAACCTGAACATCGAAGCTGGTCTCGCCGAGAACCAATTCGACTGGTCTCTCTGGCTCGGTCGCATAGGTGTTGGCACGAATGAGGTCGAAGTCGACATATTGGTCGAGGAGTACTGGTCTCCAGAGGTTGGGCGGAAAACTCGGCATCCAGGGTGAGGTGTGAGCATGGCGAATGGCCTCCTTGATGTCCTCAGAGTAGACTTGGACTCGGGCAGATACAAGGAGGACCTTGGCCGGTATGATGGAGTCGAGGAACTCGTCAGTCGCGCCGGACGGCCTGAAGAAAGCCGCATAGTCGACTCTTTGACGCTTAGGCGCCGACTCTTCCTCGCCGAACTGTTCTCGACGACGGGTTCCGAGACCTCCACTGGAGTTGTCGAGGCCATCTGGTACAACTCTCCGTTGGTTATCGATCGCGTCCAGTTGTTCCAAGCAAGGTCGGAGTATTGCTGATGAGAATTGGACGTTTTGCTCAATGCAGGTATTATGGAGCAGGACGGTGAGTTGGTAGGTAACCTCTGTGCGATCAGCTCTTCCCTCCTCGTAGGACTTGACCCAGGCGTCGACAGATGCTTGCTGCTGGGGCGTAAGGGTGTATGGTGGTTGTGCATGATCAGTCATATGAGAAATAGATGGAATAAAGTTTGTTTATTCAGAGAGCGCAAAAGTACAGCTGGCGAGACAGAGTGAGTAAGTAGATATAGAAGCAATGCAAGCATACCTGGCGAGACAGAGTGAGGTGCTGATGTCCTCTCCGTCGTCGCCAGGTAGCTTATAGGGAGCGGGAGACAAAGTAATGCGCCGCTGCATTGTGTCTTTGCTCTAAGCGGGCTGACCGAGCTTGTCAGGATTCACGGCGCTGTGTGAAAGCGGATCACGTACCCAAACGAGCAAGATGCGACCCAGCAGCTCGGGTTCTTGCTCGCCATTCCCGCTTACGACCTGTCGAGAAGGTGGGGAATGTGGGTGAGAAAGCGATTGCGTTGCGTAACGCTGTGCTCACCTCCAATTAGACTTGAGTAAACACGAGTTTAAACTCGAATAATCACCGGTAGTCTGGTGGTAACCACGTCCCAATAGCTGGGATCCTGCGTTATTATATAATCACCCGTTTTGGAAATGCACGTGCCTCTCGATATGCTGGGCCCCCACGCGACGTGGATAAAATGGACGTGTCAATCAAGTTAGAGCTGTTGAATTTCTACTCTGCAGGCCTACTCCCCAGTTTTACATCTCTCAAAGTTGCAGAAAATGTAAGAATCGACTTGAGAGGACTAGTCACGTGCCTATGGACAAGATCATGAGTCACTTGATGAGGTAATATAGTCTTGACGCTAAATATGGCCAAACACCTCTGGAAGGCTTTTGCAACAAGAATTTAGCATAAAGTTAGGGAATCTACACCCCCCCAGCCACTAATCATAGGCTCAAGCCACCTCCAATGCACTCAAACGCGTCGATAAGTGAGTGATTGACAGATCAGCTGACTGATATTATCTAATAATGCTTGACAGCCTCACATCAGCGTGGTAACCAACAGACCCTATTTTCTCGTAGGGAGTTTACGACCGCCATGATATTGGGTCTGTAAAAGAGACAAAATCACCGGTGGCTTGGTGACAACGGCATTTCGGCGGTCGAGTTTCCTGTACATCCGCACTTTTTCTCTTGGATTTTCGATTTTTTTGTACCATTCGATAGCCCTCGAAAATACAAGACTCGTGATGTTTTTATTTTTGCGTGAATGTGAGTATTGCGTGTGCTACAGAGGAAAAAGTCCCGATCCGGCCTGTCAGCGCCGAGATCACGGACCGAAACCACCACTTGGCTTGCCCCACCACCTCAATGCCTTTCGCGAAGCGGTCGCTGGAGTCCTCTGACTTCAATGCTACCTACACGCCATCGCCTCATCGAGCTGGCGGATCATCGTGCTTGCCCTTTGATTTTAGCCGTTGGGTGCTGGCATAAGCGAGCCTAGTCGGCAGCGCTGTCACTCAATTCAAACCTGGCGATGTTGTTGGATGGTGGGCTATTTTTTTTGGCTGCTGTACACCGCGGCCTATGACTAAGCGCTCAACAGGTACATCCACAAAACCTGTGGGATATGCGACTCTTGTCTGCAAGGCCAGATTTTCGGATTTCGCCTGATGCCGTTCTGACTAGGATGCAGGCTACGATTAATATTGCATTGATAAGGGTATGCGTTGTTGAGTTTTAATGGGTCTTGGCTAATGATCCCCTCAGAGGAATATAGAACCCACGACTTCCACCAAGGCTCGTTCGGAACCCACGCAGTTTGGGATCAGGACTTTTTATTCAAAGTGCCTCCCGGACTGGCACCGGAGGCAGCCGCTCCCCTAATGTGCGGTGGCGCAACCGTGTTTGGCGTCATTGAGGCGTATAACATCCGGCCAACGGACCGGGTTGGGATAATCGGTATCGGTGGCCTGGGTCATCTTGCTATTCAGTTTTTGGCCAAAATGGGCGCCGAAGTCGTTGTGTTCTCCAGCACCGACTCGAAAAAGGAAGAAGCCATGCGCTTAGGCGCTACCGAGTTTGTTGCAACCAAGGGGAAGGAAAAATTCGAGGGCGTTAAGCCAGTTGATCATTTAATCATCACCGCGAGCTTTCAGATGGACTGGAAACCGTGCGTTGGTCTTCAACATGTCAACATCTGAATCGCATTCATGATTCTGACAGTTATATTGCTGTACTCAAACCACAGGCCACAGTCTACCCCATCACGATCACGTTTGATGACCTAACCATTCCAATTCTGCCCATCGTACTTTGCGGCATCAACATCCAAGGTAACGACCATCTTTCACTCGCCATATAAAAATTTTCATGGTACTCTAGGCACTGTAATCGCCTCTCGGTCAGTTCACAAGAGGATGTTTGTCACGGATAAGACCCGGCCCGTCCGCTCCGGCACTGGTGTCAGGCCATTGCGGGCCCGCAACACGCAGCACGTGACGACGGGGAACATGCGCCCCAGTAGGAGGAACGCACACGTGGGGGAGCACGTGACCGAGAACGACACATCGAGCCGTCGCCGAGCCCAACTCGACACAAGGGGACTGGGGAGGAGTGCTAGGAGGTCAGGAGTAGCGCCTGGCCCGCAAGGGATGTACGATCGTCCCCTCTGCGGCCAGGAACGGGAGCGAGGAGGAGGAGGAGAGGCCCGGGTGTCCGATCACCCCCTTTGCGGGCCCGCGTATATAAGGCGCGATAGTGTACCCTGTACTCTATCGCTTAGATTGTCTGAAGAACTACCTTACTCCGTGCGAGGAGACGTTATCGACTCATCGGGCCCGACACGACCCGATTCGAACCATCGACCACCGACTACGGCAAGGGACCGAGTTCACGGGCCCTTTCGGTTTCGATCTACCCCGCCCGCCCGTACTTGCGGGCCCGACTACCCGTCTGTTCTGTTCCGGGTGCGCGTTCTTAGGAGAAGTCCTTGCACGGCCCGACCCGCAGTCTGACAATGTTGGATTTTGCTGCAAGAAATGGAGTTGCGCCAATCGTCAAACTCTTCCCGATGTCATTGAGTGGGGTTGAAGCTGGCATGAAGAAACTCAGGGAAGGAAACATGCGATATCGAGGTGTTTTGGTAGCGGAATAAAAAGGTTATGCGTGTTTAGTCGACACTAGGTCTCATCATCGCTCAAGTCTGTCATAGAGACCGATCCAAATCTTTGATCGAAATTGGCCTTTTGATTTTCTACAAACAAAAACTGTAAGTGGCGACGAGGGTCAGGAAAGAACATACGACGGAAGTCCCTGGAAAGAAAAAAAAATCTGGCTGATCGGGTAAGCGTCCGTTCTGGAGTAAAGCCAAATCCCAAGGCTTTTCCATGCATCGATGTAGACCTCTCGACTGATGTCTTTTGGTCGAATATCCCTATATCCATCACCCCGAAATTTGGCTTGAATGCGCTGGGGAACATGAGGCACAGTGCAAGCAGGCAGTAAAAGCATACCCAGGCATTGCAGTCGTACAGGTCCGAAGTCTGGGCGCTGTTGTTGACTTTGGTAATGGACCGAAAGTAACGGTAATCTGCGTCTTCCTCTGTGCCATACCAGCACTCCTCGCGTTGGCGCTCTGGTATATTCTGATTTCATCAGCATCCAGTTGATTCTAGCCCAGACCTTGGAATTCAAGGCTTGTCGGAACGAACACCTCTTTCTTCAGCTTTCGTATTCTCTTGGGATCAATGTCTTGCCACACCGCGACGCGAGACTCCGGGAGGAGCTGTTTCCACTCCAGAGTGACTTGCGGCTTTGGGGGGTCATGTTTTCTTTCCGCTGCAGGGCGAACGACGTAGGCCTGAGGATACGATCCAAGAGCGAAAATGAGCAAAACTGTCGGCTTACGATGTTTTTGGCATTTGAGGGATAACCAACCACCGTCTTGTTGTCGGTTTTTTCCACTCCTAGGACACACCCTTCAAATTCGTAGTCAATCAACATTCGCGAACAGAACAAGTGCTTGTGTGTCAGCAGGCGTTCGTCACATTAGTTCGTCACGTGATAGGATGATCCCCGCTCGATATTAAATAGTACTCTCATCGTATGCAGTCGTGGGTTCATTGCCAGTGCTAATACAGTTCCAAATGCTGTGGTATTCCTAAAACTTGTCGTGTCTGCATTTGCTTCGTTAGCACTATTAGTAAATGAACACCAACACTTACTGCCGAACTCCGAAGCAGTAACAGGCTCTGGCTGAGAGCGCAATGACCGCCAACCACGTCAGAATCGCTGCTGAAAGCCCTAACCACGGCCCGTTGCCCCATTCAGCAGAAAAATGCAGCGTGGTGCCGAGCCGCGAGATGTTGTCCTTGGCTACCAGAACGACAGCGAGGTCGATGGCAAAGACGACCGTGCTCACTAGCGCCGTGGCTATCGAAAGAACGAGCGCAAGGATCGAGAGTGTGTGCGAAGCCAGGAAGAGTGATGAGATGAGGGTGAGAAAAGACATTCCCGCTGCGACCAAATGGAGGACGAGTACAACATAGAGGCTCTGCAGAACGACGTTGATGATTTCGGGGGAGACACCGGAGAGTGATATAATCGACTGGGGTATCGCGTAGCCAATTTGTGGCCCAAAACATTGTCCCTGAACATAGCTTCAACGTCTGCAGCCAAAAAAGGGACAGAGAACGCACAAAGTTGCTGAAAAACGTGGGCTGGAATCGCAGCCATTAGCGAGCAGGCTTGGGTCCAGCCACAACACGACACAAACCTGCCTGAGAGAACTACCGCCACATTCAGCCATAAAATAGGGGGGAAACAAAAAAAAAAAGTAATACTCACCTACTTGCACAAACGCCCCACACACCAAACCGTAGCTCAGTCGCTACAGACGACACGGGCTGCCTACCGGGGCGTGTCAATAGCCCGCGTCCATTCTTATCCCAAAACGCACCCCGTCCGCGTGGAGAAAACTCTGAGGATATATATTGGCTTGATTATCGAGAGGGAGAGGCCGACGAGGAGCGAGAAAAGGGCCGCGAGGAAAAGCAGGCCGATGCAGACATAGGACAAGACCCGGTATGCTGCTAACGGCTTGTGGTGGGGCTTGACCATGTTGCGTTCAACCGCGTCAAGTTAGGGGGCGCAGTTTGTCGCGAGGAGTCCTAAAAGGCGACAAACACAGCTGCCAAGCCCAAGTCGGTGGTCGTGGTAGAAGGACAAGCCAGCTGCCCCACTCAGGAAGTCTGGAAACATATCACGTCGCGATCAAAATTGGAATCGTGTGATTCGAGGCCAAATAAACATTATGCACTTGTGGCCCGCGTTTACTACGCCCAGCAAATAGAGTGGTAAGTACAGTTTACAGACAAATAAGGGTGATTTTGATAGGGAACAGTGCAGGATGGGGGAATTATGCGTGTCCAATGCTACAAGGAGAGTGTGTTTCGAAAGCGAGCGACAGCAAATGCAAAGGAAAGATAAGATTCAGACTTCAAGGCTGTTCTTGAACGGTTTTTAGTTCCACAATTAGACGCTGAATACGTGGATTAGAGAGCGGGAAACATATCCATCGGGTTAACTGACCTCGGCTTCTTTCAAGAGCGCAGGGAAGCTAACGTCAGGAGCTTCTCCCTCGCTCTTCTGACCTAAGCCAATACCGTATTGTAACAATTGAGCCATGTAGTGGGGCGTTATAATCGTCTCGTTGTCTTTAAGGGCTGGGGGCGGCGGTGGTGGCGGTGGCGGTGGGGTTGGTGGAGGAGGCGGGGTTGGAGGTGGTTCAACGAGGTCTAAAATAGATGCTTGATTAAAAAAAACACCAGGAAAATAGAAACACGCACGTTCCCTCATGTCCAGCCAATCGTGGGCCAGAAGTTCCGGAATTAACGATCTCTCTTTGGGATTCCTCTTCAAGCACTCCTTCATGCTCTCAATAACAGCCCGGCTGACCCGTTTCTTGAGATGTTCCGCTCTCTTTGGAGGTGTTGTGCCACTAGACGGCGAGGATGACTGTTTCATCTGACCAGGCAGAATGGGGGCGGTGTATTCGGGAAACGTGATCGCGTAGTCGTCGTTTGGTATGGCTTTCATCTTTTGGTAGACGGTCAGGTGTTGGAATGGGGGATGGCCGTATATCATTTGGTAGAGGATGCAGCCCAGAGACCAAACATCGCTTGACCTTCCAACTTTGAGACGTCGCATGCCCTCCGGAAGCTCTATCGCTTCAGGGCTCATGTAGTTGACTGTCCCAATCTAAGATTTCCGTGTAAGTAACCAAACAAAGAAAAAAGCAAGCATTCGCTGACCTGATGGTCGCGCTGAATATTGGTGGTGTCGTTTGCAATAGCATTCGCTATCCCAAAGTCAATGAGCTTCAGCTGGCCTTTCACCAAGACGAAGTTGGCCGGTTTCAAGTCAGAGTGTACGATCTTCTCCTCGTGGATAATATCAACGGCTTGGAGCATCTGTGAGAAAAGTCAACATAGTGATTCTCTCGGTAAGTTCTCTCCAGTACCTGCTGCCAGTAGTAGGCGACCCATACCATGTTGAGCGGCTCCTTCAGCTGCTCACTAATAAGCCGCGCAAAATCGGTTTCGCCACATTCCATGACCAGAAACAGATGGCCTTTACCGCCTCCAGGGCCAGCCTTCACTTCAGAGTCGATGAGGCGGATAATGCGGCTGTTTCCTTCGAGACGCTTCAACAGAGCGATCTCGTTCATGTATCCATTGAGAGTCTCTGCGTCCGTCCTGTCCAAAGACACACGTTTAATGGCGTATATGTCGCTCGCAGTTTGGTTGAGCACCCGGAAAACCCGGGATGTGCCGCCTTTGCCAATCATATCTAGTCGCTGATAGATCTTTTTGTTGACCTAATGGATAATGGTCAGCGTCGGCTCACTGGCGGTGACTATCAAAAGGTACAGACCATGAATGAACCACGTTGCTGCTGCTGCTGCTGCATGGGCATTTGGTACATTTGTTGTTGCATTTGCTGCTGTTGCTGGATTTGTTGTTGTTGCTGAATTTGTTGCTGCTGGGTTTGGTACTGGGCTTGTGCCGCCTGTTGTGAACGCCCTCGCTCCTTGTCGCGAGCATAGTCACGTTCCTTCTGACCATCCCAGTCCGGGCTGTCCTGCTCCGCAGTCCACGTCCGGGCGACAAGGGTCTGCGTGGTAGTGGGCACAAGTGTTGTCCCGCTGGTGGTCGATGGCTCTGGCGCTGTCCCGCTCCGACGATGTTTGGCAGCTGTAATTGAGGATGATGATGCTGAAATTTGCATCGCACGTGCCGAAGGGGAAAGTCTTGCAGCAGGAGGATTCGCAGTGGATGGAGAATTGCCTGAAGGGTGAGGAGCCGCAGAGCGCAAAGTATCTGAGTCACGCCGCCTGTGAACACCGTATGATGGGCGAGAATATGTCTGAGGGTCGTGGGTCGGGGAAGGAGATTGTTGATGCGTTTGTTCATCGTACCGCCCTGCAGCAGCGGTTAGATATCGTTTGTTTAATAGAGGGAAAACCCACGATCAGGCTCTTCGGATTCTGCACGATAACCTGAAAGAAAGTATCAGTGTCAGTATTGGACAAATGCCAAGTAGACTAACGCTTATGATCTTCAATAAGCACCCTCCTGGGACCGCTGCTACCACCTTCTGCGCTCGAGAAGCCCAAACTGGTCGTCGGACGTGAGGTAGAGGGATGAGCTGACGCTTGATAATGCTGGTAACCTTCATCGTTGGCTAGTGAAACAAAATAAGCCGCTGAAGATAATCAACGGAGGCTGCATACCGAGAGCATCGCTGAGACTAGCCGACCGTCTTGGCCGGGATCCCGTCGAGCTTCCCAGCGAAGCAGAGCCATGTGAACGGGACCGAGATAGAGCTTGACTGTCGCGAGGAAGTTCGTACGCCTGGGCAGCCTCGTCTTCTGGGAAAAAAGTTAATTGGACAGCATTTCGAGTTCACATGGACTCACCAAGGTCGGTTTCCTCAGCGGCCGGTGCTTCAAACGTCTCTATCTTGCCAAAGGTGACAGCGGCCGGACGCGAGGCAGGCAGTCGCTGAGCCGCTCTTTGACTTGAGGCGACTGTGCGTTGAGTTGTAGCTTGTTGTGAACGAGCTGCTGAAGTAGAATAGGCGTCTGTTCGATTGCGAATGGGAACAACCAAACGCGTTGGACCCTGTGACCTCGTAGATGGTTGGCCGGGAGTTATTGTGGCGGAAGAGCGGGGGAAATCGTCGTCGGGAAGGGGGTAAGAGTTTGGTCGACTGCCATGGGTTCCAACATTCTCTTTCTCCTCGAGTGTGAGCTCGGTGAAACGCTCTTTGTCTATATCGCGGCTGTCGATGGGCACGCGTCTGGCAAGGGGCCGCATGGCCCGTAACGAGGTGGCATGACCAGGAGTGAGCGCTGTGCTTGCGGGAGTAGATGCCACACGTTGGAATGAGCGTTGAGGGGGTGGTTGGCTGGTGCCCGCGGTATAACTTTCGCTCCTCGAAAGGCTGGAGCGGCGGGACGGGATGGGAGACGGGGGTTTTAGATGGATGTCGAGCAGAGACCGTTCCTCCGAAGTGGCTGAGCTGGACGACTCCCGATTCTTCGAAGTGCGAACAATGATTCCGTCTTCACCGCAAACGTAGTCGAATGAAAGGTCCTCGATGTACGACTCGGAAGATGAGTCTGAGCTGGGAGAAGGAGCGATTGGAGGGGTGGAGGGTGTAGCCATCGTCGAAGAACGAGGAAGGGAGGTGAAAGGTTGGTTCAAAGCCAAAATCAACACGAGGCTTCAACGTAGTCACAAATGTGACCCTAAGCGCGGTCACATGATATCACATACAATCTGTCTTTCAGCTGGTCGGGACTTGAAATAAGGTGGGGATTGAAGGTCCAGTCAGGCCACAGTGTATACTCGAGTGAAACAATGCCATCTCAAGGGTTTCTCGGGGATATTGGACCGACTTCGACGGCATTCCTTGACTAGTCTCGTTCAAAGGAGAGAAACAAATGCTCGTTAGCTGGAATATACCGCATGATGGTCCCAGAAGTCCTTGTGACTCTAGCGGCTGGTACCTCGCGCGTTGACCTTAACCAAACCTGCAAAAGCAATGCTGTGACCGTCCCCCTTTCGCGCTCACGGGATTTATTGATGCCATCACGTCACAGACTCGGAAATCACAAGTGTCGGTCAGCGACCATTCCGGTTCGGTTACTTTTCGGGTCCTTGAACCCTTCCTCTACCCCCGCTCCTTGAACAACACTATCATGCCCATAACCACCTCTGTAACCAAACTCCTCAACATTCGTGTCCCTGTTGTCCAAGGTCCGCACTTCAGTTCTTCTGTGTTCACCGTTCAATATACGCCAGGGGGGATGCAATGGGTTGGCCTCCCGAAACTGGTGGCCGCTGTTTCTAATGCCGGCGGCTTGGGTGTAATCACTGCCTTGACCCAACCAAATCCAGAGGCACTGCGAAATGCTATCCGCGAGACAAGGAAACTCACCAAGAAGCCGTTTGGTGTCAACATTACCCTACTCCCGAGCATCAACCCTCCGGATTACGCCGGCTACGCACGAGCTGCAGTCGAGGAGGGTGTTAAGATCTTCGAGACCGCAGGTAAACCTCATGCTCGACGTTGCAGCCATCTCTGACCTCTCCGCTATTAGGCAACAACCGTCAGTTGTAGCGTTTGGCGGCGGAATGACTGCTGATTGCCCTTATAGCTGGCCAACTCATTAAATACCTCAAAGAGAACAAGTGGGTTATGTTGTCAAAAGCAGATTCCGCAGCCGCTGAGCTTCTAAACAGAGCTATAATCATCCATAAGTGTACCACCATCCGCCATGCCAAGGTTTGTGCCTCCACAATTCCACAACTCGGTAATGGTAATCACCGGTGGTATCCTAGAGTGCGGCAAAACACGGTGTCGATGTTCTCAGCATCGATGGGTTCGAATGTAGGTCTAACAATCGTTGTTCTCCATTTCCAACTTGAACCTGGCTCTAGGTGCCGGACATCCGGGAGAGGAAGACATTGGTGGGCTGGTGCTGGTACGAATCGCCACAGTCCCTAGCTTTATCTAATCAACCATCCATAGCTGGCGCGTGCTGCGAAGGAGTTGAACATTCCATATCTGGCTTCGGGGGGCATCGCTGACGCCCGAGGCTTCGCTGCAGCATTAGGTGCGATATTCAGTAGACCACCAGCACTAACTAACAGATTATAATGTAGCTCTTGGCGCTGCTGTGAGTATCTATTACCTGTTGGAACAGCGTTAAGTATACTACGTCCTCTCTGATATAGGGCGTCAACATGGGTCCGTCCTTTTCCTCCTCCTTTTACCGCTCCTCACACTATTCACAGGAACGCGTTTCATGTGTACGGTGGAAGCACCTATCCACCAGAACATCAAACAGAAGATCGTCGACTCGACTGAGCAAGACACGACCCACATTTTCCGCACTCTCCACAACACTGCTCGTGTCTTCAAGAACAAGGTTTCTATGGAAGTTGTGGCCATCGAGAAGCGTGGCGGTGCCAAGTTTGAGGATATTCGCGAGCTTGTGAGCGGCCAACGTGGACGACTTGTCTACGAGAACGGTGACCCAGACTACGGAATCTGGACTGCTGGTGTTCGTTCCCTTTCCCTACCACCATTCACGTGCTATATAACTCCAGATCGCGATTGGCCTGATAAACGACATACCGACTTGTGAAGAGCTTGTCAGCCGACTGGAGAGTGAGACTGAGCAAATCATCAGCAACATGAACTCGCTCGTTGTCAAATCGAAACTGTGACAAAAAAGGGAATATTATCTATATAAAGGATTTTACAGTAAACACTACAACAAATCAAATCAAATCTAGTGCGAATGGTCTCGTATTTTCTCAATATAAGCTCCAGCGTGCTGCATGTAAATGTACATCGTGTGGATGGCAGTGTGGACCCCATCTTCTGCGCGAATCTTCTCTCCAACAGCAGCAGCCTTCTCCTTCATTACCCGATTCGTCGTCGCGGTAATCAGAGCGTCTGCGAGGTCATGTGAATGTAGACTGGGGACCCTCAGCCCGGCCTACGATGATGAATCAGCAAATAACACAAGCAACTTGGCAACAAACACACCCCAAGATGTTGCACCCGACTAAACAACACTCAGTTGTAGTACTGAACACAAAAAAGAACGCACCTCGCCCAGAAGAACTGGTCGCCGAACCAAGGTTTGATCAAAGTCGGTATACCCGCACGCAGACTGGCTCCAGTCGTCCCAGCACCGCCTGTTATCGAGTGTCACACCAGAAGGGTAGCGCTGGATTTCATACCATGGTGCATCGCCGCATCTATCCTCTGGAATAACCAGTCGTGAGGTATCGAGTTGACGACATAGCATTCCTCCGGGATCTCCACCTCCGGGCCCTTGTCGTTGGCTTTACTCATTCTGGCTGACCATCCCTTGGAGATGATTGCTCGAACGCCGCCTGAGAGTGACTATAAGCAATCAACCAAAGCAATGCGCAAAATTAGCCAACTCTTCAGAACGGCTTTGACGATGCGAGCAGTAACCCGATTGGGATTCGGGACCGTGATAGAACCAAATCCGATGTAGACGATTGGTTTGCCATCGCTACGGGCCTTGTCCATCCAGTGCACAAGGTCCTCTGGGGGAGTCCAATTTGCACCCTGGTCAACATCAAACATCAAAGTCAACCACCATCAGGCAAAGTACCTCGGGGTTGTCCAAGAACCAGTACCCAGACACATTGATAGCGTCTCCCCAATCCAAAGGCTTCGGCACGACAGCCGTGGAGAAGTTATATATAAAGGCTATCTAAAATCATTGAGCTCGAGTAGTGAAACGGGAAAAAAATAGTTACCTTGCCCTGATCCAAATGACTGAGGTCCGTATGTGGGATTTGCAGCGTGTGTTTTCTCCAGCGATTGATCTAATGCGATGGTAAGATGCACGAATAAGAATATTTGGAAGCTCTACTTGACCGGAGGTCGCCGTCCACATAACACTGCTGCAGAAGAGTTAGGTGGAACATTTTTCCAAAGCAATGCTTACTTGAACAAGACATAGCTTGCAGAGTTGAATGTCGGAGCATCGACAGGAACACTAAGGAATGCATGCGGAAAGTCGCTAGTCCTTGTTGCGAGTCAACACAGCAATCGAAGCAAGGACGTATAATCCTTACTTGGTCCATGGCATTCTATGGAGCATAAGCATCTTTTTAGCAGCCAAAGAAGAACGGCGTACGTGAAAGTTCTGAAGTAGGGAATATCTGACGCAGAATGAGTTGACAGTGAATATTCTCGAGGGACACTCACTCAGAGCTTCAGCAATATGCACACCTGCCATCGCCGAAGGCGATTCTAACAAGACATCGGCTCCTTGACATGACTCCCAAGAGTCAATAAGAACTAGGGAACGTTGAGCGGCAATCGAATGGAGCATAATGAATTGTACGTTGATCAAGCCATGGCCGGAACTACAAGACGGTCAGTGCAACGGACTTAAAAGTAGAACAGAACAGACGTTTTGCAAGCTCTCTTTGAAAAACTCCGGAGAGAACATCTCAAAGTCAACAATCAGCAGATATCGCATCTGGGTGTCGAATTAAAGACCTTGTTTTCCACACTAAAGATCGCTTAGATAAAATTAAGATTAGATTAGATAAGCAAACCTCAATTTCATCAAGGCTCCAGGATCTCCTCCGGCCTGTTTGTGCGTGATACCAAAGCTTTCTACCCAGGGCTGGAAAGTTAGATGAGGGAGTTTCAGAGGTAGCCGATGGACTAATACCTTATATTCATCGTGTGTCACTATCGTCACTTCATGACCCTCCTTCATCAGCCCCAAGCCCAGCGCAATATAGGGCTGCACGTCTCCTCTAGATCCGATAGTCAGACAGACAAAATGCTTCTTCTCGCTTTTGACCAGTAGTTGCGACGGTATATTGATAAGCTTGGGAAATTTCCCTCTCATACTAGGTGGCGCTCCGACCTCTTGAACGGCAGCAAAGGTTCGTGCGAGTGGAGAGAACAGCCCCGTCATGGATCGTGTGGGAGTACTCACTCCCGATGATAAAGAAGTGTCGCTGGATGACGAGCTAGAATGTGACAGTGCAAGAGCCGTTGGCCGCTGCGGTGCCTCCCGCGCATGCTTGACCAGAGCATTCACCCGTTCCATCGCATCTGTCCGACCTTGGACAGTCCTGAATTGGAATCGCAAGTCAGGGAGACCCTCTAGTTCGATTGCAAGTCCATAGGAGCAGCCGCGAAGGAGGCTAAACGGCTTCGCTTCCCGAATGAGGGAGACATGAAGACGGTAACGCGCATCTTGCTGCGTGAGGAATTTCGCCCAGAAGCCGACGTAGTTGTCTGTGACGACAAAAACGCCGCCGGACGCAATCGTGCGATACAACCGGGCTTTAGTCACTAGAGACCCGTCAGATCAACATCGAAGTTGAGTAATGCAAAAGACCAACTCCAGAAGGATTTTTCGGCAGACAAGCCAAGGACTTTGCGTACTGAATCCTCTTTCATATTTGTGACGGGAACGGTCGGAATTGTCTCCGCAAAGCTGATAGGACCCATATCGACGAAAATGGGCGTCTCATCAAGCTCCGAAGGGCGACTTTCGCGGAATTTGTGGTAATCAGCAACGATCTCAGGCAGCTTTGACCACGCGGGGAATTCGTAGATGCAGCCCATGCGAACTTTCCTTGGACCATCTGGTGCGCCAACATCAATGCTGAGAGTTGCAATACCAGGCATTTTGGGGTCAAGGAACTCGGCGGAAGCGATATGGGATAGCGGGCAGCTCCATCTGATACCATTCTCCGAATTTCCAGAGTCGATAGCCTCCCGTCGTTGATGTCGGTAAAGGAACAAGGCGCCTGCAACAATCTAATCAGTGGGGGTACATCAAAAAACACCATCAACGGACCCGAAAGTTCTTTCCGCCAATCCACAGCCGATTCCTCGGTATCAAATTCTGCAAATCCCGAGACGTGCTCGCGTTCAAACTGCTCGTCGAAAATGAGTTGTATGCATTTTGGCCGTTTGGGGTCGAATGGCACGATGCCGTGAATAGCAGATACTAGACATGAACGTTGTCAAGAGTAAGTCTGCCGAACGAGAGAGGCTACAAACAAAGCAGAGTTCGAACAGGCTTCAGTCGGTCTTTGTCTTTGCTAGATGCATATGAGCACAACATATCCGGTGAAAGCTGGTACGTTAGGTTAACAGCATGCTCGAAAAAGGAAAATATCACTGACTTCCATCCAAAGACGACGGCTGAAGCGCAGGCCGGGACGGTGGATGACTGCTGGACCCGCTCGCAAGATAGTTGTCTGTGGGTTTGGGTTTGCTGCCATCAGCGACGCGTGGAAGCAGAGTCGGTGGGTTGTGAGATGAATGACTCCAATAATCGAGACCTCCTTGAGCAGTCCTTGAAATATAAATTAGCTAGAATAAACACAGTGAAGGAGGGGAATCGCACCTCCGTCCGTCTCCAAAATGAGTTTCTCCTCCTCCCCCTCCGGGGCTAAAGCGCCAAACTCATCGATGAGCATGCTGACAACCGTCTCTGCATCGAATTTCCATTCGTCTGTGTCGAGAGTTGCCGCGCGATGAAGTACGGGCTCTACATCGCTCAGAGGGCCTGACGATTCGGTTGAAACAGACGCGTCATCCCCCTCCAGATATGACTCTGGCTCTTCTTCAAGAATGCTGCTCGTCGGTGAGGGTGTCCACGAGGGCGTAGTGCCGGCTGCAGATATTTTCGCGGCATGAGTGGCTACGGCAACTTCTCGTGGTGAGAGATGCTTGGCTACAAGTTCTTCAAAGCCGTTTGCCGAGTCTGGCCGGTCCTCAATGAGGCCATTATTGGCGAGAATACGTTCAAACGCAACCGCCTCTGAGTAAAAATGGTCAGCGGACGCAACAGGATCGGCGCCGCTGAAGCTATCGTCGTCGCTGGTGGTAGTGTCTGCTCGGCTGGCAGACGTTGAAGAGGACATTACACGGCGCCGGCACACTGATCACCAATTTAAGTAACGCCGATCTTCTCTCGTGACACACGCCGACTACGTAATATCGATGCGCGTTTGCCCGGTCATGATCATGATGATGTCAGGGCGGGTATCCGGCCAAAGACTATGACAGGTTTCTAAAACATACTCAGCTGGAGGCCGCCTTGCGGAGTAGTGCTCTCCTGCCCCGAACACCCTCTCTCAGTCGGTCTAACACGGGAACAGTCGTTTCCCATGATATGCAAGCATCGGTGACCGACTGGCCCCATTTTAAACTTGCTAGCCCAGTGGTGGGAATGTCCTGCCGACCCTCCACAAGATTCGACTCAATCATGACACCCATAATCAAGGAGCTGGTGTCCTCCGATTCAAGCTGGTGGGCCTGGGGGAGGGCAAATAAGTAAACTCTCCAGTGCAGCGCTACATATAACCCACGATGTCTTCTGCAACTATCTTTTGGTTTTCGTGTTGCTTTTGGCTATTTCCGTGGCTGCAGTCAATCTGTTGGGACAGGTTTTATCAACTCTATCGCCTAACCAGTGAATGCAGGCCCACCATGATTTTCTGCACCACTCCAGCTTTTTTAAGTTTGGCGCCGGCATCGCGAACGAAATCAGCAGCATAGTTGGGGCCTGACGCTCCTCCTCGTAGAATAACGTGAACATAAGGGTTGCCCTGTTGATATTTCAGGGAATTGAAAACGCGTTAAACACGTTTTGACCAACCTCGGTCTCTATGATTGAGCTAAGCCCCTCCTTCCCGACACTCAGGAAGACATGACCGCTCTTGGCCGCACGGCAGGCGTCAATGGCAATTCCAACACTCCCGTCCGTGGAGTTTTTGAAGCCCGTAGGCATCGACAAAGCTGAAGTTAATTCCCGATGGACCTGTGACTCTGTTGTTCTTGCCCCGATTGCACCCCAAGACACGAGGTCTGCCGTATACTGCGGGGAAATCGTGTCCAAAAATTCACATCCAACAGGAAGACCAAGTTTCGCGATGTCAAGTAAAAGCGTGCGGGCAATGCGTAGTCCTCTGTTGATTTGGAACGAGCCATTCAATTCCGGGTCATTGATTAGTCCCTGCAGTAGGCGTTATCGACTTGAACTCGATGCCGTTGGATCTTACTCACCTTCCACCCAACTGTCGTCCGTGGTTTCTCAAAGTACACGCGCATCACAATCAGCAGGTCTTCTCGAGCAGTGTCGGCATAAGCTTTGAGTAGCTTGGCGTATTCAAGGGCAGCTTCGGGGTTGTGAACAGAGCACGGCCCGACAACGACGAGCAATCGGTCATCGTCGCCTTTCAAAATGTTTTCTACTTCCACTCGGCCTTGTAGTACAGTGTGTGCAGCCAGGAGGGTGCTACAAACGACATGAGAGCGAGATCGAACGTGCGCAGTGGCTATGATTACAGTGGAAGGTCTTCTTGTAGGATTTGGGGAGGAATAAGTGGTCGTGTTGATTTTACGCGGCTGTTTTCGAGCCTGGAAAGAGCGTCCTGTGTGTTCGGTTGAGGAATAGAAGCCAAGAGGCAGAACCCGGTTTACCCTGAAAGACATGGCCATGTTGAGATCTGAGTCTGGAAAACTCACATTAGATGCAATTTATATAGCTTCCAGGCTCCTACTGACTCGGACTCTTTGTTGATGCCATGGCAGTGTTACGGAAGGTCGAGGTAGACGTCAAGTAAAGAGTGGACTAGCCGACAACTCGAGGCAAGAAGAAAACCTTCAGAAAGTGACTCGACATGACATCATCAGGCATCAAAAAAAAGTCCCTGCACTTGGTCGTCTACTAGCAGATAAGAGTACCTGTACACAATATAATTACATGTTAGATTTGTTGTAGATTTTATGGTTTAATTTCTTCTCTTTCTCCCTCTACTTCCCTTGGGTTTAGGACGAATTGTCTCAGCCACATGTTGCTGCTCCTCGTCCAAAAACCCGACCACCGATATGTCATCAAACCTCTCCGCCTCTTCAACAGCTAGTTTGTCCTCTGGTCCCCAGCCACTCTCATCAAGCTCCATTTCGTCTTGCGCACTCGTCGCAGGGGTTGAGATCGATAGAACTGAATCTCCACCGGTCCGAGAAGGTGATGTGTTTGCCGACAAATCGTCTTCTTCCCCATCGACATGAACTTGCAAGAAAGATTCAGGCTCTAGGCGAGCAGGTACTCCAATAAAGTCCTCGTCTTCTTCATCAAATTCGAGAGGCACACTGGCCTCGAGGTCGTCTCCACTGACATGCCGCACAATTGGCGGCGACCGAGCCAACTGCCGTTGCCGCTGATGACGCATCTCTCGTTTGATTCGCCCAATACCTTCAGCCACTCCATCGCCCAATCCAGCAGCAACCGCTCGGATCGGAATACTGCCACGGAATGATGAGGGTGTCCCGTTAGGTAGCATCGGTAATACCGGTGGAGGGAGAGCATATTGAGCCCCGGCCAAGGCACTGGCGAGGGGTTCATCAAACGAGGCCTGTGAGTTGCGGTTTCGTCGATGAATTGCTCGTGGTGATGACGAAGTCGCAATACCCTCCACGAATGCTTCTCCACCCGAAGCGTATGTCCCACTCACTTCCACTTCGCGACGGACGTCAATTTTGGCCCCGCGAAGACCAAGCTGGTATCGTCGGATAAGAGCATGATAATCTTCACCCAAGGTATAGAATGCGAATTGGTGGGTGAGGTAGATTGGTCGAGGCAGCACACGCGGCGTTGAAAAGGTTGACAACTCTGCTTGAGAGAGCCAACTATGGAAAAAACGTTAGTCTTAGGAACCCAAAGAACAACAACATACTCTTCCTTGACACTGTGCGTAGTGCTCTTGATGAGACCTTTTCGTGCAATATCGGTACGTCTTATCTCAGCCCAACCCTTCCTCCTCCGCAAGTTCCAGGTGGCAACAGCGGACTCCTTTCCACTTAACTCTGCACCGATACCATCTCCACCAGTTGTAACCGAACCATGCGCTGGACCAATTGCCTGTTGTGTTGAGCCTCCTCGTCCAAATGACGAAGGATAAGCTGGAGGACTGGCGCTTATGCCGGAGCCACCTATCAAGCGTCCTGTTGGCAAAGACATGCTAACTGGAAGTGGAACACCCATTGTAAGAGGAGTCGATACTTCCATGGTCAAAGTAATTCGACGCAAGGTAAGGATACCATCCACAGGGTCGAACACAAGGACCTCTTGAACACCATTTGGTTGTGCGTGCGATGGCGAGGCTGGACTTGCAGGTGAGCGTAGTGGGTTCGTTGGAAGCCCTGACGAAATCGAAACAAAGGAGATAGCGAGTGGTGCCAGAGGAATCGAAGCAAAATCACTCTCTCCAACATGCTGCGTGGATTTGGCCGGTAAATGCATTCTTGTCAAAGCATGCACATCAGTTGGCGGTCCATCTTTCTCAGACGGGAGTACACTGAGCGCACCCAGTGTAGTTGGTCCAAGCTCTGCATCCCGAACTTGCGCCATTAGATGACTACGCAGGTCTGCCTTTCCACCATAGGGGTTGACAGCGAACACGTGGACCGTCCGTCTTCGAGTGGAAAGAGCAATGAATCGTCCATCATGTGATCCTGCAACGGTCTCTATGACTGCGTTAGTGCGCCCACGACGAAGTTTGTACAGGTTGACTGGATTCGAGAGTTCCGTTTCCATATGGCGAGTGGTGGGGCGTATGACCCAAACCCCAGCGCCAAGCCCATCACGACGAACAACCACTAGCCGAGTTCCATCTTGCTCGAAATATAAACCTCCGACTGGATGCTTTCCTGCGGTGAATGCATGCAAATCTCGCGGAACGTGCTTGCCACCAATCAGTGGCTCCAAATCGACGATCCGAACCCACGATCCAGCGCCACCCTGAATTGTCGCGAGTCCAGCAGCAGCAAGAACGTTTGATGAGGCTTCTAAAACCGCATTGCCAACTGGTGAGCCACCAAGCATGCTGACAGCATTACTTGCAGCAGGGGCGCTGCGTGAAAAGAATCGACCGAGTGTTCGACCCCAGCCGGCTAGTCCACTATCGCTTGTCGGAGATTCAACGCCAGAGGCGAGATCGGATGGTTGCGCCAAGAAAGCGAGAAGACGTCCATTGAGCGCTGCTACAGGTGTGCGAGGAAGATGGAGCGCATTGGGAGTATCGTTCAGTGGTGCTGGATGAATTCGACCGGGGGGTGAAGAACCATACGATGAGGACGCCGAGTTAGAGCCCAGTGATGAGCTTAGTGGTTGGGGGACCGCAAGTAGACCAGAAGGAACCACATGGAGAACTTGCAACGACGACCGAGCAAGTATTACTAGCGCAGGCGGAGAGTGCGTTATCTGCGAGTTATTCAGACGGGACGCCTCCTTAATGAAGAATAAAATTTACCACCAATACCACTTTGCATGTTGCCTCGAAACCACTAGGTGTACCGATGGCATCCTCTGACTCGCCAATAATCCTACGTCCGGTAATTTTCCGTTCACGGAAACTGCCGCGACTAAGACTATCGCTAGAACCACGGCGACGATGATTGGCGTCGGCTTCGTCCTTGACAGCTTCAAGGGCCGCAGCGGAGGGACTTGAAAAAGGGCGAAATGGGTGCGAGACAACTACGCGTCCGAGTGTCAAATTGAAGATGTACAAGGAATGAGGAGTGCTAGTAAGATAATTGAGAGAGCAATATGAAAGAAGTACCTGAGAACTTACAGAATTCCAATGTCGACACCATTCTTTTCGCCGGGTAACACAGCAGCAGAGAGAACAGGGCCCTTCATGTCATCTGGTCCACCCGGAATGCATATATTGGCGACCTCCTTGATGCTGCTCAAAGAGCTGGTGTCCCAGACCTGGACACCTCCAGCATAGGCAAGGATGAGCAAACGACTGCCACCACATTCCGCCCATCGCGCGCCGACAATCTCATCTTCGTCTTCTTCTGTTTGTGACTCGTTTGAATGTCCGTTCCGTTGGTTCGTTGATGAGTAATGCATCGAAGCCCGCCGACCTTCGCCACTTTGGTGTTGATAGTTGGTATACCCTGAGCTCGCATAGGCTGTTGCCGTACTTGTTACTGCCTGAACTGTGCGTAATGCAGCTGACAGAGCAGACAACGCTCTTGGTGCGGTTGCATGTGACCTGGAAGAGATAAGACGAATGATTCACACAAAAGAAAAGGTTGAGAACGCACCGAGGGGCTTGGGGTACTCGCATATGTCCGTCTTCATTTGGGGATTGTCCGTAACCAAGGTGGTCTGAGACACGGGAAGGTCCGGGGGACGAGGAGTGGCGAGAAGAACGACGACGACTGCCTTTGAGAGTAGGCTGGTGATGGCTTTGGGGGGTTGGAGGATAAGGTGGCTCGGGGACGCTTTGAGTGTGACGGTCGGGTGTCGGTTCCGAAGCAGGTTGCTGGATGAATGTCTCAACGTCATCATCGACAGCGACAAGCATTGGCTGGGGAGCAATGGTAGTTGTCGACTCCTGCCCAAGAAACGTGTCCTCTATTCCAATGTCAACCAATGCTCCTTCGGGGACGGAGACAACCGAAATAGGTTGTGGGACTGGCAATGGCTCGTCGTCGACCTCGTCAGGTAAAGGCGTTGGGTATTTGCTTGGGCTGGCTCGAGGGCTGAGTCTATCGTCTGGGATAATGATACCTGTTGTTGTAGGAGGCGAGCTGGCAAGAGGAGAGGCTGGCCCTGGTGACACCGCTTGGGACGACATTGCAGTGACCTCTCTCTGTTGTCGCTGACGCTGCCGTTTGGACAAAGGACTGCCCGTAGGAGGCGTGGAAGAGGGTGTCTTGGCTGCGCGAGAGGGCATGCTGACGGAGGTAGTATATGACGATTAAGATAACAATAGATGAAAGGGATTGTGTCGTTTGTTGGAATAGGAAAGCGGTTGTGAGGGTTTGGAGGATCTCATGGGCTACAGCTTAAAGATCCTGGGTGCGAGTCAACAATTAGACTCGCGCCATGGCACAGGGAGAGAGGTAAGTGGAGGATCAAAAATGTGTCACAACTCCGCGCTTTGTTGTTTTCACCGTCATGGACTTTTCAGGTCTTTCAAGTGCAGAGCAGGCTCATGTCACCAAACTTGTTGAGAAGCGTCAAGTATATATCCTGCATCTCTATCCTTCTACACTAACCGTCTCCAGTTCCAGGGCTTTCTTACCATGTACGGAAAACTCGTAGAGCGCTGTTTTAATCACTGTGTCAACGACTTTACAAGCAAGTCGCTGTCCTCGAAAGAGGTTTTTCCAACTGAAGCGTCAACCATCTCTTGCTCAATTTTACCCAGGAGCAATGTGTCAATAATTGCGCTGAAAAATTCATGAAGCATTCGGAACGCGTCAGTGCGCGGTTTGCAGAGATTAATGCTGGTGCGTTGTTGTCTCCGGTTCGCCACCTTCTCTTACTGATATCGGTCTGTAGAAGTCATGGGCAGCCAGAAAAATGTCTCCGGTTGATCATCCATGCCCTCCGTCTATAATGCATGAGGGACTGTCGTTTGGGGGCATCCAAGGGCATATTATTCTTTTTGCCAGCCTTGGCCGAAGTCCACATTAGATCCTATCGGTAACTCTACACTAGAACCTGCTATTTTGTCCCCTCTCCACCTTTCGAGTAAAACTAAGAAGGCCAGTAACTACTGGAAGTTCTCAATGGGTTGGTACATCTTATCCCAATCCAAAACTGTTGTGCGTTTGTGACGGTTGCCAGTGCACATCTTTCCCCGACCTCGAACTTGATGTTGATATGCTTTCGCGCATCCTACCCTCAAGACGAAGGTGAATGTCTTTTGACTCTTCAAGCTGGCACATAGCTGTCTATAGAGTAAAAACCAGCTTCGAGGCAATTTCGCCACGATCACCTGACCACGTTTCCCATTCGCAACGCGACAAGTATCGCCTTATGAGCGGTGGGTATCGCAAACACACCATGAGCACTGGTATAGAATACATTAATTGGTCGTTTTGAGTCGGGACATTCGTGGTACAGAGTGTACATATGTTGAGAAAAGTGTGATATTGTAGGCTATTCTACCCTTGGCCCTCGGGAGACCTTTTTATTTGCGCAAGCACTGTGAGTAGTCTGGGAGAGCATCAAAACCAGCGAAAAAGTCAGATTAAAAGGAACTCACATGGGTTGGAGTAGACGCAAGTCAGTCCGGCGGCACAAGTCGTTGATCCGTGCCAGTCCTGGCCACCACATTGTCCCCATTCGCCAACTGGCGAGCCAGTGGGTTGGGCAGCGGAGGATGTTCCGCTGGGGCCAGATGAAGCGCTGCTGCTAGAGCCGCCGCTGTAGGTAGAGCCGATGGGACCAATCTTGATGTCAGAGAATATGACATAGGCACCAGACTGCTGGCTCTCGACGTTCTGGAAAAGAAATGATTCAGGGTATCGAAAAAATAACAGGAAGACTGCAGACCTTTGGGTCGCCAGAGGTTGCGTCGCAAGGACCACGGCTGACACCGGGGGTAGTGGCGCTCTTGTTCAGGGGGTAGTTGCTATCGAGCCAAAGCATGGAAGCCTCGTGGTCGTCCCAGACCGAAAGAGATAGAACCATACCCCTCGAGAGGGATCCACCCATGGTATTAAGTCCACCACGAGCAGAGAAGCTGTTGGTGTCACCAAAGGCCGTCTTTTGTTGTGTGCAGAAACTGTCGGTGATCGAATTGCTTGTCGTAACGCCGGCGATGTTGGAGTTGGAGTTGGCGATGACCTTGCCGTTTTGGACGTAGACGCGACGAATTTCAGAGAGCGATCCAGAGCTACCGCCATTGCTTGAGATGAATTGGGTAACGACGGTGATGGGTTTGGTAGTGTCAATGGTGAAGCCAGACCCGGAGCCAAGGAACTGCTGGTTGCCCATGCGCCACGAGTTAAAGTCACAGCCATCCTTGTCGCAGATGCCATTATAGCGGTCGGAGCCACTGCCGCAGTCGAGTCCGGTGCAGGCAGTCTGTTTGGTGACAGAGCAGGGATGGGGGGTGTAGGCCGAGCCATACTGATTCGCTGAATTCCACGTTGAGTATCGAACAAGGAAATTCTGCGGAGCACAATACCTTCCCAGATGTCCATTTCGTTGCAGCAGGTACCTGTAGATCCAGTGCCTGAGTTGGCATCGCTGGCAGAACCCGTCCAGTTAACGACATTAGCCTGAACACCGTCAGCAAATCATTCCAGTTTCATTCCAAAAGAAGCCTGACCTGGCCACCGATCCATTTCAAGTCCCGGGGACACTGAAAGAAAGAATTAGATAGGGAATAAGATGCTTGGAACCATGGCTCAACGTACTTGAGAGTCACAGTAGCCGGTTCCATACTTCGCGCCAGCCTTGTTGCCAGGGAATCGGGCAAGACCACCATCAGAGTCCATCTCCGAGAAATACAGAGCGCCATTGAGGCCACAGCCAAGGTGCGACATGTCAACAGTGAAGGTGAACTCTTGGTTGATCAACTTGAACATTTGATAGGCAGTGCCGCCAGGCGCCGTCAGATAGACACGAGAACCGACATTCGAGCCTAGGAGGAGATTTAGCTGAAGTTCGGTGTGTTGCCAGATTGGGCTCACCGGTCTTGAATTTAAGAGTGAGGGCACTTCCAGAGGTGGAGATGCCATATGTGCCCGGGTAGTCGGCCCCATCGAGAGCGCAGTTGGTCGCACATGTGGTGGGGTCTGGGCAAAGAGTTTTATCCCAAGTATTGCCTTTCGGTTTTGTTATATATCATGGCGCTGTGGGAATATATAGGCGCTCACCTGTGTAGCAGTTGGTCGAGCCGTTGACACTGTGGGTCCATCGCCAGTTGCTATTGACGGATCAGCTGATCGCTTCTTCAGACCTGGTGACAAAACAAACTCACGAATCAAGAACGACGGCAGTGTTAAGGGTGGTGCAAGAACCGGGGGCCGTACATTGCTGCATCGGCAAAGCCGGGTGGTTTTCGGCCTGAAGAGTGGCGACCTGCTGGCCGTGGGCAACAGCGAGGAAGCAAAGCGAGAGGAGAGCGGTGGCTGGGAACATTTCGAATTATCCGAGCTGGAGCAAAGTGAGCACGAGTGAGGGCCGCGGCCAACACTGTCGACAAACCTGGGCGAAGGAGGCTTTAAACCTGTTACTAATGCTTCTTCAGCTCTAAATGCATAATGAAAAGGGGGGGACTGTACCTGAGAGGCGCAACGGGTTGTTGAGACTGCTAATGGTCAGAAAAATGGTGGTGTCTTTTATACAAGCCAGGACGCGATAGCCAAGCCCTCGTGAGGACCCAAAAGATAGCCGATTTCACGAATTACGAGGTGGGGAGGATATATTTCGGCACAAGAAGATTATGGTGGACGCGCATACCTCGGAACGATGTGAGCAGTGATCACTGGGCCAAATCATCGAATCAAAGCGGCAGGGGGTCTCCAGTTGGGGTTGATTTACTGAGAAGCTCGCGGTTAATCTACGGAAAAGGTAGACATAGCTCAGGCTACTGCTTGCGATATGAAGCTCGGTCGGATCTGTTGACAGATGTTGCTTCTCAACAGACGCGGGGGAGCGCGGAAGGCGGGGCAGGTGACGCTGTTCGGTCGCTTTGGTTGACTTTTGTGCCAGGCGAATCACTACCAACGGTGTTGTACTTCAGAGTTCATTTTGCCGAGCTTCCTCCCATAGAAAGTTGTAAACGTTTGCCAGTTACAGGCTCGTGAAGATGGAGGTGAAAATGAAAACAAAACTTGACTGACGTGACAGCGAAATCTGATGCGTGACCGCTTCGATCACTTACAGTCACCTGCAGGTTCAAGTTGTATTGCAAGGCGACCAGCTGGTCTTGAAGCGTAGAAGACTCTCATGCCGCCAAAAAAAGCTTGTCTCGAATAAGGAAAGCGCTTAAAAGCTCCACCAATAACACATTTCAAGTTGGAGCCAGTTTCGTTCCATCCAATGGTCAACTTGTGCAACAACCACATCATGGACGACCATACGTCGTCAAACGGAAGCCCAAGGCGACATCGTGCACGGAATGAACTGAACGCAAAATTATCGGACTTCGAGATAGGCCAAACATCGACGTCACAAGTTGTAGATTGTCTTGTCGGCGTCAGTAGCTTACCTACCCTTGCTTGGTGTCTTGGACAGGACTTTCCTCGCCCCTTCGACTTGATAACCAACACAGGGACTTTTATGTTAGGTGGCTTGACTCTTTCAGCTCAATTTCTCCCTAACTGCCTGTGATCAAACTGGGGACTGAGCTGACATTGAACGCCCTCGACCCATGAAATTTTTCGTTTCGTTGATAGAGGGCGGCCTTCAATGGATGTACGTCTTTTTCATGGTACTGTGCTGCTCCAGAGCCTCAAGTTCTTCTCCGACTTCTTCAGGCCTCATATATATCTGATAACAACTGGCCAATGAAACGACCGTCAACTGACTCGACAAAAGTTGGCTATGAACAAGCCCGCGAATCGCATCTCTACCCTACTCATTTCGTGTCTGCCGCCGGCGCGTGCTTGTCAGTAAGATTTCATTACACGTAAATCTTCCGCGGCCGATTATTGTCGTTAACTGATTCTTGGAAGCAGCTGGCTTTATACGAAAACAACACCACTTGCAACCTTGTCCAGTGAAGAGGCCTCATCCAGCACTCGAGAGCATCTGAATCAGTCCCATCTCCAAATGCCCTGAAGCAAGTTCAGCGCTCTTCAAGTCTCCGTCCGCCCCGCACGGCCGTCAGCACTATCTCACGCTTCCTCCCTCGATCGTCAAATTTTCACAGACGACGTTTTCGCTCATTCCGTTCACACGCAAAATTGTACAGACAACATCTCAAAACCAAAATCAGATGTGGTAAAATACTCCTCGCTCCGCCATGGAAATATATATCGTAGCGTAGATAGATAGGGGTGTAGCTTTGTGGTGGTACAGAACGCGGTGTTACTTACTTGGCGTGGCCATATGAGTCATACCCAACTTCGCGGTCAATAGTGACCTTGACGCCAAGGTTGGCGCGGTCATCGTTTCCCATTGGGAGGGAGCCTTTGTCGTCTCCACTCGACGCATTCTTGGAGTCAGCATCACCCCAAACAGCCTCTGGCTTGGAAGATCGGATGTCGTCGAGAGTGTAAGTGTGTGGCGTTGTATTGGTTGGTATGCCAGAGCGAGTAGAAATCACGTGCGTTGCGCGGGAAGAGTTGGAGGGAGCGGACGATCCAGTCAAAGCGAAGGAGCCACCATGAACGAGGGTACCACGGATACCGAGAACGATACGAAGAGACATCGAGGTGGTCAAGATGGCAGCCATGCTGAGCATCAAGCAGTTAGCAGCGTTAATTCAGGGATGTCGGGAAAGCCGACCTGGTGACGATCGTCTTGATGGTGTCCTTTTCGTCGGTGGGCTTGATGATGAACCAGAAGAGCATGTTGACCATGTTAACGATCCAGATAGCCTGCAAGTCAAACCGGAATGAGACACTGGCTGAGTTAGCGCGGAAAAGGGCAACATACACCATATAGATTGAGTCCATCACGGAGCATCAGCTTCCAGGCACTCAGTGGCTTTGTTGGGAGTGAGTTAATGGAACGCATCAAGGCAAGAATAGCCTAACAGTCCATCGTTCATCTCACGCGGAAGATGATCAACTGAGAAAAAACGCACCGAGGCAGTATACAGGAGAGTTGGCGCTACCCAATAGATACCAACCCAGTTGTGTTTGGGTCCCGCGATGCAGCCTTGACCTTCACGCAGGGGTACAGCTATAGAATTTGGGCTGTCAGCACATCTCGGGCTATTTTAGTGGGCGAACACTCCGCTCACATCGGTAGAAAGCACAGCAAACTCCAGTGACAACAATTTGTACACCGAAGAGAGAGCCCATACCAAGAAGAACGGCGCGACTGCGGTCGTAAATCGCATGAATGCGGATGACATGAATAGCTGAGGGATCGGTGATCGTCAGACCAGCTTGGGAACAGATGAGTGAAGCTCACCAGAGGTGGCGGCAAGTAAGATAGCGGTGCAAATGGGTTCGAAGAGATAGAACTTCTCGCAAGACTGAAGGAAGGAATGAATATACGACGTCGGTGAGAAGGAGAAACCGACCGTCTGCGACCACTTGGTGTCGAAGAAAGCAACAGCTGAAGGAAATTGGGTGAGTATCCAGGTCCGAAGACGGCATTCAGTAGCACGCACCAACAACAGCAAACTCAATCGGCACGAAAACACGGAGGAAGTGGAAAAGGATCTTGAGGACTGGCCATTCACTTGTTCGCATAAGGCGCCATGTGCGAGGCGATAGGACCAGGGTATCCCAGGCTAGGACTGTCAACGAGCACACCAACAAGTATCTTGAGGAAAACATGGAGTTGAGCAATCGCTAACGGCACAGAAAGGAAAACTGTGAACGCACTTGTGAGCGCTAAGATGTGGAGGGAGGTCGAGAGAGGGGGGTAGTTGCGGCAGTGTCGACGTCATTGTGTATAGGAGTAAACCAGCAACGAAGACGGAGGGTGAGGGAATGAACCTGAGAGGGAGAAGAGAAAGATCGGTCGCTTTTACTCACGCGACACCATCAACGATTCCATCATTCAATATTTCCTCCTTCGCTCCCCCCACCGCCTACAGGCAACCAACTGTCTAGAAGAAGAAGCCCTCTGGGAGGATATCGCGCCTCGATTTGTCATTATTAGGCAATGTCCTCCAATGAGTCCAGCTCGTCCATAATACTGTCGTCTGCGACGGCGTCAGCTTCAAGTTCAGCTTCAGCGAGTCCAAGCCATACTCTCAACTCCAATCTTTACTTGTCTGTCTAAATCAACCGGGGCCGAGGCTCAAATAACCATCCATTTCAGATTCACATTCGTTGCAACTCTTCTCCTTCTCCTCGTTGTCTCTTCTGGCGTCATAATCCGCGCTATAATGCTGCGCTCAATGCATAGACGACGCGTAAACAGAGCGCTCGACCAAGGACTCGTCCCAATTTCCGAAAATGGCACCGACAAGCTCTCTTTCAGCGCCAAACCCAAGCTCTTCGATGTGTGGCTCACCGACCAAAAACAGCAGCTCCACTGGTCTGATATCACGGCGAGTGGTGGCGATTCTTTGTTGTTGTTTGAATTAACTCATCAGACTAACAGCCCGTCTCAGTCCAGCCCATATCTTCGATGACGGAGAAGGATTCATCATGGGCATCAACGATGTCTTTGCGCAACAAATCACAGTCGACGATTCGTTCTAAGAACAGCGCTGCATCGTCAGAGCTTGCCACCGATCTGCTTCAAGTCTCCGTTGTCATTGCCATGCCGTGTCCTCCTCACACAGCAGATCCTGACGAGGTCCCTGAAGTCGCCTTGGGTTTCACGCATTCATACGCCGCTGAATCATCATCATGAAAATGTACTTCCTACTGTAGCACCAACTGTACTTACATTCTACAACGATATTATCTAATCTTGATCCATTCCTTCGTCGTCGTCGTCTGCTCCCTCAATGTCCACCAGCTCATCTTCGCTCTCTGATGCCTCAAAATACTCCAAGGTCTCCACATTCTCCCTCAGCCACTTGTCGTCTCTTGGACTCACATAGTCACGGCGGCAGATGAGGACTTGCTTGAGCGGAACTCCCATAGCTTTCCTCGCAATCACGAGTTTCTTCAAGTCCGAGCCCTCCTTGCCCGCCACTCTGACTCCTTCCAACTTCGGGCAGTATAACGGCGACTTTGCATTGGGCTGTGCTTTGAACAAGCGATGGAAAAACCGCTCTTCCTCCCCAGCACAATTCAGATCCATCCGTTTGAGGCTGTCGAGTTGCGCCATGAGCAAATCAACGGCCTTGTCGTTACAATCGAGACAGCTGATCTTGAGTAGCGATAGACCAGCAAGCAACGACCTCGTCGACTGAGGCGCGGGGCCAGCAAGCTGGGCCACAAATTCGGTGTAGTCTTCCTCTGCAAGGTCTAAGGTGAGCTCTTGGAGTTCGGGGAGAACGAGTGACTGCATGAGGGGCTTGACATAATCTGATTCGAGGTAACATAAAACCAAATTGCGCAGGGAGGGAATTTCAAGCTTCTCCAAGTCGCCACCGGGTCCGGAGAAGCAAAGGGAGAGGAACTCAAGTTGAGGGGAGTTTTGGACTATGGCTTGGAAGGTTGCGAAGGAGGGCCGAACGTCACGGACGTGGTATGCCAGCTCGAGTTCACTGATATTGCGCACAAATGAGAGTGATGCTTCCCAATCGAGATGGACTGCCCATAGAGCGAGCTTTTTGAGTTTCGGCGCGACCCCGTTAAAAGGCAGAAACGCCTTCGCAAGCTCGGGCGGACTGAAATGATCTGTCTCCTCGGGATCGCCGCTCTCGTCGTAGCTGTAGAGACCAAACTCTTCAAGAACAGGCGCAGCAGAGCAAGCTGATATTCTTTCAAGAACAGCGTACATCTGCTTGTAGTCATTGACGCTGACTTCGAACAGACGCCAGTCCGAGGCGTATGGGATAATCAGATCGAGAATCTCGGTTAGGTCGTCGAAGGAAATGCAAGGATCGTATTCCTCTTCAGGTAACGCCCCTCCTTCTTCTTGGTCGTTAACAGGAGCGGCCGCTGTTGTCAGCGTTCCCGATATTTGGTCTAATATGACCTGGACCATCGACGTTTGCTCCTCTCCATTGACAACGTACGTCGCATGTGGTAGGGGGGGCTGGTTAGGCCCTGGTTCTTTTGGATGTCCATGAGTACTGTCGATGGTGATGTCAAGAGGAAGCCCATTTGCGCGTTTTATCCAAGTTTCCGCAGCATCGATGGTGACGTGACCGTCAAAGTGTAGTTTGGTCCAGAGGGTATGAGTGTTGAGTGCTATCGACCTCCAATGGCGACAGACGTGAGAAACGAGGACTTGGAAAGGCACAAATGGCTCCTCATCCTCTTCTTCTAACCCATCGTGTTCGTCCTCCGAGTCAGATTCGTCGGGTTCATTGACGGGTAACGTAGTCGATTTCTTCTCAGGGCTGCCCATTTCCACGTCTTCATCAGCCTCTTCATCGTCGTCTGTCTCCCAATGCTCAGCTAAATCAAGGACATCGTCGTCGTCGTCATCGTCTTCATTTTCGCCCTCTTCTTCTTGCATGGTACAGCCAAGCATAAAAATATGAGCAAGCAGCTCTGGAGGGAGGTCATTGACAGGACACCCGTTCTTTGGCGGCACCCAAGGGTTGTTGGCCAGCATATCCGCTTGGACTTTTTGCATCGCAGCCACAGGATCCATTCCAAGCGCGATGTTGGCAGAAACGCGTTCCCTGAGTTCCTCCTCCAGCATCCCGTTGAAATCCAGCTCGCCAGGCATGTTGCTTATCGTTGGGAGGAAAAGAAATTTTGGGGTCACGGTCACATGTTACTACGCTACACTTTTCTGGATCTCATCCTTCCATTTGCCTGCAAATTCCTGAATATCCAGCCCGCTGCTCAGGCTGAGCGCCTCAAATGGGACCATGTTATGCTGGTTGGCCGGCGCATTCGAACTCGCAGCAGGATGTGCCCGTGAATCGATCACGCGGAATATGGGCTCGGATTGAGGGCTGACTGTGACCAACTCCTCGAAACTGAACAGCAATGAGTCCGTCCGTGGTGCATAAGGATTGAAATCCAGTATGTGTCCCTTGGAGAGGTCACGCGTCAATAAGAAATCGAATATATCTAGAATATATCAGGTCAAGTTCGCGGCCAGAAAGATCGGCCTACAATGTTTGGGTCCTGTCCATTTGTCCCGAATGTTTGTTTCCCAAAAGTTTTGGATCGTTGAGACGATGTTCCTCTGAGAAGTTGGATCGTTCAGGAATTCATAATAATTAGTATCACGCTGAGAAATCGCTGCAACGCTTTAGTCCGCCTTTCGTCTTGAAAGAGCAAAACTCAAACCGATTAGGGCGTTGTCGCGCACAAAACATCTCAATTCGCGGCTTTTGTCCACAGGATACCACTTTCTAAGCACCAGCTCAAGCTGGTAGCCCCGGTCTTTTGCGCCACTCTCTGTCTCTGTGCATCCGTCGAAAACCAAGTCGGGTGTAATATCGTGGGTCATAAAGTCGGACGCTTTCAGTAGCATATAGACATCCGCAGGAGATGTGCACTTCAGAGGTGAAGAAGCAGGGAGCACCCATGCAGCATCCTAAAAAATACTTAGTAAGACAAACATGAGAGGTGCAGAGAATGCGACCTGAGGAGACGAGAAGTTGAGCTTGGGGAAGACAGCGCCGTATTGTCGAAGGCATTCCCGGATTTTATCGTCTAATTCCGGGAAAGCGAACCTTGGAAACTCTTCTTCTTCATCGCCAGAGTCCTCGTCGTCAGAGAGGGTGCTTTCGACGGGCCTACACACCCATTATGGTCAGGACCAGACTAAGATCCTACGCTGCCCACAAACACATCATCTGCGCCGACTGGGACGAAGACGCCATCAGAGTGCAGGTATTCGTGAAAGCCAGTCGGGAGCGGTCGAATCACAGTGGATTTTATCGTCAGTGACGAAAATGCCGGGTACCATGCAGAGAATTGGAAGGCCAGGATGTCAGCAGACGTCAATGGAGGGAACAGCGCCATGGTCGTTGAGAGCAAATCCAAATGAAGGTGATGTGACCCCTGTCCAAGATTTTTTGACTCAACGGATGGTCTCAGATGAGTGTCTTTGGAGCTGCTTGGCCAAGCATGTAAGAGACCTCTCTCAGTCTAACTCTCCTCTCACCATGCCTCTACATCAAACATGTTACTGTGCTCAATGCGACCTATACTTTGACTCCATAACTGACAGAGCAGCTCACATTCAGGAAACAGCGACACATCCCGAATGTGGCTATTGCAAGCGTCGGTTTCTGAACAACAACACTTTGCGAAATGTAGGCTGGTCTCTTACTTCGAGTTGTTTTTCATTTGCTCAGAGCAATGACAGCATTATATTTACTCACGATACCACCACTACTGCGCTGCTTGCGAGATCGAGTTTGCCTCTCCCGGCGGCTTGCGTTATCATATAGAATTTGCCCCAGTCCATTGCGATGACAGCGATGACGAGAAAGAAGAAGTTTCGCATGAATGGGAGGAGGAAATGGGGCAGCGAATCTACCCTGAAGAGCCAGCTGACGCGCAAGACGATGATTCTGACAACTCTTGGGAGGATTTTGACGACTATGATTATGAGGATGTGGAGGAGCTGGAGCCCCCCATCGAGATTGAAGAAAAAGAAACGGAAGATGGCGAAAATACCAGATTCGTTTGCCCATTATGCTGCCAGACCCCACAATCGGTTTGCTGCACGCCTTGTGGGCACATTTTTTGCTCGCCATGTATAGCAGCGACATTGAAGCTTACCCAGGCTTGTCCTATTTGCGCAAAGCCAAGCCGAATAGACGAGTTACGCAAGTTATTCCTAGAATTGTCGTAGAGAGCATTGCATGCCGCATAGCATAGAAAATTTGTGAAAAACATGCAAGGGTTTACTCTTCGTCCTCATCACCCTCCTCTTCATCTTCGTCATCTTCGTCCTCCTTAGCAGCCTCGACAACGGCAGTGGCGATCCGGTCCAAGTCCCGTTGGCCGTCTTGGCTGATTCTACGACCACCATTGTCCGTTTGCTCGAGGACACCAATTTTCTCGAGTGCCTGGCAAACTTTGCGCTGGACCGAGGCAGAAGATGAGGCGTGGTGGGAGGGTCGGTTACCACGACGGTTGCGGCCACCGTGCAGCTTTGTCAGCGCGCCAATGCCCACATCTTTGCGGAGGTATATGTGTCGGGCAATAGCAGCTGGAAGTTCATCTTTCAGCAGCTACTCCAAGATCTAAATCCACACGCACCAGCACGAACATAGAACCAATCGGGGTCATAGGGCGCGAGTTCTTTGTAGGCCCCAGTTTTTACGAGGTCAACCCATGTTGGCACCTCGAGCTTGCCAGACCGCTTCAGATGAGAGGCATATGCGGTGATGAATGCGTCTGCGCTGCAAGGAAAAGGGTCAGTTTTTTTGGCTTGCAATATACTCGATGGGCAACACACCTAATATCGCGTACTCCCGGCATAGTGGGTGAGTTTTTATTGTCGGACGACGGCGGACGGGAATGTCGTTTTCTTGAGGTGGTGTGACTGTCACGATGTGTGTCACACTCGTGTGGCTTGCCAGTTTGTGATGGTGATTGACATAATCTAATCTAATCTGATCAACAGCAAGGCGACTTGGAAAGACCCATTATTGAGGCTGTTCATGCACAAATACAAACGCTAGAATCCTATACCGTGTAGATCGAAATGGTGAATAAACATGACGTAATCAACCCGACCTTGAACATGACCAACATGACCCCCTTCAAGGCGTTGCCGACTGAACTCCTCATCGAAATATTCTCATTAGTCCCAGGAACAGACGACCCACTGGTCGCTATAACACTCGCTAGTGTATCTGCTCGCTGGAGGGAAGTTGTTTTGGTGCGCCGTGTCGATTCCGTTATGGACCGAGACTCACTTGTCCATACAAGTCGTCTCCGACAATTTGGCAAAGTATCTTCCTAGACAACAGTCGACCCATATCGGCTTCTACTTTCCAAATACTACTGTGGCTCCGTCATTCTAACCCACTCCAATTTGATGTCCACCTCACCACCTCCGATTCAACGTCAATATTACCCCTGCTATCCCCGCTTTTAGACCCAGAACGGAGGATGCGATGGCGGTATTTTTCCTTGCGGGGTCCGGGAACACGTGAAGAGCATTTCGACTTATCTGGCTATTCAGCCGCCCCATTCGACATCCTCCGGTTCTGCATCCAAGATACCTCGAATGTTGACTGGAGCCCGAGCTATATGCGGACATTCACGCCCGGGAACGAGAGCTGTGGCCATTTTGCAATGAATATATGGGCTCCTGAACTTTGGGTGCCATCCCCCTCAGTGATACTCCCATTCCCTGCTATCACAATCGCAGAAGTCACCATTCCCACCCAGCCCCACCTGCTGCTCCAGTTTCTCTCAGCGTGTCCCTATCTCGATGCATTCTCGCTTGCTGGCCGGCTGCATCACGACAACAGGCCGACACTCCCACTGCCCGTGATCCGCCTTCCCCACCTGCGCACTCTCCGTCTAGTAAGCACTTGCATTACGCGGTCATTTTTATCCTCTATCGACGCCCCTTCTCTCAATGCACTATATCTTGGCCAACTGAACGTTGATTTCGAGCTCAATAACCGGCCAGCTGAGCCAGAAGATGGCGACAGCGACGACGAAGCGCAAGACTTTTCCCCGTTCCCATTCAAGCGACCATGCAACTGGGGTAGGCCTTCGGCGCCTGTTGCTGAGATCCAGCCCGCCATTGAAAACGCTCATTATGGACTGGAGCGATATGCGCACGAAAGACTTCGCCTTCGCTTTCTCTCACCTGCAGCACCTAGAAGACTTCTCCATCGAGGCATCTGACCTGTCCGACAGGGTCATTGAACTACTGCGACCGTTTCCCTCCACAAATGGACAACCACCAAACGTCCGCCTGCCCTATCTTGCACGTTTAGAGCTATCAAACTGCAATGAATTTTCTGGCGATCTCTTAGTCGACGTGCTTGGAGCCAGGTTTAGGATCACGGATAAACCAGATTGGGCGGGAAGGACTCTTGAGGAGGTTGTGATTTCGGACTGTTTGGGATTCAGCGCCTCCCACGCAAACATACTCAGAATGCAGATCGGGGAGCGACTTCAAGTTTAGGATTACTTTTATTCCAATAAAGGGTATAATAATGGACTCGAGGAGGAGGATTCAATAAGATTATTCGTTTGCAACAATTAGCCTGGGACTTTGACTCCGGCAGGCGCCTCTTCTGCTTCGTCTGCTTCATCCCCATCCTCCTCTTCTGGCTCTTCTTCAACCTTGACAGCCGTGGCATCAACATCGCGTCTCTCATCTTCTCGTTGGAGTTCATCTCGCATAACCTGGACGTCGGCATCCACTTTTCTAGCAACACGATCAATTCCAGCTTCCGCCAACGACACGTGAGCCCGGCCAGTCGCAAGATGTGCTGAGCGTCTGGGAGGTCGTTTGAGCCTTCTTCGAGCCACCATAACGGGAACCGAGCATTTCTCCACAAGGTAATGTGATGTCGATCCAAGCAGAATCCTAGTTGTCGTATGAGCAAAAGAATAGAAATAGATAGAACATGGTCAGGGTACCCTTTCAATTGCCCCATACCGCGAGATCCCACAATCAGCATCGTCGGCTCATGGTAGTCGACAACATCTGCAACTCCAGTCAGCGATATTTCCTGACAAAAGTACACAAACCAACCTAGAAGCATATGACGTGCGTTTTTGGCATGCCACGCTTGGCAAACAACAGTGACATGCAGCTTTGTGCGTTGCAGTAAACCAGTTGCCTGTCGGCAAAGGATGTATGCAAGTCCTTGGCGCTGGAAGGCAGTTCAGTAACCGACATCAAGACGTTGATTGTCGTACCTCTTGCTGGCTTCGGAGCTTGGTAGCGCGGTCAGCGGCATTCGGAATAGGTGGATCGACTGCATCAGTTGAGCGAGAAACGTTGAAGTCTGAGCAATGAGCAGACCTTTGTTCTCGTTCTCCATAACATTCACTATCATCATCTCATCCCCATCGCGAATGACCGTTCCAATCCCCCACTCGACCGCGTATCGACTCTCCTCGCTCAGATCGCTGGCGACAATGTAGCGTTTGGGACGTCTGTTGCCCAGTTTGCCTTCGGGGTCGCCTTGCTTGATTGTAATAGTGCATCTATCGCGCTGGAAAACCGGCCGTGAAGTGTGCAATTCTAGTGGCTCTAGCCGTGTTGATTTTCTCCGCCGGGGGTTACGTCTGCCAGAAACACTGCCAGAGCCGGAAAGGGTGCTTGGGAAGTAAGGGTCCGGTGGGACGACGACATTGACTCCTTCTCCTAATGGGTCTACCTCCACATCATCTTGGACAGCGGGAGTGACGATGGAGTTGTGTTCCGTATTGCGCTCTGTGACGGGATCGAATAGGTCGTCGTTGTCCCAGTCATCCTCATCCTCAGTTTCGTTTGCAGTTTCATCGCCAGAGTCATCGTTTTCGTCAACAAAAGCATTACGGGGGCGGACTGTCGTCTCCTCTGATAACTCGATATCGGACTGGGTCAATGGCAGAGCTTGGGGAGTTGGCGAAGGGTCGCGTTGTTGTCTGAATCGGCGAAAAGAGAAGGGCGACTGAGACCGAGCACGCGACCGACTGCGGGACTCGTCTTCTGATACACGGGGGACATGAGATGAAGACCGGTTTGCTTTGCTGCTTTGCTCAACACTACGCCCACGCTCAGCCTCGCCTGTAGTCGAAGTATTTGTGCTTGTGCGAGAGAGAGAAAGGCCGGAGAGTCCACCCATCATCGAGCTAAACGACATCTTGGAAAATGACCCTCTATCCTGTTTAGCCGTTGGCGGCTGTGCCGAGCTTGTGCGTTCGAGGGCATTGATGATGAGTTGTGAGGCCTCCTTGTCGAGCTGGTCAAGTTGAGTTCGGTCAGCGATTGAAGAGGCAATGGAAGAATTGGTTGAACGACGGATGGGTCGGATTCGGGTTGGAGTGAAAGTTCCAGACATGAAAGTTAGGAAATACTCACGTCTATTGCGGCCGTTTTCTGTCGTCCCAGGCTAGTCAGCGATGCGAATGGGCTAAATAACGTACACTCACACTCATCGACAGTCAAAGGTCAAGCAGGGAACACGGTACACAGCCTCACGTGAATCTAGACTCTCTTGGCATCCCTGTTTGACTTTCACTCATTTCCACTGATCCACAGGTATTTACAGTGCAGCTAGTTTATCGCCAAACAGCTCTTTGAGGAAAGCATCACTATTAGGTGGACGCCCCAAAAAGTCATTCAACGAGTCCAACTCTTCCCGACTGCCCCCAAACTTGAGAATCTTATCGCGATAAAGTTTGCCTCGTGCCGGGTCTAAAGGATCACCTTTGAACACCGTGGCTGTAAAAAAAGTACTGAATCAGCAACAAAGGAGCGCGATGAAATCAGAGCTCGACAGACCATACATGTCCGAAGCGAAAACAAGCGAGTAAGTATATCTAAACAGGGTCAACTTCAATCAACACCTTAGAACCTGCTCACTCACCCATAGTAGCCGGCATCGTAGCCTCCAGAAATGTGGCCAAATGACCCTTGGCCGGGGCAGGGCTTGTCGGATTTGACGAGCGAGATCTCTTCACGCATTCGGTTCCACAGCAACGTGTAGTCTTCGTGCTCTACAATGGCGTAAATAACGCACAGGACTCGTGATGAACAAAAATGCATGCCTTGGTCCGTGTGGACTTTGATGTCGAATTTGGCAAAGAACACTTGTCGCAAAAAGAACAGGCCGACATTCACATAGCGACTGAGGCGATGTCAGTCCTGCGATCCGTTCTCAAAATGTCCACTACCTCTTGATTATCTTATCAATCAGATCACCCGAAAGAGGTTCGTTAGTTTTGTAGTGTCTTGACATTTGTTTGAGGACCTCAGGCTCCCAACACCTGTCAAATAGATAAAGAGAAAGCTCATCCAACATATCACAAATACCAGTTCTCGAGCATTTGCGATGGCGCCTCTACGAAATCGCGGGCAACTCTGATCATATGAGTCGGGGACGGTGGATAAGGAAAACCACTTACTTCGTTCCATGGAAACGTGCAAACTTGGTCTGAGAGAGCAAGCCATGGAATACGTGGCCCATCTCATGGAAAAAGGTGACCACGTCGTCGTGTCGCATCAAAGCGGGCTTGTCGGGCGTGGGCTTGGCCAGGTTGGCAACCATGGCAGTCAACGGATACCGACGCTTTCCGTCCGGTGCTGTATACCCAGAAAAGATCGGCCAGACCGCTGCGTGCGAATATTTACCCTCTAGCAAGTGGTGTTGTTGAGTGGTAATAACTGTAGGGCAGGGAGAAGCTTCACCTCTAGGGAATAGATCGAGGAAGCAGTAACCCAAGAATCCACTCTGGTCCTTCGCATCCTTCTCCCATACTGCGTATTGCTGAACCTCTTTACAGTGTTACACCAAATAATTTGAGAATGACTAGATCTACCTGGATGCCAAGTTGTGCCGTTGATGGTCTCAAAGCGAACTCCGAGCATGTTTTGGTAGATTTCCATGATGGCAGGGACCACAACAGAAACCGGGAAATATTCCTTGACCAACATATCATCCAGATCCAGCGAGCTTTGGATGTACTTTTCATCGTAATAGCGATAGTCCCAGATGTAGAAGTGGCCATCGAAAGGAAGCCCGCGTGCTGCATGATCCTTCTCTTTTAATGCTAAGAGAGTTTCTCTGTCTTTCTTGCCCACCGGTTTGAGTTTGTTTTCGAGATCGTCAAGGAACTGCGAGGACTCAGACACCATTTGCGGTTTAGACTCGACCCACATCAATCACGCCTTTGGCAGACTTGACCATCTTGACCTCGGTAATATAGTCTGCCCTGTACCCGTGTAAGTTGTAATCTCTTGACACACGGCGCCGTACCATGTTGGGTAGTCGAGGACCTTTGCAATCTCACGACGCAGGGCCAGGAATCTGTCGACCAAAGGAACATTGATGGCCAAACGTGATTCGTGTCCTTCATAGGCCTTTCGACGCGTTTCTGGATTATTGGCGAATTTGAACTGAAAGACGAATGAGAATCGTGGTCTCACGAAACCAAATACACCTACTACGGGGAAAATGTCCGGAGTCTTGTACGTCACGTCATAGAGCTCAGTGGTGCCTTCGGTCCGTTTTGTGTAGCCCGAGATGACATCTGCGGGTACGCCGTCAAGCTCCTCCTTGGTAAAACTAATCAAGCCCTGGAAGAGATATCAATGGAGAGCTAGATGATGGTGGGGAGCTTACTTTCTCCTCGTTGAAGTTTTTCTGTGGGACGCGTTAACGATGCTAGGAAGACAGGATGTTTAATAAACTTGCATCGAATTCCAAGCAGACTTTGGAGAGCTCCTTCTGGAGCTCCTTTAATTTAGCTTGCTTATCTTCCGGTAATCCCAGACCTGAGCGTTTTCCATCCAGCACCTGTGGAAGACTATCAATGGAGGAGTGTGGGGTAGACAGGGGCACGGGACCATTTTATCGATGAGGCGACGGTCCTCTGAAGAGAGCTGGTCCCAAACCCCACTAGACTTTATATTCTTTTCCGCTGCGAGTTTGGCTTTGAATACATCGACACGCATCGAAGACTCGACGCCATATTCACGAATGAGGCCATCAGCATCTGTCGAGGCATCGCGCAGCTCTTTTGAAGGAGAAACGTTTTGGTAGAATGAAAGAGGCTCGGTGACTACTTCGAAATCTGTGCCCGCGTTGGCAAGAGTAACGAATACCGATTCGAAGTTGCATTCCTCTGGCGTAAGAGCTCCAACTTTATCGTCAATGGCACGGTCCTTAGCAATGATTTCCTTTGTGATGCGTAGGACGTCCTCTGGAGTATCTTGCCATCCTGGTGGGGGGAATGGAGGTGTGAGGGACATTGGTGACGACGGTGTGATGAAAGTTGAGAGCAAGTGGGCGCGTGGAGAGATCGCCTTGAGGCTCGTGAGCTGTCGAAGGAAGTTTGGTGTCAAGCTGGACCGGTTGACCGTGATGCGTCTGCCTAGTTCTGGGTAGTTACTTGTAATGAAAGTTCGCGACACCACAGCTGCAAAGCCCACCGCCAAAGCCGTCAAACCAACTGGAAATTGCCTGGGACGTTTGGGGTGCAACTGCCGAAGAGCGGCATTTTGAAAGGCCATGGGTATAGATTTGAACCGTATCCGAGTCCACCTTGACCCTCAATGTGGCTGAGTGAACGCGGAGACACAGCGCGTAAGTATAGAGCAAAAAATAACTGCCATCGACCTGATCGCGTCGCTTAACGTGACAGCACGCAACTTGTTCTCGACTATCATGCTCGACTCTCCAGAATTGGGTGTATGGAGGGAGATCCACCTGCTTGGGTTGTGCTCACACTGACCAGGACTTTGATATTATGGAGGAGCTCGGTTCAGGCAACCGAGCCACAGTTTATCTTGTGAATTGCAAACGTGGTCGGCTGAGGAATCGCCAACTTGCTCTGAGAAAAGTACGCCTATGAATACGTCTCTCAATCTTTCGCAAACGAATCCAGGTTGTCTCTCCAAACTCATCTGAAATAACACGGCTTTCCGACTCGTCTGCCTTGCACCTTTCCTTATCCCACCCTTCCATCCTCTCGTTGTTTTCTACGTTCTCTACCCCGTCAGCACATTTCCAACTGTTGGAATTGGCATTAGGCGGTTCTTTGTCTTCTCATATTTCCGGCGAGACTCTATCTGAAAATCACCTCCGCTACATCGTCAAGGGTATAGCCGATGCACTACTCTATCTTAAAAACGAAGGGGTTGTTCATCGCGATATTCGTCCATCCAACATACTCCTGGCTACAGACGGTCGTCCTGTAATATTTTCATTCTCCGCATTGTTGCCACTCAGACGCGGGTGGTTAGAAACTTTCGGGCTTTGAGCTGGCAACAGCTTCCCCACCCTCGAAGATATCACTGGATTACTTTGTTGAAGAGGCGCATCATTATGTTTCCCCGTTCGCTCCTCCTCTTCATCGCATCAACCCACTGAGCAATCACCGCAGTGAGATTATCGCTGGTCGATTGCACAGTTTTGAAGCTGATTGGTGGTCCTTGGGCTGTGTTGTGTTTGCCGCCCTTTCTGGCAGACCACCGTTTAGAGTGTGTTGTTTTCATCTCGAGCGAATTTTTATGCTGAAGTCGACATAGGCCGCATCTGTCGACGATACTAATGCCAGGATTCTTCGTGGGTACTGCGAAATTCCAACTGGTATATCCATCGAGGCCCGGCAACTGCTTTCTGGCTTGCTCGAACCTGTAAGCGAAACCTTGGTTTGCATTCATCTGTCCTTTTCTTCTCTCTAGAACCCTAAATGGCGAACACCCCCAAGTGAAATTTTGGCTCTACCTTTCTTTGACGGAACAGCCATTCCTTTGACCCTCACGAGCCCAAATACTCCAGAAGACCTTCGCAGCAAGCATGCACTCTTTGAATCAAGATCAAAGCCTTCAAGTTCAACGATCACTCCTCCGCGCCTCAGACTCAATCGGCACCCTTATGCGCCTAATCTCACTCACGTGGACGATTTCAGGAATACTCAAAAGCGTGCTGCTCTTCGCGACGAACTTCTAACTAGGCGCATAGTCTCCGATCCTCTTCCTTCCAAGTATCAACGACTTCGGCACCACTCTTTGCTGTCGCGAACAAGCCCCAAAACACATTCTCAAGATGAAGAAGCAAACCGTCCAGTTACTTCCCCATACAAGACCAACTTATCAAATGTTTGTTGATTGACGCTCAAAAACCAGTTAACATGGGCCTAGATCTTACCAATCGGAACAACGCGTCCTGTCCCTTTCTCCACGTCTCTGTTACCAGCAGAATCGCACAAAACTGTGCATGGTCAAATCACGGTCTTTCCTTCGCGTTCTTTACTGGTGGACTTTCGAGAATCTGAACGACGACGCGGCCAAAAAGGCACGGAGGTTTTGTTGATAGATTCTCGGGGACTAGAGGTCGTTCCCTGCTCTAATTTCCTTCCGTGAGCTGATCTAGATTTGTGCAGGTGGGAGTTTATGCGGCGCCACATTTAAGCGCGCCATGCTGCATCACGGAACCCACCAAGCAATTCAAGATCGAAGATCTGCCGCTGACGTATTGGAGACAATATAATGACGCCGCATTGCTTGTTGAGCGTATTAAGCAACGGACCCCGAAGGTATTGACTTCAGAATCGTATACCCAGCTTACTAGACTAGCAATGGTAGCTCATGCTGAATCTGGGTTTCGTTCAATGCACCCTCATGGCAAATTCTACCCCTGCGGACATCGAGCTTCTATCGGGACGACCTGCAACTCGAAAATCAGCTAATCCAAAGCAGTCTATTGATAACGCGCAATTGCGGCTCCGCCTTTCTCGCCAGCTAGGTTCTCTTGAAATAGCGAAGCATGTATCTGGAGCTCAAGGCGAAGAATGGACGAAGCGGATACTCAAGACCGTGAAGGAAGACTCGAGCCATATCTGCTCTGCGGATTGGGAGAGCTTAGATGACGATGAAAAGAACGCGATGGAGCATTTGAATCGTTTCTGGCGGCTTTGCGTCTTTCTCGAGGAGCAAGAACGTCAAGTCAATGGAGCCTCAAAATCCCAGTCGCCACAACGAGTCGAGCCACGTATTTCTCTTTCAAGCATCATAAAAAGCAAAGCTCCTACTCCGCCTCGCCCTCCCAGCCCTAGTTCGGCTTCGACCCGCCGACTTTCTGGGGTCTATATTCCTCCCCGACCATTGAAATTCCCAGCACTACCTCCCCGCAGACCAAGCAGCTTTGCGAAAGTCTCTTTTGCGAGCAACGGGGCCAGCATCGAACCCCAGCATCCGTCAGTTACGGGCAAGACACACTTGGCGACTTGGTGCAAGGAGGACGATATTGAGGATGTGCCGCCCCCGTTGGCCGAAACAAAGTATATACCTTCAGTTGGCTGGTGCATCCGACAAAGCTCGCGAGTGACCCAGGGTGGGCGGTACAAGATTATGTTTGTGGACGGTGCGGTTTTGGAAATTGACGTTGATGAAGATTGGGCCGAATTCACGGGCCAGGATGGTTCAACCAAGAGGTGGGTATCCTTGAGCAAGCTATGAACAGACTGACCGATAGTGCTGCCAGGTATAATATCCGAACGGGGAATATGATGCGACCGATTGCAGACAGGATGAAGGCCTTCGGAGAGTTTGTTTCTATGTTCGAAGAGCAGTCTACCTCCCGATAGATTATTAAGCTGTTTACTAAGCATGCTTATGTGTGGTATATGTAACTACTTTTTCTGAGCAGCCGCCAGATGCTCCTCCTTCCACCAATCCACCATCAACTTGACACCCTCCGCAACGCCAACCTTGGGCTCGTAGCCCAATAACCTCCGTGCTTTCTCGACATTGTGCCATCGATGAGCACACGAATACGAGACTTTGAATCGCGTGAAAGTTGGGTCCGTCCCTCGTAGCCAGCCCCACCACTCAGCAGCGCTTGCAAAAAACATGCCTAGTTCTCTCGGTAACACCCACAGCCGTTTCTTTTTGCGGGCTTCAGCTTGCTCGGGGAAGAGTGGGTCCAGATGGTGGTATATGAGCCGGGTGAAGTCCCAGAAATAACAAGGTTCGCCGTTGGTGATGAAGAAGGCCTGGCCGGCAACTTGGAGTGGGGAGCTGTCCGGGTCGGCTAATTTTGCTCGCGCAATTGAGTACTCGGATAGAGCATCGAATCTGGTGCGAACTGCTGGCCGTTGCTCTGTGGCGATTGGACGACTCCAAGCTGCTTGGATTGCATCAGCATTTGGAGGGGGTGTGACACATGGACCGAGCGGACGGGCTTGAGAAGTGGGAATGCGATGAGCGCCAGTGGTCAGGCTGATGGAGGGAAGGCTGCTGCGGACAATGCTAGCCTCTTTCTGGTTCAATGGTGGTACCTCTTCGGGATATTGGGGAGGTTCGGGGAGTTCAGACAGCGGTGGTCCAGGTAATGGGTCGTCCAATCTGTCGGCAGCAAGCAAATGAGCCGCAGCGACGTTGCCGACGTAGGTCCAGTCAAACAAATTTGTATTGTCGCCAATTTGAAAGTGGGTTTGACCGCGTTCGTAGACCTGGTATATCCCAGCCATTACTTGACGATCTCCTGGGCTAAAAACGAGTGAGAACATAGAGATAAGGTGGAGAGAGTAAACGCACCCGAAAATACCCGCGGGCCGCAACGCCACAGTGAGAAGTCCGTTCTTCCCATTGGCGGCGAGGACAGCAGCTTCGGCTTGTGCCTTGGAGTCGTTGTAAGCACTCTTGGGCACCTTGGGGAGCGGTGTCCGCTCATCAACGTCAATGAGGTCATCGCCAGTGAAGACGATACCCGCAGAGCTGGTGAAGACCAATTTGCGCACGCCAGTCTCGATGGCGGCAGCAATAATTGCGTTTGTACCGCCAACGTTTACACGATAGTAGAGGTCCGAGTCTTCGAGTTTTAGGGCTGCTGGAGGAGAGGCGGTGTGGATAATGCAAGTGGTGCCAGTTTTGCGGAGAACATCAGCGACCTGAGTTTGGTCGGTGATGTCTGCAGGGTAGAAGGGGACGTCATGGTAGCGCTGGACAATGTCTAGCACTGCGACAGTGTCATGGCGGTCGAGAAGTTGCTGGACAATGTGCCTGCCAACGAAGCCACTTCCGCCAATAACTAGGTAGATGTCGGGCATTGGAGAGAAAAAGCAATCGAACCACCATTCGAAATGTTTTTGACACGCCTCGTCACGCACACGGTCACGCTCTCACATCCTCCTTCAGAGTCCCTTCAGTCCTTTAGCTCAAGTTCCTAGGGCCGTTGTGGTACGAGTTTTGGGGGGTGTACAACCCTTTCAATATTGGTTATAATTACCAATTACTTTATTTGTGTAAATACCCCTGGTATAGCTAGGATCACTGGTGAAGAAAACAAGGTCGAAGACTCGAAGCCGATGTAGCTTTATTCGCTCTAACTACGCGTCCAACGCACACAATATGTCGAAAACATCTCAGCTCAAGGGGGTGAACTATGCTGTAGGGTCGGTACGCGTTGTGTCGCGGATCACGTGGCCGATTTCTCTTGTGTTGACGACCACCATGTTCACAGAGTCGGAGAAACACCATCTCACTACCAACCTCAACATCGAGGTCCAGCATCGCCATACCCAGCTTACATCATGGCTACACGACCATTTGGAAAACTTCACGCTGCACCAGGAGGGTCTTGTTTCGAGAATACCCAAGCAAGTCCGCGCCATGACACTGCGCGATTTCCAGAAGTACAATGGCAACATGCAGAATGCACTCCGTGCTGTTCAGCGAGAACGACTGGCTGCCGTTGGCGCCACTGAAATCGACAAATCAACCAGGAAGAGGAAATGGGTTGCGAGCCAGGAGACGGAGAACGAGCCGCCTGCGGCCTCTGAGAAATCTTCCAAAACAGGTTCGTCGCTGTCAATGGTCTTGTCCCCTGTGTTTATGTTCATCACCTTCAAGCACGTGTAGCGTCGCCAGAGAAGAAGAAACCCGTTCCGCCTCGAATCCGTGTTCTCTCGCAAACAGCAAATAAGGTCTGTTCTTGTCATGTCTGATTTATCGCTTGCTAAACTGAGTTAGCCGCGACCGTTTGGCTCCCCGAGTCCCCAGAAATCTCGTGCACCATTTAGTACCTCGACACAAAGCCCACGACCCATGTCACCTACCAAGTTCAAACCTACTTCATCTTCCTCCCATACCCGAGTCCCTTCCCTTGCCACATTCAACCCCGCTGTTCCCAAGACGCCAGGCTATCCAACAGGTAGTCTTCGCTTACCGCGCAAACACGAGAGCATGTTCAGTCTGAACGGTTCTCCCATTGCCAACCCACATGACCTTGAACCAGTGGCAGCACCAACTTTGAAGCGGACAAAGAGTAATATTACAATCTCGCGGGACCCGTCATTCACCCAAGACGCTCGCTCACGTACCACTTCGCAATCTTCGACCACCCAACATCAATCTTTTTCATCGTCTTCATCACTCGATGGTGGTGTTGCCCTCCACCCTACACATCCCTCCGCGCCCCATGAGCGAACGAAATCCGAAGTCAAGTTCAAACAATTCAAATTTCCCCAGGCGCCAGTAGCGGAATCTGTACCAATAACCCCTGCTCCTCGACGGCCACTACATACCCGCGCACAATCTACACTTCCCATCACATTATCGACCAAGGACGGCCATTTGCTTACTTTCGATGCTCTGGAAGCTTCGCCCGGACAACTGGAGGCATTGGAGGGCATTAGTAATAGTGCGAAGAAACAAGCACGGGAGGAGATGCGGCAGTTGGTTAGGGCTGCAGTGGACAAGTGGACTGTCTGAGGATCGTATTTACTGCCAACATCTACATTTTGTATACGCCTACTTAGTCCAGCATTCTTATGTAAGCCGCACGACACATTTGACCATCTCGGTTTCGTATCTTGACCACCATTTCGGATGCTTTCAGACTATGGCAAGGTAAGTATGGTGATCACTCTCTGAGGGGTAATCAAACCGAAGAGCTTGTTGTTTGAGACGAAGCAAACTCGACAGACTGATGGCACCCAATGCAAACCCGCTACCCTGGGACAACGAGAAATTACCACTGGTGACATATCCAATGATGTCCGACTGCGGTGGTATGGTCGTCCAAAGTTTCTGACGGGGAATCAGCGCAGTTCAAGTCCTTGGCAGCTACACACATTGCCTTGAGCTATATCTTCAATTTCAAACTCGTCCGCTGGGTGATGTTGCCAGAGCTGGATCTCCTCGTCCTCGACAAAGTAGATGACAGCCAATTCGTGTGGGTTTCCTCGCTTCTTCGGCGTGACCTTGACTCGAACCAAAGCACCCTGCAGCAACGCATCGGGTTTGGTAGCTGCCATGCGCAGCCCACGATCAGCACAACGAGTGTTGAGTTCGTCATATAATGAGACTGAAGGATTGATGTGGGGCTGAATCATCTTCTCCACAAGACTTTTAACGAGTCTGCCGCGAAGAAGCCATGGTTTAATGACATCTTTCTCGGCTGCATCTGGTTCTCTTTGGGTCGTGACTAGACCATCCGCCTCAGACGACTGCAATCCCAGAACAACTTCCCAATCGGCTCGCCAAGGACTGCGTGTATCAGTTGATTCATAATTATGGCGCTTTGCTGGCGGAGTGCGCTCCCAGCGCGTACGATCTTGTGTTTCGCGCTCCTTGGCGACTTGTTCATAGGTTGCACAAAGTGGATAATCGTGGGGGAAATAGCCAGTCCCCGCTTCGAATGCTTGAACTCGACGCTCACGTTGCCCGGCAACTCTTGTGCCAGTGTAGGTAAGTGATGAGAAGAAGGGCATCGACCAGCCTGCGGGAACCAAAAGGGTCCAGCCATAAAGACTCAAACTAGACGAGGAATCCTGCTCAACGGCTCGTTGAATGAGCATGACTGGTATACGGTCATCTTGACGTAGTGGGTCAAGTTTGGTGCCTGGGACGAGATGCTGCACAAGTTAGAAGACAACAGCATTAGAGAGAGAGTTAGAATAACCTGGGATCGTCGTTCATCAATGTCTGCCTTCTTATAGCGTGGTTTTCTGATATTGTCGCGAACGGAAGAGTCCCAGAGTTCTGTTTGAGCGAGAGAGCTAGAGGGCTGGATGGGCACGATTGTGTTCGTTATCTGTGGCTTGGCGTTTTTCGGAGGAAATCTAGTTCAGGTGAGGGGACGATCAGATTTTTTTGGCGGACGGCGCACTTGAGTCGAGGGTCAAGAACCTTCAAGCCTATAATCATTGTGCGAGGCAAAGAACCAGAACTTTGCAAATCCGACATGGACTGCCAAAACTGTGAACGAAACTCAGTTCCATGCATACCATGAACTATGGAAACAATTAGCCTTTTTGAAATCCTCTCTTTCGTCTTGGGAAATGGGAGTTAAAGCGCCTTTTAAAACCTGGCTAGCCTTGGGCCCCATGATCTCAAAGGCATTCAACTGTCCACTGATGTCTTCAAGCTCAATACCAACATCCTCCAACACAGTGTCTTCAGGAGCAGTAGCACGCGCCGCTTCGAGAGCGATAGAAGCAGACTCCTTGATTGCAGTGAAGACTGTATCAGAGACGGAGGGATGCGACCGTAGCCAGACAGTCCGCATATCTGCAGTGGAAGTCCGCTCCTCCGATGCCTTTTCTTTGCCCTTCTTGCTGGGTTTGCTTAATGGCTGAGCGGTGCCAAGGTTACGAGGCTTCCAAATGATAGTTGCTGTACCAACAAATCCATAAGGGTATTGGTGTGGTTCGTAAATGTGAGTTTCGCAGGTTCGAAAGCCAGAGTGGTACCTAGCCAATTAATATTTATTATACGCTGCTGGTTCGGCGAGTGACTCACCGTGGGGCTCCTGGGGGAGCTATGTCTTGTGGGTCTGAAATCAACGTCAAAATCTTGTTTAGGATGTTCTGAGGCCCGCGTATTTGGAATGTTGCGTAATAAGACGCGTCATGTATGATCGATCCGTGAACTGAAGCGCGATGAGAGGGACGAAATGCTTTCTCAGTCGGTGTCACAGCCTACGAAGACGTCAGCAGTCCGCAACAAACACAGACAATGGCACACACGAGACGATAGCCCCACATATTCTCCATATGCATGCGCTTCGCGTGCCATATATGAGTCTCAAGCCACGACTTGTCCTCTGTTTCGGAGATGAATGGCACGTAGAGAGAATCTAATGAACTTTTTGCTCACTTTGTCGTCTGATAAAGCTTTCGGTTCGACCAACTCTCTTCTCTTTGCCGTGTTTTGGTCTGAGGCGTGCCAAAGGTTTCCGTTTGAGAATAGTATCCTTCATCTGGACAGGATCTGAGTATATTGCCGTAGTTTTGCACGACAAATGTACAAACCTCCTGACGCGCCTTATCCCGAAGACGGATTGGCATTCGTCGAATATTATGACTGGCGGCTCTGCGACGAAGAGCACGAGGAAGAGTTTGCCATGTGCGGTGGGTTGCGGAATCACTTCATAAAATGAGAAACGAACGAAGCGAGAGTCGATGAGCCAAACTTTGCGCTTTTCATTGAAGTGTGCATTGCCTTGATCTCAAATTGTCGCGCATCTGCAAATTTCTCGGTATCAAGGGTCGCAGGCAAACGTTTCCCTATTCACAATCAACTTTGGACAGGTGAGCTGATTTCCACAACACACCCTGAACAATGGTAGGAGCTGTGGAGGGTCCAGCGGTAGCATTTGGCTGAACCGGAATTGTACGCGCATCTTTGAGCTTTTGTCGCTTGCGGTCGCGACCTGACTGTTCCTCTGCTTGTCGTTTGGAGGACATCGCAAGTCACGCTTGTCACACAAACCCATGTCTTCTTTGCGGACTGTGACGGCTCGCGCCCTGCGTGCAACTCCAGCACGGTCCCGCCCTTTTTCTACCTCTAGAACATGTAGGGAGGTGGTGGTGGCCGATGTCGGCGTTCCGACCCCCCAGAAAAAACCAGTTGGCGCTGTTCGTGGAGGGTCAGCTCTGTAATGTTCAGCATCAACTTTCAGTTCATTTACTTGGCTCAGTATAGTCGGTTTTCTCGCTGGCTTCTCTCTTGCGGCATCTGTTGCTGCTTACAACCTTCTTGATCAATACAACACGGCTTCAGCGGCTCTTCAGGCAAGCGTCGATGAATTGAAGCAGAGCACTGAACAGGTTCAGTTCATTTCCATTTTCTGGCCTGAACTCACCCAATGTGGTATAGATTTCCACGCATATTAGGCGGATTGAGGCCGTTGAGAAGGATCAGAAAGCCTTGGCTGACAAGACCGCCCGGAAGGAAGATCTATCCAAACTCCGCTCAGAGGTCAAACAGTTGTATGACGGACTCCATGGTGGTGAGCAAATTACTCGAAGACGTCGTGTCTTTCTGACGCTATCACCAGAATTTGTGGACATGCGTTCGCACGTATGGGGAATGCGTAAGTCACCGCGATTTCTTGGTAAATCGAAATCACTAACGAGTAACCAAAGAACAAGACATCCATGCATTGTCCAAGAAAGACAGTACAACTCCCGGTGTTCGGATATAGGTTTTGTCTCTACTACTCCCCTCGAAGATAGATGGTTCCAAAACCCCGCCTCGTTGTGAACGATTGGTGCTTATCCGAAGCTGACCACAACATCCTACAACCACCGAGTGTTTCCGTCAAGTTCCAACCCTGACGTCTTTGATCCCCCCCCTTCCTCCTGTATAGTCGGCCGCCATTTATACGGCCCTTTTTCATTATGCACCGACCATTATTCTGACGTTTTCGATGTTGTGCAAGCAAGCGGATCGCTCATTTCCGCGGGCAAACCTCGGAGCCAGCAGCCCGGGTTGCTTTGACATATCATTGTCAGTCCACTGCGCTCGTTGTTGAGAAATCTTTTTGGCAAGAACTTTGGATCGAGACTCAAAAGTCTAAATAGGGGCGGCTATGTCGGACCAAGGGGTGTCGTATAGGGAATAATTGGGTCCGCTTCAACGTTTTTCTCGCATGGATTGTGGTGTTGTGTGCCTGCGTCTAATTTCCCTAGCGACCAACGGTAACCGACGATGCCATCATCATGGAAGATCTTTTTAGACCATTTTATTGCGTCCGGTTCCTACGCGAGCGCGCTTTAAAAGACGAGCTTCTCTTTCAGAGTTCTTTAGTTCTCAACTCCCTCCTGTGTCTTTGCCAGTCAAGACAGGTTCTTGTTGTTTCGTCGTATCAACTTGGTTCTTGGTAAGTTTCTTGCAATGGGTTTCTTTGTCTTTTCTCATAGTTTCTCGATAGGTCCTTTCTTTTTGCACCCACTTTCATTCGAAATCTCGTTCTGCTGGACAACACCCATCTTTTCAACATGCTGTCCTACAAGACCGTGCTCCTTGCCCTCCTTTTCTCTTCTTCATCATTGGCTCTGCCCATTCGCCGTGAAGTGCCTCAGGAGCATTCACATGAGAAATTTTTGAGATCCGTACAAGCAAGCTTAGTGAAGAACAACCCAGCCGGCATTGTCGACTCCGTTTTCGGCCTTCTCGGAAACGCGGCTGCCTCGCAAGGACTCGGCAAAATCGCCGTGCGTGTTCTTGCACTTGTTTCTTTTCGCGTATCTCGATCTTAATTTGGCGATAGGATCCTGACTGTCTTCAACAAGCCACCGCCGACCAAGCATTCACAAACGCCAAAGCTGCTGGCGACATTCAAGGCCAGGTCGATGCATTGATCTACCGTGGTCTGGAGCGAAACTCTGGCAAGGTTGGCGCGACCACTGCCGCCTGCAAGAGTATCAAGGCTGTCAACCCAGAGATCGCAGCCATTAGTCAACACCAAGACCCTGCCTCCCCGAACGCGGCCGCCGTTAACAAGGCCATCACGCTGGAAATCGCCAAACAAATTGCATCCGTTGGCGGCAACCCCCTCGACGCACTCCAAGCTGGCACCTTTGCGCCTGGTAACCTGAACGACAACACCGGCAAGGGTAACACCTGCGACGACGCTAACGATGCGGTCGGCTGTATCATCAGCCAAAACCTGCTTGTCGAAGGTTCGTGTTGACCTTTCATCGCCGCTAGCTATTTGTTGACTCTGTTTCTTTCTCAGACGCAAGTGAGGCTGAGATTCAAGCCGCCGTCGCCGGCGTGTCGAAGAACGCTGGTTCAGCTAATAACAATGGCAACCAGAACAATAATGGATCCAACGCTAACAACGGTGCTGCTGCTGCTCCCCCGGCCGCATCGTCTTCGAACATCGGCAACTTTGGTGTGTCTTGGCCTTTTCCCTCAATGAATTCGACTTAGCCATAACTAGGCAAATGCTCGGTCCCCCAAATCGAATTCGGTGTCGGCTTTGACAACCGCAAGGAGACTTCGTTCCAGCCCGTCGACAAGCAGTCGTTCAACCACGGTTCCGCTCAGGCAATCAAGATCATCACCCAGTTCATTTGTGACACGTTGACTAACAGCTGCGGAGCTGACGCGACCGCCAAAGCCACATGCGCTAAAGCTCAGGCTGCTGCTGACGCTGCGCCCCCCAAGACTGGTATTGACGCCGATATCTTCAACGGCTTCTTTGGCATTTCCACGGTACGTCATGTGGTGTTTCCATCTCGTCGATATGATGTGACCTAGAACTTCCGCAATATTGCGGCTGTTGACGACCAAGGACGGGTCGTTGCTGGTTCGACTGGTGGACAAGTTTCGGTCGCCCCAACTGGTGGAGCAGGCCAAGCTCAAGCCCCTCCTGCCAATAACAACAATGCGGCTTCGAACAACAACCAAGGGAACCAGAATAACAATGCCGTCGCCGCTCCCCCAGCTGCCTCGTCCTCTGGCATCGGTAACTTTGGTATGTGTCCTTCACGTCAATAATCGTTGGCTGACTAGCCAATAGGCAAATGCTCTGTTCCTCAGATTGAGTTCGGTGTTGGCTTCGATAACCGCAAGGAGACCTCTTTCCAACCCGTTGACAAAAAGTCGTTCAACCACGGTTCTGCCCAAGCCATCAAGATCATCACCCAGTTCATTTGCGACACTCTGACCAACAGCTGCGGTGCCGATGCTACTGCGAAGGCTACTTGCGCCAAGGCTCAGGCTGCTGCTGATGCTGCGCCCCCCAAGACTGGTATCGACGCCGATATTTTCAACAGCTTCTTCGGCATCTCGACTGTATGTTCTGATCTGTTTGATGATGCGAACAATCCATCTGATTTGATTTCCTGCAGAACTTCCGCAACATTGCTGCTATCGACGACCAGGGCCGAGTTGTTGCCGGTTCGACTGGTGGACAGGTTTCCGTCGCCCCGACTGGCGGAGCTGGGCAAGCTCAGGCCCCTCCTGCTAACACCAACAAGGGTGGAAATGGCAATGCCAACAAGGGTGGAAATGGAAATGCTGCTTCCCAAGCCCCCGCCAACTCCGCGCCAGCGGCTACCGGTGGAAACGTCCAGACTTTCACTGGAAACCTAGGGGGTGCTGCGCCCCCAGTCGTCCCCGGTGGAAAGGGCTTCATCATCAACGGATCAGAATTCATCAACAAGGCCGGCGCGCTCGGTCGTTCGTGCGACATCCAACACAACGCCTGCGCCAACGCCGCCAACTCTGGGGCCGGGTTCAGCGTCAGTGCTTGCGATGCCCAGAATACGCAATGCCACAACGCCATCAACTAAGTTCTCCCAGTAATGTTCGATTCAGTCCCCGTCTGTAGCATGAACCGTCTCTCTCCACGTACTCTCTCACTTTGCTGCCCCAAACTCGATGTATGGGTCTCATTTCTCTTGCGTCACGACCAAGCTGTATCCTTAACACTGTTCCTAATGGCAATATAAACACATCTGTGGATACCCTTCATAACCACACCAGAGTCGCTTTGACAGATTCGGAAGTCCAAGACACAAACTTGAAGAAGCTCCCCAAAAAAGCTTAAAGAAGCTGGGTCCTAACCATATCGAGGTCATCTCCATCAATGTTAAAGGTCACGACACCGTGAAAGGAGTACAAAATGCGTTGAATTAAAGTATCGAGGGCGAAAGCAGGCAACCAAACAGTCTACAGTGAACAATACACGGGTAATCAATATCTGTCGACCTCAATACCCGAATCGCTGGCGGTGAGGTCGTTGAACATGGGACGCATTTGAGCAACCCCGTGCGCGTTCTTGTAGAAGATGACATCGCCTTCGTCCTCGACAAACTAGACAGCAACGATCAGATGGCGACAGGTTATGAAGAAATAACAACCGGACCTTGCACTCCTTGTAGACACGGTACATTTCACTCCAGCCGCCCGGGGCGCCATCCAGACGGATTCCCGTTGGCTCGAGAACTTTTCGCAGAGCGGCGCTAGCCTCCCAACTGGAAGGGTATAAGAATTGACAACAAATAGAATTAACTGGGCATACGCGTTGTAGTGAGGAATCTTGCTGCAGACGTGATGGAGAAGATGGGTTTCCGAGATACCAAGACTGGATTCCGATATGAGAGCGTGCAGCAACGGAAATGGAGGGAAACGAACGTGGCATGGGCGCCGATCCAGCCCATAACGCTTCCCAAGTCGCCCATGAGGCTCCGATCGAGAGTCGAGAGAGCTCCACGAGGGAAAGTAAACTCAGATGCCCGGTAGTGAGGAAGAAGAGGGTCGGTGTGCTGAAGGAAGGTAATCAAGATGAGCCAGTGGTTTACCCTGATGAAACTGGTAAATCTCACTAGCGAGAACGGCGGAAAAGGAAACAAACCAGAGATAAGGCACTCCATACACGACCATAAATGTCGCCCAACCCCAGGTGTTGATTGCAGCGGCAATACCCGCAAACCACAAGAAGATACCAACATCAGACATTATAATTTGACGGTAGTGATGAGGAGAGAACATGGCGGCATTCGGGTTGAAGTCTAAAACCTGTTATTGGCTAATGCGGCGATAAGGTAGACTGAACGCGTACGATTCGTTCCTTTGGGATATCGAGCTTGCCCCGAAGCATTAATGATGAGGTAAAGTGGCCAGCCAATGACCTAAAACTCAAGTTAATTGTTGGTAATTTCGGGAAGTAGCAAGCACACAAGGTAAGACATGAAGCCAAACGTTGCCCCAAGAGGAGAGTCGCCCAATGCCTCCCACATTTCTTTCTTGACCTCCTCAGACACGTTGGCGCCAAGCAGGTCGTCACGCTTAGGGTCGAGAGGTGGGAGACCCATTTGAGAGCGTGTTCGGGGAACAAAGACCTGGTCCTGCGTCATATGGCCAGTCGAAGCGTGGTGTTTAGCATGGGTAATTCTCCAGGAGTGGTACGGGACACCGAGTCTGATCAAAGTAAGTAACGTGTGATTGAAAGACGGAATGCAGCGGCGTACGCAGAATGAAGAATCCAACCGACAGTGTTGTTGATGGTCTTGGACTCAGAAAATGCTTGATGTCCAGCCTCGTGTGCCACGACCTAGTGGAAGAATTGAGACAAATGGAGAAAAGAGGACGACGACAATCGCACCCAAAGACCAGTGGCGAAAAGACCCGCCCAGAATCCATAGAGAGCCCAGATAGAGAAACGAGCAAAAGGATAAAGAGCGGGATGCGGAAGCGAGAGGGTTTGCGGGTTAACGAACGCATCCGCTAGTTTGGCTGCTTGGTAGCAAGCCAGGACGACGAACATATTCCAAAACCTAACAAGGGTGAGTGAAAAGAAAGGAGTCGGAAAGGCGAGAGTCGTACATGTAGACTGAGGAACGCAGTGCCGACCGCTTGAAACAGTGAGCGGGGATAGCGTTGAGCAGTTGCTTTATTGTAACGTCTGGAACGACATATACGCCTTGTTCATGCGTCTTTTGGGTGGCCATGGTGGTCTAAGGGCGAGTGGTGGACAAACGCCCGTCTATGGTCTAGATAAAGAGAAAGAGTGGTGGAGGTTGAGCGCAAGCGGGAAACCTAAAATTCATTTTGTGGCATCATGCCAATTTCCAAAAAAAGATAGGTCCCGCCCCAAAGAATATTATGTACGCCACTGCCCAGGCAACATCGAGTCTTTGTTCGTCAGTCTACTTCCACGGGAATGGCAGTTGTCGGGCAGCTGGACTGGATTAGCGACAAGTGGTTCGATATCGCTTCGATAAAACTTCGCTTTCTGAGGCCCCAAAAAGCTTGGAATTTTAGCGCAAAAACGACGATCAATTCCTTTCCTCGTGTGGAGTTGTGGACCAAGGGTATCAACCCGGCCCTCTCTATGTTAACCCTGCTCCTGTCTGACGAACGGTAGAAACGATATCGTCGTGGTCAAGTGATAGAGAATGTCTGTGCCCTACACCCATCAAATGGAGGCGTCATTGACTTGACAGTCTTTCCGCCACCATGTCCTCCGAATTGCTAGAGGGCCTTGTCTCCTCTAGCAAAGCATCAATCTCTGTTCTCCTTGTCCTGGTTTACGGCTACATTCTACGGAGATTTAGCTTCATTTCGGCCGAAGGAGAGCACGTATGTATGAATCCTGAGGCTTCAATCACAGCCGCGACTTGAACGTCAGCCCGCAGAACGTCACTCAATTATGCACGAAACTCTTTTTACCTGCCCTTTTATTCACCGAGATTGGGCCGCTGGCGACAGCGCACAACTTGAGGAGTTGTATGGCTAGTCTACACTTCCTTGTTCTCTCTGACATCGGGGGGAAGATTGGCCCATCATCCCGCTGTCACTCTTCTTCCAAAGCATCGCTTTACTGGCGGCAATTCTGTCTCGAACACTGGGAATGCCGCGACATCTGTTGGTCAATGTTGCATTCAAACTCGCTGCTGAAGATTGCCTATAGCATCCCAATGTTCATATTCAACAATGTCGGCAGTCTCCTTGTATTACCGTCTGACGACGATTTCCTTCTAGGTCACATCGCTTCCGCTCCTTTTACTCGGCGCGTTGGCTGCAACAGGTGGCCTTGACCCCTTGGTCACCCCAGAGAGACCTCTGGAAAGCGTCGTCAGGTTCGCTTTGCTATCCTTCCCTACAGATCTGAACATCCATGGCTAGGTCTGGAAGGGTCTATATCCTCATCAACGCACTCGTCGGAAATCTTGCGCGTTTTGCAATTGGACCTTGTAAGCGATTAGCTCATGCCTGAACTTGGTTCTGAACACACACCCTAGATCTTATGAAAGTTCCCGAGACCGAGGTACAGATGCACTCCTACGGGAACGGACCAGAAGAAGAGGAGCAGGATTTATTACCTGAAAATGGGCGTATTGCCCTACCAGAGGATGAGCCTCTACCCTCGTCATTTCGTCAACGGCTCGAAGCTACTCCTCATTCAATAAAGAGTATCGTGCGAATTCTCAACCCGCCTCTAGCGGGTGGCCTGCTCGCGTTAATATTTGGTCTCATACCCTGGTTTCATGCCAATCTTTTTGGTACCGGTGTGCTGTCTCCGTGCGCCTTCTTCTCACTTCGATGTGGCACTTAAATTCTAATCCTGGCCCAGTATTGCGGATAGCATCAACACCATAGGAAAACTCTTTAGTGCGTTGCAAATGCTTGTTTGTAAGGAGTAACCTCCTATTGGATCTCTTTGCTCATTAGTTCATTGGTAGTGGGTGCCAGCTTGTATTCGAAGAAGGGTTCCAGTGTCAAGCCAATACTTTTAGCTTGGCTTTTCACCTACCGCTTCGTGGTGGCTCCAGCATTGTCCATCGGCGTGATATATTATCTCACTCTGAGATGGCCCACTCTTCTGGTTGGTCCAGCCTTAGTGCTTATTTACCTTTAACAGTTTCCTCAGGGGAGTGATCCAATGCTACGCTATGTGTTGTGCATGTCGAACGTTGGTCCGCCAGCTTTAACGCTTTCCGCGGTCGCTGTCATGTATTTTGCTTTGTTTCTTAAACCTAAAGCCTTGGAACTCACACACTGGTGCCAGGGCGAAGCTGCCTCAAGATGAGGATGCTCAAGTCTCACGAATCTTAACGTTTTCATACGGCCTGTCGCCTCTCATAGCGTTCCCCGTCACGATAGCTTTGTCAATCACTAGAATATAAGGCCACCTTCTAAAGTAAGAACAGTAGAATAATACTTACCTGTTTATAACACACGAGTGTCACACATCACGTGAAGTCACATTTCCAGGTCACGTGTGCGCAATCCAACTCTTCTCAGTGCTCTCATCCTCCTCGCGATCCTCGCTTGTCGCCTTTAGTATCGGCGAGCGCAAATAATTACACTTGGCTAAAGCGCTTTTGCCTCTGATGGGAGACGCAATACCCCGATATCTTGCCAATTACTATCTCGGCGAGAATTTGGGCTCGGGTTACTCAGGTGCGCGCCCCACGCGACTCGATTTCTAGTAGCTCACTTCTTCAGGATCTATATACCGAGCCACACACATCCACTCGGGTGATATTGTTGCCCTGAAGGTGCAGCATGTCAATCACGAATGCCCCACCAACCGATATGAGCGAAGTTTTTATCCATCACTGCAAGGCGGCGTCGGAATGCCCACGCTCTGGGCTTGCGGGGTAGAGGGGCAGTGGGACTATCTGGCGATTGACCTCCTGGGACCATCGCTGGACTCGCTTTATCGGAAAAGTGGCCAGGAGACGATGGAACTGAGTTCTGTCTGCTCTCTCGCGATGCAACTCGTGAGTCTCTTTAGCTGCCCTCCTCGCAGGGCTAACCCCGATGTCAGATTTCGCGGCTAGAGTTTATGCACAGTAGAGGCATTCTACACAGAGACATCCAACTCGGGAATTGTGTAATCGGTCTACCGCCAAACGACCACATTGTGCGTGTCTCATGGCTCTCCCTTATTCTCTAAAAACCAGCATTTGCAGATCTATATGATTGACTTTGGCTTTAGCAAACGTTATATCGACCCATACACGTCAGTGTCTTCTATTTGGACATTTCTCTAGCCTTACACCGGCTCGTAGGAATCGCCATATTTCGGATTCAAGGGCTAAACGGCGAGTAGCAGTCTTATTTACGTATCCAGCGTATTGATGATTTGTTCCAGAGATTTTATCGGGAATTATTGGTTTTCGTAGGTGGTCATTACCTCTGCATTCAGAGCTTTCTGACCTCGAAGATAGTTCTGTTGGTGTGCATTGTCGTGGAAGAGGTATAACAACAGCAACTTTACTGATTACCATGTCTCATCGAGCCTAGTTCCTACACGCCGCGACGACTTGGAGGCAGCAGCCCTTATGCTCATTCACCTACTCATTCCCCGAGGATTGCCATGGACAAGAAACGGAGTGCCCAAGACCGACGAAGCACACGACCGTTTGAAGAAGGAGAAGAAAGCCGCTCGACCTGAAGACCTCTGCCGGGGACTACCACCAGAATTCGAAGACTTTTTACGCTATTCCCGAGGCCTGCAATTCTCCGAATGCCCAGACTACGAAAGGTGGCGAGAGGTGTTCAAGGATCTAGCGGTTGACTCTGGTTTCCCTGAGGAGGATGATTTTGTCTGGCCACCAGTGGAGAATGTATGTTTCATGCTGGTGCTGTCATTGGAAACTGAATGCTGCGCAGAAAATTCATCCAAGAGCTGGCCCGCGTCGTAGCCAGGCTCCACCGCCAGACGAAATGGCACGGATCCTCAATGATTTGACAAATCTTGATCTGGGCGAAGTCAGAATAGGTGATCGTGCAATAGTCGATGAAGCTGTCCGAAGAGCGAAAGCAGCAGCCCGAGATGATTCGACAAAGAGCCTGGAAGTCATTGACATCAGTAGCGACTCAGAAGAGGGCGACAACACGATTCCACCTCCACATTTGACACCGAAAGCGCACAAACTCATGAAACTGGTCAAACGCGCAGAGGATGCCACTGATAATTCAACACTGGCACAATGCGTGTTAGAGTTTGTGGGTATTCTCAAGTCCAACTCTTCAAGGACTCTAACGAAGGAGGGCTTTGCGTTCATTGACACACTTTGTAAACAGCTGTCCGACCCATCAGTTTTCATGCTCCCACTACGAACGTCGAAACAACGGTCGTCCGATAAAAGCATACAGCAAGACAAGGAGCCAGCCCATGTGAAGCTAGGTGTTGTGGCGAGTCTGCGACGCGAAGTGCAAACTGCTCGTAGCAACAAAGAACTGGCGCAGATGGCGGAGAGGTTTGGACAAGTGACAAACAAAAGCAACGGTCGAACTGTGACCAAGGTTCGTCAAGACGTCCATTTTTGCGCGAGTCTAGTTTGACTTTGTTTCCAGGATGGATTCGCCTTTTTTGAGGGCATGGCCGAAAGGCTCAAAGTATTGCATTAAATCAACAAATATTAGCCAATTGTAGACTATCTATCCAAGCATCTGTAGCCAATGGACATCGAACTTGTAACTGCATCACCGTTTGTGGCCGAGATCAGTCTAGACTCTCAACCGAAAACAACGACACTCAACTCTTCGTGCCATTCGCTATCGCGGAAGGCATGCTTGTGAGTGGTCCAGGCCCGCCAGGACAATCTCTGGTTCGCCCACTGCTACAGCCTCACAGAAATGAGCATGATGTAAGCTGGTCTGGGTCTAGAAGTTGACGCCGAAGCCGGGGCGTATAAAAAGTCTCACCCAGAAAGATTCAGAACTATCGATAAACCACCATGGCCTCCGAATCGTCCCTACAAGCCGAAGTAAATCGACTTCGCCTGCAAGTCGAACACCTCCAAGTTAAAGATGGCTCGGAACCCGTCTACATTGGCCAATATCTACTCACTAGATTGGAGCAGCTCAAAGTAACAGTGCGTACGACGTGTCCGCCCTATCCCCGTTACTCATGGCGGGTCTTAGAAAATGTTTGGCGTGCCTGGAGACTTCAATCTCGGATTCCTTGTTCGTTTCTAATGTCGCGTTTCTATTTGGCGATTCTTAGAAGATTCAGGATCTGGTTGAGGACCATCCTACAATCGACTGGGTCGGCAATTGGTTCGTCCTCCTTCCAGCACTTCGCGCCATATGCTAATCGCAAGTCCAGCAATGAACTTAATGCCTCTTATGCCGCCGATGGGTATGCTCGCGTGAAGGAACACTCTTTGGGCGTCGTTTTGACTACTTTTGGAGTCGGCGAGCTGAGCGCGACCAATGGTGAGTTGACCATTCAATCTCCCCCTATGATCTATTCTGAAACGAGTAAAAGGCATTGCTGGCGCTTTCTCTGAGATGGTCCCCGTGCTCCATATCGCAGGTGTGCCCAGCATGGCCCAGCAAAAGACGAAGCCGATGTTACATCATACACTCGGGGATGGACGGTCAGTTGGTTGGGGGTTCTGGCACCTGTCTAAACTCAATCTTCTCAGCTATGACGCCTACATCAAGGCCGCCGAAAACTTCTCCATCTCGCAAGCCATCCTCACCAGCAAAGAAAACGCGGCAGCGGAAATCGACCGCGTGTTGACCGACTGCATTACCCGCGCCCGCCCAGTCTACCTCACACTGCCAACAAATCTGGTCTACGAGAAAATATCGTCTGCCCGGCTCAAGATACCGCTCTCCCGCTTGCCGCCGCCCAATGACCCTGATGTCCAGACCTTCGTGATTGACGAAATCGTGAAGCTCGTTCAGGAGGCTGACGACGACGTTGTTGTCCTGGTCGACGCTTGTGCGATCCGCCATGATGTCCGTGAAGAGGTGAACGAGCTGATCAAGAAAACCGGTTTCCCGGTCTACTCCGCTCCGATGGGCAAAACCTCCGTCTCTGAAAACTACGAACGATATGGTGGTGTAAGCTATGCTCTGATCGTGCTCTTCACCGCTTGAACTTGCTGTAGATCTACGTCGGTTCAATCAGCCACCCTGAGATCAAAGAAAAGGTCGAATCCGCCAAACTCATTCTCTCCATCGGATGCTTGAAGAGCGATTTCAACACCGGAAACTTCACGTACTCGATACCTACTCCTCGCACCGTTGAGGTTCGTACATCATTTGGATGGCTTGAGAAAGCTTACATTATTTCGTTAGTTCCACTCAGATCATACGAAAGTGCAGTTTGCTGCCTTTGGTGGTATCGGGATGAAGGAGCTGCTACCCCAACTAACCTCCCGGCTACAACCCGCCAAGCGCCAGGTTGCTGTTCCTCCCTTCACTGCCGTTCTTCCACAAGAAAACAACGACATCATCAGTCAGGCGTGGTTCTGGCCACGCATGGGTCAGTTCTTCAAACCCAAAGATGTCATACTTGCCGAGACGGGTCCGTGTGTTTTTCGCTTCCAATTATCCTTGCTCACAGTAGCATAGGAACGTCGAGCTTTGGTATCTTGGATGTTCCATTACCCGAAAACTCTGTCTTCCTGGCGCAAATTCTGTGGGGCTCGATTGGTTGGACCACCGGAGCCACACTCGGTGCCGCATTTGCTGCCCAAGATGTCGGCCTTGGGCGGACTATTCTCTTCATCGGCGATGGCTCGCTGCAATTGACAGTGCAAGAACTTTCCTCGATGATACGCCATGGTCTGAAGCCGATCATTTTTGTGTTGAACAACGACGGATATACCATCGAGGTGCGGCGACTTGTGGCGCCGTTAATTGCCGGCTTCTAACTTGAGTTATCTCTAGCGCTTCCTACACGGAAAAGAACGCAAGTACAATGACATTGCGCCGTGGAAGTGGACCGGGCTGCTTGGGGTCCTGGGTGATGCGGATGGCACCAAGTCCAAGTCGTATACCGTCCACAACAAGGCAGAGTTGAGCGCCCTGCTGGACAACAACGAGTTTGCGGCGGCAGACAAGATCCAGTTGGTAGAGGTGATGATGCCCCGACTAGACGCCCCCAGCGCGCTGGAACGGCAAGCCGAGTTGTCGGGGAAAACGAATGCTTATGTCGCGGCATGAGTGGGAAGTTGCGGTGTTGTAAAACTATAAGCATAGACGGTCATGTATCTTTTCATCACGCTGTAAAGTAGACACTGAACATTTCATCTTCTCTCTCGGTCAATGGCACTCAAAATTGAAGCCTCATCCAGTGATCGGATCTTAGATTACCGTAGGAGCGGATCAGATGTCTTTTGACCAGCATCGAGCGCAATTCCTGTCTTGTTCGAGTGTACTCTATCCGGCACCAAACCTAACCTCGAAGCCATACGCAACAAACTTACCTGACACTGAAGGAATTCTACAAGTACAAAGCAGATTTCCATTGGTGTTACACAGTAAAATACATGCGGTGGTGGTACAGAGGTCTCAATCCTCATGCGATTTCGATCTTCTTGGGGGGCATATGTGGGGTGGATTTGGGATATGTTACGCTCAGCACGCCGTTTTCCATGCTGGCTTTGACTTGATCTTCCTGTCCAAGCGTAAGAAGAAGAAACGAATTCAAATCCAAGTGTGGAGCGACGAACGGTTACTCCCAGCGGCAGATGCAGGGTCCTCGAGAACTGACCATATCGACGATGCAATTGATTATCTGATCCGGGATCGGCCGATATCCGGAGCCGGCCGGGGAAGGCGTCGATGTGGATGCTCTCTTTGGGGAAGCCGGGCAGCTCGAAGGTCGCGGTGACGGTGCCAGTGGGAGTTTCCCGAAAGTCGACTCTGGGTGGAAGCGTCAACAATCGTTAAACTAGGGAAATATTTAATATTTGCCTTGGGGACAAGCCTGCTGCGCCACTGGCCCCGTCAATCAATGAATTAAAGGCGTTTGCATGTGTCCTGAATGCCTCGTTTACACGGTCAAGGTCGAAAAATGGTTCAAAATAGAGAGGCATGGCTGGGGAAGAGAGAGCATCCGAGGCCTTTTTGAGCGAAACGACGGTGGCCAGACCATGGGCGGAGAACACGTCGCGCTACGTCACGTGTGACCGATTGGTCTGAGCCAGAACGATCGAGTTGCGTAGCAAAAAGGAGCTTGTTTTACCTACGGAATAGGCCCCGTAATCCGCCGATGACGACTACTTAGAAAGTGTCGAAAGGAAGTGCTATAGTAGACAGCTTGAACGGGTAGCAGCGGCGCGAGCCAAGTTGCCCGTTTTGCGGGTCACGCTTTTTAATTTATACTTGACATCGCGAATTCGGCCCCTGGCGAGCGAGGTAAGGTAATGGGCACCTACATTTAGGTAAGACTTCGTTTCGTCGCTTCGGTCTGCCTTCTCCCACCATCCATGACCCTTGCCCAGCCGCAGTCTCGACCGACAACAACAGACATATCCCTGAAGTCGCTCCTTTCTCTTCCTGTGAGCCTCGCCTCGCCATTATTCAAGTTGGCTGATCAAAAATCTACTTAGTTTCGATTGTGCAATCCCCCACCGCCAGCTGGGAAAGCGCGGTCTTGTAGTGGTAAGGGCAGCAAAAAGAGAAGTCGGGACGGAACTGATGGGGCTGGCTATAGTTACACCAGCGCTTCGGGTCCAGCTGGACGATATACTGGAGAGAAGGCATCTTCCACCGCTGGGTGTGTTTTGTTGTGATCTGCTGGTTTTTGCTCATTCAAAACTCAGGACTGAAAGATTTTGAGGTATGCGGGCAACAGCACCACAACCACTCGCCTCACTTCTGTTGTAGGAATGGCTGCTCTACTGCGAGGATTCTGTCGAGAACCTGTGAGTCTAATCAATCTAGCCCTTTCTTGACGCGTCGTTGACACATTTAGTTACTTCATCCTCTGGCTCAAAGAATACACACTACGCTACAAGCAATGGGTTGCCCGTAGTGACTCGGACTCCTACTACGACCCCTTCCCGCGCAACTCGCTTGCCCACTTCTTCGCCCGCGCCAAACAGACCTTCTTCACTCCAAACGCAGTATATGAGCTCAATGTGCCGTCAGCAACACTCGCACCATTTCACGCCGTTGACGGATCACCTCACCCCGACCCTGCTGTCTTCACTCCCATCGCGATCGAGATCAGGAAAATGCTGCAAGACAGCCTCGAGCGGTTTGTCCTCGCCCAGCTCTCAAATGTTGGAAACAGTCGCGCCTTCTGTGGAATGACAGCTGGGGTCGTTTTCTTCAGCATCGGCGCGGTCATTCCGATCGTTTACAACCTGGCTGGTGGTCATTCAAGATGGCTCAGACTGACGTCTTTTCCCGGCATGTGGATGGGGCTGACAACCCTGCTGGCCAGTCTCCACGGTGTCTGCATTGGAGTTTATATTTTTGGTGACCTCCGTCAGCTGAGGAAGTTTGAGCTTTCCCGGCCGCCCATATCCAAGCCCTTACCTGCGCTCCCATCACCCCCACCGCCGCCGCCACGAATCACCCACCCCTTACCTGCCCACGTAGAACCCTCAAATTCATCACAAGCCAGCTTCGAGTCGCATAGCGTGTGCTCCGATGAGTCAGACGACATTTATGTCTCGCCAGCGTACTACGACGAAGACGACGTTGACGGGCCAGCAACCAACCCCGTGGCTGCCGATGCAATCGTTCTCCCACCCCCACCTCCAATTGAGATAAAAGAGCCAGAGGACGGGTTCGTGCCGACTGCGGGGTTTATCCATCCGTATCCTTACGAAGAGGAGCTTGAAAAGCTACCAGAAGAAAGACAGGTGCTTTCGCCATTCGATTTTGATGCGCTGCCCCGCCATCCTCGTCACGTGCCCAAGCCAACACTCTCCCTCCAAGGTTTCATTGGGCGCATGCAAACAAAATGTGCGCCACAATGGGTCCCGCCTACGACAGCCGAAGTGCCCTCAGAACCAAAATATGCTACCGAATCGAGACACCGGCCAGACATAACCACGGTGAAGAAACACCTACGTTACGTGCGCGCTGTCCCCGCTTTCGCTGTCCCGCTCACCCCGATTCTGAGCGAGGTGGTGGTCCGCGGGCAGTGGGAGATTGTCGTCCGCTCTGCAATTCTAGCGCTCCTGCTCTCTTGGGTTCTTCTCGGTGGTTTACTCGCTATACCGCCTCGGCCATAGCATTTCGTTGGACGCCTAGAATATACTCACTCTCCTAATTGCTCTCTCCGTCTTGCACTCTCATTACGTCCCCAATAGTCTTGGTATTCGTTCTTTGCACATTGTATACTCGCGCACTCACTCTGTTCTCTGTACTTGTAACTACGTTTTTTTTCGAGTCTTACTCTGGCGCTCCTGCGAGCAGCCAGCGGAGTCCGTCGCGATAGTCCTCTTCGTATTTGATCTAGAAATGGGAAAAATGAACGGGCAAGTTTTGGCATGGCATGGAATGTCCTACACAAGACTTGATTGTCGCAGAGAGGTAATTGAACGCATGTGGAACGCCGGGGTACACAAAAGTCCTTGTTCTGACCCCCGCTTTGCGCAACAGCTCGGCATATAACATGTCTTCATCGCGTAACGGATCAAGACCGGCGATCTGGATGACGACGGGCGGGAGTCCGGTATGTGACGGGTAGAGCAGCGGAGAAGCCTGCGGGTCGGTGGGCGGAGTGGCCCCATCGAGGAGTTGGCTCCAGTACCAAACTATACTCGCCATATTCAACAACGGCGCATCTTTGTTCTGCTCCCAGGACAACAGACGGTCCTTGAATCTAGTAATCTTTGATCAGTTTCGTTATGTGGGGCTTATCGGGGGAAGACGCACTGCTCTGGGGGGTGCTGGCTGTGTAAAAGAGCCGGAAACTGGAGAACATGGCCCGTCACGGGGTAGTCTCTGAAGAAGGGGTCGTCTCTGACGCGGTGGGCGACGACTGCAGCAAGATGTCCACCTGCGGAAAGCCCGCCCAGAATAAACCCCTTGGTCAAGTCAGCGGATAAGATATCCGCATTTTTCGCAGCCCATTTCACCGCCGCGAAGCAGTCGTTGACTTGGGTTGGGTGGGGATGCTCAGGGGCTAATCTAATCTCGCGGATCAGATTGTTAGATAAGATAAGGCGACGTTGATGGCTGACCGATACTCGACGTTGAGTGTCGCGATTTGGATGTCGTGGGAGATGGCCCGTAGTTGCAGATCGTCAGTATCGACATCGCCACACATCCAGCCTATTATATTCAGAGCGACAACTTGAACAGGCAAGCCATGCTTATTACCTCCACCATGAAACCACACCAGAAGTGGATACGTCTTCTTGTCCGCACTCGTCGGCACCACGTTCCTAGCGAGGATGGTGACGCCAGGTTTAACTTCAATTGCATGGTTGGCCACTCTATACAACAACTCTACAGAAATCTGGCAACTTGATCAACAACACTAGTTGATACTCACCGTTAGGCGCTCGAGATTTGTATGTCGCACCGCCAATACCATGAAACACAGTCTTGAACCGTTCTCGACGGTCAACAACCTCAAACACTTGTGGCACACCAGCAAATTTGGCTAACAGCGGGGCGAACTCGGGGTCCACTTCGGACAGATAAGCGTGTTCAGCCATTCTCCAACTTGAAGTCAGAGAGAAAGGATTATTGATTAGTAAGGAGAATGCGGCGACTAATTAAGCCGCCTGTGATCCCAACATGCCCCAACTATGCTCAACACAAAGTTATCTTGGCCACTGTCGGGTCGTGGTCGCTCACTCTGTCATTCGCAGTCGCTGCCCAATTATTGACATGCACATGCTCAACCGCGACGCCCTCACAACTGAGAGACGGCGAGAGGAACATATGATCCAATTGCTCACAGTTGTTGTCGAACACGTAGGTGTACCGCTACAGAACGGAAAACATCAGCTATGGTTGCTGCCAGTCGAAAAACACCAACCTCAACATCAGGCACGGAGGCAGCTGATTCAATATCCGTCATCAAGGGTGTAAGCGATGCAAAGACTGAGCGAGTTTGCGAATATTCGTTGAAATCTCCAGCAACAACGATGTTTGCTCGGCGGTCGATATCGAGTATGGATTTAACGAATGCCTATGGACAATGATTGGTAGGCGAGGATGACACAAGACTGACATACCGCAACAGTGTCAACTTGGGCAGTCCGTTGTTGAACGGGTTGGTTTACTGGAGGCCTCGCGTCGCCCTGAGAAACGTAAGCCATTCCATAGCAGGAAATATGGTAAGAGATGTACCTGTCCAGTGCTGCTTCCACCTTTGGAAACGAGATGGAGATTCACAGTGAACAAGGTCTGGCCCTGCGCTGTCCTCCACATCGCAGCGAGTGGCTTCCGGGAGTCCTGCCAAGCCGTGTTATTGGGTTCGATGCGACCTGGGTTGAGGCTTGCACAAATAAGATGTTGTCATCGAAGAAGCAAAGCAGCAAACCTGAGAATCGGTTTGCGTCTGGAATTGACCACTTGAACGGCGTCCAGTGCGCCACCCGCGATATAATACCGGGCGCTTGATATAAGCTCAACTTCTCCGCACGATACAAATAAGCCTATGGCCAAATAGGTTAAAATGGTAAATGACGGAGCCAAGCAAACCGAGTCAGACCTGTCGGATGTTCCCGCCTGGCTGGCCTCCATCCTTGCCGTCAACGGGATCGATATCCACCCACGAGTAGCTAACACCACTAATGTTGGCAATAGCAGCGACCAGCGTAGACAGCGTCACGTTTGCGCTGACTACTCCATCGTCTTTTGAGCCCGAGTTGTCTTGAATCTCTTGGACAAACATGATGTCTGGCGTTAGCAGTTTTGTGGCAATATGGTTGGCGACATCCTGAATGTGCTTCCCAGTTGGCGTCAAGTTTTCGACGTTGTAATCGCCCGACGGTGAGAGAACAACGATCATTGGACGTGGAAACGATAGTGGTCGCAGGAATATCAAAACTTGGGTTGGAAGAGAACGGTTGGTGCTGTTAGCGGGAGAACATAGTACCATCCAAACTGATATGTCACCACCCCAACAATATCAGAAAGAGTTGTGCCAATAGCCACCTTGGGATTTTTCGTTCCATCAAGCGGCTTACCGAGAAGGACTGCCTCGGGGTTCGCATCTGGAGTCCCGTCCGCCCCGAACGTCATGGTCAAACCGCCTCTCGAGTTTTTGCCTGTGACTGGCCAGTCACCATGGACCCAGACCTCGCTGAAGGAATTGGGGTAGTTGATTGCGACCGGACTGGGGATAGACACAAGCTGCCCTTGCAGGGACTGCCAGAAGTCGATGCCATATTTGTCTGGCTGGAGACTTCCGTTGACTGTGTCGACTCGACTTTGGTTGTTGGGTACGGACAGCCAACCATCAGGCTGGACATCCAGCGGGGGAGAAGAACTGCGTAGGCGGGACACGATCCTTTCCTATCACAATGGGCTCAAATGTGTTGTTGGACGAAAGACGGTGGATGTTGGCGGGTGATGTTATCTCGGTCAATAACAGGTAGTCGGGGTTAGCAGCTGGTCGATATTCCGCAACCTTTCCTGTGAGACTGACCTGGAAGACGTTAGTTTTGACCCGTGCGAGAGTGAGAAAAATTGCTCACGATATCTCCAGGAGTAACTTGTGCTAGAGTGGTGTTGCTCGTAGTGTACACAAACAACCCATACGATACTCTCTTATCATCGACAGGTTCACCGCGCAAAATAGAAACCCGAGGAACCCTAAGGAAGAGGTTATGGCCTTGTTGATCTTTATAACCATTTCGCACCTTTGCGGTCACCAATGCAGTCAAATTGACTGTCTGTCCAAGCAATGGCGTGCGTTGAAAGGCGCCGTTGACATCAGAAACCAGAGTCGACCTAGTGGACGACACCAGGGCAAAAAACAAGGCCAGCCACTTCATGGTTGGGAAAAAGGAACGTTCCTGGGTGGCTGGCGCGGCATCCAGTTGACAACAAATATCGAGGACACGATCCACATGGGTGTCGATAGCAAAGGACACATTGAAATTTTGATCTCATCAGAAACGTGCGACATTGTGTTATCAGCGCAGGACTCTGCAGACAGAATGATGTCTTGGGACAGGGCATAGTCAGTTTGACGCTCAGACAACGAGAGAATGCATGTGGCGACTATTGCCGTCGTGTCGTACTAGTACAAGTGTACACCTTGACTGTGCAAGGATCAGCCTAGTGGCAGAGCCATGTTTCAAGAGTACTGGCAGTAAGCAACAATAAGACGACCATTTTTTGTTCTCGCTCAATCGCGGTGGCGTGACTAGCGGTTAGGACGCGAGATGGAATCAGCGGGGATCACGGAGTCAATGTAGGTTACTTGGTTTCTGCGGGCCGTGCTGTGTCGCGAGATGTACAGCTTTTCTCTCGCAACATCATCCCTGGTATGTACCCCTGGCGCTATATCCGAGTCTTGGGAGGAAAGATGAGGAACAGAAGATGGCTAGTCAACTCTCCCGAGGTCGGCGTTCATTGCTCAACCTGAATCACCATCGACCGGTCCACAATATGCGGGCCCGTTTGGAAAAATAATAAATCTGACAGATATTGAGTGAGTGAGTGAGATCGGTGGCGCCGCCACATACTTTGTACGAGAGACAGGCAGTTTCCTTCCGAGACTTGACTCACTCCGAGAAATTCGACCTGCTCGAGAGAGTTTGTCTGGCCCGAGAAACTTTCGCGCTCCGAGAAACCGTTCTCGCTCCGAGAGACCATCGGCAACACAGTTACCGGCTGCCGAGTCACGCGTTACTGTGACGCTACCTGTTCACCGCTTGTTATGTTCTGCTGCAGGCAACAGCCAAACGGCAGCTGAGCGCCGCTTGACGCGGATGGAAAAGGACAATCATTGCTGATGCGAAATCATGGCTATCCAGATTCCATGCGGGGAAAGTAACCATGCAAACCTTGCAAAGCCACAATGCCAGTGACCATCCACATGGATCGGCTTTGCTAGCCGGGCTGGATCAAGCCTCGGCCCAACCCGGCTTGGGTCGGCAGAGCCCGAGGCGAGGCGGGGCACGAAGCTTGGGCGAGTGAAATCCTGACCCGAATTCGGGCGGCAGTATCACTACCATGCCTTTGATATTTCCATCATGAGCTGGTAAACACACCTCTGTTGCAGTCGGCATGAACTCGCCACATGGGTGGCTTCCATCAAGGGTGATCATGAATTTGCCCGGGTTCAGACAGCACTCAGCGGTTGCAGCCTTGTCCGCTACAGATGGTGCAAAAACCTTGCAAAACGGACAGTAATTCAAAGGACCCAGTTAGTGGCACGTGACTCGGTAGCCGGTAACTGCATTGCCGAGGCAGGGAGAAGAGTTTCTCGGACTGCCAAAGTTTCTCGGGGTAAAAAATTTCTCGGATGAGTGAAGTCTCGTAAGAAAACTGCCTATTTCTCGTACAAAGTATGTGGCGCCGCCGCAATCTCGCTCAGTCAACTAATATCTGTCGGATTTATTATTTTTCCAAACGGGCCCGCATACCACAAAGCATTTCCTTGGTAGTAACCTGCCTGAGGAGAACTATCTCCAAGCTCAACAACTAGAAGCTATCACCAGGCCCAGGCCGGGTGCTGTTGTAAAACTATGTACATTTCTCTCAGTGTGCCTCGGAAAAATGCAATAAACTCGAGCGTTCGCCATTCGCACGAGTCAAATGTCATTAGATTTTTCTTTCGCGATCGACCCCTTTTATCGAATTTTTTGAAGTCGTCGACCCTGTGTTATTTCTGGAGCAACGGATCCTTCTGCCAGATAACCGTGCCTGGTTACTGGTTATTTTCAGCATAAAAGCTGACGGACAAGGCGGAGGATCTGACTGTGGGACACAAGGACAGCCTCAGCATCAACTCTCCACATCTATCAATTCCCTGCGCTTGTTTTTGGTCGATTGCTGGTCGAACTGGCCTTTGAACCAGTGCTATGATTCGAATCCGGCAAGGCATAGTGAACAATGTTGTCGATAGCTTTGGCTGTGTGCACCTGCTATCGCGCGAAGGGTATATAATCTGGCGCAAAATGTCCAAATCATCCACAACCCAAGTCACCTACAACCCAAGTCACCTACAACCCACTTTCAACAATGAACAGCATCATCCGGCGTATGATGACCAAGTCATTCGCAACCCAAGTCACCTACAACCCACTTTCAACAATGAGCGTTCTCGAGCAAAAGCAACGACACTTCCTGTCAGCGACCAAATACGCTGTAGTCGGCGCAGGCAACAACACCACTAAATTTGGCTTCAAAGTATGCCCGATATGGTTTCTTGTTGCACCCCCAACTGATAACGCTGTCTAGGACTTGAAATGGTTCCACGACCATGGTAAAGACGTCGTGGCCGTGAATATAAAGCCAGAAAAGGTTCTAGAGCACAAATGCTATGAATCTCTGGCACAACTCCCCGATCCTACGCAGACTGCGGTCATTATAGTGATCCCTCCCAAGGTGAATTTATTTCGCTTACAAGGTAGTGCGAAAGCTCAGTGGGCAACCAGGCAACCCTAGATGTGTTGAAACAGGCTGAAGGGCTGGGTTTATTCGCATTCTGGTTACAGCCTGGCGCTGAGGACAACAATGTCATCAACTATATCGAAACCAATCCTGCATTGGACAACATATCACTGTACGACACCCCACAGTCACAGAGGACTGGCCCAGTTTGTAGCGGTATAGTCGCCGTCGGTGACGCAATTCTTGATTCATTGGAAAAAAATCCAGTCAAGGTTGTCGTCCCTGATGTTGAAGATAGCATCCCTTCTTCACCAGCCAGTGACACATCCACAACGCCAACATTGATTGCAGACAATGTTGTCGCCGGTGTCAAGCGGCTAGTCCAGTCAAGGACACCAACACCACAGCCCAGAAAGTCGCTGAAGCTGGAAACAAGCAATTTCGATAAATCGGTGCACATCATCGACCTTGGTGATGCGATCCCCGGGCTAGCCTGAAAGGTTAGGTTTGATTTAACTCTGTTCAAGGGTTAAACTATAACTTATTACCATTTATGTATCCTTATTGCGAATCCAAGAGAAAATAGTCATGTTCCTTTGGGTAGTTTGACTTGGAAAGTACCTGCAAGCTCATTAGCAACATAGACGAGCAACTGAAGGACGAACATTGGGGTAAAGACGTTATTTCTGGTGTCACTGTTGTCTGGTATCCTATACGCGATAGAGCCCCGTAAATTATGCCTGCAGGAAGTGCGGCATACTGCACACTAGGTCAGTGGCCGCTGGCAAATGTCCAAGAAAACATACCAGTTTGGCCCGTTTCAATTATGGCCTCTGTTCGTCCTTCCCAAGATGACACGCGTGAAACAGGCTTGAAGAAGAGAACACACCAGATGGTTTGTCTAGAGCAAGTTCAGAGATGGTCGAACTGCTTATCGCAACACGCCGCCTGAATATCTTTGCATCAGAACTCGCCTGCGTCAAGCGTCTCCGCGAGTAATGGGCCATCGCGACAGGCTGGGAAAGCGAGTAACTGAATGTCAACTCACAGACCAAGCATACACACTGCTCAGTGAAATTGGTGCCAAATGAATTCCTATAGCCTCTAGCCTCGTTCTACGCTTGTCAACCCAAAAAGTGGTGCACGCCAGCATCCAGACCGCGGCATCGAAAAGGAGTTTGGATCGGAGGGCGAAGAGGTGTTGCACACACTGCACAGTGACCGTTGGTGAAAGGCCATGCCCTGTTTGTTCGCATCATTGTCCGGATCACGTGTCATGTACGCAAGACGGAGATCATGGAGTCAATTTTGGTTACTTGGTTACCACGGGCCGTGCTGTGCCACAAGATACGACCTCTCGTAGCATCATCCCTGGCGCTATACATCCAAGGAAAGATGAGAAACAGAAGATGGCTAGTCAACTCTCAACGTCGCCGTTCATCGCTCAATCTGAATCGCCTTCGACCGCCACAAAGCAATTCCTTGGTAACCTGCCTGGAGAGAACAGCTCTCCAAACCCAACAACTAGAAGCTATGGGCCTATGGCCTATGGCCGGACCGGTGCTGTTTGGACAAAAACAAGTTGCCATGACTATTCTCGATGTCCGGACCAAAAGCTGTAATACCAACTCAACGGGCGATCCGCGTTTTTAGCTCTCTTGGAAAATGCTTTGCATCGGAGAATAGATGGTCGGGTACACACTTCGCTTAGGATGGGTTTGGCACTCTCATTAGATCTTCTTTCGCGATCGGCCTTTCTTTAATTTGGATGAACCTAATTTTTTGAAGTCATCGTCCCCTGTCTTATTTCTGGAGAAACGGATCCTTCTGCCAGATAACCGTGCCTGTTCTATTCTGGTTACTCGTTATCTTGAGCATTGAAGTTGATGCGACACTGATGGACAGGCACAAGGACTTTGATGACGAAGTTGGCGGACAGCCTCAACATCAAGTCTCTGCACCAAACATCACATCTATCAATTTCCTGGGTGTGTTTCTGGTCGAATCCGGCCGCTGAACCGGTGCAAAGATTCGAAGGCATAAGGAACAATATTGTCAATACCTTGGCTGACAATGGCTGTGCTCGCCTGCCGTTGAGCGAAGGGTATATAATCTGTCGCAAAAAGTTCGAGTCATCCACAACCCACACTTCAAGCAATGTACAGCACCATCCAGCAAAAGCAATGTCGCTTCCTCTCAGCACCGAAATACGCTGTAGTTGGGGCATCCAACAATACCACTAAATTTGGCTTCCAAGTATGCCCGATATGGTTTCTTGTTGCACTGCACTGACAAACCTTTTCTAGATCTTAAAATGGCTGCACGAACGAGGCAAAGATGTTGTGTCCGTGAACATTAAGCCAGAAAATGTTCTAGGACTTGAATGCTACGAATCTTTGTCACGATTGCCCGAGCCTACACATACTGCAGTGGTGATGGTAGTCCCGCCCAAGGTGATCTTTTCGCTTTCGAAGTAGTGCGAGAGCTCATCGGAAGACCAGGCGACACTAGAGGTGTTACAGCAAGCCGAAAGTCTTGGCATATTTGCATTCTGGCTAGAGCCTGGGACCGAGGACGAGGATGTCGTCACGTTTATCCAGGCCAATTCGGCATTGGACGACATATCACTGTACGATACCCCACATGCTGTTCAGCCACTCGCAAACGGTGTCCTCCCAGTCAAGAGGATTGGCCCGCCGTGTAGTGGTATAATCTCCGTCGGCGATCAAGTTCTTGATTCGTTGGAGAAAGATGCTCTTGCCAACCCAGTCAAAGTTGTTGTCCCTGATGCTGTACCAGACCAAGTCGAAGCGGAAGATACTAGTAGCATCCCTTCTTCACCAGTCAGCGACACATCCACAACGCCTACATTGATCGCAGACAATGTTGTCGCTGGTGTCAAGCGGCCGGCCCCGTCGAGGACACCAACACCACAACCCAGAAAGTCGCTGAAGCTGGAAACAAGCGACCTCGATAAACAGTGCACGAGATCGACCTTGGCGGTGCAGTCCCAGGGCTAGCTTGAGAGCTTGCGATAGCAGCCTTGCGAGTCGAATGACTCAAATCACCATAAAAATTCGGTTTAATGCCTTTACTTGTTCAAGGGTTGACCAGCCATTATAACTTATTATTATTTATGTATCTTTATTGTGAATCCAAGAGAAAATACTCATGTTCCTTTGGGTAGTTTGACATAAAAAGTGCCTGCAAGGCTATTAGCAGCATAGACGAGCAACTGGAAGACGAACATTGACGTTATTTCTAGCGTCACTGTTGTCGGGTATCCTATACGCAATCGAGCCATGCCTGAAGAAAGTGCGGCATACTGCACACTAGATCAGCGGCATTGGCGTCCATCACGGGCCATCATGGTGGAATCAGCGGAGATTACGGAGTCAATCTACGTTACCACGGGCCGTTCTGTGTCGCGAGATACGAGTAAGTACAGCTTTTCTCTCGCAACATCATCCCTGGCACTATATGGGTCTTGGGAGACGAGAAACAGTAGATCGCTAGTCAATTGCAACTCTCTTGAGGTCAGCGTTCATTGCTCTCGCCATCGACCGCCACAAAGCAATTCCTTGGTAACCTGGCTGGGGAGAAATATCTCTCCAAACCCAACAACTAACAACTAGAAGATATGGCCGGGCCGGTGTTGTTTGGACAAAAACACTATTCTCGATGGAGGTAACGGTACAGTGCAAAAGATGTAATACCAACCACCAACTCAACGGGCGATCCACATTTTTGGCTCTCTCGGCGTGTCTTGGAAAATGCTCTGCTGCGTCTGCATCGGAGAATAGGCTTGAGCGCTCGCCAACGGCCATTCACGCTGGTCAGGTACACACCTCGCTTAAGAAGGGTTTGATATTCTCATGAGATTTTCGCGATCGGCCGCTGTTTACTCCCGATGAACCTAATTTTTGAAGTCAGTTCGTCCCTCTGTCTTATTTCTCGGACTGGAGAATGCCAGATAACTGTGCCTGTTCTATGGTGGTTGCTCGTTATCTTGAGCATTGAAGCTGATGCTACACTGATGGACAGGCACAACGGAGGACTTTGACGACAAAAGTGAAGTTAGCGGACAGCCTCCCCGCCATCGCCAAATATCACATCTATCAATTTCCTGGGTTTGTTTCTGGTACTAGTAGAACGGGGCCGCTGAACCGGTGCTAAGATTCAAACGCGGCAAAGCATAAGGGACAATATTGTCAATACAGCTCGGCTGTGCCCACCTACCGTTGAGCGAAGGGTATATAATGTGTCCCAAAATGCCCGAGTCATCCACAACCCGCACTTTCAACAATGAGCGTTCTTGAGCAAAAGCAACGACACTTCCTGTCAGCGACCAAATACGCTGTAGTCGGCGCAGCCAACGACACCACTAAATTTGGCTTCAAAGTATGCCCGATATGGTCTCTTGTTGCACCCCGACTGATAACGCCGTCTAGGACTTGAAATGGTTGCACGACCTAGGAAAAGACGTCGTGGCCGTGAATATCAAGCCAGAGAAGGTTCTAGGGCACGAATGCTACGAATCATTAGCCCAACTCCCCGATCCTACACACACTTCGGTCGTTATCGTCGTCCCTCCCAAGGTGAATCTTGTTCGCTTTTGAGGTAGTGCGAAAGCTCAGTAGACAACCAGGCGACACTGGAGGTGTTGAAACAGGCTGCAAGTCTGGGTGTATTTGCCTTCTGGTTACAGCCTGGCACCGAGGACGACGATGTTGTCAAGTTCATCAAGGCCAACCCTGCATTGGACGACATATCGCTGTACGACACCCCGCTACATCAGTCCCCAAGCAACAGCAAAGGGCTGCTAAGCCCGCGCGTTGTTCGTCCACCCATCCGGCAGGACACTGGCCCACCCTGTAGTGGTCTGATTCCCCAAGGCAACAAAATGCTTAACATGGCTGGCCCGTTGAAAGTTGCCCCCGCCACCCCCGTCAAAGTTGACGCCGATGCCGCTCCTTCGGAACCAGACCAAGTCGAAGATAGTATCCCTTCCTCACCAGTCAGCGACACATCCACCACGCCTACATTGATCGCGGACAATGTTGTGGCTGGCGTAAAACGGCCAGTTCCGTCAAGGACACCGACGCCACAACCCCGGGCCAGAAAATCACTGAAAACAAGCGATTTCGATAAAACGGGGCACAACATCGACCTTGGCGATGCGATGCCCGGGCTAGCTTGAGACCTTGCGATGGCAGCTTCTGCGAGTCGATTACCGTAAAAATCTCGTTTAATGTCCTTACCTGTTCAAGGGTTGAACAGCTACTATAACTTATTACCATTTATGTATCCTTATTGCGAATCCAAGAGAAAATAGTCATGTTCCTTTGGGTAGTTTGACTTGGAAAGTACCTGCAAGCTCATTAGCAACATAGACGAGCAACTGAAGGACGAACATTGGGGTAAAGACGTTATTTCTGGTGTCACTGTTGTCTGGTATCCTATACGCGATAGAGCCCCACGAATTATGCCTGCAGGAAGTGCGGCATACTGCACACTAGATCAGCGGTAGCTGGCAAACGCCACCAAGAAAACATACCAGTTTGGCCCGTTTTATGGCCTCTGGTCGTCCTTCCCAAGATGAGACGCGTGAAACGGGCTTGAACGAGTTGTCTTGCAGCACGTAGACGCCCTATAGCCATTCAGTAAATTTCAAAAGAGAGCCAAAAAACACACCCGATGGTTTGTCCGGAGATTGTCGACCTGTTTATCCCAACACGCGGCCCAAATATCCTTGCATATGAACTTTATCGCGTCAAGCGTCTCCGCGAATAATGGCCGGTCACGACAGAGACTTAGAAAGTGAGTGAGTGGATATTATCAACTGACAGATCAAGTGTGCTCACCGCTCAGTGAAATTGGCGCCCACATGCATTCCTATAGTCTCCAGCCTCGTTCTAACAGCCTCCTCCGCTTCGTCTGCTGCACTTGGCCGGCCACCCGTGCTCGCTCGTGAGTTGAGACTTGTCGTCGATTCACGGGCTGACGCCATCGCGTCTTTCTTCAATGGATGGGGTGGGGGTACAACTGGGGCAGGAATGAGACCCGCTTCAACCATCTCTGCCTCTATTTTCTTCGACCTTTCCGTCGCAACGGCCGATGACACGCGGAGTGTGTTGACCAACTCAATCAGAAAATAGTCCATTGCCGCCCCGTCTATCTGCCTAAGTGGGGGGTCTGCAAGGGCAAGCAGACCCTGGGGCACGAGTGAATTCGCAGACGTAGAAGACTGGATTTGTGTTGAGCTTCGGGATGCCATGACGAGCGTTTAGATCAAGGTTGGATTCGGCATCAACGTGTTCCCACCCTCTCAGAAAATTCAGTGGGTTGGGTGAAATTAGGCTACGGTATATGGTACATTATCTACTTTTGTGTGTGTTGTCTATATCCCTCTAGTGACCCGCTTCTTTCAAATCTTCTTCTTGTCGCTCTTGCCCGCCTTTTTCAAGCAGCCGGTCAAGTTTCGCAAAGGTGGCCGCAGTCGATTCAGAGACTTGGTCGAAAATGACGTCTTCAGGCTCATATGGCTCGCCCAGCACTATCTTCTTTCGACGTCGGGCATCATGTTCTAGCATTTTCTTTGTGAATTCGCGACCAGATCGTGCCATTTTCCGTAGAGCTTGGACTCGCATATCCGCTTTTCGAAAACGAGCAGGATCAAAGTCTTGTGGTGGAGATTGTGCAGACTTGTCCCCATCTGTAGGCTTTGATTCCTCGGTGGATGCGGGTGCTCCATGGTTCACTGCCTCCCAAAATTGTGGCAGATCTTTCACAGAGACCCCTGTTGGAATACTCCAGGCACGGAATTTACGTTCCATCGCCTGCGAATAGGCTCGATAGATGAGATCCTGTTGCTCAGTCAAGTGTGATAATGACCAATGAATTGTCCCTGTTGAATTTGTGAATAAATTGGATGACATGGGCGGCAAACGGCAAACTGACAAGGGTGCTCAGGTGCAGAATTGATAGCACGATTTCCCGAAACAGGAATGTTATCCAAGAAACTTTGTGTCCTAATGACAAGTTGGTGCATTGGTGGTTGCCCATCGCCAGTCCAGTCCGCTGGCTGCACCCAAACGTTCAGTTCACGTTCTGAGAATAAGCACTCGAACAAGCATTTCACTGACTAGGTCAATCAGCATTATGCAGGCCTACCAAAAAGGAAGGAATATTACCTGCTGAGGAAAACACCCAATGATCTCGGTAGAAATTGCTTCCAGTAGAGAAACGCATTTTTGGAATACGCGATCGCCAGCCGTGGGTTCTGAGCCATATAGGCATTTATCCATTTCCTCGAGAGGAATGTACTGGAAACCAAATGTTCGAGCGGTGTTGTGGTATGCGACGATGACACCGTCCATGTTCCCTATTCGAACTTGGAAGCTTTAGGGAGAATGAGGTCCGATACTCACATAATCCGCCAAACTTACCCGTATTTGAGGAATGCAGACCGAATGAGGTCGTAATATTCTCGCTCGAAACTCTCATACAGACCCTGAGCGTGCTTCAACACGTAGCCCGAGTTTTCCTAGAGGAACTTCAGAATTAAAGATGGTTAAGTTACCAAGGTCCTGACCTCCCAGTTCATTATATCCATTCGTATGGGAAGACATGCACGGGTTTTGATGTCGAATACCCCAGTCCCCGGTAGTCGGGGATCGACGCAGTCAAGCTGAGAGCGCATTATAAACTTGTTTGACTGGAAAACGTCAGACCAGCAACGGTTTTTTTTGATGATTCACCTTCGAATAACGATAAGCTTCGCGGATAGGCTTTTCTTCCGACACAGTTGGGGCCTCGGAAGAGGTCGAGCGCAGGAACTCTTTGAATTCAGATTGCGGCGTGGTGAGGAATTTCTCCAAAAGAGTTCCCTGAGGGAAATTGAAGCCCATGGTCACGTATAGACATACTAACGCACGAGCCAGGTTAAAATGTTCTTGGAAGCGTCGATGTCAGAGTCAGAGTCGATGGCATAGGATCCGTTTTTGTAGTTGAATACTACCGACGTGGGCATACGCTGACCGGGAGTGAAACCTTTGTCCTACAAATGATGAACGCCAAATGTGACTTGAATGTAGATGGCCTACCTCATTTTCGAACGCTTGCCCCAGCGATGATATGTCTACGGGTCGGTGCTCCGATATGAGAAAATAGATATGGCAAAGCATTCCCGAAAGGGACGAGGTGGAACCAGCAAATAAGCGACCCTCCCTTTGTGCTAGTGCTTGCAATTCCTAAGAAGTGTCAACATCTGGTGCGAGTGTATATACGGAGAAGGGACACCTCATCTTTAGAGCTTTTGACGAAGCCAACCAGCTTTTCGAAAGTAAAGTCGTTGACTTTGGGGATGTGTTCTAGATACGGTGAAAAATTGTACACTCTTGATCGGGGATCTTGCAACCAGTGGACACCAGGACTAGTTGAAAGTCAACAAGGTATCGACAATATTTTTGCTTGAGCGATTCTTACTTGAACAGAACACGCTCTAAACCATGAGAAAGAGTTGCAATTGGGTTTTGAGGCGAAAGTGGCTCCAGGTCTGCTTGAAAGTCAATTTTTTGCAGCAAAACTGAACGTCGATATTTGCCTTGTAGAACTGGCCCATCCATCGGGTCTATGAGCCCCTCCACACTTCGTTGGACTTTGAGCGGAACGATGGGAACTATCTTGGGGTCCGGTACTTTAACTATGGTTGGGTTTGAAGCTGCTTTCCGTTTCGCCATAGCAGGATCCTTGTGTGGTGGTAATTGTCTCTTATTTGGGTTTCCAGGCACGAGTGCTAAACTATTCAAAACATTTGCTTGTTCGTATAGGGTGCAACACTTACTGTCTGGACCCCAATCATCCTGCTGCCATGTCACGGACATTTCGTTAGAAACTGCATCCAAGGCATTCAACACCTTAGTAGACTCTTCCTGAGTTTGACGTAGCGCGAGCTTCGAGGTCGCAATAAGAGGTTGTGAAGAAGTCATGAGAAGTTCAGACAAGCGCCTGACGCCCTCATTATTTTGTCGGGTGGTGGTTTGGGAGAACAGGCGTGTTCCACGAACAACAGCCCGCCTCATCGACGCGCGCAAAGAAGTCGCGGTGTGACGAAAGCGTGACGCGCGTCCTTCGTCGAAACTATGTCGGGCTTCTTTACATCCTTCTTCCAGTGGCTGAGCGGGTAGGCGGCTTAGCTTATCCAAATGCCCTCATAACCACTGCAAACAGTATATTCTTCTTGAAATCGGCTGAAATAGGTGCGATAGCTATATACCTTCCCCACAGTGACTTAACGACCACTAGCCATTGTCGGACTTCAAGTGCTGTTTCCCTGAACCAACGAAGACTCGCCTTATCCCCGTCTGTAGGCCTCTGGGAAGACCTCTTTTGTTAACGTTATCGGCTCTGGCCAGGTCAAATATTCTTACTGCGAAAGCCCGCAGCTTCTCACCACCGACTAACAGTGGAGCGAGGACGTGGTTCCGACCGTGGGATTCATATTTCGCAAGGTATGGTAACTGTGGTAAATCTAGACTGTCCGTCATTAACTTCACATAGGTTCGAAAGGGCAATGTGACTCTGAAGATTTGGGATGTTGCGGGTCAGCTTGCCAATTGTCCTTATTACGCGAGTTTCGACATACCTTTCAGGTCAACCGAAATTCCGCTCAATGTGGGAGCGCTACTGCCACGGCGTCGATGCCATTGTGTATGTTCTTGCTGATACTACACTCATCCGACCTTATCATTTGCAGATTCATTGTTGACTCGGCAGATGTACGCGTCTTTCTCGCGTCTCTCCAGCGGCAACCCAATCATTTCACAGCCTGAGAAATTTAACACTGCCCGTTTCGAACTCCACCAACTCTTGAGTCAGTCAGCACTAGGTGGTGTCCCTCTGCTTGTTGTGCGTTCTCCTCATCTCAAATGGGTTATCTCTCTGACCCTCTCCTGAAGTTGGGCAACAAGAACGATCTGGATGGTCACGTACCAGTCAAAGAACTCATTCGTGATCTGTATGCTGCCATCTAATTCTCCGTTCCCTTCTATTAAGTTCTCGTTCTACAGACAACTGGACAAAATCACCGACCGTCCCGTATCTGTAAGCCTTCCCTTCTCATACCCTTCACGTGTTGAATCTGAATTATTCGTAGTGTTATTCGGTACGCCCTTCTCAACGGCCTTGATGTTACTCATGTGCTGCAGTGTTCGATGAAGAGTCAACATAACCTTGACATCGTCCTACAATGGCTGTCTGGCCGAAGTCACTGAAGACACCAACATCTTTCGGGTATCGTATGGCATCTTGTAATACTTAATGGACTATGGGAGCATTGTAACGCAAGAGCAAGAGGTATATTCGAGTATGCTAAGGTAATTTTATGGGGTAGGACCATGAACATTGCGGTTCCGTTCAGGTTCGCTGCGTCGTTTGGGATTGGTGATGAAAATATTGTCGCCCTTGGTGTTCAAGAAGGAATACTAAAGAAATGGGTGAACAGCAGCATGCTAGCAAGAGTCTATATCACCTCAGCTAAGTCTGATGTGCCTGGTCGATTGTAGTTTTGGTAGACCAAGTTGGGCTGGTTGTGTTGTGGATCATTTTTGACTTGAGCTAGTGAGCAAGAGCACGCACCTCAGTCCAAAACGGACGAAGGCCAGCAGCCTCAAGGGATTCCCACCACGCCAAATATTCCGCAAACGACAGATTCCACAGATGGATTTCAAGCTGCAGTTGTCCAAAAGGCAGAGGCTTCCCCGAGGCGATATAGGGCTTGACAAGCGCAGTCAGCGTCTCAAACTCCCACCGCTCAATATCAATCTTCAGAATGTCGATGTGCGTGTGCCCTACGTAACAGGAGTTCAATGGAATGAACAATCAGCGGCCAGGAGACACACCGTTCATTTTCATGAGCGTCTCGAGCGTGTACATCTAACAGCAATTTAGGTCTTGGTTCGCCTCCAGCCAACGCCAAAGAAAGTCACCTTGGGATTTTCGTCAGGCTTGTCGCTTCCTGCTAAGCCATACTGAAAGAAGTGTGTTCTGCTCTTCTGTAGAAGGGGAATTTCGGGTCCTGTAGTGTTGATAAATGCCCCGCCTCCATAAATATCAATAGCAACTGACCAAACGAGCGGACGCTGAAGTCGTAGCCCCATATTTGGCAATGATCTGTGTGAGCTAGGATTTCCTAGAAAGATGTTTCAGGGGGTGGTGCCTTTACCTACATAGGGAGGAGGACGAACTGCTTCGAAGCTGGACTCGTAATTGATGCCAAAAGAGTAAACAATGCAATCGGGCTTTTCTTCCACACGAGAAATGCCCTAGGGAGGGAGAAATAAGATAGAGGTTCAATCAGGGCACAACGACTTACGCAAACCCACTTTCCACCGTCACCAAGCGCGCCGAGTCGTGTAATCTCGTGGGGGCCTGGTGGAAGGCTTATGAGTGGTCAAACCACCGAGGGAGAACAGGACGCACAGTTATAGGCAGCAGGGAAGAAGTCCCATACTGTATATGCGGGCCAAGGGTCTTTATCAGGCGGGAACCTGTAAAGGAGTTCAGATGCCTGAAGGCTGGAGTAGAAAGACCTCACAGTGCGACGTCGTTGGGAGTTGGGCCATGTTTCTTGATCAGTTCCTAAGCAGAGTGTAAACCTATCGCATAACCGTTAGCCTATCCTCAAACCCACCTTGCGGTCTTCGAGGAGCTATGGACGCGTTTAGACAGCGAATATGGCTGGTATATGGACCGTACCTTGTTGTAAATCTTCTCGGAGCGTGTAACCCGGCTCGCAAGTTCATCGTCGTCTAGCGACGAATAATATGAAGCAGAATCAGTCGACGAGGAGGTGAACTTGGTGAAAGGAGTAGAGCTGCTGCTGGAGGGCCAGAAGAAATAGAGACATAAGAGGCCAACGAATAAGAGCACGGTTCGTGGGTTACGCCACGGAGCAGCCATGGTGCGAAGCAAAGCTTCCTTGGCTGGTCCATTGACACAACTTTGAATTGATTGACATCTTTCATAAGGTCCCAACACCGCAGTATGGCACCGCAGCCATTCCCCTCAACATTCTTTTCTCCAACCTGCCTTTGTGTTCTTGTGCTTTGGCCATCAAACAATAAAATAAACGTCGTCAAGACATTCGGCGATGAATCGGCGGTGTCTGTTCAAATAATATATCGAGTTACGCGTTAGGCTCCCACGTTTCTATCTCTCTCTCTCTCTTCTCCTGCGTTGACCGCGAGGTGCTTGCAATAATTCATTCAGACGAACGCCTACCCCATGCCTTTTGACTTGCCAACCCTTCGGAAGATTGCGTATGGCGTCTTTGCATTTTTCTCCTTCGTCGTCTTTTGCTTGAGTGAGTACTATGCCACCTTGATTCTCGCGGGACTTGAACTTTCTTAGCTATTGCTCGACTTGCCTACACAAACAACTTGCCGCGTGGCGATCCATTAAACAGAGGTGTGCCACAGTGCTCTGTCACTTTCGCCGCCGACTGACCACCCTGACAGGGAGGAACTTCTATGGCAAGACCTCGACACGCGTCTCTCCGTCACCCAGTGTACTTACTCCATCTTCCAGACCCAGATATTGTGGAACTGCTGGTGACCTCAATGATGTCGATGGCGTGGGCCAGTTTCCTCATCTACACCATTCATAAGCGTGTGGAGGGCAACCTCGTGTCGACATTCCGCGGCGAGCTCGTCGGCCTGGCTATCATCTGGCTGTTCTGGATCGTTGGGACATCTATCGCCACCGTACGTTTGTTGATACCCCCCCTACTCACCGTTGATCATTACATCACAGACTTTCTGGGGAAACCTCGGCTTCTGCTCTGAATTCGAGGCCTGTCGCGTCCTCTCCGCCATCGTCGCCTTCTCCTGGCTGGCATGGCTCACTCTGACTTTGATTTCTGGAGTTAGCGTCACCTTCATCATCGCAAACGGCGCATTGCTCGAACCATTGCACGGGCAATGGATTCCTGCTTTGCCACGAGACTTAGAGACTGGCAGCCAGTACACGGAACGCAACCCTCGCTCGCGTCCTGTTTCCACTGGTGCCTAACTGTATTATATAAGGGACTTTCTCTGGCACACTCGCTTTTTTTATTTGGTTCATTGTACACGACAATAACAGGACTATCGTACAAATTTGAAACACTTACACTTCTTCGTTCTTCAAGCGCTCTCAGTCGCTTCCTTGGTCTTCAGCCAGATTCCGCCCTCGGCATACATCGTCAGATGTATCTTTGGACGGAATTTGTCCATGGCCTTGCGGCCTTCCAAAGCCGCCCAGTCTGGATTTGGTCGCGTCTCTGGCCGGAACGCCTCAGTGTCGAGATGAAACTCGGAGAAGTTCTGCAACAACCGAATGAGAATGAACGACATCTCATTATATGCGAATTGTTGGCCGAGGCAGATGCGTGGACCGGCGTTGAAACTTGAGTATCAAGTCAACAGTGTGCTTGAAAGGGGGGGGACTACTGACGGGAGGAATTGGAACGAATTCTTGAGCAGGTATTTCTTGAGACGATCGTCAAGCCAGCGGTCAGGATCAAATTCTTCAGCGTCGGGGCCCCAAAGGTCCTTGCGTCGGTGCATCAAGAAAACGGAGTAGGGCACTCTGGGCAACGTTAATAACACAAAAGTTCGATATCCAAGGGGAAACTTGCTGGGTTTTTGCTGGGATGTAAATCGGTTTCTGGGTAGGGTCGGGTGAGGGCCAGGTTGTTTCGTTGATGCTTTCCCTGATATGCCAGTCAAAACTGTCAGGATTGCTTGAGGAATTTTACCAACCTGACGTTGAAAGGTCTGCAAGGTAACATGAGTCAAGCTGGGTCATAAACCAAATCGAAGATGATCATACACAGAGGGATAAAGTCTCATCGTCTCGTTAATGACCGCGCGCAAGTACTTCATGTCCCGAATATCCTCGAGGGTGGGTCGGCGAGTGGGTCCAACATGTTGCAGGATCTCCTCGCGTAATCGGGTGGTGACATGAGGATATATGGCCAAAAAGTACAGTGCCACTGTTGTCGTCCACTGCGTTGTGTCTTTGCCGGCTGCATACCACTTCAGTAACATTCCGGGTGGAAATAAGGATAAGGAGGACCGATCATAATATTCAACGTTTCGTCTTTGATAACTTTGGGGTCTGGGAGACGGTAAAATCACAACAGCCGAACCTGAGAGGAAAGAGACAGACCAGAGGTCATGCCCACCAAGTCATCGAGGAGGGTCATGCTCTCAGCAGAGTCTTCTTCAAGCTCTTTCTTGTCTAGATCTTGCTTCAGAGCGTCAGCGACGCGCTTCTTCTCCAAACGGTCCTTAATGATTGGGTCGATGTACGCGCTGACGATCTCCATTGGGGCTGCTGTTTTGTCGTACCACATCTCCATTAACGGCCAAGTCCATCCGACTCTGGCGCGGTTCGCAGTATGCCACATAGTCTGGTTGAAAGCTTCCATGAATTCCATGGCCACCCGCGCATGGACGGGATCAGCTTCGGGTGCGACAAATGAGGCATTATGGGGAAAGGGTAGGCTTGCATGCAAGCTATGGACGCAAGAGCCAAAGAGGAACTCAGTAGCGGAGTCCATGGTAAAGCGACCGATCAAATCCTGAAAAGTCAGCTGGGAGTGACTTGGTTGACAAAATTTTGACCAACCTGGAAGTCGATCGCGTAGCCGGTCTTCATACGGTTCTTAATGAGGGCAATAACCTGGTCAGCGTGCCTGTCGAAGGTCTCAAAATGACTGATCCTGTCCCGACTGAAGTATGGACGCGTTAGAGTGCGATGGAACTTCCACATGTCGCCTGAGAAGCTTCAGATGAAATGCGAGGGTGTAGTGTATTTTACCATCCGAGTTGAAAACACCAGTCTGGATAGAGTAGATCAACACCATGTCTTGACATTGAATCTACGAATACTTACGCCAAGGACGCTGCGCATCCCGAATTGGAATTTTTCGCCTAAGGATTGGAGGAAATGTCCGTAACTTTGAAAGGAGGCTACCTTTGACGTAGTTGTTGAAGTCAGTAGCCAAGATTTGCTTGATATGGTTGGGCTCGACGGTCATGATGATGTTGTCGAACATAACACGCAGGTCAACTACTGGCCCACATTCTTCCAAAGTCTCGCGGAGTCCGTCACCTGTTAGTCTTAGTACAACGTCAACAACAAGGCCATGAAAGATTACCCGGATAGCCGTTCTTCCAAATTTCCATCATTTCAACCAGTAGGTCGAGGTTTCCTGGGAGCTTTCCACGGTCGGACGTTGGCGCTACCCGGGCTCCCAACGCTGCTGCAGCGCGAGCATGACGGATATCACGAATCCAAACACGAAGGGCAAGATAAAGGGGGAAACTAGCGACAGTTGCCCCAGCCAGTGCCCAGGTTGGGATTGACTTCGCAAAGAAGTATTCGGCCAGTTGACGGACCAGTGCGGCAGAGCAGACAATAGGTATACCTAATAAGAGACCATTCTTGAGGAGAAAAATGGCACCAGGAGCATACATGATGGTGGTGGAGAGTCAAGCAATGCAACACAAACGCGCCACTTAAAAGAGTTGCATATGATAATGTCAAAACCCTCAGTCAGCTGACCCCGTTTGAGATAATTGATCTGTAACTGTTGACCGACGGAACATTCCGTCAGCTTCATCGCCAATTCAGTGTTCACCCATGCCAGCTGATGTAGATATGATGGCTGGGACATGCCGCATAAAAAAAGTGGGTTTAAAACCTAACCTGAACTCGCTCCGTTTGTTCGAGTAACGGAAAGCCGTTCCTGAAATGAAGCGTCACGTATCCACATAATATGTTTCACCTAGACATAAGTTTTTCGTGCAACTCTGCTCCCCTTAGCTTGGCCCTCAAATACTCTAGGCGAGTCTCATATCGACCCGCCACCTCCTCCCTTCTCCTCCGCAAATCATCCATCTCCTGTCCGAAAGCGCGCTCCTCGTCCAGATCCACAGTGAGTATAGGCTCATCTTCATGCACCACACCCATCGTGCTTCTGACTAAACTCGTTGTGCTTGTACTACTTGGGCCGAGTGACATTCCAAGCGGTAAGGGTGGTACTGGTGGAGCCAGTCCACCAGAATGGTGATTGGTTGTACCATCACTTGCAGCCCTTCGCGGCCCAATACCCAACCGCGACGAACCCATACTAGAGACCGAGTTTTTGCGGTCAAGCGTTCCACCACGCAATGAGCTTGTGGCATAGCCTGAATCAGAACGCGAGCTATAGCCATGCATAGACATCGGCCCTTTGGCTTTGTGCCGACTGGTTCGACTTGCCGATGTCCCAGCCGAAGTTGCTGACCGCATGGAGGCGGTATCGCTGACATTGAGAGAGTGTTGATGAGACTGGCCAGGAATAAGTGTGGCTACAGAATCTCGTGGGCCCATTGCTGATGTTCGTCGATGTTTAGTAAGCGTAGATAGCTCCAGACCGTTAAACGCGTCTAATAATCTGCGAGCCTCAGCTTCGACCGCTTGGATTTCCTTGCGCAGTGCTTGTGCCGATTCCGGATCATCTGCGCCAGGAGTTGGTGGCGGATCGGCGCTCATCCCCGCATATCTGCTTTCAACTCCAGGTAGTCGAGTTGGAAATGATGAGGGAGGCATAGGAAGCTTGCGTATTGAGCGAACTGATGGGGCGGTACCACTCGGTTCGACTGGCGACGCGAGTGAAGTCCCAGTCCGACGAGACGAAATAGAGACTGCGTCTCCGCGATCAGTATTCAGAGATGAATTACTCTTCTTCTTGGAAAGACGCTTGATTCGGGTGGCAGCCGACTCTCCCACGGCTGAAGTCGAGGAGTACACACTGGAAGCGTCATCTCGAGATGAGCTCTGGCGGCCAGTAGCGCGACGAAAGAGGCTTGCAACCCCTGAAATGGATGATCTTGAGTTGGTAGAAGGAGCGTAAGAGGTCGTTGGCCGGTCAATGACGAAGTTAGAGGAAGTGGAAATAGATACACGAGCGGAATCTATCGAGGCTGCGAGCAATCAATTGGAAGAGAATGGCCTTGGAAGTTATGCTCACGTCGTTTGCCCGTTGTTGCAGTGGATATACGGACAGAGCGTTGGTGAGATGCTATAGGTACAACGGGGGTTTCGGTGGGGACAACATTGGTGCTCGTAAACCGCTCGAAAAGATCTTGCCTCAACAGGCGATACTCGTCGTCGCTAGAAGCATATGTCAAACTAGTTTGCCGTTATTCGTGCTAAAGAGGACACACTCGAGTAGACCCTCCGAGTTGGCTACAGCAAGCTCATTCAACCGCTGGGCAAGGGTCGCGCTGGGAACCGAATTAGTTCAAACAATGGAATTCAACCAACCGTGGACGAACGTGATATTGTCCGACTGCTTTGGGGGCGTAATAAGCGACGAAGACGAGGTTTTGGTACCAAGAGCACGGGAGCGCGATGCGGGGTTGCGGGTATCAGTCGATTCTGGTGAGGAAGAAGGCGGTTGCATTGAACGTCTGTTTGCGTTTGCTGCCATGCTTCCATTGCTAGACTTGGCTGGTTTCGAATTATTGTTCGGAGCGGGATTGGGATTACGCAAGGCTGGTGAGGATGAACTGAGCTTGAGCTGCAATTGTCGATTCGCGATGGGGGTGGCAATGGGTGGCGACAACGTCTGGGCAACCGAACTCGGCTGCGAGAACATAGTCTGAGGTGAATCGCGTTTACGGCCATACTAAAACACAAGTCGTTTGAGATGGACCCTTAGCTTTTAGATTTGGCCCCACTCACTCCTTGGAGTCGCGAACGCAGGGATTTGAAGCCAGTTTCGACGGGTATAGGTGGGCGGAAATGGGTATTCTCCTTGGGCTCGTCCTTTCTGGATGTGAAAAAGCCCATGCTTTCATAGTGGGGGTAAGAAAGGGACAAGGTATTGGCGGGACCTGTCTGTTTTCGGCTAACTTCATGTTCACAGAGACTCTCAATCATCACTTCTTGCTTTACCCTTCTCTAACTTAGGCTCATCGCTTTCCCAGCCTCATTTCCACGAGCTAACCTCGTTGCACACCGTTCTCGACTTCTTGTCTTGTTTGCCGCTCAAAAATGTGCGTAAGTTTGTTGACGTTATCACAGATTCAAAAATGCCATCCGTCCATGCTATATGAATGAGAGATCTACAACTTTGCTGCAAACTGCGACTCAGTCACACCCTTCCCCATCGCTGCAGTCGAAGAAACACCTCCAGTCACCGTCTTGATTAGGTTGTCGGCGTAGTCTGCTCCACTCCACTGAAAAAAACCGGTTAGCCTCGACAACACTTCTCGGGAAGCGACATCTTTTCACCTTTTGATGCGTCAACACGTCAGTGCCGATTTCGCGTTCCTTGCGCTGAACCAGTTCCACGTATGCCTTCATACCGGTCTTCGCATACTCCTTAGCGAAGAGGTCCGAAATATAGGCGTTGGAATGCAATCCACCGAGCTATAAGCTTGATAAGCAAGCACTGGAAACCTGAAGAGAACAACAAACCGTGATGAATTGCCAGACGAAACCCAGCTTCCCTAGTTGCCAAACATACGATTGCATTTCCTGCTCGCCCAACCCAGCAGCATCCCAGTTGAACGAAGGGCTCAAGTTGTAAGCCAGCCAATGACCTGGCCGCGCGGCATGCACACCAGCAGCAAACTCTTGAGCTTGCTTCAGAATTGGGCTTTTGGTTTCCATCCACAACAAATCGGCGTATGGCGCAAAGGCAACCGCGCGGACGATGGCACACTGAGTTCCCCCTTGGTATCGGTAGTAACCTTCACGTGTTCGAGGGCTATCCCAGTCCCAGTATGGTACCGTCTTCAGCCCGAATTCCTTTTGAGCAATAGAAATGGCAGCAGGATAGGACACATGGGCGACTCGTTTGATGAACTTGTCGACTGTGCTCGCCGAAACACCTTGTTTCGAAAGAGCATTGGCAAGAGTTGCCGGGAATAATTGCAGGTTGGCGGCAGCGATCCAGTCATCCTCAATCTTTTGCAATTGATCACCGACTTTTCCCTTGCGCTCAGCTTCCACCATGACGGAGTTTAGTGGAGGTAGCGATGGGTTTGTGCTGCCTAGAATGAAAGGATGGTCACGCTCGTCGATGTTGGACGTGATTAAAGTTGCCGCTTCGGAGTCCGTTCGCGCAATGGCGAGGTTTTCGACACCCATAATGTCGTATTGGAGGCGAATGGCCACAAGACGGTTGATATGCTCTGAGATCGGGACAAGTACTTTTCCTGCCATATGACCGCACTTCTTCGTTCCAGGAGCTTGGTCCTCAATATGAATTCCAGCAGCACCCTTCTCGACAAACATCTTTGTCAGTTTCATGATTGCAGTGAGCCCTCCGTGACCAGTATCCGCGTCGGCGACAATGGGGCGGAGATAGTCGATGTACGGGGTCTTGGCAAGGTTTGCATCCGACAAGTTGGAGCGAGCTTCGCGTTGTTTGCGGTCGTGGAAGAGTTGCGCCATGAAGAGATGTTCCACTTTGTTGGGGACAGTGTTGGAGGGGTAGTCAGCGAGATCAGGGCCAGGCTCATTCGTGCTCGATGCGGTACTTGACGACTGCCAGCCCGAGACATAGACAGTCTCGAGGTATTTTGCCATCTGGGTGACCTGGACCGGATCGAGGCTAAAGAAGAATATGGCTTTCTGTAGCGAGGAGGTGTTAGACACTCACGCGCCATAGGTATGAGAGGGTGTGCCTCGCTTGGCGTGTTCAGAGAGCAGGCCCCAGAGTTTCTGGCCTAGCGCATTGGATGGATATTGGATGGGGAGCGTTCCGCGCTTGGAAACAACGTCTGCTGCGGTGTACGGACGAGTAACGCGGGCGAATCGAGGGCTCTACAACATCGGCAAGTAAGCTCCGGTCAAGGAAGTTGTCATAACCACCAACCTTCCACCACTTTTCGACTTCAGCGACCTCGCGGGCAAAGTTAGCGCGCTCTTGGGACATGGTGGTAGGAAAGAGAGAGACGGGATGGAGCAACTTGATTCCGGAAGAACTTGTAATTAGCCCCTAAATCTCGGTTGCCCGTGATTTCGCCCGATTTGATGGCCGTTCCGAATTTCCCGCTGTTTGCCTAGACTTTAGGGTTTTCTATTTTGCGACGGCCTCCAGACCATCGGCTGGCCGTTAAATCCACTGCGGTCTCCGCCGACACGGGCTCCCGCCAGCAACCCTACTCATAAACAGGCAGCAAAGGCAGGTTTCGCGTAGTGATGTCATCCGCAAGCATCCGTTCCCAGATCCGAATTCGGAATCACGCATTATTTTGCCATTTTGCACCGGTTCACCGGCTATATACCCCCGATCTAGCGTCTATTCCCATCGTAAACCAGCCCAGCCAGGCCATATCGAACCACAAACGCCAATACGCTCCCTGCAACCTGCGCACCCATTAACGTCTGGACAAGCCTCTTCTCACTCATCGGCCCTAAGCGGACCAAGAAAAAGTTGAGGATGGTCAGATTTGTTGTCGAAGCAATAGTTCCTGTGGTTGGATGCGGCGTTAACTTGGCCAAGCCAAGTGCCGCCAGGATTCGAAGGACCATTGTCGTTAGCGGTGATGGAGATTTCTCAAAATATGCTTGGGATGGATGAAGCAAGTTGGTGTCATGGTCGATTCTGTGGCCGCCATCAGAAACAATTATAAGGTAATATAAAGCCCACCTGGGGACACGGTGTCTTGGGCACGGAACCAATCCGAATAGCTGCGGACAAGATAGTACAAAGTTGAAGATCTGGGGAAGGAAGAAGAGCAAAAGCGTCTTGGAGAAATGGGCCTGGATTCCAACAACCGCAAAAGCCATTCCCGTCACATAACACAAGGTGTCGCCAGGAAATGCTCTTGCGGGGTACCAGTTGTGGTACATAAAGCCCAAACAGACAGCTAATAGTGGCAGCATGAAATATAAGCTGAACAAATGGCGCTCAACGAGCTCCCGGCTGCCATACGCCATTCCTGCGCTCCACACACCTCCAACTTCGACCTCAGTATGACTACCGAGAAGGTGGAGGGGTATCCGGAAGTCAAGCGGCCATGGAAGATAGAGTAGATCGTTAAGTATGACCGAAAGAGCAATGATAACCGCCTGGCTGACTTCGGAGCCATTAATTCCAGCAAGGATATTGAAGCTGTTAGTCGCAAAAGTGCTAAGCAGCGACATGTAGATATAATATAGAGGGCCTGCACTTGTTAAGGTTGTGTGTTTGTGGAGAACAACGAACAAACCAAGGTTGACCAACGTCCCAAATAAAAAACGCAACGGAAGTGGCACAACCACATTTGTGTTGCCTTTTTCTGCATAGTAGACCATTAAAAGCGGAATGGATGCGATGATGGGAATCGGGATTTTGTGCCGCCAACGAATGTCGAATACGTCGTCCAAAAACCCAAGAACAGTCGCAATGAGGAGTGAAAGCAGTGAGGATAGGTACACCGAGAGCTATTCAACGATTATCAGCTTAAGACCACACCAATCGCAAGGGAGCATGCCTGGTAATGAGGAAACTCAATGACAGAGAGGCCTTCAGGGCCTTTTGCCGACATTGTGCTGGAGAACGCATTCGAAAAAGCGAATGGGATGAACAATATGAGTAGGAGGATGTATATCGACGCGCAGACGAGTCCCTGACTTTCTGGTCTGAGAATATTGTCAGACAACAAGCGATTGGAAAACGAGCTTCGTTTTACACTGGTGACTTATCGAGCTTGAGGAGATCCACACCCTTTAAGTTTGCGCGGATGAATGCTGGCCCGACCGCAGGTATCACATAGAGTGTTGCCAACAATGCATAGAGGGAGAAGCCAACAGAAGTGTAGAGCGTCGGGAGCGGCGGGAAAGGATCAACAAATGGGCGGACAACAAACCACGTGGCAATCGCGAGTAGGCCGACGAGCAGAGGTGTAGAGGGAAGCGGGCGTGGTGGAGGCATGCTACATGGATTGAAGAGAGGAAAGAAAAGAGAAACAACGTGTCTTCACGTGTCCTGACGCGTTTCAATTTTATGTCACTTCTTCGCGTTACCCACTCAGTCGAAAAAGGCAGAGGGCTCGTCGCCAACCAGCCGATCGCGGCACACACTCTCATCGAGACAAGTCCTGTCTTATTATTCTCCAAGGATGAATGGGAATCGCATGGCAAACATACAATCCTCGACCACTACACTTTCAACTGGAAAAACGGGTCGATGGCGCTGGCGCTAGGTCTCGGTGAGTACAAACGCTTTATTGGACAAAAGTGCTATATGCCATATGCGCCAGCTAGGCTCTCTCTTCAACCACTCCGACACTCCTAATGTCTCCTACACTATCCAACCTGATTCTGATATGATCATCTACACTACCACTCGCGCAATTGAGCAAGACGAAGAGCTCTGCATCTACTATGGGAGCAAGCTTTGGTTCCAACCTGCCGGCCAAGCCCACAACACGACCAACGTGGCAATCGAAGATGGTTGGGGCGGTTTATCGAGCCTGGAGACAACATCGTTGCCCAGTTTCTGGGAAGGAAACGCAGGCGACATGATCCCAGAAAAAGATTTACCCTTTGAAAGATTTAAGCCACCTCCGGAAGAAGAGACTCCTGAAAGTATCCGTTCAGGTATGATTTCACTTAGTCCTCATTATAAAACCCTGAATCATTGCAAGTGCAAGCATGGGTTGTGGACGTACCCGACGCCAAGGAAATTGGAGCCATGCTGAAGTGGCTTCATCGCTCCGGCCTCGATCTACCAGAACTGGGTCATCTCAAACGCGTACGGAAAACACCAGAGACCAACACCTTTCTGCTCAGTCTTGCTGCTGAACCACCAGAACTCCCCTCTAACATTGGACTGCCCCATCCTTCCAGACAAGTTCCAGTGCCCGCATCTGTAGCGCTGACCTTACCATCACTCGCCCTAAAAAATGCATTGTGGCCCACGGCCTATGCACCACGAAAAAAAGGCGAAGTTGAAGATTGGACGCGAGAAAAGACGCGGTGGGCTTGGGAGTCGATGAAAAGAGTTGTCGACGAAGCACATAAAGCAAAACAAGCTGGAGAATTACCAATCGCAGCTCTAATTCCTGCTGAACAATCTTTCATCGGGTACGACACCCGACAGAGCGCATCACATCCGCTCCGTCATGCCGTCCTCAACGCAATACGCAATCTGGCTGACCATCATGCAAAGACAGCAACTTCTGAACTCGATGAACGGCAGAATGGTCAAAACTACCTTCTTACCTCGTTGACTCTCTTCACGACCCACGAGCCTTGCATTATGTGTAGCATGGCTTTGCTCCATTCTCGGGTGAAAGAAGTCTATTTTCTCATTCCAATGAACAAGACGGGTGGATGTGGCGGAGCAACATGTCTGCCTCTCCTCCCTGGGGTCAACCATAGGTTCACAATATGTCGCTGGAAAATTGATACGTTGGATGTGGACGGATTACATGTAGAGGATATATTAGATGCCTAGAACCACACGCTTAGCACCAAAACTGCAGGACGGAGGGAAAGAAAAAAGCACTCACACTACCACAACTCCCTCCTCTTTGCCCGAATGGCCATTGTCATTGAGTGTTTCTCTGACCACTTTTCCCTCGCAGCCACGGCTATGGCTTCCTGTGCAGCCCGTTTCTTTTTCCTCTGGCTCTTCTTCAACGCCGCAATAGCTTGGACGAATCCACGAGTGACATTGAACTTGCGAGCGAGGACTCCCGACGTGTAACGCTCTGGATCGAGTCCCCTTAGTCGTTTTATTTCCGCCATCGTCTCCTCAGAGGCTCTCGGCCTCTCTACCGCTTTCCGCACCGCTGGCGGCAGTGCCTCGTTCTTGGGTGTCGTGGGTGGTCGGAGTAGCGGAGAAACAGGATTTGTCGTCAGCGATAATGGAGAAGGCGCGGTAGGGGGTGGTCGGTGAATGAAAGTCAGTTTGCTAGTGAGCTCAGTGACTGCTGCATTCGGGTTATTTAACAGTGGGTCTGGTGCCCGGTACGGAGGGCGCTCCGCAGTGCGAGGCTTTGGGCGCGGGTATTTCCCGCCATGGGGAAACCGCTTTGGTTTGGCTGACCCAGAGGCATAGTTTCGTGTCCCGCCAGACACGAAGAGGGAGAGAGAACGAAGCATGAAATTTATGTCACGCGGTGCGTGATATGTGACATTCGTGGACAGGGTTACATATTCCAACTACAGTACTCTCGAGCTCAAGGAATCGTAGTTCCCTTCTTGACTGCCTCCCTCGCCTTGATGCGCTCGACCCATTTCTGAACTATGATCAGTCGTGCCCTTGAAATTGACGAAGGGTAACATCATACCTTGAAGTCAGGCCACTCATCCAACGACTCGATCTTGAGCCAAGCATGTCCAGAAACCCACGTGTACGCGTTGATGTCCGCAATACTATACTTGTCCCCAACCAGCCATTCGCGGTCCTTCAACCGAATCTGGAGAACGCCAAACAACCGCTTGGTCTCGTCAATGTAGCGCTTTTGGGCGTAGGGAATCTGCTCTGAAGCTGAAAGGAAGTGGCCGGCTGCAATCTTATCAGTACTGATCTTTTCTCTTCTCGTCAAGAGCACTCACCCTGCCCCATCATCTATACACCACAAGTTAGAAAAGTCAACAACGCGAAACTATCCACTCACCGGACCCAGTCCCGCGTTGGCCCAGAACAGCCACTGAAGCACCTCGCTCTTCTCCTTGGACCCACTAAAGCCGAATTTGTTGTCCGGATCGTATTTCTCTTGTAAGTACAGCAAAATCGCGCCTGTCTCAAACACCACAAAGTCGTCGTTGGCGCGGTCGACAATCGTTGGAATACGGCCATTCGGGTTCAACGCGATATACCAGGGCTCCTTCTGTTCGGTCTTGGACATGTCGATTTTTTGGTATCTAGACAAAAGGTTATTCGTGTAGTGCGGGTCGAGAAAAAAGAACCAAATGCGTACTCGTAGATGTCTGTGTTGTAGGCAGCCTTGAGCTCTTCGAGGAACACTGATATTTTTTTGCCATTGGGTGTTCCAGCAGTGTGGAGTTTAATTGGTGGAGCCATGGTAGTAGTGGTTGTATGGAAAGTGCGATTTAGGAGTTGGAGTCGACGCGTTGTTTTAAAGAGGAAGGCCATGACGAAGATGTCCGACAATATGACACTTCACATCCGTGCTTGGTCATTCTGGAGGTGTTCCGCACAGATGGTATTGGTAAGTTGCTTACATTTGATTCAACGAGGGTTACATGAGACAGTTTATCGTCGCGACTAATCCAAAAAAGAAAATGAATCCACATGTAGGGTAACCGTCCAAGATAAAATGGATCAAGAAAGAACTCAGCTGACTTCTGGCGAGGCAGAGCCACCACGACTGCCTGGCTGAGAAGAGCTATGTGTGCGTGGCAATGCTGGCTTCTCAGCCGCCACAGTTCTGCCGTGAGAGGGTGAACGGGACAACGGATTGTCACGGAAACCCTGAGGTGGCGTAGAGTGTGTGTTTCGCTGAGAAGAAGTTTCGAAACTCGGGGCACGTGGGGGATCGAGCCTGGTTGCGGATGTTGACAACCTTCTCGAGTCAAATGGCGCAGGTGAACCCGTCTCGGAATCGTAAGTGGGAGAAGTTGGTCGACGTGGTCCCCCTGGTGGACGAGGCGGAAATGTGTAATCAGCCGCCAACATGTTTCCATTTCGAACGGGTTTTTTGCCTTTTGGTATCTGCATTCCCGAATCCACGCTTTGCCTTCGTCCAGACCCTGTCGCAGCCCGGAAGTGCCTCTTCCAACTCTTCGACCCTGCGATAAAGTCCTGTCATCTCTGACCGCATGGGCGCTATTCTACGCTCAACCAGAAGCTCGACAGTGTCATTAAGCTTCTCCTGTTGTTGCGTAAGGTTCTGGATAAGGGCATTCGACTTTTGGAGCTGATCCCCCAGCCAGGTTTTGAGTTGCTTCGAGTCGTTGAGTGCGTCGTAGAATACTTCAAATGGCGCGAGGAATGCCGCTTTATCGCCAGTGTAAGTCGCATGTTGGAGAGAGGTGGGTGTGGGGGGTACCAGAGTGGATGAAATCGGGACTGAGGCAGCGGGAGGAGAGCGCGTGGTTGTTGTTGGGTTCGTATTCGGGTGTGAAATAGATGGAATAGCATTCGAACTGTGATGGCGCTGCATAGCAAGTCGGGTTGGTGTTGGCGGTACAATGCCAGCCACCTTTCGTTCTGCAGTACCCATGACAGGCGGCAGACGCGGAAGACTCATGGGATAACGACCAGCCTGTGGTATTGGAGGAGCACTTTGGATAGCGGGTTGGAATTGCTCCTTGGTATGGGCTTCACGGGGACTGATGATAATGTCGGCCGGTTTGCGTTTACCCCCTAGGTGTTCTGCTCTGCGCCGAGCAAAACTGATTGGAGGGGCTGGCAAAGAGTGTTGAGGGGGAGGTGGTGGAGGCGTTGGGCCAGTTGTCTCATCAATGCCAACCGTGCTCCCTCTCCGCTGCTCAATCAAAGCCTTCTGCTTCTGTTTAGCAGAGATTGACGATCGGACTTGGTCAATCGCAGTTGGATTGTCGCGCATCACAGAATAACCGAATCCCATGACAACGGGCGATATGGGGGTTGTCTCTGAGTTGGCCCTCACATTCGTGTTGAGCCCAAGTCCAAGACGTCGTTTTTTCGACGAAGAGGCCTCCCCCTCCTCTTGATCTTCTTCTTTCACTCTTCCACTTTCGAGCTCCGTTAGTTACCGTCCGTTCACCAATCAAGAACAACGCACTTGGGCTCTGGTTGCTCTTCGACCGACGTGATTTCTGCCCTTGCTCGTTTTCTCCCATTACTTTCTACAGGCGACTTTGCGCGTCGATGCTGGATGGGAGGCAACGAGTTGTTGCCAGAGGATATACTACCCATGCTTGGATCACTGAACGCTTGAGCGAACGAAGGGAGTGAGGTCGTAGCCATAGCGCTAGCGGCAGCAACACCGCCCTCAGGAGCGGGAAGTAAAATGAAAGAAGAGTTTGAAGGTGTTACTCTGACAGGGTTACACTAAAGATCACACGCTTGCTCGTACCACAACAACGATACTTGTTACGAGTTGTTTGACCCCATGTGCCTACATCAAGCCACTCTGCCAAGCTACCATTCAGTTCCATTCATGCCCCAGGTTTCTTTTTCTTCCTTACTGCCAACACAGTGACTGGCGTGTTTCCCGCCGTTGCTAGAGGCTTGGCCTGCGCGGCATTCTTGACTCTTATTGAGCCATATATATGCGATTCGAATGTCTCGAGTGAGTTTACCGGTTCTGGGAATGGGTTGGGTGATATGTCAGGAAGATTGGAACCGGGTCGCCGTCTTGGAGGGGGTGTAGATGGTGGAGCAAGAAGCATTCGTGGTTCAGGCTCTGGCGTCTGCCGATCAGAGACAATACGACTGGTAGTAACTGGTCGTTCACAGAGTCCCTTTATAGACCCTTCCAAGCTCTCTGTAGCTTTGATTGCACGCTCGACTGTCGAAAACTCCAATCCAGTCATCAACGAGGTGAGAATTCGTTTATTCAGTTGGCTCGACACCTGTCCTGGTGACGGTGCGAGTGGCGATTGGGATATTTCTGGCTTGCTGCTGCAAGAGATAGCAGCAATGAAAAATCCCGTGACCGCCCCAGCGACGCATTCTTGCCGGAAAGACATTCGCTCCCAGAAGTCGTCGCTCGATACTTTGGCCAACTCTCCGGACACTTCCTTCTCGGTTACTTTATTCGGCACATCCGATTCAACGCTTATTCGAGCGCGCTTCTTCGGGGGAGACCGGATAACCTCTTCGTCACACCCAATCTCGTCCATGAACCGCGACTTTGGATCGTCATCGAACGTGGGTATGTAATGACCAAGATTGTGGGTGGTTTTGTCTGGCGGTGGTGGGCAAGGGAGCGGGATTTCCGTTTGGGTATACGGGTGGCCGTAATTCCAAGTGGAAGTAGAAGCACTAGTCGGAGGGGAAACTGGCATGAGTGCCTGTTCAGCTTCGAGCTGAGTGTAGCCCGGAAGCACATAATACAACTTTGTTGAGTCAGTTCTCTTCTTGACCCCGTCGACCACTTCAGTCAAGACGCGTTTCCACCATGCACAAAGCTTCACGTCGCTTAATGGCCTTTTGCCACTAAAGTCTGCTGAGTTGGGGAAAAGATATTGCGACTGGGCCCGCGCAAAAAGATGGATCCAAAGGTGACTGGCGGAAATGGGCCGTGTTTCGGGATCGGCGTAATACGACAAGAGTGAGCGGACAAGAAAGGGAGTTGGGGAGGGTGAGGCGGCTTGTCCAGTCGAATCGACTTTGGATATGTAGAGAATTGCGCACGAAGTGGTGGGGATGTTATATACGGATGCCTCTATAGCAGTGACCAAGATACGCGGTGATTCGGGAGTGGCTTGTTCTGAAAGAAGAACGAGAATGTCTTGGAGGTAAGCGCGTGGACGTGGCCGAGCAAAGGGGAAGAGGCCATTGAACTTGCGAGGAGATGACACAAGGACGTGAATAAAAAATTCACGGGTACCTGGCACTCCCGACAGTCCTTTCAACAAGAAGTCGCGGAGGTTGAGTCCATCCATGGTCATGTGACCGCTGATTGGTTCCTCAAATTCAACAATCCAAAATAAAGTATGAATATTATACAGCGCTCGGAGGCAGACTAGAGTCAGTTTTGGAGACAACACGAGTGTCTACATTCACCACCAATGATGGCTATATTAGCATTAGATTTCTGATTCCAGGTCAAGACTTAAAAGCTCACCCTGAACCGATCTGTACTTCTGGCCGAGGTGGGAGTGTTAAGCATAAGAGCGGACATATTCATGAACGTGTTTGGTTTAACTCTTTCACGTAGCGCCTCGCGACTGTTCAGCCTGATCCAAAATAAGAAACTTGAAGATCTGGGGGACGAGTCGCTTACGCTGCTAACACGGAATTAACGTAGCCTATGGAAGCCGTCAGCGATGTTAGGATAGAAGAGGAAGCAAACATTTTCCAAGAAGCCAGAAGAAGGCGACATAAACAAAGTTGTTCGGCATGATTCCGAACTAGGTGCCAGTCAGATGTTACCGTTCAGCTAGCTTACAACTCACAGTGATGACGACACAGCAGGCAATGATTCCTGTAAGGAATCCTGTCGTAAGACTGTACTTCATGAGAGTGCTAATCAGATTATCTGTCCTAACCCTCTGTTCAGCCACTGGCAAGACATGCAAGGGAAAGCCACTCACCTGGGTATCCCTGTGCGACTCTTAGACAGGTAATAGCAAAGAGAGATGCCGATGAGTAGGTCTGCCGCCGCCGCTGAACCGAGTCCGGCACTAGTAACCCACTGCGTAAAAAAAGATGAGAATCTAAAGCCCCAAGCAAGCAATATACGCACGACTAAGCTTGAAAAGTCATTGCGATCCGTCTCAAAACTGTGCCGGTGTCAGCGCGAATGTTTCCAAACTTGGAGTGACCGTACCTTCCAACTGTGAACACTAGAATGGACCTTGTGACCGGAGAGCGATAAACCGATGAATGTACGAACCTATGCCGAGACCTCTCAAAGTATTGAGCATGGTTAATCCCCTTTCTTGACTGGAGACATACCAAAATGGACGATAGAGAGGACAAGCTACGCATAGTCAGAAGTAACGTCTCCTGAGAGAATGACGCTTGCAATCAAGACAGTCAAAAAGAGGTTACGGGATACTGGTAAGATTCGATTTAGAGTGAGGCATGTACAGTGATACCGTTTGCGAACCTATCCACACGCGACGAGCATAGAAGCTGGGTAGTTGGTTCAAATCTGCCCCAGAATGTCAAGTTCTGTGACTGACCACTCGACGATTAGTCCGATTAGGCCGTTGAGATCAGTTTGGACCTGGGTGCAGGTTTGCATTTGCCATCGAGGAGTAATCCAACCTACGTTGATACTCCTAGAAGTTGTGAGCACAAGAATGCTAATAAAGGCGGAAATTGTAAGTTACCAAGTTGCTTTGGTAAGAATTTCCGGATTGTTGAAATTCAGTACCAGGACACTACGGTTTTGAATTATTCTCTACTCGCTTTCAAGAAGAGTTGACGCACGTATAGACCGCAATGGTGCAAAGCACGAGATGTGCTGTATCTAGTAACCTTGGATTCTGTGAATATCGGACGATTTGTGCTGGAATGGGAGCAATTTCACCACAGAACTGCGACCTGACGGGACCTGAGGCAGAAAACCGGACAAAACGAGCGCAAATACCATCCATTTCATTATTTTGGAGTCCTCGGGGTATTTGCTGCGGCGTATGAGCAAGTGCTTGGCGCCGAACATGTTGATTTACCGGTAATATAGATATCTAGCATTCAAGGTCAATACAAGCCACCTCCTCCAGCATGTGCGACTTGCGTTTGCAGAATGGTGACACCATAGAGTCTGTCAAGGCGGTATAAGCGCGTTTCGGAGGACATAAAACCCGACAACGGACACTGCGGACACTACAAGTCCTACAAACGCGCTCCCAAACGTGCTTTGAAGCGACACCGTCATGTCGGGGAGCAAGAGAATCAACGGCGTTTGCCAAGGAGGTTAATATGCGTATATTAATGGAAAAACCACCGAGACGTCAAGCGCTTGAGAAAGACTTGCTAATCAGAGCCATACTGACGATTGGCCTTATGTTGCTGTCGCCAGTTTCTCATGCGAAGCAGTGGACCAATGAAAGCGAGAGTAGGGAACATTGGCCGTATTGGATCACCCGGGGACTCCTTTTCACTCGAACCACAGACATTAACATCCAACGACCCGACTTTGAGGATCGTCTCAGTAGTCGGAGCGATGCAAGCGGACATGCTTCCACGGTGAGTCTGTTGTCTACGTCGAAATCAAGGCGGTTCCACAGTCTTCCACGAGACTTGAGCGACGGCAAAACAGGTGTGGGTTTGGACATGGACGTTGGGATCAAGTTGGTTTTGGTCATGTGGATGACGTTGGATGGATTATTATGCTACAGTGTGGTCAAGAACAAGTACAGTGTGTGTGTAAATAGAATCCAAAATTGCTTTAGGCAACATAAGCAAACGTATCTCGTGTGCCATCCACCCGCTCAATGTACTCCTTCTCCAGTAATTGATCAATTGCCTAATATGGTATTCTTAGAAGCAGGGCAAGCAATGAAGACCAACCCACCTTTTTGATATCCGGGATCTTGGGTGAGAAACGCTGGGTGACTTGAGAGATGACCTCCTGGATCAAAGGCTGATTTTTCATCGTTTTGCGTGCCTTCATTATGCTGTCAAGTCGAAATCAGCCTCAGCGCTCTGATGAAGAACACAAAGACGGACCGGACGATCGTGGCTTGAATGACATATTTCCGGTCTTCGTCGACCGTCTTCAGGACGTCTGTAGTGTCCGCCTTCACCTCCGCCTTTATGGGTTGATTGAGGTTAACGCGAATCTTCTTCGATTTGAAGTCTGGACGAGGATTAGAGTGATCAGTAATAGCACTCTGCACTTACTGGGATTCAGGTCGTATTGGTCAGTCTCCTCGTTTATCAAAACTTTAGCTTTAACGAGGATCCCAAGGCTTTGTGAAAGAATCTCTTTGGTTATCGAAGTTGCTGTTTCTAGCTCGGCTAAGGATAGTGTGTCGTTGCGATTGTACTGCATGAGGATGGCCATCTGATATGCGCTTGTCGTGAACATATATTTCTGGTTTGTGTAGTTGGTCCGGAGTTCGTTTTTCGAGTAATTCCACAGCCAGGTGAGTTTCCTGCCAGAATGTTTCGTCTGATAGTACTTGGAAAAACGGTCATATGTTGGTAAAATCTCCGCAGGAATCACGAATTCATGTGTAGGGGGGTTGAGAGGCCAGAAGTTGGTGCCGAGAACCATGATGCTAAAGTTAATGTCCATATCGTCGTGGTTCTGAGCCATTCGATCTTTAAATTGGTCGGTGAGGTCCTTGCTTAGACTCATGTCTGATACTAATCAGCCTGGAGCTAGGAGATAGATAAACGACAACAAACCAGTAAACATGCGCTGGAGCTTGTTGGTATACTCAAAGCCGCATGCCTCTTTCAGTTTTGAAATCATGCTCGCCTCGCTCTCGTCAGAAGCCGAGACCCCATGGATGAGACGTTTCGACAGCTTTGTGGTGTAGAATTGCTGGAAAACATCTTTGTCCTCGATATATTTGAATAGGATCATCTATAAGATCTGAGTAGAAAGAAGGTTGCCAACTAATGAACGCACCACACGGTTCAACGCAGCTTCCAGGTCGTCTTCCTCGGCCATCTTGTTGTTCTTGCGAAGTAACAAGTCTGCATGTTTGGCGATAAGCTCCGGAGACTTGGAATTCGACGCTCCCGTCGCGTCATTGCGGTTAACAAAGATGCGGCAGGCTTTGTCCAAGCTGGCCACAAACCCAGCCTCACCACGGAAGCTCCGCGTGACGGTCTCGGAGTTCTTATGATGTACCTCGAGCAACGCATCGACGTACGCCTTTGGATCAATAGCATCTCCAGGAGAGTCACCGCCAGCGCCAACCAATTTTGCAACAGCAGCCGAACCCGCATTCTTCACGTGGTCCTCAAATCTCTTTCGCAGTGGTTCCAGACCCTCAGGAATACGAGATAGCAGCGAGTACATCCGCTGTAGGTCTTCGTCTTTGTCGTAATCGAGGAGATTTTGGAAATGATCCCACATCAGTTTCGAGTGTTCACGAATGAGAACATGTTCACACTTGAGGACGAGGGGTTTGCGTGTGCCGGTATTGAGGTATCGCTCGACACGGTCTTCTTCCTCTCTGAGTCGTTCTTCAGCTTTCTTCAGATAGTCCGACACGGTGTTTTCGGCAAGGAATGATTCTGATTCGTTTTTGTAGTGTAGTTCGGTGGATTCGAGGAATGGCATCTCGAAATGCTCTTTGTAAACATCAAGACAAGCCTTGTTAGGATCTGCCTCATCCAAGCCCAGCAAAACAAGCGAGTCGACGACCTTCTTCACCAGGCCTTGGTCAATGGTTTCCCCGTGTCTTTGCAATTCGACGAGGCGTAGGATGGCACTGGCTAACTTGGTATTCCTACGTTGAATCGGTACAAAGAGATTGTTCTTCCATTGAACAAGAGCGAGCTTTGATTCTGTTCAGAATGGACATTAGAAGAAAAGCTGAGGACTTACCGTGTAGACAGGATAGACGCCCCGCCTGCCCTCGTCACGCTCCCGCTTGACCCAATGCCGGTTGAGATATGTGAACAGGCGGTTGATGTAGTTGGCACCAGTTGTGTAGCGCTCCCACTCTGTCGCATAATATTGTAAAAGAGCTTCGTCTTGGAGTGTCTCGGCTTTCTGGGCGTGAATGAGTGTCTGGTTGTCGGAAAGATGGTTCACGATACCTCGCGAAGAGCCTTCAGATGGTTGACGAAGTATCGGATTAGGTTGTTGTACAAATCTGCACCCATGAGATTCGCGCCAGCTAAGGGAGAGGTTATTGTACGTTTCTTTAACAAGGGTGCCTACAAACTTCGATTGGCGATGCCACTGCTCTCCGATGGCGTTGACATTTTCGACGACGTACAATAGTTATACGCCACAGTGTAAAGCGACATGTACTGGGGGAGAAGATAAGGCTCGAGTCAGCTTTCAAACTATCTGTGGACCCACCTTGGAGTACGAAACACCAGTTTGTAGTTTTGTCATGATATGGTCAACGCCATCTTCGAGGAAGGCCCAAGTTGTCTGAAGGTCGGCAGTCGGCGCTGGCATAGCAGTGCCGGCCATGGTGGTTGAGAACAAGAGCACGTTGTCGCGACAATGTCATCAGAGGTGCGTGACTCCTCGTACTCCTGCGTTCAACAAATAACCACTACTTATTGTTTTGCTGAACGTTCCTTTAACCACGTATACACACAATCAGAATTCAGCTTGACGGTACAACACAACTACAACTGCCGGATGATATAGAACAAGCCGATCTAATCTTCAGTGTCGTCAGATGGGAACAAACACCAGTGGTCGGCATCGGGTTCATAGGTGCGCCAGTCTTCCTCTGTCATATTGAGTAACTCGCCGTGCTTGTCCACCCAGCTACCCTTACTACTCAGCAGCAATCCTCCGTGCCGCTCTCTCCACTCACCACCATCTGCTGGCCATGTTGGGTAGAATGGACCATCACCAAGATACATGCCATCGAGAGCGAATTTATGGCCATCAAGAATAAGACAGTCGCTGGTAGAATTGCTCTCCTTGCTGATGTCATCGGTGTCGCGAACCCAGTCGCCGGCCACATTGATCTCCACGCTCATGGACTGGGTGCTTGGGACAGGGTCCGGCTCATGATAGTCGCCAGGAGGATAAGAGCACTCCGTCAAAGAGAGGTAATATCTGAGCGTTGGAGTTGCCACTTTTACATCATGGTCTGTGAAGAGTCAGAAGAGCCAACCCTAAATAAGTTACGCACCATCAAGGACATTATGAAGACTCTCGTTGGATCGCATTGGCTGGCAGAGTGGACAGGCGAAGCCAGCGATGTCTTGACTACAAATAGGGATATGCCGGGGTGGATCTGACCTTGAGTGAGCTTTCCTCATTGATACGGAGCGAAAAAAACCTTCGCGTGGCGCGTTCAACGCTGGTTGACTTTCTGCAGGGATGTCGCCTGATACCTCGATATTTCGATGCTTTCTGCGCTGTAGCTTCTCGTTAGACTTGACGATGTTGCTCTTGATTTGTCTTTTCTTGTTCTTCGGCCTAGACAAGACGTCGGGCTCGACAATAGTTTGATTCTCGTCCTCCTCCTTCTTTCTCTTGCGGTTTGGCTGTACGGCAGTCGAATTACTTGGAATGACAATATTGCCAGGATTGGAGACTGGTGCGGTTGTACTGGACATACGAGAGCCTTTCTTGAGGGAGGGAGAAGAGACTGAAGTGTGCGATCCAAGAGAAGCCGAGGATGATTTAAGAACAGCAGCAGGATGAGAGAAGTGTGTCGAAGCATCTGAGAGAGGGGAAGACGCGCGCAGAGTGGTCGGGCTACTGGGTGCCTCCATGATTCGTTGCAAAGGACCAAAGCGTGACGGAGTGACACACCACCATGTCGACATCCAAGGGCAAAGAAAAGGCCACTCCAGAACCAGAAGTGACCGCAGAATACCTCGCCTCTCTCCTTCAAAAAGCACGCGACGCTGTCGCTTCACAAGACGACATCCTCTCCCTCGATATATCCCATGAAACGTACTGTTCAGAGTTTTCCGTTCCGGCCTACTTATCTCATTGTTTTTGCAGGCATTCGTTGAAGCCAGACCTTCCAGAGCCTTACTTGACGCTTGGGCAGCGTAAAATTGACCCATTCACTTTCCGCGATCCAGCCGTTCAAGCTGCAGAACAGGCTTCATCATCCTTCGTTGTTCCCGCACCGCCAGTCCCTCCGCCTGAGATAGGCAAATCAGGGAAAGCCATGACGAAACGCGAACGGAAAGCAGTGCGTATATTTATCTACCCTGGTTTACCTCAAAAAACGAGACATGTGTAGTTGCGAAAGCAAACCGCAGGCTCAGACTGGTTTGACCTACCTGCACCAGCCGAGGCGGACCTCCCGCGACTGTATCGAGAGGTGGAATCGTTAAGGCTGCGAAACCAGCTCGATCCGAAGCGATTCTATCGGAAGGAAGAGGGGGAAGGCAAAGGCATCAAGGGTTTGCCGAAATATTTTGCAGTGCGTGAACTTAGATTGTTCTTTCCATCGAACTTAGTGTGTTAGATTGGAACCATCCTTCCGTCGTCAACACCCTTCGGGATAGCGAGCGCCGAAAATTTGAGTAGAGCAAAAAGGAAAAGAACGCTGGTCGATGAGTTGGTGGACGATGCGGAAGCAAAGCGATATGCGAAGAGAAAGTTCGACGATCTCCAAGCGGTTAAAGGAGCGAAAGGCCGCAATACATTACATGACAAGAAAGCGAAACGTCGTCCAAAGTGGTAGCCTACATCTAGTCTATTCAACCGAGGTTAGCATGAAAATCGGTGCTTTCCTCCTCAAAGAAGACTATCCTTGTGTGAAATTACTGGGCGACGACCCAACGACAACGAAAGGCAAAAACGACTGGACCTATTGCAGAGATACCTTTGTCCACAATAAGAAGAGGATTACGTTGTCATGAGCTGCATAAGACGATGATGGTCGCGATGTGGCATACTGTCAATGTTAAACAACGAACCAACTTGAAGAACGCAATTGGGCTGTAAAGTCAAGTGTGACCGATCGGTCACGGGATCCATCACTGCTGATCGCAACCATCAAAAATTTGTTGGCGATGGATCTCGACAACCGCTTGGCCGTTTCGCTTCAAATTTTGCCAGTTGCTAGCTAATATAACCCCTTCTTAGCTCAGTTGGTAGAGCGCGTCACTAGTAGTCACGTCATGCTATGACGAGGTCAGTCGTTCAAGTCGGCTAGGAGGCATTACTTTTGCAGGTTTTTGACCTGGGGCCGTGCCACAAACTATTTTCCTCTCACGCGGGAGTAGACCCAAGGCAAGACTGTTCCTAACCTAATTTCCCAGGCACCAGAATTTTATATTAATGCTACATGTAATCCCAAATAAACAGATCTCTACTCGTACTATCAATCGTAGGAAGCAAGTGCTGGTGGGGCCTTGAGCGGATGACATTCAGTGTTGAATACATCTGTCATCAAGGTAAGGCACCTCCCATTACAAGAGATGTGGCTTACAGTCGTCTAAGCTGATATGCTTGGGATCATCAAAGGTTAGGTATCTGAGAGAGCCGTCAGTGCCGCAGGAGATAGCGCCTGGTAGGCTTACAAGTACTTCAGGGTCTCAGCAAACCTAGGATCGCGTCAAACGGGCTGATGAAAAGGGATATGCACATACCAGAAACTTTCTGTCTTATCACCATATCGGGCAGCGCCGTCCACATTGACATTCGTGATGTCCGAAAATCCTTGTCTGCCTGGGAGCTTTAGATGTTTCTTGAAAGACTTGATGGCTGCGGCAGCACGATCCAAGTATTTAGTGTCCCCCGTAACGCGCCAGCCGTGGAAATTAGATTCTAGAACTAAAGGGAGTCAGACAAATTAAATACCAAGTCCAAAAATGCGAATGTTACCTTCCGGTCTTAGGATGTACTTTGGGTCTGTTATGTAAAACCCATGCTTTTTCGAAAAATCGAGCTGGGACTCGGACACGTGCCCGCCGCCCGAGTACCCACCGTCAGAACTGACGAATGCAAACGACTCGGGACCTATTCCAGTCGAGGTGCTGTTGTAGGTATTCTGTTGCCATGAGCAAATCGGGATGTACACCAAGAAGTTGACGCACCCAACATCCATCGTTTAGCTTGGAGGCAAGCTCTATCAGTGTCTCGTTATTTAACAGTCGCCCGCCTGCATATAACTTAAGATGAGCGCAGATTTCAACGCTTAGCGTACCTAAAAGCCAGTTGCCCGCATGGAAACACGATAGGTGACTAAGAGATGCGATCAGGATTGGGAGACTGTAGAAAGCGAACGGACGAAGACACATGTCGAACCTCGCCTTGCTCGTCCATTTCACCGAGATACGCGCCGACACCGGTGATCGAATCCTAGAGAGATAAGCCAGTTAATGGTGAAGGGACAACGAGCGTACCCGGAGAAGTTTGCGAATCGAGGAATCGACGGCGGTCTGTTTCGAATCAGAGAATGTACGAGCTTGAACACAGACACACACTTTCCAAGTCTGGACAAATACTTTGTCTTTGGTATTGCTCAGCCTCGCATACTTGATTAAATATTCGAAGTATGAATCTGCTTCACCACCCCAAGTCTGTTTCGCGGCACTCAGTTTGTACTACCGAGAAGGAAAGGACACGGACCACATAACGGTTAGCAAACTTGCCCGATACCGGGTCTATCCTTTGAGGCGCCATGCCTTTATAGAATGAGCAGCCTAAAACTACGGTCCTGAAATTTCAGTATACCTGGTATTGGGCAACCCTCTTGCGTTGCTATATGGCGAGCAGCGCCAACGCCAAGTTTTGCATATGTTGAATTCTTGGTGTACTTGGATAGAACCTCCCACTCCAGGCTCAACGACCCCGCCTCCGCGATATTCGTCTGCGATACAATCAAAAAGCAGAAACTGGCAGTAACAACCGAACACCGACTGTTTCCCGTTTTGGGTTGTTGTCCGAGAAGCTTATGTGTCCGTAGGGAATGACATTTTGCTGTTCAATGCTCATGAGTCTCGGGTGAATCGTGGCAAACGCGCCAGCTGACCCCGACAAAGGCATACGCCAATTTGTCGGCAATATCTTGCGCTTTTCTTAATAAGACCGGATGCTTCTTATCGCTAAGCTCGTAGGCAGACAGAAGGCCGCCAACGTATCGAATTGTGGTCTCGAACACGCTGAAACCCGGTTGAATATAAGATCTGCAGAAAAAGTCATCGAGACACACCTGACCGTGCCCCACGATTTGGTGGAAGTGAAGTCGACGGAGCTGGCGTGAGCAACAGCCTCTTTGAAGTAATCCTTTTCACCAATGAGGTATCAAATAGTTGTAGTAGGGGGTAGGTACCGTGAGGCCCATAATAATCTAGGAGATTTAGAGTCGAACGGGGTAGAGTCGAATGTTACCAACGTACCATTGTGCTCATAGAGTCAACTACCGTTGCGCCCCATGCTGAAAACTCGTCCGAGGGCCTGCTGGTGACTGGTCGCTGAGTGGAGGGTCATTTACTACATGAATATCGGCGCCATAGAACTTGCCAGCTCATCGTGTCCAAAGGCGTGTCTCCTGCCCTGGGTCTCAAGCTGCAATATAACGAAAAGTAAAACACTCACCGATACGGTTCGTAACTATCCTTGAATATCTGCACGACCTCCTCACGAAACTGCTTGTACTCGTCGGGGACAGTCAGACCAGATTTTTGGACCGTCACACCAGGACGAGTAGGGGCACCGAATACTATTGGTAGGAACAGAAATTGCCAGACGTGCATCGAGTTAGCATCAAGGGAAGAAATGAGAGATGGGCCAAAAGTGCCGCAGTCGGCCAGTCAACTTCAAAAGTCTTGGCATTTTGATCCGGGATTTGACGCAGTTCGGATGCTTGGTGCCAGAAATCTGAAAGGTTGCAAATGTTTGCGCGGCGAGCTACTTTGGAGCTTGCACTGCAAGAAGGTAACAGCTGTAGTCTTATGTAATCCTAAGTAAACTATCTTCTCTCTGGATAGAACCGTTGCTCAGTGTTTAAATTCGTTATGGGTCATGGGTGCCTTCTGACCCCAACTTTTTTGTCGTTACCTTGGACCACTCTTGTCGCATATGACCTGCAGTTGGCCACTCGGATAAAGTCTCGTTTCCAACTTAAGTTGGAATTGAACTTTTAGTTTGCGTTGAGTGAATACAGTAATTCGTCCCCGACGATCGCCATCAAAAGTCGCGAGGAAATTGATCAACAGGCTGCGATCGCTATTAGGCTCGCTGTTTTGCTCTGCCTTATAGTTCCCGCATGGCTTCAAGCTGTTCCTCAGTACCTTATGCCCCACTATTCTCGACTCATAGTCCTCTCCGCTCTTTGCGCTACTGCTCTCGCCGTAGAGAATAGTACGACACATACTACGGACGCTGACCTTGGGCCCCGTGTCATGTTCGTTTGCACTTGTAATACCAGCTTTCATCTAATCACCTACTCAGCGGTGGTTATATCCCCAAGGTAATCGGCTTCCAATACCTACATCTTGACAACCTAACTGGGAACCTAGAAAGGACCTTCACTTGTTGCTCTTGTTCTCTATGGGATCTCTGCTTTGGTTCAATGGATTCGTAAGGCGCTTCTACTTGTGCTAGCTGATTGTCCTCAATTGGAGTTGTCTAGAGTACTTTACTGTGACACCGCGCCGACCGTTTATTCTATGGCTCACCTGCGGGATGACTGGTGGGTCAATCTCCGGATAACATGCATTGCCTCAGTTCCTCAGCCATGGCCCTTGGTTTCGTTCTTCGTATCATTTTTGCCAACGAGCCAAGCTCAATGGGACGGTACATTGCTATGGATTTAGTACGTGACCCCCTGATAATAGACCGCTTCATTTTTGCTGATCTTACACAGTTCATCCTGCTTTCAGTGAGCACAAACGGTCAATACTTTGACTCGGAACTGAAATTATCTAGCCATGTCTCTTCCTTGCGACCGACTACATGATTCTTTCCCATCTGGTTAGAATATTCGACGAAGAAATAGCAGAGAAATGCATGCTCATTCGCCCCACTCTGATCGTGCGGCTCTTCGTCTGGAGCGACGTATCGACGTTCCTTCTGCAAAGCACGGGCGGCGGACTGACCGCGATGAAAGACGTAAATTTGGCAAACATCGGCAACAAGGTGCTTACATGTCTCCCTCGCAGGACGCACTAATTCATGTCCCCCCCAGATCGCTGAAGTCGGCATCATCTTACAAGCAGTTTCATTTCTGCTCTTCACTATCGTTTTCGTCGTATTCGGTATAAGGATGTGAGAGGCAACCCAATCCCTTTGAACTAGTTACTCATTGCATGCAGTCAAAAGCACTTCCCCGAAGTCTGGCGTCCCCGAGTTCAAGAGCCCTTCCGTCTGTTCTCTCGTGAACCAATAGAAGACTGGCGAATTCTCTTCTACGTTACATCGTTGACTTGCATCGGCATCCTCATTCGCTCTGTTTTCCGCATAGTCGAATTTGTTGGTGTCAGTGTTCTGGGTTGGTTTTGAAAATCGTGGACTAAACAATGCTGGCAGGGTTATAACGGAATGGTTTTCACCCATGAAGGGTATTTCTACGTGCTCGATGCCCTGCCACTCTGGATCGCAATGACCCTCTACTGCTTTGTGTGGCCGATTCGTGTCTTCAACCACACACCCGTAGCTTCTTTCGAGCTGAAGAAATCTAGTCCGTATTAAATTTAGATGTGTCGGACAATAATGGGTATCTTAAAGAGTTTACACACTACCTACCATCCTCGAAGTCAATTGGTAGTGGAACGAGCAGGCTCAGCTTTCCTGGGTCTTGTATAAAGTATAACTACAGTGAATACTAACTTCTTATACTTGAGGTCCACCATGTCAACGTAACTTGGCAATCTTCTCTGCCGCAATGGCGGGCAGCTCCCAGCCATCGCTCCCGAAACGAGGTGTCACAACGAGATCACCATGAATGTTTTTCGTCGGTTTCGAAAAGGTACACATCCCGTTGGAAGGGGAAGAGAGCCATGCCGCATTGACGATGGTTACGCCTTTAACCCAAACGCGGCTTGTTCGCACTAATTCGCTGTAGACGATATATTCTGGCGCCTCCACCGTGGCAAGAACAGAGGAGGGGTGGATGAATACATCCTCAGTCACGCCCATGGCCTTATATGGAACGCCCTTCGATGTTTTGAACTTGATGCCGGACGGCGTTTTCTCCAGTCGGTCCTTCCGTATGGCGACTTGGTCAATGAACCCTGTAGTGACCAAACGACGCAACATCTTCAACTGGTAATGAATGAGCTAGAAATCAAGGAGTCGCAGCTTCCTCTGTACCTGGAGATCACTTGGCGGTGGTACTTTGAGGGCAAAACCAGCCTCCGCCCCAGGAAAATTAGCTTGCACGATGTTGCTTATTTGAGCACGGAGTTTATGAATCTCTTCCATAGCCTGGGCTTCCTGTTATATCGACAATATTGGATATAAGCGCAAAGTATACCTTGGGTCGCACAAAATGGGCAGAGCAGAATTGATATCCTCCACCCGCATATTCGTAGGCTCCAACGACTGACAGACTTCGGAATATGTCGCTCGTGAAATTTCCCAAAGAAGAATGAATCTACCGAGTTGTCAGGTAAGCTTTTGAGCAAATATCCCGGACGAACATGCTGCGTCTCATGGAAAGCCTTGCGTTGCCTCTTATGAGAGTCATCAGTTTCGTTTTTGGCTTCGTTTTCTTCTTCTACATCCTTCATATGAGCTTCTTCGTGGAGGAATGGGTCCCCGACCGACATGGCCGAAACGATAGATATGATATAAGGTAGACAGCCTTCCTGTTGACCACTGACGAGCATACGAGAATACCGTGGCGAAAGGGGAAAGAGTGACATCTGCCTTCCAATTTCGGTTATTTGACCGTCAACAGTCGCGTCCGCAACGGCGAGTAGTCCTTGATTGGATATCTTGGGCACGCTCAGTGCACCAAGGAAGCCCAAAACCTTCTCCGCCTTGTATAGTGCTGAGCGATCTGGGGGGGTTGGGAACGGAAAGTTCACAACCGCATCAATATGCATGCTCTTCATCTGAAGGACGATACCATCGATCGGCATACGTAAAATCTCGGGTTTTGCAAACTTGTCGAAGTGGTTTTCGAATAGAGCTGACGAGTACAGTCGATAACAGTGACCGGGACCGGTACGGCCGGCCCGACCGGCACGCTGAGCCGCAGAGGCCTTGGAAATCCATCCAACTTGGAAGGCTTGGATCCCATTGGCCGTATCATATCGACGCTGTACAGAGCGTCGTCAGAGGAGCGAACACACGAGTTGACGGTAATTTACCTCTTTGGCTCGACCGCAATCTACCACATAGCGAATGCCAGGTATCGTCAGTGATGTTTCTGCGACATTTGTCGATACAACCACGAGCCGGGTGCCCTCAGGAGGCGGCTTGAAGACTAACATTTGCTTTTCACTTGGAAGAAGCGAGTATAACGGTACAATATGCATCGGAACTAGTCTCAATTAATCGGTGAACTAGAAAATCAAGGTCGTGACATACCGTCAGCATCATCCGGATCAAGACCTAGTTCTTTGTCGAGTCGAATTTCGTCAGTTTCATCATCACTTTCCAAAGCATCAGGGTCCTCATCAGCCATCCCTTCGTCCACATCTGGCGCGAGGTGATCAGGCGGTTGGATGCCGAGCTCCAAGTCCTCCGCCTCGACATCCACTGCTCTCACGTTAGTAGTACTTCATCAAAAACATCACAACTCACCTTGAGATAATTGGATTCTGGTAGCCTCATCAGAGTGGTCACGTTCGGTAGATTGTTGTTGACGCCGTTTTTGTTCCAGAGCCTTGACACCAAACCTAGCCTCAAGTTTTCGACAAACCCCAGTAATTTCGTTCTGACCAGTGAGAAAAATGAGTATACCGCCTGGAGGTAGACGAGCGTGTATCTTGGTCGCTTTTTTAACCGCTTCGGTCACATAATCAGACGACGTTCGCCGACTGAAATGGACTGTCACGGGATGTTGACGAGCAGAAACGTTGATAACGGGTGGCGGAACGGGAAAAAGGGTCTTGTTTTCTGCAAAGTCACTAACACGAAGAGTCGCAGACATAATGATTAGGCGAAGGGGCTGAAAAAATTCTGTGAGAGATCACATGGCACAAACTGTGTACTAACTTTAACATTGGCGGTGCCGGCCTTCCACATATCCTCCCGCAACCTCAAGACACGAGATAAAACTCCTATGAGAATATCGGTATTCATGCTCCTCTCGTGGGCCTCGTCGATGATGATAACTGAGTATTTGGAGAGAAGAAAATCCGTTGCAAGTTCGCGGAGTAGGACCCCATCGGTCATGAACTTGATTGATGTCGAAGGAGAAACAGTTGCATCGTATCGAATCTGGTAGGAGACGCGGGAAGGTGGTAAGGCCAGTTCATGTGCAACTCGAGCAGCCATGGAAATAGCAGCAACGCGTCGAGGCTGTGTAATACCGATCATGCCAGGATTATCTACAATAAGGTTGAGAGCAAAAAAGACATCGCAAGCCAGCCTTACCGCTTCCAGGCGATCCAAAGCCTGCCTCGAAGAGAAATTGGGGCACCTGCGTTGTCTTGCCGCTCCCAGTTTCACCGCAAATGACAACTACTGGATTTAAACGTATAGCTTCCATGATTGGCTGTTCCTCAGTCACAATGGGGAGTAGCATTCGAGCTTCCATGACATCGGCAGGTCGGAAGACATCGACGGACTTGATTGAATCGGCAACTGAGGATTGCAGAACATGTTGTGCGAAAGGCGATGTTGGAGTTTTGAAATCAGCGCCTAGTGGCCCACGTTTGGTCTCCGTCCTTTGTCGTTTTCGGGGAGGAGGATAGGAGTGAGGGTTAGGTATTGGAGGGACATCCTGTGAAGGGACGTCAACCTGGGAGGGAGCCATATAGCTCTTCGTCATGCCCAATTGCTTCACTGCCCAATCCTTGAAATTCCGCTTTGGCGCGACCTGAGGCTCTTCTTCCGCCTCCATTTCACCGGCTGATTTCTCCTCGTCTTCGCCGTCAGAAGGATCGTTTGCCGAGTCTGAGCTGTCGAAAGAAGACGAGGAGGAGGCATCCGGAGTGGATACTGGTTGCTTTCTGCTCCAGCTTTTGAATGTATTCTTGAGCAAATTCAATAAGAGGAAACGAAATAAACGATCAATTCAAACCTTTTTCTGCGACCTCGGTATGACTTTGGGAGGAACCAGAGTCCCGTCAGGGTTTCGTTGAAGCGCACTGCCAATTACCGCAGAACCGATTGGGGTGGGGACAGATGCTGGCACAAATGAAGCACTAGCACTGGGTGACGTTGACGAAAAGTCTTCTTCTTCTTCCTCTGTTGGCTCATCGGAATCTGACTCGGGCCCAACAACGGTGAATGAATCATAGTTCCGTCTTCTCCTTCCAGTTTGTCCCTCCAATGCCCTTCGCACCTCCTGGTCTTCAGATTTGGAAAGCTGTTCGCTGTGGGTATGCGCTCTTCCAGTACCAAGAGTAGACGAAGATTGGAGTTGGATTGAGGTTGGCAGAGCTGCTTGAGCCTGTCTGCAACCTTATAAACACAAGATCCAAGCAAAACAAACGCAACGTACGCAAGTTTCTCAAAAATAAGCACGCGCTCCTCCTTCTTTAGCTTCTTTTCCTGGACCATCGTTCAGCACCACGAAGAATTGTGAACCAAAAGGTAGATCGACACACAATATACTTGTCCAGTCTCTTGCGCTTCTTGCTACTCCATTTCGTCTCGGATTGGGCGGCAAGCTATGCACTGTTGTCAAGGATTGGGACACAGTCAAACGAAGATTGATGACCCACTTCTTCCCTCAATTTTTCCCTTTTCTGAGCTAGTATGTCCTCCTTACTTCGTGGAACCACAATCTCAGCATTGCTGTCTTTGAGATCGTCGCTTTGGGTCTTGTTTCCTTTTCCCTTCTTCTTGGAGCCCGCAGTCGACTGGCGTGCTTTAGCGTTGAATTTCTCTCGCGGTTGGTGGCTCATGCCGAAAATTTTCGTGACGCGTGACACATCATTTAGATCATTCCCGAGATTAGATTAGATTCAGCCTCCTTCAAATTATTTGCACTTGACAAGCCTTACGGACGAGGAATTATACACCTTGCCAGTGATATAATACAGTGCCTGTACTACTGTTCTTCGAGACAATCTTCCTATTCACCAGAGCAATGAGGCATTTATTCACGCGGGCTTGAGAAAGATCAGGAGGCTTAATCAAGTCTGTTACTAACAGAGGTGTAAGAGGCAAAAGAACCTAAGGGGGTTGCCTACATTTGACTGTGTGGTCCAGGGCATCAAAAAACCCCTCGATGACAAGGTCCATATGTTTCCGAAGATTCTAGCGATAGTCAGGAATGCTATGTTACTGTGGCAAGAAGCACACCGGATCGCTGCCTCGAAACTCGAGTGGCAAACAAGCTATGACCTTTTCGATTTCGATCTAAACCTGGTGAGCAGTGACGATCTGAGTCAAGTATGTTCAACGCACCGCACGCTGTTTCTTCTCCTTCGCCGTTAACTTGGGCTTCCCGGGTTTCTTTTTCAGGATTGATTTAGACGCCCCAGAGGCATTAGTTGTTGTGTGCCCAGCATAGGTTGTATCCCCTCCCTCCGTGTTCTCCAGGGTCTTCGTCATTTCAGCTTCGCGTTCTCGCTCACGAGCGGCGGCGGCGGCCCGGGCTTTGGCCTGCATTTCTTCCATTGCCGCAATCGCTTTACGCTCTGATTGCCATTTGTTTGCATGGAATGAGTCCTGAAAGCATAAGGCGCACCAGCTCGGCGTTTAGCCAGCTCAAAGGAATTGCCCGATGGCGCCTATTCAGAATAATAGAAATATTGGAGGGAAGAGCGAGGTTGGCATACGCACTTGAACCCAGTCAATAGTAAGCGAGTTCATCTGCATAACATATAGCCAACTGGCGAATGATTCGTTGAAGGTCGCGAGGGATTCGCTTAGATTGTGCAACTGCTCAACATGATGTTGCAGTAGTTCGGTTTCGTCTGCAAGCTCGGAAATGGCAGCATCGAGAAATATTGTACCGGACCCGGTATCTGTGGGTTCAGCATTGGAGACGGCGAAAAGTGAGCTTTGCGAGACGCGTCGCAGTGGTGTTCGCGGTTGAGGAGGCATGTCACATGGTCACGTTTGTGTGACCCGCGTCACTCCCGCGTCGACTCAGCCTGAATGTCTGGTGAACTCGAGCGGTACATCAGCGATAATTCGCTGAGGGTAAGTAGATTGAGCGCCCAGAATAATTTTGTTCTGATGAATCTGCAGTTATTCGGTCTCTCTGACCGCAAAATTATTGACTATGTCATAGCTTCAGGCAAGTTATGCTTGCATTGGTCCATTTCACACCCTGACGATGTTATAGCGAAGTCGGCCAAAACCCCAGATGCCCTATTCTCTGCTCTCAATGCCTCTGGTCTCCCGGACACACCGGATGCCCACCAGTTCATCAACGAGGTGTTCAAGCAGGCCCCACGAAAACACAAGCACAAGCGGGACAGCGCACAGAAAAAGGCCGAGAAGGAGACTAAAGCGCTTCATTCGCAGAAGTTTGGGTTCCTGCTGGACGACGATGAAGCTGGACCAAGTGACATCATTCCATTGAAGGAGAAGCGAAGGGGGGACGAGAAACGGAAAGAACGGCATGGTAGGAAACGGGAACATGACGATAAAGAATGGGAGAGTGACGAAGAAGAAAAGGCAAGGAAACGGAGAAGGGCCGAGGAGCAAACTCGGGGAGATGATGTTGACGAGCACATGGAAGAGGTGGAAGATGAAGTGACGAAGAGAGAGCGAGAGCGAATAGAGGACATTCGTGACAGAGATGCTTTCGCCGAACGGGTCAGAGAGCGGGACAAGGAAAAGACGAAGAAGATTGTTGAAGATCGGTCGTCAAAAGACAAAGGAGCCGCGGCAGAGGCAGCACAGAGGCGACTATTGGCCGACGATTCCGTGGCAAGGACAGCTGCTATGCCTTCACTGCGGTTACACTCCCGTCAAGAGTATCTTACCAAACGAGAACTTCAACAAATTGAGCTCTTACGGAAGGAGATTGCTGACGACGAAGCACTCTTTAGCGGGATGAAAATATCGAAGCGTGAACGGCGTGAACTTGAACACAAGAAGGAGTTGCTTCAGCTTGTCGAGCAGCGGATGAAAATCAACGACAAATACGACGGCTATATGCTCCCCGAAGATTACATCACCGAGCAGGGCAAGATCGACAAGAAGAAGAAGGAAAATGCTCTTTACCAACGCTACGAAGAGGCAAAACCCAAGGACGACCAATTTGTCACAGACGTGGACCAGTGGGAGGCGAGTCAAACACGACATAGTACATTCAAGACCGGGGCTCTGGACAAGGAAGAGATCCATGATGATTATGAGTATGTGTTTGACGAAAGTCAAACGATCAAGTTCGTTATGGACTCATCCATGCCCGGCACACGAATGACAGCGGCCGAGAAACTGCTGCAGGATCAAATTGACGCGGCGGAAAAGCGAGGTGAGTCTCCTTTACTCGAATAGCAGACCTTCACTGAGCGATTGACAGCGAAAACGATTGAAGAGACGCGCAAAAACTTGCCCATTTATGGATATAAGGAGCAGCTCATCGAGGCCGTCAAAGAACACCAAGTGCTCATTGTTGTTGCCGAAACTGGTTCTGGCAAGACAACTCAACTGCCCCAGTACCTTCATGAGGCAGGTTACACTCAAGGCGGACTCAAGATTGGCTGCACACAACCACGGCGAGTCGCTGCCATGTCCGTCGCTGCCCGTGTTGCGGAGGAAATGGGTACAAAAGTCGGGTATGAAGTTGGTTATTCGATCCGTTTCGAAGATTGCACTAGCGACAAAACAGTGCTCAAGTACATGACCGATGGGATGCTGTTGCGCGAGTTCCTCACGGAGCCGGATTTGGCCGGGTACTCGGCTCTCATTATCGACGAGGCGCATGAAAGGACTCTGAGTACGGATATTCTTTTTGCTCTTGTGAAGGTTCGTTGCCGCACTCATGTCGCCCCAGTTAGATTGTTGATCCGCGGCGTTTAGGACATTGCGCGTTTTCGGCCAGAGCTACGACTGCTCATCTCGAGTGCTACCCTTGACGCTGAAAAGTTCAGCGAGTACTTTGACAATGCTCCCACGTTTTACGGTTTGTTCTCTCCATTTTATTCCCGTCCTAACTGAGATTTTTATGTAGTTCCCGGTCGCCAATTCGCCGTCGATATCCATTATACCCCACAACCCGAAGCTAACTACCTCCATGCCGCTATCACAACTGTCTTCCAAATCCACACCACTCAGCCTAAAGGGGATATCCTTGTTTTCCTTACTGTGCGTTGTTCTCTGCATGTCATCTCTAACTTACCGTTATCAAGGGTCAAGAGGAAATTGAGGCTTGCCATGAAAATCTACAAGAGACGTCACGAGCATTAGGCAACAAGATTGCGGAACTAATTGTTTGTCCCATCTATGCCAACCTGCCGAGCGACATGCAAGCCAAAATCTTCGAACCAACACCTGAAGGGGCGCGAAAGGTTGTTTTGGCAACCAATATCGCAGAGACCTCGATCACTATTGACGGTGTCGTCTTTGTTATCGACCCAGGATTTGTAAAGCAAAATTCGTATAACCCGCGAACGGGGATGTCTTCTTTGGTTGTCGTTCCAGTAAGTTGATCTATGCTTTGCTCGTCGAGGCTCTTGCTAATTCTTGTCACAGTGTTCTCGCGCCTCTGCCAATCAAAGAGCAGGTCGAGCAGGCCGTGTGGGTCCCGGGAAGGCCTTCCGACTTTACACTAAATGGGCATTCGCGAATGAATTGGAGTCCAATACCATTCCTGAGATCCAGCGCACCAATTTAGGCATGACCGTTCTGATGTTGAAATCTCTTGGTATCAACGACTTGATTGGTTTCGAGTTTCTCGATCCGCCTCCGGGAGAAACCCTCATGCGGGCGCTCGAACTCCTTTACGCGTTGGGGGCGCTAAATGACCGTGGCGAGCTGACGAAGCTAGGACGAAGGATGGCTGAGTTCCCTGTCGACCCTATGTTATCCAAGGCGATCATATCGAGTGAAGACTACTCTTGTACTGATGAGGTACTGTATTCTTCGTTTTCGCAAATACCACAACTGATGTATCTTCAGGTCTTGACCATAATATCTATGCTTTCGGAATCGGGATCTCTATTCTATCGACCGAAAGACAAGAAACTACATGCTGACCAAGCACGTCAAAATTTTGTTCGACCAGGCGGAGACCACTTTACTTTACTCAATGTCTGGGAGCAATGGGCGGAGACCAACTACTCGCAACAATTCTGTTATGAGCAATTCCTCCAGTTCAAGAGCCTAAGCCGCGCACGGGATATAAGAGACCAGTTGGCAGGGTTGTGCGAACGCGTCGAAGTTGTTGTCCAGTCAAATCCTAACTCGAACGACATCACACCAGTTCAGAAGGCCCTGACCTCGGGGTACTTCTACAACACGGTATGGCTGTCAATTTATATCTCTCCTCGACCCTCTGCTGACGGTTTTCCATAGGCGCAATTACAAAAGAGTGGTGACTCGTACCGCACGCTGAAGACGAATCATACCGTCTACATCCACCCGTCATCCAGTCTCTTTCAGTTCCAGCCACCAGTTAAGACTGTGCTCTACTATGAGCTAGTAATGACCTCCAAGTCTTATATGCGGTATGTTTGTTCATTTTTGTGCTTTATGAAGCGCTGATTGTAGTTCCAAGGCAAGTCATGGAGATCAAGCCCCAGTGGCTGCTCGAAGTTGCCCCGCACTACTTCAAACCTGCTGATTTAGAACAGCTAGCGACGGGAGATAAGAAGATGCCAAATGCGAAAGCAGTTGGATCGGCTGGTGCTGCGACGGCCACATAAGGCTTCGTCGTCCCTTGTTCGATTGAGAAAGCCATATGAATTCCTGGCTTGCGATCAGTTGTATCTACGTTATGGTACTTGACAGAATCGCCGCTGTGGCTTGGACTAGCCTCTTTGATAGGCTGGCGGCATCCTTGTAGTAAGTAGTCTTAGCGCCATTGCTAACTGAAGATGTTGCACCAGATAGCCGATCCAAACGATAACTTTAAATTGACATAAGATTCAGGTTTTCTTCTTCTGCATTTTGCCTCCCTTTCGCCTTGTTATTGTTGTTCCCTCTGGTAACAGCGTAGTAACCCTCGCCAACGACACTGTCCACACACACGATAGAGTTTGTGTGCCCCACACCGCAGCCCAAATTTGCTCGCCATTCTCATCGTTCAACAATCTTTCGTCGTCGGTTGCCGACTCGCTTTCTCTGGCGCGGCCGACTCTTTCGTTCAGCGTGATATAGTCCTCGGCATTCAGTTCGAGGCGGTAACGCTCCAACGCGCGCTCCAGAACGTGTTCTTGTGAGTATGCAAAGTCTTTGTTCGACTTGGGCATGGTAGAGGGCAAGGTTCTAGTTGACATGCACAGCCTCACACATTAAACTTTGTCAAACCAAACCTCAGCCCGCTCTTTCACCGTCTCGCCCAATGAAGCAGGCACACGATCCCCAGCGCCCCATATATCTATCGGCGCAAATCCAATAATCCCATCGACCGCCTCAAATTCTGCGCGGAGCCCTGGAACTTTTAGAACCCATGTATCATCGTTAACAGTCTGATTGACGGTCATTGAGTGCCTGTTTGGGGACTTGGAACTCACATTGCTGAATAGTGCTGTCAGGTTGAACATGTTGCCTGCGAAGTGCGACATTTGCAGATAATTAGAGATTATGCTGTCAAAGCGCGAGACCAGAGTAGGAACGTTGGGATCCAGGACGTTAGGAAGCCGTTGAGTGATTTCTTTCCTCAAAGAATGGCACACATCGCCCGTGGTTTCGTCCATCCAGAATAAACAAAAGTCGAGGTCCCGATACGCAGCATTGCTGTATCTACCGGCCAATGATGCGTAGGGAACGGAAGGGGGTTTTGCATCGGGGGAACGGGGAATAGGATCAGGGGAAATTGAATTTGCGACTGCGGAGCGATAACTGAAATAGGTGGTGAGCAGCAAATAGACAACACTCGATTTGCATACCGGTCTGTCCAGTCAATGGGATCGAGCTTCAACACTTCATCGAATATCCGAAACTTAACGGCCTCCTGGAGCATGCCCCCCAGGTTTTCTTCGTTGGATAGAACGACGACTCCCAGATTCTTTGTTGGGATACGCGAAACTTGAGCCTTGAAACCTGGAGTACTCCCTCCGTGCTATGACGCTATTTAGCTTTGCTGTCACAACGCGTAGAACAACTTACCTCAATGATCTCTGTGTTATAAACGATCGGGAGGTGTACAAAAGTACTAGAACGACAACTTACCGAAGCCTCGATACGTTGAACGCATTTGGCCACCGCCGTATACCACAGGGGACAACTCTGGGAAAGCACTGAAAGCTATTGAGCGAAAGACTCAAATGAAGGAGAGCCTACAGACGCAGTCGGTCGTATAACGGTAATTCCCTCTGACACCTTCCGAAGAATTTCTGGAGGTATGATGCTTTCATTCGCTGTATTCGTTCCTTCCGCAAGGAGAACTTGCATCCAGCGGGCCTGTTGACAGTTGGCGGAGCTATATGGCACAAAGACGCAAGCACATACCATGTCACGCGCACTTGAAATAACACCACCTGCACCAGAAGCCGCTAAATCGACTGAGAGGATGTTGAACGCAATGGGTTCCTAATACGGACCATGGCCAGATTCACTGCGGTCCCAAAACTCAAATTCACGAGTTTGACCGTGGTCGAAAGGGTCTTTGGTCATATTTGCTTGCTCCCTGTAAAAGCTGGTCGCTAGATTGCCATTTTTGACAGCATCCGCATAGAAGAATGTAGTGTCCAGCATTCCGATGGGACTGAAGATGTTTTCTTCCACGTAGTGCTCGTAAGGAATGCCCAGTATGCTTTCCGGAAGGTACGAGAGGGTGGCGTACATATGGTTATTGTATTGCAGTTGTTCCCGGAAACCCGTCGAGGGTCGTAGATGCCGAAGGTTTAAAATCTGACGGTGAAATAAGGGAGGTTATTTGATAGACTTGGGTTCTTACCATGTCTCTCGGGTGAGCATTGAGCGGCGCCATGAAATCATGTCGCGGCAGGCCTGTGCGATGACTAGTACAGCATGTTAACACCGCTAGATCTCTCAAAGGCGAACATTACCTCATAAGGTCAATTATTGTGCTCTCACCTGAAGCTACAGGATCCATAAGTTTCCACTCCGGAATCAGAGAAGCGATCTTGGAGGTCCATGAGATGCGGGGAGTGAGCGATTCGTTCGAAATTAGAAGGCCGGTGGCGATAATGTCGAAGAGCTTGGAATTGGAGCCAATCGCAAATAGTGTGTCGGCAGTTACTTGCTTGTCTTTTGTCGCGTTTCCGTAGCCCTTGCTCTCTAGCTGCCAGGCACCACTAGGCGTCTTGGACACAACAGCCACCCCAATACCACCGGGAGTCTTGAATTGACGAAGGATGTCTAGAATTGCTGCATCAAGCTGTTCGTTGAGAACAGGAAGAGAGTGGTCGGCAGCAACAAGTGGATGTTGTGACTGACGCGTAACGGCAGCACCAACGACCCAAAGGCTTTGAGCAATCGAAATGAACAAGGGCAGATGCATGAGTGTCTGCAGGGAGATAGGCTTGACATTATATACGCTTTACAGATCGCCGCCATGATGCGAGGACATGACCGCGCCGCAGCCTCTGCAATGATTGAAAACCAGCGAAAGTATTCTATAGTTTGACAGCAGTGTGGATGCAAGCAATACCGCCCCATAAGTTGTCCCAGGCACCTCCATCCATGTCTTTCCCCCGTTGAGAACCCAGCTTCTCTGATCATGTTGGCGAACTCGGGTTGGGGAGGGAACTTGCGAATAGACTCCACAAGGTATTGGTAGGAAGCGCGGTCTCCAGCCAGGATGGTCCCAAGAAGTGGGATCATAGTAAAGGAGTATTGGTCGTAGGCACTAGAAGTGAATTTTAGTGAATGTCTAGGTGGAATGCTTGAATCTTACAGGCTTAATAGAGGATTGTTAACCTTGCTGAACTCGAGACAAGCGAAGGTTCCTCCAGGTTTCAACACGCGGTGTGCCTCTCTCAACACGGCGGGGATTGAAGTGCAGTTTCGGATGCCAAACGCGATAGTGTACAAATCGTAGGAATTATCTGCGAACTTTTCAGACGGGAGTTCTTGTGCATTCGCTTCGTGGAATGATATTTGGGGAGCTGAGAAACGTGAGCAAGACGTGAGCTGGCCGATGAGGACGCACTATTATGGTACATTGTCTTTTTGAACCGTCTGAACCCTTCCTTGAGCATCTGGTCATTGATGTCAACAACCTCTACAGTTGTTTCCCTATCCGCATAGTGCTCGCGTGCGTAGTCCAATATTCGCAGCGCAATATCACCTGTTCCACCAGCCACGTCAATGCAACGCAACGGACCCCGCCTTCCAGGTCGTAAACCAGAGACAAAACTGTCTTTCCACAAGCGGTGGACGCCAAGAGAGCTTGCATCGTTCATCAGGTCGTATTTGGACGCGACAGAGTCGAAAACATTTTTGACAAGATATTCTTTTTCGTCTTCTGGGACAGTCCGGAACCCAAACGAGGTAGTCTTCGGCCCAGATTCAGGTGTTTGTGTGTTCACACAGCGAGCAAGTCTTGGAACGACGCGACGAAGGTTTTGGCGAGCGACAACCTGCATTTCGCGTGATTGTCACAAATTTATTTTCGAAAGATGCCTCGACGTCCGCGGAAGACTGTTGCCGCCAGCAAACCTCGTCCAGTAGACCGCAACGAAAGCAAAGTCAAGAAGTGGAATAAAGCCTCTGACATTCCTCTAGACGATGAGGATCAATGTACGTTTACTTTTTCCTGGTCAGTATTATTAACAGCTCAAATCTCCTGTAGTTCATGCTGCTCGCGACAAAATTCTGTTGGACGGGGACATTGAAGATGAAGACTTGGAGGGAGACGAAGAGGAGGTTTTTGGACTAGGGATAGATGACGATGACGACGACGAATCTATGGGTGAAGAAGAAGAAACACCCGAAGCAGCTTCTGCTCTCTCGACAACGAAATCCAAATCCAAAAAAAGCAAGAAAAAGAAAAAAGAATTATCATCAGAAGACTCGGAAGAGGAAGGATGGGGTCGTGGCCGCTCAGCGTATTATTCTTCCAATGCTGCCCAACTGGACTCGGACGACGAGCAAGCCAATGAACTTGAAGAACAAGAGGCTATACGACTTCAAGCTAAAGCTCGAGACGCAATGCAAGACTTCGATTTTGGGCTAGATGATGTTGTCGAGCCGATGGCCGTGTATGTTCTCCTTTCTTCCACTGCTTTCAACGACTTGATTTGTTTGACAAGCGATGCTGTCCAGGAGGACCCAGCACCATTAGTAGAGCCGCAAGATACGCGGTCCCTCATTCGTAGCCTCGAAAAAAACAGTCCAGAGACGCTTGCTCTTGCCCGCGACTGGGAAGACACAGCGGAAAGCCTTACCAAGACGCGCCAGAAGATTGCCTCGCAAGTTATACTCACTTCTGGGTCGCTTTTTTCTCTCTGATGGTGCTTATTTTTTTAGAATGCAAGGAGGTCCTGGTCTTGGGATGATCCATCTTCACTACCGTAAGTCTTTCCATCCATGTCTTTGCCTTCTTTACCAGTGCCGTAGAAACTTTGTTATCGTATGCGACAGCGTTAGCATTTTACTTGCATCTACGTTCTAGCAGCAAGTATGCCCGCAGACCAGAACTACTGCGCAACCATCCAATTATGTCACGGTTATTGACACTCAAGCAAGCCCTTATAACACTGGAGGACCTTGACTTCGCAGCTTCGGACTCGGACCTCGATGACGAGGAGTCCGACGAGGGTGATCTACTTGATGCGAATGAATTGTGGAAATTGGATCGCATGAAGGGGCTGGACGAGGGCGAATTGGAAGGTTTGCTGGACGATGCAGATGTCGATCAAGAAGAATTAGACGCTCCTCGACCTAAAAAGCGGCGCAAAACCGCAGAAAAGACGAAAAATCCCGCTCCTTTGCCTATATTCGACCTGGTTGAGCCCGAATTTACCACCTCCACAGTCGAGCATAAACCGCAATTTAACGACGATGGCTACGGGGAAGCAACCTTCCTGCAACATGCGGATGTTGCGGACAAACAGGCTCGAAGAAAAAGTCTCCGGTTCCATACATCCAAAATTGAGAGCGCAAGTGCCCGACGACAGGGTGCTCGGAACCAAGCAATCGGTGGAGATGATGATATACCATATCGAGAAGCAAGGAAGCAACTTAATAAGCATTCGAAGAGTATGCAAAAGGGTCAAGATCTCGACGATTCAGAACCGCCGTCTAAACAAATTGAAGTCGAGGAAGAAACACAAGATGCAGAGGGTTATTATGAGCTCATCAAGCGTACGTCGAAAGAGAAGAAGGCCAGAAAGAAAGCAGAATATGAAGCTGCACAAGCGGCCGCTCGGTACGCTTGCTTTACCAGGTACTATGTTCGACTGCTAACAAAAATAGACCCGACTTTGAAGAAAGTGAAACTGATGGTCCTCGTTCATTGACCCGCGCCATTTTAATGAATAAGGGCCTAACACCACGGCGACCTAAGAGCGTTCGCAATCCTCGGGTGAAGAAACGCGAGAAATTCAAGAAAGCCAATATGAAGGTGGCCTCGCAGAAAGCCGTCTTCAAGGGTGGTTTGGCTTCAACAGGGAGATATGATGGAGAACGGTCTGGTATCTCCAAGGTCGTCAAGAGTGTACGGTTAGGTTAACTTGGCTAGAAAAGTCTATGTAGCCTATCGTATCTATTTTCAAACTGTGGGAACCGTGGAGATCGTCATCAGCGATTCCCGAGTAACTCTTTTATACGACGGTCACCGTCCCCCGTAGGTTCTACCACTTTCCCCCCCTTCTTTCTACTGCATCTCTATGGACCAGTACGCCTTATGTAAAGAACACTTAGCGCGCTCAACGACCACAGATTATTCCCTGCTTTTACAGCAGCAGCCTCTTTTATCTATTGCCTCGGACACTACACTGTTGCCATATTGCGTGGCACAGGACCAACAAGGAAAGATTTCAAAACCCGTCACCCACGAGATGGATTTGCTTGGCTGCAAATTGCAACCTGTGCTGCTCTAGCTACGGCCCAGTTGACCCTTCTGCTCCGTCAACCAACGCTTGAAAATGGGCTGCTACTAGCGACATATAGCTACGTCACCCTACTTGTTTTGCTTTCCGACAGAGGGACTCAGCTCCAAATCATTCTTACGGTTGCGTTCGGGTCGGTCGCGTATCGCGACTTGTTTCCACTAACAACGTATACGTTGATTCCCAAGGATGCATCTGAAGGCTGGATCATTTGGACGAAAGCTGCTTTCCTCTTCATGACTGCGATTGTCATTCCTCTTTTCCGTCCTCGTCTCTATACGCCAGTGGACGCTCATGTGAGATGACTGATTGGGTTCACGCCTTTTCATTCTTCTAACGAGCATTTGTAGAATCCCATGGAAGAACCTAATGCAGAGCAAACCAGCTCATGGTTTTCCTCCTTGACCTATTTCTACCTGGAACCCCTCATTTTCCGCGCTTTCAAGCACAGTGGTCTGAGCGTCGACCAATTCCCTCCACTCGCCGATTCCGATGCAGCGGCTTATTTAACCGCTAAGAATTTGTCAATCATGGACCCTCAGAGCCCCACTGCGAGCAAGAGTCTATTGCGGGGCATATTCAAAGTCTTTCGTGAGTTTTTTTGCCTTGCAATGAGTGTGACAAAGTTCATCGTTGCCTCTTAGGTTCACTATACGTGACTTTGCTCACTCTGTCATTTGTTATCGTATATCTCCCGTTATCCGCACTTCACGCGTCTTATCGTCTTTTTAGCATACCTTGCAATTCGCGGAACCACTTGTTATGAATAAGCTTCTGAGGTAGGTCGAATTCTTATCACTCTGCCAAATTGATGCAGTCTCCCAGGTCCCTTGAAACAGAACAGCCGTTCTTCAAACCATGGGTTTGGGTCATTTTACTCTTCGCTGCTCCCACTTCTCGTTCACTAACGCAAGCACGCTATACGTATCATTCTGTGCGTTAATACAATCTTGCCGACCAAGCTGACCTTGCCAAGACTCGGCAACGCGTACAGCTGGAAGCAATCCTTGTCCAGCTGTTGTTTCGGCACTCTCTACGCCTCCGGCTGACACCGTCGAGGTCAGAAAAAACTGATTCCCATAACCTCATTGGACGTATGAATAACCTTGTCACTTCCGACCTTACGATCCTATCGGGATCGCTGGAATTCTGGATTAACTGTCGGTATATTTTGCTAGATCTCCTTCTGTGTTGGCTCATTTGTGACATCCAGTCGTGGTTTTCCCCTTCCAGATCGCTTTGGGAATGTCATTTTTATATTCGATTGTGGGTTGGAGGTGCGCGCTGGTTGATCATGCTGATTGGAAATGGTGTCTGAGCTCTCACATAGTGCTTTGGTGGGACTCGCGGTCATTGTTCTGACTCTGCCCGTGCCATACTGGCTCGGGAGACTGCTGCGAAAGTACCAAATCATTTCCAGAAAGAAAACTGACCAGCGCGTTCAAAATGTCACTGAAAGTATGGGAATTTATGGCCGAGTCCTCATCTAAATTTCTCGAAGCGGTGTCCGTTCTTCGCATGATCAAGTCTTTCGCCCTTGAGCGGCATGTACAAACCAAGATATCTGCTGCTCGTGCTCAGGAACTCTCTGCTATTTGGGTAGTTCGTCTTTTGACATTCTTGACGAAGACAACGAAGTAAGAGTGAGTTACCCCTTCAGCTTTCGTCTAATGCAGTCGAAGCTTCATCATTCCTTTGCTTATTATGCTTGGCACTTTCTCCACATATGTAGGTCCTGTGCCACTTTTTAAACTGTAGTGCTTATCTCTTCCAAGACCCTTGTCATGAAGCAAAAACTAACAGGTATGAATAGTGTTGTTGGTCCTTGTGCTCCCCTGAAACAACCATCCGAAACCAGCATCCGTCGTGTTTACCGCGCTAACCATCCTGGATGGAATTCTGCGTCCATCAATTGCAAGAGCAGTGGACAATATTCCTAATATCACTGAAGGTATTTTACCCGTATATTATCTACCCTCCGTATTTCAACGTCGCATATCATGCAGCCAAAGTCTCTCTTGATCGGATTGACGAGTTCTTGAGGACCGTGAGTCAGGCTTGCTTAACCCACTGCGAGTACTGAACTAGTCTGCTTACAGACGGAAATGCTTGACTCGCCGATGGCTGATGCTTCCACAACTCAACAGTCTTCCAAAATAGGAATTCAAGACACCGAATTCTCTTGGTCAGTCAGCGCCGGTGCAGACGAATTCAGGCTTCGCGTGAAGGCGCCCATTCTTTTCATGCCCGGAGTTATCAACATCATCCTGGGTCCCACTGGAGTGGTATGTCAGTATCATCAGTGGTCATAGATATCTCATACTTTGCAGGGCAAAACTGCTATGCTTTTAGCTTTACTGGGTTTGCTCATATGTTGTGCACGGACATGTGACTGACGCGTATGTATCAGGTGAAATGCACGTGACTCATACAACCTCTCATTCTTGGGTAAATTTACCTCGAGAAGAGGGGATTGCCTACGCAGCCCAGCAGCCTTGGATTGAGAATGCTACCTTCAAGCAAAACATTGTGCTTGACTATCGTGCTCCGTTTGATGAAGAACGGTATAGGAAAGGTTTAACAACACCTCTGCTGACTCCGAATTGTATTCAACCTTCATAGTTCTTCACGCATGCGCCTTATACCCTGATTTGAAAACCTTCGCTGCCGGAGACGAAACTGAGGTGCCCTTATGTCCCCTCCTTGACTACTTGGACTAAATCCAACCAGATCGGAGAGAAAGGTTTGAGCCTGAGTGGCGGACAACGTGCTCGCGTTAGTCTAGCACGAGCGATTTACTCTTCAGCCAAGATAATTCTTCTTGATGATGTCTTCTCGGCTGTGGATATCCATACCGCAAAATGGATCGTGAAACATTGTTTCTCGAGTGATCTGGTGGAAGGAAGGACGATCATCCTTGTGGAACGTGACACCCTGTTATCCTAAGACAAGACCGTTGACCTCTTTGCAGACTCATCACGTCAACCTTGTTCGCCCTATTTGCGGGCATGTTGTTTCGATTCACAACGATGGGTCCATCTCGCAGGGATCTATTGACAAGGTCTCTGTATCAGAAGGAGTTTTGGAAGTGGAGACGACGCTTGAACAGAGCAACCCTGAGCCCATCAAAGCTGTGACCACAGACATATCTCGCGGGAAACTGATAGTCGAGGAAAAGGCACAACAGGGGATGGTCAAATGGTCAACATGTCAGTTGGCTGATTATTGCTATGCTTCAAATATAAACTTACCTCTCAGATAAATTGTTCTTTGCCAACTTGAGTGCACATCCTGTCTTGTTTATGGGGTCTATTTGCGTGCTGTTGGCGCTCAACGAGACTATGACGGCGTTTCAAGCCTGGTTCCTCGGCTATTGGTCGCGCCAATATGTCGATAAGCCCGCATCCTCTGTTGACGTACCTTAGTGAGTTTTGTCCTTACGTGATCACCGTAGCTCATGAATGACAGTTACCTCGGCGTCTACACTGGTTCAGTTTGCATTGCAATGGTTCTTTACATAATGGCCTTGGTTTTATATGCCTCGGGAACTCTGCGCGCGATCAGAATCATTCACGAAAAGCTAATGGCAGCCATCGTTGGAACCACACTTCGATGGCTCGATACCACGCCAATGAGTCGAGTTCTCGCACGGGCGACCCAGGATACAAACAAAGGTGCCCGGGCCGGTTGTTCTTGTTTGCTATATATTCATTCGCTAACTTGAATTCTTCTAGTTGACGGCTCTTTTGCCAACGGTGCTATCGCATCATTGGAGCGGACGATTAGGTCAGTCTTGGACGCATTCTACCAAAGAGTCTGACTTCATTACAGTATTCTCGCTAAATTTGTTGCCGTCATGATTATTTCTCCGACTTTCCTGCTGCCTGGTGCAATGATTATTGCAGCTTCCGCATTCGCTGGGTGGGTCTATCTGTCAGCCCAGCTCCCTATCCAACGTGAAGTGGTGCGTGAGAAATTTATGCCGTTGACGCATATACCTATTCATTAGTCTCGTGCCCGGTCGCCGATGCTCGCCCAGTCTGTTTGCTTTTCGTCACGCAAAACCGGGGATCTAACTACGTTACAGTTTTTCCGCTGCCGTTGCCGGTCTTCGTACGACTTGCGTTGTCTTTCTGATCGACTGCTAACCAGATCGCAGCTTCCATTCGCGCATATCAAGTTCAGGGATTGTTCCTCGAGGAGTCTGCCCGGCGTGTAGATCTCTTGACACGTCCAGCGATTTCCTATTGGAACTTGAATCGGTAAGGAACATGAACAATATGGCTTGCCTTGTACTGAAAATACCTTTATGTAGTTGGATCACAGTTCGGTCTGATTCACTCGGCGCAGTTTATTCAGCTGCTCTTGGGTGGTATCTACTACTTGGTCCTGGATCTGGTCAAGATGCAGCCAATGTCGGCTTCTCCCTCTCGATGGCCATGTCAAGTGTGTTGGTTTTTACTTTTTAAACCTCCCTGACAGTGTTGATAGTGACGCGGATGATTCTTTGGTGGGTTAGGATCACTAATGCAGCTCAACTTGACGGTCAGTGTCTCGGATGAATACTGTCCCCTCCGTTCACCATCTCCCAGCCAACAATCTGGAGCGGATCGAAGAATATATCGAGATTGAGCAAGAACCTAGGCCAACCAAAGATGCTACTCCGCCAGCTTACTGGCCAGCATCTGGCCAGTTGATTGTCCAAAATGTTTCTGCTCGATACTCTGCTGTGAGTTGTTGGACTCTTTTTGTTGTGCCGGTGTGACCTGTCTCCCTAGGATGAACCAAATGTATTACACAATGTGAGCTTAATCATCTCGGTCTTGAACATCGGAACCCATGAAAACAACTAGATCAACTTGAAAATCAAGTCTGGTGAGCGGATCGGCATAGGTGAGAAGGAACAAGATGTGCTGGAAACGCCACTGATAAACTGGTGTTAGTTGGTCGGACGGGGAGCGGCAAGGTTGACTTCTCGCACCCTGTTCCTCTTTATCTCATGCTTCGCCTCAGAGCTCATTGACGCTTGCCTTGCTTCGATTCATCCCGACGGAAGGAGAGATCATCTACGACAACATCCCAATCCACAAAATCAACTTGGATTCTCTCAGATCCAATATCACCATTATTCCTCAAGTGGTACGCACTGTGTTTTTAGCTCAGCGTAACGACAATTTAGTCTGTAGCCCGAGTTATTGGCCGGAACTATCCGGGCTAACTTGGATCCTTTTGGAGAACGGGAAGACTCGACTCTCAATGACGCGCTTCGTGGTGCTGGTTTATTCAGTCTTCGCATTGACGGACACAGCAGTGGTCTCACACTCGACAGTGTTGTAGCTCGGGAGGGCAGCAATATGTCTCTTGGGGAAAGGCAAATTGTGGCAATGGCTCGAGCTATCGTGCGACGTAGTCCTCTTGTTATCCTCGACGAGGCTACTTCCGCCATAGGTTATCGTGTTGTTCTCAATCTTCTTTCATTTGCTCATTTCACGCGATAGATTTTGAAACCGATGCTCTCATCCAGAGAACACTTCGCAATGAATTCAAGGGTACTACAATTATCACCGTCGCACACCGTCTTCAGACTGTTATGGACTACGACCGCATTGTGAGCCTAAACCAACTTGCTTTCTTGATGCCAACAGACTTCACAGATTGTGCTGGACGCCGGAAGACTTGCTGAATTCGGCTCGCCCGAAGAGCTCATACTGCAAGAAAAGGGTCTTTTCCGAAGCATGGTGGAGGATAGCATCGATAGAGATGACTTGGTCGCTCTTGCTAACCGTGGTGGAATGTGGACATAGATAGACTATCACTTCGGCCTACATTTTGCTTTGTTGTTAAGATATTGCGACCTTCTGCCCCTTGGAGCGGTTGCAGATCATCGAAATTCTTCGCATATTACTTTGCTTCGGCGTCGTTCACCGGCGTTCTTTGGCGTTTAGTGTAACTAAGATTTTCAGCGCTCGCCATTCCAAAGGGCGTCGACGACGGAAGAATGGTCCAAATCTAACGCACTAGATTTCCGTCAATGGCACTTACGCTTCGTCCAGAGATACTGATCTAAGATTCTCAATCGTCCTTGTGGTCCAGTGCAAGTTGAGTGAGCGAGCCTATCACTAGTCTTGCTTGGGTTTGATTATTGTTTGATTTTGCGTTGCTAATAGTCAAGGGTCTAGTGAACAGACAAATGGCGGCCCGAGCTCGTCATTCTGCCACTCGCTTTTCCAGGTACCACAATGCTTTTTGCCTTGATTTTCGAGCTCATCGTATCGGATCAGGGATAGATGATCGGCAGAAGGTCACGCCACCTGCCTTTGCTGTCACGAGTTACCTTCGACGACGAGGTTGCTCCCAAGCCAACAACAAGCACAGCGCCGGGCTGTGATCGAAGTGGAGAGAGCTGCTCTCGAAAACAAAAATCGTCTTCCTCACATCACATGTATGGGTCTTATGATTTGGTATGCACACTGTACCCAGTTCTTTGCACCGTCCCTTAACCTACGCAGAAGTATTTCAGGCGACGATGCAGACGTACTTGCCGCTAGGCTAGCTTTACCCCCTCGCTATGCGGCTTCTCTGTATTGTCGCCGGCTTAGGCGTGTTTTGGGGGCTACCAACAGCAAATGCCCAGAGTGCGTTGTCCTTCGGGCATCTTTACCTCTTATTCAACCTCCCATCCAGTAACTCTCAACTCGCTTCTCGTCGAGAACCAAGTAGCACCTCTCGGCATCGATGTTTCTCCTCGTTTTTCATGGAAAATCGCCTCTTCTGCTCGCAGTGTCAGCCAAACTTCCTATCGTCTGACCATTTCCGCTTCTGCTGCTGGGAAGTCCGACGTTTGGGACTCGGGCGTTATACCATCATCAAATCCATACCTTGCCCCGTATTCTGGCCCCGCTCTTAGTTCCGACACGCAATACTTCTGGACCGTGGCCGTTGTGTCTTCTGCAGGCTCTGCCTCGGCCCAGTCGACATTTACCACCGGTTTTCTTTCACAAAATGATTGGGGCACCAGCGCTTGGATTGGAAAGAATACTACCATTGTTTCGCCACAACTAACGGCCGCATTCAATGGCGCTAGTTGGATATGGACCCCTTCCCCTGGTCAAACTCCACCTGCCGCTCCTGCTGGCGATATCGCTTTGCGACTCACTTACGCCATCCCCGCGGGCAAGACTGCCGTTAGCGCGTCCTTTTTAATCACCGCAGACGACCTTTACACACTTTACGCAAATGGTGTTGTCGTTGGAAGTGCTCCCGATGTGACAGATGCATGGAGAACCGGACAGATATTCCGCGACATTGCGTTAGACAACACTGCAACATCTCTCGTATTTGCGATTCGAGCAACAAACCGCGCAGCTGGTGCAGCGGGTGTTATATTTGCTGCTCTTGTGTCGCTCTCGGACGGCACTTCAGTGACGCTCACAACCTCAAACTCGACAACAACTGGTACTTGGAAGGCTACCGCCACCATTCCGGCGGACTTTCAACTGCCTTCCACATCCGATGCGAACTGGGATACTCCTATAAGTTTGGGAACCTATGGTGTTTCTCCTTGGTCAAACGGCGTCACATTGTCTCTTCCAACCGTTCCAACCCCGTCCCTCTCTACTGCTTCTTGGATTTGGAACACTGCGGACGCGGCCAGTAGTGCACCAGTCGGAGATGTTGCTTTCCGGCGCACCCTTTCATTTTCCTCAAACTCGACTAAGACTCCCGTATCCGCTCGAATCGTTACCACTGGTGATAATCTGTTTGCCCTGTGGGCCAACGGAGTTTTGGTTGGCGAAGCGGCAAATGAAACTGATGTTTGGGGTGTTGCTTCTACTATCACAGTCTCATTTGCTTCGGGCAGTGAGAGTGCTCCTATCGCCGTTGATGGGTCGCAGCAGGTTGTTTTCGCCGCGAGTGTGACCAATTTGGGTGACAGAAACAATGCTGCAGGCTTCATTCTGTCCGCGTGGATTGTGTATTCCGATGGCAGTAGAGATGCGCTTGTTAGTGACGGAAGTTGGAAAACTATTGGCAGTATGTTTTTATTTTTGGATTATCTTCATGGTCGTTGAATTGATCATACAGCTCCTCTTCCTGCAAACTGGCAGAATCCTACATTCGACGACGCTGCTTGGGCAGCGGCCAACGTTCTCGGACGATATGGTATAGGGCCTTGGAACAATGGAGTTCGTGTGCCCGACCCGTTGGGCGAGCATCCTGCTCCTCTCTTACGAAAAAAATTCACGCTCAACAGCGAGGGTATGTGCGGGCGTTGATCTTGTTCAAGCCCTCATCTTGTTTCCAGGCAAGGGCATATCTCAAGCACGACTTTTCTACGCTGCCGGCGGATTTGCTGCGATCCAGCTCAATGGAAAACCCATCTCTGACCACGTGATGACGCCAGGTTTTACCAAATACGACACTCGCGTGCAATATGTTGTTGCTGATGTCAAGAACCTTTTAACCAGTGACAATTGTACGTCCTTGTCTTTGTTGGGGGATTCGTCACTCAACTACTGGTCCAGCCGCCAATGCTCTCGCGGCTGAGTTGGGTCGCTCGCACTACGGCGTAACACAAGCCAGCGCGTGGAATTGGGAGAGTGCACCGTGGCATGCTGAGCCGGTCCTGCGAATCGTCCTCAGTGTTGTCTACACAGATGGCTCGCGGGAACGGATTGTCAGCGACGGTACCTGGAAGGTGATCGAAGGGCCAACGCGACTAGACGATTTGTTTGGAGGAGAAAACTACGATGGTGAGTCTTTTGCCCTTGTACTCTCTAGAACCGTTTTTTAAGAAGCGACGATAGCGAGGTACAATATTGCCGAATGGAACCTTGCGTCATTCGACGACAAGGATTGGAAATCTGCATTTGTGGCCGCAGCGCCCAAGGGTATCCTTGTTCGTGCAAGGCAGCCACCTACGCGACTGAGAGAAAGTTTGAAGCCCGTCAAAATCACTCAACCTATCCCTGGGTCAGGAATTCGTCCTTGTTTTGCTTGTTGGTTGAACTAAACGCCATCCAAAGGCAATATGTAGCGGATTTCGGGCGCGTCATCGTCGGCTGGGTCAAGCTCACAGTGAACGGCCCTAAAGGAAGCTTGGTTACTATTCACTACGGCGAAAAGCTGAATTCCGACGGCACGGTCATGTACCAAGGTGATTGTGGCCCTTCTCCAATAGTCGTGCAACGGACTGATGAAATTATGGTACATAGACACTCAGCACTACTACGCAAACAATTTCCAGACAGATCGATACTGGCTGGCTGGCTTGGGCACTGAGACCTTCGAACCTAAATTCTCTTATAAAGGTCAGTAGACTCATAATGTTGACTTATTTTCTCGACGATCCTTCTGTAGGGTACCGATACATGCAAATTTTCGGTTGGCCTTCCTCCTCCGCCCCCACGCCAAACGATATCATTGGCCAGGTTGTCCATGACGACCTAGCGCTCACCGGCGACTTCCGATGCTCCATCGACCTGCTCAATAGAATGCATCTTGCCTCCGTTCAAACCATGCTCAACAATGTCCACTCAATTCCCACCGACACGCCTGTTTATGAAAAGAACGGGTGGTCTGGCGATGCTCAGGTTGCTGCTGTCAGTTACTCTAGCCTCGTCAAAAGATTCATTGTTCTGACCGGGATATCCAGGAAATGTTTTTAATGAATCTTGACTCTCAAGAGCTTTTCGCGAAGTACACTGAAGATCTTCGCGATACTATTCCCGCAGATGGCAACGGGCCACCCGCTGTCATTGCTCCTTCCGGTGGTTGGGGCGCAAACAATCAAGCTGACCCATGGCAGTAAGTCCTTAACACAATTCATTGAGCTCCTGGTTACTTTTCACGTTCAGTGCGGCCTTCGTTCTTATACCTGCATGGATTCACGCGTATCGGGGAGACACGAGAGTTCTGAGTGACAATTATGAGGCGATGAAGAAATACGTCAATTTCGAACAGCGAAGATCGCCAAATAACATTGCAAGCACCGGCTTGGGTGATTGGGTCACACCAGAAACCTCCCCGCTAGGCGGCAATCCTCCAGAAGACTCAAGGGTACCAGCGACCGCGTATTTGTAAGCAAACTTATCTTCCTGTAAGGTAATCTGACCTTTTGTTATAGGTATTATATGTTCGATGTCATGAGCGGCGTTGCCACCACGCTCAGAAAGACTGAAGATGCAGCAACATTCGCCTCGCAAGCAGCAGCAGTCAAGACTGCCTTTAACAACGCTTTCTGGGCCAACGGACATTATGTTGGCAATGGTGATAGCGGCTACCGTCAATCACACAACCTCCTTGCTCTCGCCTTCAACCTGACTACCAGCCCCAGTAATGCTCAATCAGTTGCCGACAGTGTCGCTGCCGATGTCAACTCGCGAGGAGTTCACCTCAACACTGGTGCTCTCAGTACCAAGTATATTTTGCCCATGTTAACGAACAACGGACATGCGGACCTTGCGTTAGCTGTAGCGCAGCAAACCACCTTCCCTAGCTGGGGCTTTTGGATGGAGAACGGCGCAACCAGTATGTGGGAGCATTGGGCGATCAACGCACGCTCCCACGACCATGTACGCCCATTTGTTTTTGTTGGAGAATAATTGGCTTCTTAACCATTTGCAGTACTTCCTTGGTACCTTCGACGACTGGTTCTACAAGTCCGTGCTTGGTATTCAAATGACCAGCACCGCTTTCAAGACTGTCACCATTGCTCCGCTCTACACGGCATCGATCCCTTCAGCGAGTGGCTGGCTGATGACCCCCTTCGGAAACATCACAGTTTCGTACAGGACGAGAGGCTCTTCGTTAACTCTGGATGCCACTATTCCCGTTGGTGTTTCTGCGAAAGTGTCGTTTGCCACCGGGAAGACTCTAACGGAAGGCGGGAAAGATGTGACTGGAGTCAACGACATCACGACCGTCCCTGGCTCCCCGACCCAGCTCCAGGTCGGGTCTGGCACCTATACATTTGTCAGCCAGTAAACGAGACTGTTTTTATTTATACCTGGACCATAACCAAGTACGGACTCGTAGGAGCTGTTGTAGGACATGTGCATTGAAAGATTAGTGTTGTCATCAATCCAATCCAATCCAACCCGAGGAGTTCATTCAATCCACCAGACACGAGCAGCTATGAATGGGTCGTCAGCCCGTCGCGGAAAGTGCTGCATAGTTTTGATCAGTGCTACAGCCTCGATACCGGAGATCACCTTATATACCAACAAACACAACGCGTCGATTTTGCTTCCCGCTCCCTCAGAAGCTGGCTCCTGTGTGGCCTGGACGTGTCATGCTTCCTCCAACTGGCTTTTTGATGTTTGTGCACTAGCGATATGACGCGTCGCTAACTAACCAGATTGTCAAGTTTCTTTGTTCTTTTCAATCTACGCGCATTCGCATTGGAGTTTGATCCCATTAGCGGACCATTCTCATGGGGAGCTCTAGTCAATATTTCTTGGACTCTGGATGGGTCGGAACCCTCAATCGGATGGGAATTGTGGTTTAATAACACTGGCGTCGGCTCCAGCTCGAAACTCAAGCATATCCCGCCCGGCGACATATCCACGATTGTCGAGTTTCCTGGACTTAATGGGACTTTTCAAGCACTCGCTGGAACAAAGTAAGTAATAGTTTGGGTGTCCTCCTTTGAATTATCGAACAAGTACAGAGTTCTGGCTACTAGTGCTGCCGTGACTACGAGCGGCAGATCAAACACGACTGCGGCGAGCTCTTCGGTATCAGCAAGCGGACAGAGCTCCTCGCAGCCTTCCATCTTGTCGTATGTCGTTTTTTTTGTGGCGGAGAGATGTATCTTTAAACATCCTCGAGGCCATCGATCAGTCCTAGTGCTACTAGTGAATCTAGTAACTCCAAGACTTCATCGAGAATACTAGCCAAACCAGCTCTCTTGGGAGTTATTATCGGTACTCTTGTTGCTGCAGTGGTGATCACACTCGCCATAGTTTGGTTTTGTGTCGTCCGGCGTCGTCATAGTCGCAGTCCGACTGACAAAGAAGATTACCCTTTCAACCATGGCCAACCGAGTGTTGCCCATTCATCTCTTCACTCTCAACTCTCATTTACTATCCCCACCTCCAGTGGTTCGCGGCGAACGGCGTTCCTTACCGCTGAACTTGAGCGTTTCCAACATAGTCAACAAGATAGAACAGAAGAACAAGGTTCAATGTCCTTCCGGCGGCTGTCGACTGTTCCGTCAGCTACAACACAGCGGCTCAGCTCGTCTAGCTTGGCACCTGACGCGTCAGCTTCACGGAGAGACACCTATATTTCTGAACAACTCGCGCGGCTCAAAGTCGCCCATGGACGAAAACTGAGCCAGGACGGGTCTCTTCAATTCGGTCCACTTTCAGCCGTGCCTTCGACATCGAGTCGTGCGCCAACTCCGCGATCTACATCGACCGAAATTGTCTCACCAATTCGCTTCCAGCGTTCAAGTGAATCAGATGCGCAAAGCCCTTCCACACCGGTTGTTCCTCCATGGTGATATGGCTTGCATGTATTATTTGGTAGTTTCGCGGTGTTTGCAAGTAGATCGCATGTAGGATTACAGTGGCTGTTTTGTTCGTGGGCGTTTCGGCAATGAGGGATGGGAGCAGGAGTGTTACAGTATGTGACATGAGCCCGTTGACTCGTTTTCTACTTCCCCTCCGCCATCTTCTATCGAATCCCCATCGACTACGCGGGATGGATTTTCAAGCCAGTGTATCGAAGCTCAGCAGTCCTGTCAAAGACCTTGTTCTATCGGTCACCCAAAACGGCACTCAGCACGTCGGGGCTCAGGAAACTGACACGCTTGCGGTGAACGAATGGATTGGCAAGATCGCGCAGGGCGATCTTGTGAATGAATCTGGCTTAAAGGTCCAAGCCGTGTTTTACAATCAACTCCCCATTTTTAATCGCTGAAAACTAGACTCTCAACACAGAACTCGTCCCCAAAACTTACCTTGTCAGCAACTACTTGACGGCTGCCGACGTAGCGTTATATGGAACCTTACATCCGACATTAGTACGTTCACACTATTCAGAACACCGGCTGTTGTTGAACATTGTTGCCATAGTCAAAATTGAAGCCGTCCGAATATTTTTCACATCCAAGCGTAACGCGTTATTTTGACCACATCCAATCCACTGCACCAGTTCGGACAGCCGCTGACGCGTTTGGGCCTTCATTTACTGAGGTAACCTTTGATTTCACCGATGCCCCGCGCGCAGATCGCAAAGTCGAAGCGCCCAAAAAGAAGAAGGAGAAAGTGGCTGAGCCAGCTGCTCCTGAGCCGACACCAACATCTTCGGTCAAGGAAGTTGCAAGCAAACCTAAGAAGGAGAAGAAGGAGAAGGCCCCGCCAACTGGTGATGAGACGGGCGGAAAGAAAAAGGGCGGTGCACCCGCCAAAGCAGCAGCTGCGGACGACTCGGGAGAGCCTGTTCCATCCATGATTGACCTCCGAGTGGGTCACATTGTCGACAGTAAGCATAGTGAATTGAGGTGGTTGTTTGCTCATCTAAGCGTAGTAATGAAGCATCCTGACGCTGATGGCCTTTATGTGGAGGTGAGGATAGACTGTGTCTAGAGCCTCTGAAGCATCTCATCTGGGTAGCAAATCGACTTGGGAGAAGAAACGGGTCCTCGAACCGTTGTTTCTGGACTGGTCAACTATATTCCGATCGAGCAAATGCGGGACAAGTATCTTGTCGCTGTGGCAAGTCATCTTGGTTTGTATTAAAGGCTGTCCTCATGAAAAGCTCAGTGTAATCTCAAACCAGCTAGTATGCGCGGCGTTAAGAGTTTTGCCATGGTTCTTTGCGTAAAGCATATTGTTTGATTCACCTGCACTGGTTGACCGTGATTTAGGCTACTTCGAAGGAGGGAAAGGAGGGTGGAATTGAGCTCATCCAGCCTCCAGCCAACTCCAAACCAGGTGACCGTGTTTACTTCGATGATTTCGAAGGTCAGTGATTGTCGTTTTCGTAAAATCCCGGCCGACGTCGCTTGACGTAGATGCTACGCCCTTGGCCCAACTCAATCCCAAAAAGAAGATTTTCGAGACAATTCAACCAGGGTTCATCACATTAGATTCGCGGGAAGCGGCATGGGTAAATCCAGCGACAAAAACGGTCCACAAAATACGAACGAAGGAGGGTATTTGTGTAGCCCCAACGTTAGTAGGCGCCTCCCTGTCGTAGATAAATTAATGTAGTCCTCTCGACGCGGCCCTGTCCCTTTAAAATTGTTGGAAAGAGCAGTTACTACTTCTTCTTCACACTCTTTATGGACCGTGTTTCATTCCCAATGAAGATTCCCTAATTAGAGGGTTAGGTGAATGGCAGAAAAAAAGTTGATGTTCGCTGACCTTGCCCTTATACGGTTCTGGCTTGCGCAGAGCCTGCAGTTTGGCAGAGAAAAGGACCTAAAAGGTGCTTGTCGGTGCAAAACAAGGTGATTTTGGTTGGCAGTGGGACTTCCGCCGTGATATACGGGGGTATTGGGACGAAGACTGAGTGAGAGTAGCCGAGTTTCATGTTTAGTCTTCGACCGTTGCCGCCGTCTGCTGTTCCCCTTGGATCCTCCTCCATGGCAGCACGATAACCAACGCCAACAAGATATAGAGGCACACTGAAGCCCTCGGTCATTCCAGTGATTGCATTCGCAATGAGGGTCCGTGTTGTACCCCACATCTGGCGCTGCTGCTTAATTTCCGCATCTTGCACCGTGACCGATAGCTCTGAGGGTGTTTGGGTGATGTTGACGAACGTGAACAGTGGTAAAGTGGTGGTGCCGAGTGGTCCCGTTACCGCAATGGACGTTGGCGTCGTAGCGAAGGTGACATTTGGAGGGATGGGTATTGGTTTACTCCCAATATGTGAAATATGCACTCCAGCGCGGTGCACAGCAGGTATCCGTAGTGGTGTTGAAAGGACCTTGCGACTGCACGTCAGGAACATTTTCTGGTCCGTGACGTCACAGGCCCAGTCCAAATTTTGCTCGACGCCACGACCACCCAGACGACCGTCATACTTGCTTGGATTAACATGTCTCTGACCTCAGTGGAGCATTATCATGGCTATAAAAACCGTGCTTTTTGGCAATCGATTGACCTACAATCTACACGATCTATCCTCTCCCACAACGACCTCTGAAGCAGCTCCGTACTCAGCATAATGGCCGGATATCATCCCTTCTTATTTACCCTGATTGCCCTCGTGGCCATGGCTGGTCCGTTGCTCACCGCTTTCTCTGGAGCGACACACTACTCAGGTTCTTCAGAGCTTGGACTGACTGCTTACTGGGTACATCTGCTCGAAGACGCGCCCTCCTCGCGATTCAAGTCTTTGTTCGTCATACTAAGCTCTCTATCATCCTTTCCTTTGACCTGGTACTCACAGAATCATATTTGGGCTGTTCAATTCATGTTGGACAACGCTCTTCTCGGTCGCATATGTTTTCTGGATCATTGACGGCGCTCTACACGGGCTCGCCTCCATTGGTTCCTCAGGAATATGGCTGGCCATTACTGCGATTTTGTGGGGGGTGTTTGCTGGTCTCTTCCATAACGAACGAGGAGACAGCAATTGTGATGGAGCTCCTGCAATCAGTGCATGTCGCCAAACACTAGCTATCGAAGCTATGGGCTGGACAGAGATGGGCCTTTGCATCCTCACCCTAATTGCTGCATGCTTTTGGGTCCGCAGCTCTCGTCGCAATTACGTGAGTGTCTCTTGTTTTCTGCCCTTAACACCGAGACTCAACGACTTCTTAGCGTGGAAGTTACTACGTTTGAGGAATAACGACTCACGACCTTAAGCTCTTAATATGATAAACACTGTATCCTACCTGTATTACGTTCAATTTACTTTACCATCTACTTGACTTTGAATGCTTGTGGTTTTGATGCGTCGCGTCACACAGACACTCTTCCCCTTCTCCACTATGTCCGCCTGTCCGCCTTATGCACCGTTCTTTGGCTTTGCTGGTGTCTCTTCAGCCGTGAGTTTGTTCGTTTCTCGATGCAGCTGAGTGAACAATTGGCGCAGATGGTGCTCAGCAGTATGCGTTATATCCAAAACTCACATTCGTCATCTGAATCTCACTCCCCAGCCATTGGTGCTGCATATGGGACTGCGAAGGCGGGAATAGGCATTGCTGGCCTAGGAACATTCAAACCTGAACTCATCATGAAGGTGCCTGCCGCAATAACTCTTCGTTCAAATCTCAATGTCTGCTCTCAGTCACTCATTCCCGTGGTCATGTCTGGAATCATCGCCGTATATGGTCTTGTTGTGTCGGTTCTCATCGCTGGTTCATGTCCGCACCCTGTTGTCTGACTGGTTGTTCTTCCTCATTCTCGCACTAGTAACACCAACAAATTACCCCTTATTTGCTGGCTTTGTGCATCTCGGCGCAGGGTTGGCGTGTGGCGTTACGGGTATGGCTGCTGGATACGCGATTGGGCTCGTTGGAGACTCGGTACGTCTGTTTTTGCAATCCTTTTACTCACAGTTCAACATTTTTTTTGCACAAGTGTGTCCGCGCTTTCGTTCAAGAACAGAGAGTGTTCGTGGGAATGGTACTCATACTGATTTTTGCTGAAGTGCTCGGTCTTTATGGGTATGCCCTCATCTCTATCAAATTGCGCAACAATTTTAACTGGTTGCAGACTTATTGTCGCCCTGATCATGAACACAAAAGCTACGACCATGGGAGATGTTTGCCTTTGAGCTCGGCCGAAGATACGCTACCCTCTGACATATATTGTGTTCTCTCCGCATACCAATATTATATAATCGCGCACTACAAGACTAGATAAATGACTCTACTTAGTTAGGCCACTCGACAACGCGGTCTGCCGATACTGAATGCTCTTGGTCTTCGTCATCTTCAAATTTGAGTCGATAGAGATGTTTGGAGTTGGGGGTACTCTAAGGCAAGGTCAGAATACGAAAAGATGCGCTCATTGGTGTGTTCTCGACATACCCGCCCCGTTTGTCTTGGTGTTGCAATCACTTCCGCGCGATAAAAACAACTAGTATCTGGATATAACGCCATCACAGTACTTCCTGGTGAAAATTCGGGATACGCTGAGACATGTGATGGGGACGAAGGAGGAGCACTGGGGTCGGGGAGTGGAATAATTGCTCGCATCGTGGTGTGGTAACGCCTCAGATATAAATGAGCCGAGTCTACGAAACTAAAGCCCCTACTTACAGTCCGGGCGAACCATCCTCTTGTGGCTCGGGATCTTGAACCTCATACCTGTGGAAATCTAAGTGTTACCAAAGGAAGAGCATCGAATTACTTGAGTTTGTCAGCACTGAGGCATTTGACGACTACAGCGAGGATCCAATTTTCCCCCGTTTCCATAAGCGTGCTCGCTGCTGCTGCAACAGGCTTGGCGCCACCGGGTCCAGAGAGTTTGCCTGAGGGTTGATGGAAAGCAACTTTGCGGCCAGGCACGAGAGGGAGTTGTGCTGAATAAGCCTCCCTTCGCGCCTTTGGATCGCGGACAAAGGGTATCGGAGGAGCTGATGGACCCACAGATGCCCGCGCCGGTACTGTGATAGAGATTCTACTTGGAACAGTTGGAGCAGAGACCACGGGCACGATGGCAGGTAAGGAAGGAGAAGGCGGTCTGGGTCGCTTGGTCCGCTTGTCTGTTAGGACTGAGATGGTTGCCAAAAGGAAAACATGGATAAAAGGCGTTACCGGATGTTTCCGGCGCCTTGCGCAAAGCCAATAAGGACGTCAAGACGTTCAATGGTATCGTCAATAGCCCTGAAAGTAGGAATGGTTGGCAGTGATTTTTCTGCACGCCACATTCACCTACTTGGTTTCCCGATCAGATGATTGTTGTATCTCCTCCAAGCCAGAGATTAGTTTGCGGTATATTACCTTGACCTCATCGAGACCACGAGGGGGTATTACTTCATCCATTGGCCAGACGGACGAGAGACGATTTACCCGGCCAACTGTGTCGCTACTAGTGTTGGTCGAGTATAGTGTGGACAGACTAGATAGCGCCTTGGCAGCATGCGACCAGCATTCAACCTCTAGAGCCCAGGCCGTTGATAAGATCTCTTGAGTTATATGGAGTCATCTTTACCTTCACTTGAGGCGGGACGAGCAGTTCCAGCTCGTCGGCGATCCATGACAGCAAGTTCCAACAACCCGCAAACAAGTACAAACAACTCAACGCCTAAATCCCATTATGGCAATATTGATGGGATCGTGATCCACTGATATACAACATTTTACGACTCGACGAGTTTCCGCAGCGAGACGTCATACACCACTTTCGAGCGTTCAGCACATAGAAAGTGAATGAAAAGAAAGTCGAACCTTCTTCAATTTTCTTTAGATCATATTTCAGACTGTCGAAACGCCGGCGTAAAGAGTCGTTTTTTAGGTTCAACTAATTAATTGGTTGGAATGATAATCAGAACGGGTGTTTACGACTTACCATTGTGAAGCCTGAGAATATATCTTTCACAAAGGTCGAGATCTTCATTGGTTCTTGGAAGTCGCCAAGAGTAACGGAGTTAACAGCGTATCTGGACTGAACACAGTAGTTGAGCGTAGTGTAGACAAAGGTTTTCTCACTCACCAATTCGTTGACCATCCCTATCAAGCCATGGAGATAATCCTCAACAGATAGAACGAAACGATCCTTCCACTCCTCTTGGACTAAGCCAATTAGAAGACGATGCGAGAAATAGACAACGTACTTCCAAGGGTCTCTGAAGTCTGCGAAACAGAGAGAAGACCGCCATTCTTGAGGAATTCGATCAGAGCGGCAGCGAAGACGAGGCTGCGAATATCGTTTGACCACATTTCCTTCCATCGCCAAAATTGATCTGGTGGTACTGCAGAGGCAATGGCGGAGAGGATTTCTCTGCAGCTGTATAGAACAGGCTCCACGGAGTCGAGAAGAGGTCCCACTGAGTGAAGATTTCAGCATCCCATGATCACATCGGCAAACAACTCATGTACTCGAGTTGGACGGTGTAGAGTGGATTTTGCCCAGTATACCAACTATTCATTTTACTCAGCTTCCTTCTTTCAAAGAATCGTACACCCACCAATTGTGCGGACCTTTTTATCGAGTTCCTTTACCTGTTCTCTGATTTTCTGACAAGCCCCATGAAGTCGGGGATCAAGTTTCACAGGGAGAGTAGAGTACCTCTGACACGCCAATGTCCTTATCGAGCAGTGTATTGAGGACGTCGATGTTGGCCGTGTCCATGTTCGACTTGAAGTTTGTTGGGTAGGCGCCGCTGTGACCGAAATCAGCGTGATCGTAACCTAACGCGGTTTTCTTTCTCTTGCTTTCACCGTCTTGGCCGCAGTGGCCTTCAACACCAGCCGCGTGCTCCTTTGCGAGCCTTGGTTCCTCTTCCATGAGCTATGATACCAAACGAATCGACGAATTTCTCACTCAACTCCGCGAGTTTCCAGTCGACACAGGGTCCATCTCTGACTCGGAACTCACATTATTGTACACATATCTCAAGGCCGTACCCGCTAAAGACGGTCGTCTCCATTGGTTTTGCCAACATGCCACCTCAACAACATACCAAGCGGCCTCATTTCTGATTCGTCTTCATGCCTACAATAGTCCAACAGTTGTTGAATGGAGAGAGCTTCTACAGCGTTGTTTGAAGAGATGTGTTGCGTGTGTTGCAGGGCTCCAAAAGGCCAAGGTAGAATCAAGAACAACGTACGTGGCAAACCTGTAGGGTTCGAACTCCGATAATTTCCTTCCAGTTACTTCGCAGCTTTCGCCCCAGGTATTGTGCTTAACTTCTTTGCAAGTTTCGAGGAGTGGGAAACGTCGCATGTCATTGAAAGTATCCCGGACAACTCACTCGCGACTTCCCCCGCTCTTTGTTACCACATAATGTCCAACCTAGCTGTGTTAGCCGACCCTCGAATTACAACCATTCTGCGCCGACAGCCTCCTTCTGGTTTTTTCGAGTCTTGGCCATGCGATCCTGTGCCACCAGGAGTTCTTATTCTGTTAATGCATGAAGATGGTGGTCTGCGTAAATGGGCAGAGGCACAAGCTAGTCGGGCTACGGTTATGCCTATCGCAACCAACGACTTCTCCCGTGTTCACGTCAAAGTCCTCAGTATTATGATGGAGTCACTCAACCCCGCAACGCCGCGGGAATATGGAATCTCAGCCAATCCTGATGTACTTTGGGCTGCTTTCAACTCCGCTCTCAAATATCTGCCAGACCCGCACTTGACTCCGATCTACCAACTCGTCCTAGGTCATTTGCATGATACTGGGCCCCGTATGTTGTCATTTTTTGCGAAAAAGCATTATTAATAATGGAGCAGAATTCTCATATATCCTGTCGAGTTTCAAGTTTCTGACATTTGCTGTTGGACTTCGGTTCTGGAAGGAACAAGGAGCCGATTATCCACAAGTCGTTTTTGATTCCATCAAAGACAACCCGTCCTTCGAACAGCTATTGACCCAGAACGAACCTCCGGAACCTCCAAACATGGATAATTCATCACTATCGTGGTGTCTAGTGTTCCTAGCTGCTCTCGATGTGCACCCGTCAAGTGGCGACATCATCTCCAAGATTGCAGACTTTCTGTGCGAAGAGTTACAGCACGAACGCTTCGGAGCTGCAAGGCCAGGAATCATGTTCACAGCAATCAAGGTGTGTTGCAAGTCAATAGCGTCATCTGGAAATCTAAAGCGAGATAGATCTTCACCCGAATCCTCAGAAACAAGAAATATCAACCAGAGGTGTCGAAAGTATTAGGCATTCATGCTGATGTTATCCTCGCCGTTGCGTTTTCGGCCTCTCATAGCACTCCTCCTTGGGCATCCGCTAGATCTTTAGCCTGTCGATTTCTGAAGCTTGTCACCGCCGCCGACGTCGATCTCCTGCTTGGGGCTGTTGCGACCGCCTTCGCCACTGCCAAGAAGACACAGAAAACTCGCATACCATACGATAATCCCGAACCGCGGTTAGTTGGTGGACCCCGAATTTGGAGTGGTTTGTACCGCTCCCTAGCTCCAGGAAATGATCAGGGAATGGCGCTTGTTCTCGAAGTATTGTCGCGTGCCGCACATTTAGATCATCTTGCCCCACAGTTTTTCCAACTCAAACAAGTAGATGACCTTGCCATCAATCGTTGTCTGAGCGCTTTTTGGGAAGGTTTAAGTGAAGGGCTTTCGCGGTATATCCAGAACAGTCGCACGCAGACTCTCGTCGATTTCCTCCAAGGACCAGGTGTCGCTCAACATGTCTTCGCCCTTCTTTTTTCGCCCAGAGAAGACGTCCAGCTCAATGCCGAAAGTCTTGTCGGTCTTGCGTTTGATGTTGACGGTCGCCAAGACTGTTATCGCGCGCTTTTCCAGAGGTACCCCGATGCGGCGTTTGAAGCGCTTCTTGGCGTGTTAAACCGATTCAACGAGCACGTAGAAGCGGCAATAGAGGCTTGCAGCCTTGGACGACACATGGTTTGCTATTTACAAGATGTCATGGAAGTTCTATTCGCCCGACCAGGAGGATTAATGCATCGTCCTGGTTTCCTACAACCTGTCGACTCCGAAGATCTCTCTTCCAAACTTCCGGAGCTATGGCTTTGTCTCAATCGTGCCCTTTCCCTCCTTTTCAAATTCGCACCTTCCTGGGCCACGAAATTCGATCATGAAGATATGGTCTACTGGATGCGCGATGCTCTTTTATTAGGTCGCGAGGTGTTTTCCCAGTTCCGAACATTTGAGAGTTTGGCGAACCCCAAATCGGCGGAGCCAGGTAGTGGCCTCTCGAAGGTTGGGCACATCCTTGTCAATGGACTACAGATTGTGTTGCCTGAGCTGGCTATCTGGTTGCGTCTCACGGACGAAGAACTCCTCCACCAGATGTTTGAACTGCTCGCATTTTTGCTCAAGATTTTCAGTGAGGCCCATGTTCGGCCTCAGCCCGCTGCCATGACAAAAATGCAGAAGCACATTGATGCGGCTAGTGATAGCACAAGGAGTCGTTTAGATGCAACCCGACTCTTGCGTCTCGAGAATGATCTAGCAGCGTTCACGGATCCGCCACCTCGGCCGGTCGGCCCCCCCGAATCTAAACCAGAGAAGCAGCCAAAACCGGAAAAACAGCCCAAACTAGAAAAGTCAAGACCAGAGAAACAGTCAAAACCAACCTTTGCCACAATCATTACAAAACCTGTCGCTCCTCGAGACCAGCGCAAGTTCGAAATTACTTCCGTTTCAGCGCCGGTTACTTCCAAGTCCGCTGGGCAAGCACCATCTTCGCGACGAGCTTCAGAAGTCCCATCACGACCATCCTCTGAAGCTCCGACAGATGCTTCCACCGCAGCTGGTGATGACTCCAGCTCGTCGGACGATGAGGGAGACCCAGACCGACGCGGGGCATTGGCCGGACTGTCTCATATGCAGCGTTCACCGAAAATCAACAAGAATCGAATGAAGCCAACCCGCAAAGTACAGATGTACGAAGTACCCACAGTTCCCAATCCAATCCAAGATCGATTAGAACGTCGCGCTGAAGAAGCTCGGAGGAGACAGCGCATGGCACCGGATACTTCCACGCTGTCTAAGGCGATTGTCTCCTGGGACTACAACTTCACGGGGAAAAGTCGACCTTCTGACTTCTCTTTCGATGTTCTCCCGGTTCCGGCAGACAAATTTGTCGATTACGAGCACTACCGTCGCGTGTTTTATCCCCTTTTGCTATTGGAGTGCTGGGCGCAGATCGTACAAGCAAAAGAAGAACCACAAACATCATATCCTTTCAAAATCTGCAGTCGCGCCTTCCAAGATGATTGGGTTAACATTGATTTGGTTTATGAAGGCAGCATCCAGAAAGATTGGCGTGTCACTGACCAGGACATCGTCGTGATGCAGAAAGCAAACATTGCTATCATGGGCAAAGTTGTATCGTACAAAGCACCAATGGGCAAGCCTGTCGAACTTGTTGTCCAATGTCTAGCACGACTCGACCCTGGTTTGTTGCTCAACACGGTATGGTCAGTGAATGTCGTACTCAGGTCAGGCATTTCCCTGTTTGAACGCCTATTTTCTGAATAATTGCTATTAGCTTGAACACAGCAATCCGAGAATATTCAGCGCTGCTTGGACTGCAATTCTACGATGTCTGTCCTGCAATCTTGCGACCATCCCTTCCACGAATCCGTTCTGCAAACCCGCAGACCGTCCAGAAAATCATGACTCGCCATCGCGTGAATGAGCCGCAAGCTGTGGCCATTGCAAGTTGTCTTGAGACCCCTGGATTCTCTCTCATCCAAGGGTCGGTTGCTTGTCCTTGTCATTAGCGTGATATTGACTTCCGCCAGGCCACCGGGAACAGGCAAAACTAGCACTATTGTTGCCCTCGTCAAATCGCACCTTGAGCGACGTGCTCGACGTATCATTGCCCCAGGCAAGAACAAGAGTGCCAAACAGGACGGTCCTGAACCACAAATCCTGATCTGCGCTCCGTCCAACGCGGCGATTGACGAAATCGCCCAACGAATACGCGACTCGGATGTCTTCAAAAATGAGGGTAAAAGCATTGTTCGGCTTGGGCCCCTTAAATCTATGAATCCGAATATCATAGACGTGTCGTTAGAGAACTTGATGGAGGAAAAGCTGGAAACCAATAAGGATACTGGCCTTGTCGCTGAGATTGCATCGCTCAGAGCCGACATCCAGGCGGTGAAAAATCAGAGGGCTCAGAAGCTTCAGGAGTTGGACGCCATCACGGACAATTCTGCTCGTGCTACTTTGTTGCAAGATGAGATTACACGGCTTAACTTTCGACGGACGAACTTTGCCAAAAAGCTGGACGAGTTGAAGGACGATCGAACCAAGATGATGCGTGGCTTGGACTCGAGGTGTGTTACTTCGTAACAAGCGGCACAACACCCACTCATCAGGTTGTAGGCGGCGTAAACTCCGTTTGGAAATCCTCCAAGGAGCCCATGTCATTTGTGCAACACTGAGCACTTCTGGCTCGGAATACCTCCAAGACTTGGAGATCGACATGGTAATTATAGACGAAGCTTCGCAAGCGGTAGAATTGAGCACGTTGATCCCACTCAAATACCAACCCAAATACACCATTCTCGTAGGGGATCCTCAACAACTCCCGCCGACCGTTATATCTGATGAGGTAGCTTGACTTCTGACTTTGAAAACTACAACTCAAAAAAAACTTGTAGGCACGCAAATTCCAGTACAACGAGTCCCTTTTCGTTCGCTTGCAGAAAACATGTTCTAACGCCATGCACCTGTTGAGCATCCAATATCGAATGCATCCCACGATTTCTCTTCTCCCAAGCACAGTGTTTTACCAGTCGCGGCTCACCGATGGTCCTGACATGGAGAGGAAAACCAAGCAGCCCTGGCATGAACACGCGAAGTTCGGGGTTTACCGTTTCATGAACATCAAATCCATCGAGGAAAAGGCCGGCCGGTCGCTCAAGAACATGACTGAGTGCCGAATTGCAGTTGCCTTGTTCTCCCGCCTTCGCAAGTCATTTCCGAGCATCGATTTTGACGGCAAAGTTGGCGGTGCGTGTGGTTCCCAACCACCAATTATTATTCGCTGACAAAAAATAAACAGTCATCTCGATGTATCGGCTACAAATCCTAGAGCTCAGAAAGCATTTCATCCAGACATTCGGGGCTGATATTGTGCAAACGGTCGACTTCAACACGGTCGATGGCTTTCAAGGGCAGGAAAAGAGTATCATCATTCTTTCGTGTGTCCGTGCTGGGCCCTCTCAGGAGACGATTGGATTTCTGTCGGACATGAGGCGAATGAACGTGGCACTCACCCGGGCGAAAAGCTCGCTCTTCATTCTCGGAAATGCTCCCACTCTTTCCCGAAGCAATGATACTTGGAAGCACATCATCGACGATGCTCAGTCGAGAAATGCGTTGATCGATGTGGATTCTTCTTACTTCACCGCCCCTGATCCCATGGTCACTCGCACACCCTCTTCTTCCTCTCCAACGAAAATTAAACCGCCTCCCGTCCAACCTGCTGTGCCAACAAATTTAGTCACCCCACGTGATCTAAAGAACAGTCTTGATCGTCGCACTTCGGTCTCCTCCCAGCCTGTTGCCTCATCTTCCAAAATTCTCCCAACTGCTACGGAAGCTGTGACACGGAAACGAAAAACAGAGAACGAAGAAGACGGTCCCGCACCCAAGAAACCTGCTCTTCAAGGGCCGCCATTGACAAGCTCACTCGCCACTGGGACAGCGTCTGCCCATCAGCCAGTCGACAGTGGGTTGAAGCGTCGTATAGAGACACAAGATGGCCCACCAACGAAGAAACAGAATGTGAAGCCACGTCCTCCACGCACCAAGGATCCAGCAGCAAGCCTGTTTATTCCCAAGAAGAAGGCCAAATAGACATCGCATACTACTTAGAATCTATAATGTATATTATTCATTGGACGCATCATCTGCCTTGCTAATGCTCGCTTACCTGCTGAATGGCCCGCGACATTTTAGTTGTCGTATTTGCCCTTGCCTGTTGTGAAATTGTTACCCACTTTTCCCATCAGGAAGTCGCCTGCGGAATGGTCAACGGAAGACTAGTAGTAAGTGGAGTCTCGACCATAGCAAACTGGCTTTGCCTCCGGCGCGGAATTGCCGAGTATACGGTTAGCCGCAGCCAATGGCTTGACCATAGCATCGAAATTTGGCTCGAAGAAGAATGGAATCGATACGCTAGACGCTAGTGAGACACTATATAAGTGACGCTGGTGTGTCAAACCGGTAGTTGGAAGATCTGTGAACCACTCGGTGGAGTGTCGACTTGTAAAGACCATTGGTCCAGATTTCCCACACTGAAAGATGATCAGCGAGAACCGAAAAACAAACGCAGTAGTCTACGCACTCTCCCCAATGTTGCAGACCACGCAGCCTGTAATCAGTTGAGATTCGTGCATCTTCTATCTTCAGGAATGTTACCTGGAATGGGGTCAGCGTTGATCCAGACGCCCTCGACGTCGCCCTGCTCTGCTGGCAGTCCTTGTGACTCGCTAGCACCGTTTGTGGTGCCCGGCTGTTGTAAGAATACTTGCAATGCGGACGGCGTTGGGTCCGCGTACAGAAATCTTCAACGAAGATCAGAGCAATTGTGGGGGGGAGCCACTGATTCGATACGTGAGGCAGCCATAGTCCCTAGGAAACCATTGTTCAAGTGGCAAGGTCAACAAGGCAAGAGAATAGGTCTCACTTGTGGGCACCGCAAGAAAAGCCGTCATGGTCACCTGGAAGTGGTGGGTAACCTTTGCACAGCGTCAGAGCTAATCCAAGCAATCGTCATCGACGAACCTATTGCCCGCATGACCCAAAAGCTATCGTCGACTTGCGCACGAAGTTCCGTCCACTCGTCTGGCGTCAGCCCAAGACCAACTGCCATCCTGCACAAAGTTAAAACCGAGGTTATCGTAACAGTAGAATGAGAGAAACGCACGCTTCCATAACCTGGGCTCATCTGTCAGTCGATGGGGAAGAGCAGAGAGAACACTCGGACGATTAATCCCAAGGCTTTCATCTTTTCGATCCAGTCCTCGTATTTCTTGCGGAATCCCGGTACATCAGGGAACTGGTTTTCCCCCCAGAGCGGCTTGGTCTTGTCAGGATGCTCGACTGGGCGATACATGTCCAACCCTTCATGATTATCCGCCTGTAGACCAAGTTGAAGCTTATAAGGGAGATTGGTGGTTGCGATAACGAGCCTTGCCGTTGGTGACATTCTGCTTCAGGCGTTGATAACCTGGAAAACGGTGAGCGGAGAACGCTCGAATGCAGACGTAGAGCAAACCGCGAGCATTGTCTTGCTTCGTGAGAGAAATCTCGTCCTTGGTCTCTTGGGGGAGATGGAAAAAGGTACGAGCCAGTGAGGTGAGCTCCTCTGGGACCGATGCATCCACATAGCTTGTCAAATGAGAAGCACGAATGTTTTAATGACCGATACGCACGCAGAAATGTCGAGATAGAAGAATCCAAAGCGAAGAGACGCGCCATGAAGAGCGTCTGAGACAGCCTTGCGTGCCGAAAGCTCTTCTGGTGTGTTGGCGGGACGCAAGTAAGGAGCGATGTTGATGATGGGCAAGTTCGAGGTCTGAGTCATGGTGGTCAGATTCAAAAGTGATGATACGCTAAGACTACAATGTACAATAATACACGTCTGATTACAGCCTAACTTACGCGGCTGGCGGAGGCTTTGGTTCTGAATATATAGTGCGTCCAGGGTTTTCTGTCGTCAGACTACTCGATGGTCGCTCCGAGGTCGGAGTGGTATTGTCTGATGCCCCACGTGAGTTGGTAGTTGAAGCACTTGTGCTAGTCCATAACGTTGTGCGCTGGTAAGGGTTTGCGAGCTAAATCCAAGTATTAGCAAAAGGCTGCCAACAGCTTTGAACCAAGGAGTAAAACCTCACCAAAGAAGACACGGCAGCAGGATCTCCAGATCGCAGTCCGTTGAGAGCAGCCAGGGTTTGTGCAGTATGCGCATTAGCATTTGCGAGCAAGCCATTTAGTCGAGGGTCGACAGGAAAGGGTGTTCCTTCAGCAGCCCAGCGTGACCAACCAGCTTCCCCTCGACTTCCCCTCGTAGATGAAGCGGACACACTCGTGCTGGCTATCGGTGCGCTGGCTGACTGGCCGTTACTTCCACCTGCCGTGTCCCAGCGAAGTGAACTACTTTGTGAACTTTTTGTTCGACCACCACCAGCACTTGCATTCGCATTTTTGCTTGCTTTTTCTTTACCATTGGGTTTGCTTTTCGCCTTGGGCTTCGTGACTGTCGAGGTGGTCGTTCCGTTAAGAGGAAGATGGTTCGTGGATTCAAGGAGTGCTGGGTCATTCGCGATCAATTCTTTCCGCCTTTCCTCACGCAGCTCCATCGCCTCTTGTGCCGTAACTGGAAGCGGTATCGTGTCTTCAGCAACGTGAGCATACTTTGTTTCAGTGAAGAAACCATAGCTAACCCATGAGAAAGGAGAATTCAGCCCCGTCATGAACTGCTGTAGCTGATGAAAGAGCATAGAATTATTGAGAACGAATAATGAAAGAGAGCCTACCCATATCCCAATATTCAAAAGAGTGTCGGGCCTGGCGTGTAACGTTGAGAGAACCCTGCAATGCGAGGCGTCCAATGAACTCTTCCTAGATCAAACGCATAAGTTGGAAGTACGAACTCCGCGTGAGATGGCGACGGACTGTAGCGACAGATAGAACAAACATTGCTTCTCTCGAAAGCGCGAGACTCCCAAGAGCGCCATGAGCCTGAGGAGAAAATAATAAGGACTAGTTCGGGAAGGAAAAAGTGGAGGTACCTTAACAATGTTCTGTATTCTGCTAGACGGTAGGCATGTCTCTCCGCGTGCACGCGTGTAATAGTCATCGTCGTCCATGTCTGAGGCCAGCTGGTCAGATTCTTCGTCGTCGGTCGGCGTATCGAGTGGAAGGTCAGATGCGACGGAAGGGGCAGCAGAGTCGTCTTCCATGTCCTAACGAGGGTGGTGGAAAATAAGCACCGAAAAAGTAGACAGCAGTTTTAACGCGTGAGCCGCGTTGAGGGTTTGGGAGAGGTCACAATGCATGTCACGGTAAAGAGCAAGAGAAGGCAAGTGTGATACATCGAGAGGGGGTTAGATACATGACAACATTATAGGCTACACTTTAGGTATTCTCGGACTCCTCAGTTAACGGGAACGACGACGCTGGCCTGGTCCTCCGCTTTGCTCAATGTGATCTGCAGGACCCCATCCTCGAGCTTGGCAACCACAGTGTTGGGGTCAATGGGACGTGGAAGTGTCAAGGTCCGAGAAAAAGTGCCTGTAATCGAGCGCTCTGTGGAGAGTTGTGTTGATTTATCGACGGAAGTGGCTGGAAACAATATCAGTATTAAATGTGGTCCAGGATGAAATGCCCACCTTCATTATGAGTGGTCTCCTTGGTGCTTTCAGTGGGCTGAGAGTCCAGGAGTTTTCCCTCGATTGTCACGCTGCGACCACCATCGCCAATGCGAACCTCAATATTCTCCCGCTTGACTCCAGGCAACTCCGCTTCAACAACATACGAATTTGGAGCCTCGCTGATATCGACAGCAGGTCCCCTCATCAGTTGCCGAGCGAATGGAAACGAGGGTCCGAATGGCTCATCAAACAGAGAGCGAGACCGGAGAGCGATGGAAGAACGAAGTGGTTCATCGAGTACGCGAAAGAAAGGACGGAAGTCATGAAGGAGTTGGCGTGCAAGAGACATGACTGGTTTGTAAGTCGAGTCGTGCTGACCACGCTCTTATATACTCTGAGAGGTGTGACCAGAAGATTCTAGGAGAGACGCGTCGGGTCGGCACATTGATAAGGCGCATTTCCTTTTCTGATGCAATTGTGAGTCGTCCAAGCTATGATATTTAACTGTGCGTAGACTGAGCGGTAGGGACTTCGCGACACAACTAGATAGGTAAGACGGACGATGTGCTGCAACACAACCAAAATGAAGCTTACTACAATCCAACCAGCTCTTTCATTGAAAAAAAACTCTCCATGCATTATGAACGATGGCGTGAACGAGAGCGTGAGCGTGAGTCGGAAACAGATTCGCTTCGTCGACGTCTGGTAGGTAAACGACGAGAACGGTCTCGCTCTCTTGACCTTTCTGAGTCAGAATCCGAATCCGAAGAGGAGCCGGACGATCCAGACTCAGAATCTGAGCTTGACGAGTCAGAGGAAGAAGAGTGGGAGCTAGTCGAGTCAAGTTAGATGGGCAGGCATTATGGCTATCCTATGAACTCACCGTCTGACTTTCTTGTTTTCTCGTTCCTTTCCTTTCCCTTTACCCTGAGCATCGGCTCTTTCCTTCTCCCTCGCCTCTAGTATTGCGTTGGCTGTCCCTTCTCTAGCACCATAATTAGCTGCGAAATATAAGAGACGATGAAGGATGTACTTCTTCTTGAACTCTTCTGGGACTTCGACAGACGGTTTTCCTGACGCTTTAAGCTTGGCAAGGACGCTCGGATTCTCGAGCATCTGCGTTCGAGATGGCCGAGAAACATAGGGTCGCTCCGATTTGCATTCAAAAATGTAATGTCCGGTTCTGAGACATTTCTGGCAGACTGTACTGCTATTCGCTCGAGGCTGGTTGTTGGACCGATGGTGGGGTGCATACTTGCTCATCGTGGCGGGTTGGTGGAACTCGAAAGAATCGAATCTTTGTCACGTGGCGAAACAAACTTCAACTTCCTTCGACTGAGAAAATCTTCCTTGCCTTTGTCCGCGGATACAAACTTGCGTTTTCGATGAGCAGACACCCATATTGGATGCTGCCGGCTATGGCATCCTACGAGAGGTGTCCTAGAAGTCTGATTACAACCCCATTCCACTTCAGATAGCACGAAATCCTCTTCGAGCGATCAGAAAACGACGTTTTAGCGGCTTAGCGTCCGATTAACGAGGTCTAGCATCTTTCCTTGAGCTCCTACTCCGGACTCAGTGCGACTAATAGAATATAAATGCTCAGCGCATACCTCACGTCGCTCGTTCAATGCCTCAAGCAACTTCTCTCCCGGACGACGAAATTAAATACTCGAGCGATGTTTTAGAGCCCTCTGTTCAAGCCGAAGCTCTACAGTCGACGAGTCGATCAGCCCTCAAACTTTACTTGGTCCTCGTCGTCCCCTCGCTCGCCAGTATTTGTACTGGATATGACATTTCTGGCTTGTCCTTTGTCTTTCTTCTTGTATTCCTCTGATATAGGTGACAGTTATGAGCTCTGTTAATGGAATGGAGTCCGTACAATCAAGTCCAGGAATTGGCGACAACTTACTCTCACTCAGACAATATTTGAACTACTTCAAGCTCAGCGGAAAAGACGCAGGAGGTGGGGTGGGGAGCATCACAGGCTTAATTTTTGCCATGGTATGTTTTACGCGGTCGGATGGCTTCCTTGACTTAATTCCGGCCTACTAGTTCACGCTTGGTATGGTGCCTGGGGTTCTAGCGGTCAGATTTTACCAGTCGCTTAGGTACTTGTGTGACTGCACTTGTTGCGGGTCCTTTGGCGGATCGGTTTGGAAGGCGTGGGGCTATGGTAAGCACGGAGATGGCCAGACCTTTGATGTGCTTGACTCACTTGCCATTAGTTATGCGGCGGGATATTGGGTGTCCTCGGTGCGCCTCATGAGCCTAATTGACGCATGCTTATCTCAAGCCAGGTTCTGTGGTAGTGACCTTTGCACAAGATGTAGCCTACCTAAAGGGTGGCCGTTTCTTCATTGGAATGTCTACCGCTTTGTTGCAAGTCAGTGCGCCAATGTATGTGACTGAGATTTCTCCTCCTCAGGCAAGTGTGGCCAGTGATGTTCGAAATTTGATGTCGCTCACTGTTCCATAGTGGCGAGGTCGAATGACTGGTGTGTAAGTGCTCTGTCCAGTTGGTCAATTTTTTGTCTTCATCTCAGCATCCGATGTAGATACGCTGGTACGTGACAGCTTCAAGGCATCTTCAATCTTACTCGCCCACAGCAATTGCTATCATCGCTTCGATATTCAGTGGTGCAGTGACCACAGTCTCTTGCAAATGGGCCACCACGCTTTCTTGGAGACTGCCGTTAGGTCTGCAGATTATCCCAGCCACTGGTGTTGCCTTATTCTCCATGTTGATTCCTGAGGTGCGCCGATGGATTGTGTCATACTAGCATGATTTCGACGTTTCAACAGTCTCCACGGTGGCTGATGTCCGTTGGTCGCACAGGCGAAGCCAAAAGAGTCCTCCGCGAATATCATGGAAATGGCAACGACCACGCGCAATTAGTCATTTCACAATTGGATGAGCTTACACAGTCGATCAAAGCGGATGCTGTCAGAAAATCTTGGTCCGTGCAGGACCCGAACAGAGCCACTATCGTTTACGTCTTTCAGGTGGGACTACGCAAGTCTGTTCCAAACCAAAGGCGACTGTCGGCGCAGCGCGCTCATCCTCCTCTTGGCTTTTTGTAGCCAATGGGCTGGCAGTGGCCTCGAGTAATAATTATGATACCATCGTTTTTGTTTAACATTCGCTAGGTCCTTCCTTGTCGTTTTACTTGCACACGACCACATCAGCACGCAGCATCTCAGAATTCTCCTCAGCCTTGTCAACAATATCATTGGTTCTGGTGGGGCACTTCTTGGGGCGTTTTTCTCCGATAAAAGTGTGTCACTCGTTCTATACGCAATATGCTGATAACTGTTCGTAGTTGGTCGTCGGCACTTTTGGTTCTGGGGCACAGTCTGTTGTACTGCCTCAATTCTTATTTCTGGTGGTTTGTTGAAATGCATGCCAATCAATCAAAGCTGATATTTCTTCTCAAGCTTGCACAGCGGTTGCCGACACAAATCTTGCAGCGGCCAACGCTGCTATCACATTCCTATGTTGGGCTGTTTTACAGCGACGATTCTATGCTCAATCTCATGTAGTCATATTCAATTTCTTCTTCTGCGCAACATATGTGCCCTTACCAGCCACGTATGTCCCAGAGTGTTTGACGTTTGAAAAACGGTGCGTCCAGTGATCTCACTCGAGCATTGCGTGTTGATCGAAGATTAGTGCAAATGGTGTCGCAATGTAAACCTACTGATGTCTTGGTTCCTCACTGATATCGAATCCATAGGTATACCTTGTGTGCCTCATTAGCTTCATTGGTCAACACCTATGCAACCCCAGTTGCTCTTGCAAACATACAGTGGAGGTATGTGACATCAAAGCTACATGTCTTGTTCATAATTTAACCGTAGATTGTACTTTGTTTTCATCGGTTGGGATGTGTTTGCTTGCATCCTAATATTCTTTTTCGCCGTTGAGACGTCAGGAAAAACTTTGTGCGTTGTTTTTGATCTATTCCCGGCATTTCTCACGAGAGATGCTGCAGGGAAGAGCTTGAGAGGATTTTTCGGGGCTCCGATGCTCGATTGTAGAAGTACATTAGAAATTACCATATTTGGACTCGGGCGTTGAATCAGGGTCCCTGATGCGAACAAAGACATGCGTAATCTGTCTGCTCAAATGTGGCTGTGGCCGGCTCTTGTCTTCGGCCATAACCGCCTACATGCCAGCAACGCACAACGAAATCTTACAACAGTTCAGGAAAGAGGTGGAAAGCGAAGGGATCCTGAAAGACGGTGATACCATCGGTACCGATGATGAAACTCTGCTGTGCGCGTTGTTCTTTCATAGGCACTATTCTCTCAGCTTGACCTATCCAGTCGATTCTTGCGTGCACGCAAGTTTGATATTAAACAATCAAAGAAAATGTTAGCGGAGGCTCAACAATGGAGGAAGACCGTCCGTTTAGATCAACTCTACGCAGAGACCGATCCCTTCGATGTAAGTGCCCTCCTGGACGTGTCAGACGCGTAATTCTGGTGCAGTATCCAGAACGAGACGCTGTTTTCAACTGTTGGCCATTATATTTCCATAAATTGGACAAGAAAGGTCGCCCAGTCAATATCCACCACCTAGGTGTTGTCGACTTTCCAAAGCTTTACAAGACGTGCACTCCGGAGCGACATTTCGAGTCTCTTCTGGTCAATGCGGAGTGCCTTCCGCGCGAAGTTCTCCCCGCATGTTCACGTGTGGCTGCTGCCCCAGTTAGCACAGTGCTTGTGATAATAGATTTGACCGGTACACCCGCTTTCCTTCATCTCTCGGTTTGATGCTAACGAGGAATTTAAACAGACTTCAGGTTTGAATAAGTTTAAGTCCATACTCTGAAACGAGCTAAAACTACGCCCAAGTATGAGTAAATTCTGGCAAATGAAATCGCTTGCCAGAACTTCTTTCCAAATATCTCAAGATTATTTTCCGGAAACGTGAGTTGCCAAGTCCATTTCAAAACTCCACCTGACCCCATTCAAAGTATGGGGCAACTTATAATTGTAAATGCACCGTCGTCGTTCACTTTCATCTGGTCAATGATGAAGCCCTGGCTGAGCAAAGAGACAGCTGAGAAGGTTGACATTATTGGCCACGACTATCAGAGTGCACTGCTGGATGTCGTTGATGCGGATGCTCTCCCAGCGGTACTTGGAGGTGAATGTCGCTGTGAAGAAGGCTGTCATCTGAGCTCCGCGGGCCCATGGCTCGATGACCGCAAAGGTTGGGGTCCGAAAGCAAACTCCAAACTTCAGAATGGTGATCTTCAAGTCAAAGAACTTGGCGTCAAGTAGAGGATTAGATTGCGCAGATATGTTGTAGCATTATTTGTACACTGTATTTTGCAACAATGAGTGGCCATGGTGCGGGTATCTGATATGGATGGTATAGGAAGGGTGACTAATCGCCCAGTATTTGCCCCGGAATGTAGAAGGTTAGGACGCCACCAGCGTCGGCTAAATCACCGACGTAGACGTATAGAATCATGCAATGGTTCTGGCAGATACCTATAGACGCTTATTTGACAATGCCTGACGAAGTTTATGGCTCACAAGCAATCGTCGTTGTGGACACAACGTGGCTGTTCAAGAACTTGAAGAAGCTACGCGTCGAAACAAGTACCGAAAAGAGTTGGTCAGGATCGTTGGTCTCGGGATCAGGCTCTTGCGAGGCTCCAGCGGCTACAAACACAATTAATGTTGAACATGACTCTCGGAGTCAATACCATGCCTCGAGTGGTATTCTTGCAGTTCTTCCATTCAGTATCGACGGCAACGCCATCCGTTTGTATGGACAAATGCAAACGTCCGTTGTTGTTCGCGCGTACCGCCAAAAAGTCTGACATGGGTCGAAGTCGTTCAACAATGGTACGCAGTTTCTGAAGCGGCGGTAGAATTATATGCACCTGAGAAAATGTCCGACGTAAGGAGTGAAGACGGGAAGTGGACGCACATCGGGTTCAGGACACATCGGCTCTTTGAGATTTGCCACATCCGCAGGCTTCATGACCTCTATTTTCACATCATGAGAGACATGAACCCTCCTGCCTTGTCTCGTCATCCCACTAATCTCAAAGCTGAGCACTGCTTGATCGTTCTTCTTTGCAAGTTTCATGACAATCTCCTCTGTTTCGTAGGCAGACGTGGACTTTGACGGAACAGCAGCTGAGCGTAGGATGGCAAGAAGGGTCTCAGAGGAGAGAGCGAGTGTAATAACATTGGCGGCATTGGATTGGATACGGTAGGAAGTGAAGACAGAATCGATTTTGATTTGTCTGTTCGACGCGTCAGAACGTGTAAAGCAGTGAGAGCTGACTACGCACGACCAGACCTGAATGCCGCCCTCGTTTGCCTCACTATTACAGATAATGTACATGACATCCTCAGTGAACTTGATTATGCATTTCTTCTGCAGCTTCTCGATAGCCTGGATAATGCGGAAGAAGGTTTGGGGGTTTTCTATAGAGGCTCTGAAGCGCATAGCGCGTAGTTTTGATGAGTCTGAGGACTGTGCACTGAAAGCAAGCTGTAAGATGGTGGACAAAAAGCCTCGAGCTGTGGCTGTGATCAAACACCGTCACATGCTGGGTGGCTGTGCTAAGGTTTGTATTCATAACATGTAGAGTTAGTGGGAGGTTAGATCTTGTAGAGTCGGAGATGCCCAAGCCAAATGTGAATTTACTGGCAAAAGGATTGAGTATCTCCTCACTCCTGATACTAGTTTTTCGAAACTAAGACTTGAGTCGATTGGAAACTTCGGTTGGAGAGCGTATCGCCGTTAAGTAATAGCTCACTGGGGGTAAAGAAACCTTGGGTTGTGAAGCTTTCCACCGGAGATGCAAATGATCTAGAATGTTCAAGCTAGTAAAGAGCCTAGCACATTCAAAGAGATAACTTGAAAAAGGCCAAAATAACGATACCATCGGGTAGAGTATTACCGCGATTGACGTTTTAGTTACAGTGCCACCATGGAGGATGGCTATTCCAGTTGAATGTACTAGTAGATTGGTCACTCTAAGCGACTCGGTCACTTGGAATAATGGAAGATAGTGGAATCACGACCATAAGTATTTTAAAATTTAAATCAACAAGGCAGAAATGAAAGATGCCTGGAATCGGTTGGTGGCAGTGTGACAGCGTTACTATGGCTCCTCAGAACTTACTGCCTCATGCCCTCCAAACGCCTGCCATTAAAAAGCTCGCTGGAAAGCGGATCGTCCTTGCTTCAGCGAGTCCGCGGAGGAAAGATATACTAGAAACTCATGTATGTGTCTGAAAAGCGTTCGCTGGTGAATACTACATGTTCACGTTGACTGGTCAGGGCTTAGCTCCCGATATTATTCCCTCTACATTCGGAGAAAACCTCCCAGTTGGTTCTTTTGAAGACATCCACGAGTATCCAGTAGCAACTGCCAACCATAAGGCCGTTGAAGTTTATGAACGACTTGTGGTGAGTTGCAGTGCGTGTTCGATTCTTATAACTGAGGCGGTAATTTGCAGAGAGAAGATCCGGAGAATGCTCCTGACCTTGTTATCGCCGCCGACACGGTAGTGCTCACTCATTCTCCGCCGTCAACATCCCAAACAGGCTTCGATTCGCTACCAGGTGTGATTCAGGAACTGCTGGAGAAGCCTGAATCGAAGGAGGATAACATGCGGATGTTGTTGGACCTGAATGGTGGAATCTGCGAGGTTGTCACTGGCCTTGTCGTCGGTAAGAGCACGAGACGTGTCGAGTGCGATGATGCGCTGATAAGTTGACAGTCTATCCTATTTTGACTGCTCCGGGTTACATGACGAGGTGTGTTACATTCAAGGAATACAATGGAAAACTGCTACATTTCGCGCAGATCACTAGACGAGCGCTCTTTGGTTTACTTCGCGGACAACCCTCGAGAACTGTTGGAAGCATATGTGGAAAGCGGAGAGGGTCGATTTCTGGCTGGTGGGTTTGCGATCCAAGTTAGGCGTTGTTATCTCTTCGTGATCCGCCCCCTCTTATGAATGTAGGGACGAGGCGGCGCCCTGATTCGCAAGGTCGATGGCGATTACAATAACGTCGTTGGGTTTCCAGCGGCATCGTTCTTCAGGCTGCTTGACCTGCTCATCGACGAAGATGAAGACTTCCTAAGTTTCTAATGATTGGATCGCAAGCGTACCTCAGAACCTCGACACAAAGGACTATCAAGCGGAAGAGCACCAGGCGCTTGCAGGAGAGAAATGTAGAAAGAAGGACATGGCCAATGCGGACGCTTCCGCGACGAAGGTGTTGGGGTGCTATCATACTTGCGTCTCTCTCAGCTGCTCTGGGGGTATTTATATGGCAGATGTGCGTCAATGCATACCAAGCACTACCAAAAGATGAAAGATGTGCGTCAATTAGCTGTGACTCATCGCACGTGCTGTGACTCCGATGTTCCCCACCAACAAAACACTCTTGAACCCACATTTTGAGGGCTATAAGCTCGACATCGCTGATGGACACACGATAGAACGGCACGGATTGCAGTATCCCGTCACGCAGTCTCGAGCATCCTCTTTCCTCTCATTCGAGGAAGTTCAGAGTCGCATAACACACAACCACCTCGCCGCAATCGCGGATCGGCTTGTCTATGTTGACGCGTACTTTCGCGTGATCTTGGTCCGACTTACTCCGGAGCCCTCGTTCACTTGCATCCACGAATTAGCACAACCAACAGCCCAACGGCCAGAGTATCCTTCCGCAATCTTCCTGTCACCATCTGAAATATTTGTGGCCGATGGTGCTGGTCTCCTTTACATTCTGAAAGATACCGGCGAACTTATTGCTCTCTATTCGCTGGCCGAGCCCTTCCGCATCCACTCCATCTCCGCCCAACCCACTGGTCTATGCTTCCTTGTACTATCCTCAAGGCAGCAGAACGGCTTGTCGTCCAAAACTGCCCATTTCAATATATGTGCCGCCAAGATAAGCACACCACTACCGCAGAATGAAGCGATTCGGCCTTTGGAAATAGCATGGCAGCGTCGAGGGAACTCAGTCCCTATCGAGGTTGCTTTCGACGAATCGCGACAAGTGTTTCTAGTGTTGGGAGAATCGAGCTATACTGAAGTGGAGACACCAGTACCAACAGAATACAATCCGACTCCATCCGAGATGGCTCCGATACCACAGTCGGGGGAAAATCTCGACGTTACAAAGCCGCCGCCGTATTCGTGGACCCAAACTTCCGATTCAGTCACTGTAGCCATCCCTCTCCCAGCAAGTACGCCGACTTCAGACATCAAAGTAACATTCTCGCCCCAGACGCTCACAGTGCATATTAAGGGGTCGATTGCCCCAGATGCCCCTCTTCCGCACTATTCCTCGAAGAGGTTATGGGCTACTATCAGTGCAGTTGACAGCATGTGGACATGGGACCGTGCCGGGGAGCGTCATTACGGTGTATTGACGCTTCACATAGAAAAGAAAGACGAAGGCACACGATGGTCACATGTTTTCGAGTCGTCAGGCACTTCTGAAGCCGAAGAGGATATGGACGTGCCAGAAACACTCGACGCTTCGCAGCTTTATGCCATTCGCGAGTCGTTGGAAAAGTATACAGCGGCATTGAGGACTGGTGAAGATGCGAGCGGGCTTGGGCTTGGCAGCGGTCTTCCTAGTCTGGCACGGGGTGAGGCAGACGAGGATGTCGATGATTCAGTTGGCCGCAATGCCCAAATGACTTGGGTCAACGCTCACGACGGAAGCACGCCAACTTGGGCTTCACGCCATGGTTCCATGCCTGGCAGGTTACTGGCGACCGAGATTCCTGGAATAACTGGTTCAGTCATCCAAATTGTGCTCAAAAATGGAGTTGATGGGACTGTCTTTGCTCTTGAGCCTGCTGAAAGTCTAGACCAACCCCCGCAATGGCGCCATACATCAACCTATTCAGCATTGGCTTTTGTATTGGCGTCGAAAACCGATACGCGATTCACCTATCATGTCCCCTCGAAAGCAGTCCTAGCCTTCGAACATGGTCAACGTGGTCGGGCGGGGAATGTTTATATATATCAGGCTGCAGCAACCAAAGAGATCTGGGCAAAACAAAGTGTCTTTCGAGTAGGCGAAGAGGGTTCACTGCTTGGTATTACTGCTGTGCAGACTGCTTCCCATTTTGTGCTTATAGGTTTGACCGAGAAGGAATTAGTCGTACTTTACAACATCCCTGCTTTGAGAAAATAGAGCTTGTATGGAGTCCGAATCGTTGAGACCAGTGATAAGATACCAAGACACTACGATTAAGAGTAGAATGAAGCCGAGAAAAGCACTACAAAAAAAAACAGACCAACAATACATAGAGCAGAAAATGCCCTAAACACTCTTTAAAGGATCTTCACTTGTGTCCATAAGCCCCTCCACAGCAGTCACCGGATGGGGTGCGTCACCAGCCGGCGTTGAAGAGTGTTGTTCAACTGGTGGCACCGTGGCGTCGCCATTGACCAGTTTCGATTCATTTTCGTCTGGTGTTACAGCTGGATGGTCGGCCCCATCATCCTCCATTTGATGAGCATCGGCGTCATCGCGTTCAAACTCGTCCAACTGTGCTTGAAGCTTCTGGATGGGATCAGACTCCTCGTCCCTGCCGAGAATAGTCTCCTTGAAGTAGGACCTCCCACCACTCTCGAGGTCTTCTTCGCTTTCATCGTCATCAGACTCGTCATTTCCAAACATGAGCGGTCCATGGTCAGTCATAATGGTGCCCCCAGGGTGGAAAGAGATGCCTCCAGTGCTGCTCAACACGCGTGCAAACTGGCCCAACCCATGGTTATTGAAGCCGAACGAATTTTCTTCGGAACCGCCTTGCTCTGATCTTGCCCTGTCACGTGCCTCTTGCGCCTCTCTTCGCACTTTGAACGACATGAGGCGGCTTTGCGCGTACAATTGAGGCATTGCGCTGGGTGTCTTGTAGCCGTATTCGTTTTTCACGCGCTCCGTAATCCATGCCGTCCACTCTTCCTTCGTCCGGCCATTGAGCAGCGCAACGATAAGCACCGTCATGTTATCGCAACCAATACCAGCCCCAGAAGACGTGTCTGGAGCCAGACAGTGCTCGCACATCATCTCACCAATCTCTACAAGGTCTTTCCCTTGTGAAACTTGGTATCGTACAAAGTTGACCACTTGTTGCGAAGAGAGACAATCCCAGATGCCTTGACAATAATCGGCCCATGCAATAGCGACCGAACGAGTACTCACCATCGCAGGCTAGAATAAGGAATTCGTCCTCATCGGTAAGTTCATGGCATTCAATGTCAGGATCTGCAGTGATTATTTGCTTTTCTGGCGAAAGGTTGTAGTTTTTCTTGAATTCAAAGTCCCCGAGCGCTCGTGAAAGTGCAAGATTGCCTGGCGATTGCGATTAGAAACAGAACAGCAGTGAATTCAGGATGAGCCGCACCATTCACACGACCGAATTCAATATATCCACCTGCACCAGATATTCGCGTCTTCTCAACTGAACCGAGGAGTGAGTAACATGATTATGGAGAATCAAAGCAACCGACCATCGTTAGTTGGTTTATGGTCATAGCTGAGGGCTTTCACTTCTCCCTTGACGCTGATAACGGCTCTAGAGTCTCCAGCATTGGCCTGTTATCGTAAAAATGGAGGATGGAGCAAAAGAATGGAGTACGCACCACATATACCTTATCCTTAGTCACCAATGCCGCCACAGCAGTACAACCCGAAGGGTCCCTGGTATGTGCAGGATCTAAACATGGAGGACGATGGGTGAGATGTCTTGCTGACATGTGGCTGCAATGAATGAGACTGACTGGCCAACAAGTCTTCGTCGGTGCCCAGAAACGCGCGTTTCAGAGCTTCGCCATACTGAGCATCCTTGTACGAGTCCTCGTTGACTAGTCGCTTGTGGACATTCTGACCAGCGAACTTGGCTACGGTGCTTCCTAAACAAAATCATAGGTGACAACTCGAGGAACATAGTGGCGGACGCACCACCATGACCATCATAGACGGCGAAAAACGTGTTGGATTCCTCCTTGCCTTCATCGAGATCAAGGACAGTCGCGTGCGCGTCCTCCATCGCTAGATGGCATAAGTTTTGGAGTAAAAATGGTGAGAATCGTCAAGGGCATACTGATTCTCCAGCCTTGCATCTCAGTTACGCCATACCAGAAACGGGCATTGCCATTCGTGTCGGATGTTTTGCTCGTAGCTTTGAGGAATGGATTAGAAACGGCTTGGAGAGAGACCGGCAGATGCGAACCTGGGGAAGAGAGTGTTTGACCCTGAAGCTCGGCTATGAGCTCAAGCAGGGTATGAACAACGGAAAACAGACCATGTTAGCTGGTCGGAGGCGATCAAGAAGGTGGGAGGCGTATGGGAGTCGTGCTGGGCGTGAATGGATCGCGGGAGCAGGTCGTGTGGTGGATGGAGGTAAGAGGCCGAGTCAAGGTCACAATGATCATTAGTAAAAAAAATCGCTATCCTGGACTCTTTTCAAGCTGCGGAGGAGGGTATTCTGTGTTTATTCCGCGTCGCTTGTACACACAAACTACACTAGGTGGCTCAACATCCACCTCATATGTTCTGATCGGGGGAAACAATTCATTATGGACTCTCGTAATCTTAGGCGAACCCTGTACCCAGCTCTTCACCTTTGGAGGTACGATAGCCAGCTGCCTAGATCCAGCAAACGCAAGAGCGCGTTGAACAGAATATCGCCCACCAATCGAGTTGCCCGTATCCCCATCGTTTTTGCGTAAATTCGGTCTAACTTTTGTTCGTTAAATTTGGTTGCTGATCCGGTTCCGATAGACAAAGCTAGAGCTGAGGAGAGAAATGTCAGGAATGCGAAGGAAATAAAGATCGTTCCAGTCAACCCGTCGTGGATAATTCACTCAAGGTTGACTTTCAAGTCGGAAACAAGGCAATGCGTGATGTGATCGCTTGTGACGCCCTCTGGATTTCCGGCCAACCCATTCTCTTTGCTTGTGGATTCAGACACTTGGTCCGACGATGGACTTTGAATCCGAGGTTGAGCTTCTTGAAACATACGGTCGGAAGATTCCCTGTAACCTCCCTTTCTCACTTCGTTTCCAGACTTTCTTATGAAATACATCATCATCGGTAAGTGTACCTGTGGGTCCATCGTTTTCCGTCTTCTCACTCTCAGAGCAGGTGAAGCAGGCTCGGGGAAGTCCTGTCTACTCCATCATTTCACCCACAACTCGTGTCCGTCCCGCCTTGCACCCCAAAGTTCGTTATCGTTGATTTTCGTCAAGTCAAAGAGCACTCCCAACACACTATTGGCGTCGAATTCTCGAGTCGGACCGTCAAATTGGGAGAGAAGAGGATAAAGCTACAGGTTCGTGGCTCCGTTCCTCGAGACTCTCTCGCTGAACCCTTGTCAGCTTTGGGATACTGCGGGTCAGGAGCGCTTTCGGTACTTGTCATGCAATTTGGCATCCTTGCCCTCAACCCCTTATAGATCCGTTACACGAAGCTATTACAGAGGCGCGGCCGGTGCGCTACTGGTATATGACATTACCAAGTGCGTTCCTTCCATTGCCTCGGCGTTTCACTCAACCCAGCCATCTCCAGTCGGGACTCATTCACCAAGTTATCTCGATGGCTCGCAGATGCGCGTGCTTTAGGAAGTCCACATCTCGTTGTTGTTCTTGTTGGCAACAAGAGTGATAGAGACGACGAGCGGGAGGTAGAATGGGCAGAGGCGAGTCGATGGGCAGCGGAGAATGGTTTGTACTGTTTTGACAACTGGCTATACCCTGACATTTTTAGATGTTCACTTTCTCGAATCATCCTCCTTAACAGGCGACAATGTTGAGGCACCATTCCTACTAGCCGCCCGCTCGATCCTGCTCTCTATAGAGTCTGGTGCCCTTGACCCCGAGAAAGCAGGAAGTGGAGTTAGCTATGGCGACCGAGCCCTTCGGAGAGTTAACAGCTCCAGCCGATTGAGCTTTGGTAGTCTCAGTGGTCCACGTCGCAAGGGAACGATCAAACTGAAGAGTAATTCTTGGATACCAGGACCAAGCAAGTGTTGTTAATCCCTCTATTGAGTTGCTCCCCCGTTTCTGTTATGCTTTCAATATTATCTAGGGCTTGTCAATACCCATCTATTTGCTATACCTGGTGCGTTGCGTTTTGCTCTTCTCACTGTGCTGAGTCATTCCTAGCACACTCTTTTCATCTAGCACGCATCACATTAATTACGGATAATCTGTACTTTCCGCTCGCAATTCCATGACATTTGTAGCCATTTACATCCCTATCGACGAATCTGTCATCATCCATGAACCGTCCAACAAGAACGACATGGAGGCATCAGTTCTCTCCGGCTGCAGGAACAACTCGGGCACTTTGTTCACACTGGTCTTGAGGCAGTACGCGGCAATATGAGAATCAAGACGGTCAATGATCCTATCCAGATGGAGAGATACTTGAGAATACCCGGCGAATTTGAGCGCATTCCCCAGCCTGGAAGGCAGAGTAGTTGGTTAGTCATATTACGCGCTTGATATGAAGGAGCAACTGAACCTCTCGAAGATAGGAAAGTGGGTATCAGGGATGCCGCCCGACGAGTCCGCCTCGTCTGCAAGAAATTTGGCCCAATCGGCGAGGTTTGACCAAGCAACCGCATTTCCGGAGAGAGGATACGACTCGATGCAAAGGATGCGCTGTAAATCAGGCACAGCACTACAAACCAACTCGTATGCTTGCTGTCGAAGAGACGCCATCCTTGTTTGAGCCCACTTGGTTGTGCTAGGCATTAGGCAGCCCACATGCAGAGGAGTTGACTCAAAGAGTTCGTTAGCTGTAGACATGGCGCGTTCCTCAAGCTCGCGGTGGAGCGTCAATGACAAGCTGGCAAAGGCGACTGTCATAGCAAAAGCGCATGATCGAATTTCTGGAAATGTTTCAACACGAGAACGAAGCTCTGCATTGGAAATGTGTCGAATAGCTGCAGCGTCCGGAAATTCTATGTCAGAGAGACAGTACGAGATCAGGGATTGCATCGTGGAAAGTGTGCTAAGCAGTTTGACGATCATGGTTTCGGATGGGGGAGTTCGTCGTGCAAAATCTACATTCTTGATGAGAACGTTGTACGACAGAAAACGTTGTTATGACCACTCAAAAGTTGTTCGTAGAAATCGCGCGTAAACTGTGACAAGAGTAAGGACATATTCCTGACGCTAAGATTCAGTTACCTGAGTCGTGTGAAACACGAAAGGACGAATGCAGCTAAATACGAGTGGAGCGGTTGTGTTCTTGAAGTTATATGGTGACGGGTTAGAGGATTGCTGTTGTACCATGTCGAGAAGTGAGTCCAATGGAGGCGGAGGCGGGCCTTTGAAGAAGAACAACTGGTCGGCATAGGACCTAAGGATGTCGGTGACCGATTCCACGGACTATCGGCACGTACACGAGAACTGGCTTCCGATTTATCGCAGCACGAAGGCCTTCCGCCATCTATGACGATAGTAAATTTCACAAGTCCTATTTAGCCAACGAGAGGAGTTACTAGATAGCTAGCCCACATGATCGGGGCAGGCTCTTGGTCGGAGAGCGATGGCGCAATCGCTCGTAGATGAGAAATATAGGCTGAAGCCCAAGGGCGAGAGCTCTGCTCAAAATCTCCACGAAAGGTATCAGAAAAAGCAAAATAAGTGAATATTTATGATTACTTTCTTGCAAAGTTTCGAGAAGAAGACAGCTAGCCATGTTCATCTCCGATGGCTCCAACATTATGCGAGCCATACACGCCATGGACACGGCATTGTCAACCAACATTCGACAAACTGGAGCCCTCCTCTCTCCATAGCTTCTCAAATCTGCGCCAGGAAAGAAAACCGTCGAGTCCGTGAGGGACTCTGGGTGTGGTCCAGGCCCGATAATGCTTGGACTCCACGAAATGTGAGCACCAACGCAGCACATGCAAGTTACCAGGACTGCAACTTGCGGCGGAAGGAGGTCGATTCGCCATGATGCTGCTATGAGTGTTTTTTCGAGGTCGAGTCGGTAAAATATTGGGTGGCCTTTCTCGGGCATTTCAAGGAAGCCTGTTCAAATGAATAAGTGCTTCACAAGCGGCATAATGGCAAACATTTGAACAGATGCTTGACGAGATCTGGTGTTAATATCGGAGAGTACGACAGCTCAACACTGCGGGTATCTTGCACGGTTATTATGGTAGAATGAGATGGCTCTTCGTTACTGGTACCCAAAAGAGATTTTTTCGGTCTTCCTCGAGGAGTATAAGTCGTCTTACATCTGGGAGCCTATCAATTCTCAAGGCGGTTAGGCGCTGTTTAAACCCACAGTATCCCTTTCTCTACACATCGAGGGCACGGCCCATTTGGTGTTGAGCTCGAGTGGCACAGTACTCTTTTGGCTTTGCAAGAGTCACACGCAGGTGGCTTTTTCGGCTTTGTGGAAAGCATTGGTGGGTGTCCGACTCAAGAATGAAGGGCAAGCATTTGACAGTGGGGATGTTGCAGCTGAGCACTCAGCTGCGGTTTGCGGTGACCGAGTTTTCACAACGTCGTTCGGCAGAGTTCGGCCCGTGATTCCGTGATGTCGAGTGATTATCTAAGGCTTACCACTCCTTCAAGTTCAAGTTTCAGCAACTCATGAAGTAGGGCTGCTCAATTCTTAGCTCGCTTAGAAAAAAGCTGTTTGATGTGACAATCCCATTTTTGGCAATGCTTATGGCCAATTTTTTTTCATGCACTTATGGCTGGCATAGGGCTAACATGCCTTCCAACCATCCCCTTTGAGGCTTATATTCCTCCTTCAGTCTATTCCTAAGCTGCTGGCACTCTAGTCAGCCACACAGCGACAACCAAAGCCCAAAGCCCCTGTCCTTGTCATCTCGTCATCAGTGCATGGCTGGCGTGGAGGAAGGCGAAATCAATCAATTTCTAAAAGCGGAGCGTAACATCAAACAGCTTTTTTCTAAGCGAGCTAAGAATTGAGCAGCCCTAGTCATCTAACACAAACTATAACCCTAGCAAATATCGTCATTTCAATCAGCCTCAAATCATTCCAGTTCAACGGAATTTCTCTCCGTATCTGCCACAAATTATTATAATCCTTTCACTTTTTGTTCATTTCTTCTTTAATCGCCATATAACTCTGGCCTGATCTCAAAAGCTATTTCAAGTCCTACACCCAGCGTCCACCTCTTTTGTCAGTCGTTTCCTGTCAACTGGATCCAAGAATAGGCTTGGAATAGCCCGACGAAGTGGCGGCCCATCATTGCCAAGCCTTTTCACTTCCAGAGGTCCATCCTTTTTGCTTTCTCCTCTCACGAGCCGAATGTCTTCCACATCTTCCACCTCTCCGCCCACTCATGAACCTGCTCCTCCGTCACACCTGGAACGCATCGCACATGTGCTCTTTGAGCTGCTCCTTATCTCTGGCTGCTCATTTATCCTCACCGCTGCACTTTTGCCCCTCTTCAACCTTCATCCTTCATTGTGGATTGTTGCACGGGTTACGATTGTTTGCACTGCCCTCGTTGTGGCCGCAGTGGAGGGGATATTTGGACGACAAATCACTGACGAGGAAGAGGAGGAAGGATTTGAGGAGAAGGGATCTTTACATTGGCGTGAAAAGCACGAGATGGTCTAGCATTTTCTGGTGAGCATAGGCCGTCCGAGTCCGTCTGTTGTCAAGTGCTAGTAACTGGTTTTTGTTCCAGATCACGCTCATTTTATTACTCTTTTGGGCCTTACTTGTTTCTTTGGGACGGGATTTATGTCTGAACCACCATAAATTGTACACACGATATACTTAGCACTACCTCAAATAAGTTTGATGAGTAGCCTGAGCGGCAACTACCGATATGGGAATATCATAGCGGCTTTCCTTTCCCTGCGACTACCACCTCAATCATGACCAAGGTCTTAATTGACCATGGCGCGCCACCCAGCATTCCTCTCAGCGAGCTCCCTTATCAATCCTACACTGAAGACCCCAAATGGCAGATGCGCTTCACAGCGATGTGGCTTTCGGCTTTGGGAGCATGTGTTGTTCTAGCTCTAATCCACGGTTCTCTGAGGTTACCAAATATCCGCGATGCATTCAAGGGTTTTCTTGGTATCCGAGTAAGAGGGCTATACGAGACTGTGCCATGCTGTCTGGACGGAGACTTTCCTGAGAAACGGCCAGTGATCGAAAGTCGGCCAACCCCGATATTCGTTCGCATTGGTCGGACAATTGGTGGTCTTCGTCTATGGAGTGCACCTGGGATCCCTCTGAATGTGGGGCAGAGTGCGTCGTCTTTCGATTTCCTCTTCGTTTTTCTGATCGTTGCAGTGTTCGTCATTGCGGGCTATGCGGCATTCGTTATGACCTGCATCGTCATCAGAGTACCACTTCAAGAGAATCCCAACCGCGCCGGCTTCATCGCCTTGGCCTCACTCCCACCTGTCTTCCTCTTTGCGGCCAAAAACAGTCCACTGACAAATCTGCTTCTTGGTCCCGGAGTCGACTACACAAAGCTCAACTATATCCATCGCTGGGCTGGTCGGTTTCTCTTCATCGGGGCGCTCGTTCACGGGTCCCTCTGGATCAGAAACCATGTAGCCTACGGTCTTCCCATCCTCGCGCAGCAGAAGGAAAGCTCCGGCATTGCTGCATTTGGTGTCCTTGGCATCATCATGATATCGACCATTGCGCCGTTACGTCGATACAGCTATTCCGCATTCCTGGTCATCCAGTAAGGGACTTCCTTAAACATTTCATAGCGCTGATGTTGTGCCTTTACAAAGCTACTTGACATTTCCTGCCTTTTTTGTCACCATCTGCTATCACACTATATACGCACGCCCATGGATTTTCCCGCCCCTTGCATTCTATGGAGCCGATCTACTTCTCAGGTTCCTCCGATGGAGAGTCGTGGTTGGTCGCGTTGAAGCTAAGGGCCAAGGCAGCGCAGCCATGAGCTTGGTCAGTCACTATTTTTCTATACATACTTGAGTAGATACTGAGCCATTACGTCAGATTCACGTTCCTCTTGCCGCAAATGGCTGGAAAGCAGGCCAGCATGTCCAAGTTCGTGCAATGTTTGGCGGACGAGCGTGGGAGTCGCATCCTCTGAGCATTTGCTGTGCTGTTCCCGGGGAAAGCTGCTTAACCAGTTGAGTTGAGTTTTTTTCTGGTTGCACACCGCAGCTAAAAAAAATGGATACAGCACCAGACGGCGCGCCGATTGGAATGCTTCTTGCTGCGAGAGCATGTGGTGATTGGAGTCGGAGCTTACATAGCTGGGCGCAAAACCCAGACTCCATATTTGTGAATGGCGAACAACAGTCTTCAACTACGGAGGACAACGCCCAGCGAGTTGACGATGAACTGACCGGCCGTGACGCACATCTTATTCTCGAAGGCCCTTATGGTGGACCAACACTGAATCCCGACGACTTCGAGAGTGTACTGATGTTTGCGGGCGGCAGTGGGGCAACTTTCACGCTTGGCGTTCTAGACGCTCTAGTCGCCCGCAGTGTTCCACTGGGAAATCCAACCGATGCCCAACCCAAGACCACACGTGTGGTTTGGTGTTGGTGTGTCCGCTCATTTGGCGCCATCAACTGGTTCGCCCCATACCTCCTCCAGATAGCCCGACGCGCCGCGCACAAGTCTTCTCCACTTGACCTGCGCATCCGTATCTTCGTCACGTGTCTCTGTGACCCCGACGCTGTTCCTCGTATTCCGGGATGCACGGTAACAGAGGCCCGGCCAAGCGTGAAAGACGTCCTTGCAACGCTGCTCGATGTCAATGTTGTCGATGAGTTTGATTGCTGTTCTCCTGTCGCCGGAGATGGTGCGAGCGAAAACTTGAGCACAGATGACCTCAAAGGCGCAAGCATGGCAAGGACGACCAAGACCCCTGCTACCAATGCTCTTGATAGCGAGAAGGGTGTTGGTGGCGACAGCACCAGACACCAGCCTCATGGCGGCGTCGCTGTGTTTGCTGCGGGGCCTGGTGGCTTAATACGAGAGGCTGGTAATGCAGTTGCCAGTGCGAACCTGAGCGCGGTCGGAATGAGAGCGGGTGGCGTCTCGTTCTGCGCGGAAGCTTTTACCGTGTAATTCGTGCTTTTTGTATATTATAGAGAGGAGAAATAGTACAGATGTTATTAGTAATATCTCACGATCGTACCCGCCCCTGCAGCCTCTGCGATGGCCATTCCACCAAGACGCATCTGCTGAGCAAGCGCGTTGCTCATTTGTAGTTGCATGTTCTGCCAAAGACTGAGTTGAGTGGAATTCTTGGTAAGAAACACCACTTGCCATCCGAGCCGTTGCCATCTGCATCGACATTTGGTCCTGCTGCATAAGAACTGGGGAATGGAAGATGAGACAGAGACAACAATTAAGGGAATGGAGACGAACTCATGCGCTCTTCTGGCGAGTTTGCTATCTCCTTCAGGTCGTTGTACTTCTCGGCGACGATTGGCGGGAGATTCCAGTGCATCTTAACCTCGCTCGCGCCAGGTTGCTTAAACTTCAAGAAGAAGTACTGCGAATCGAATGAACACAGTGTTGACCCGCGTTCAATAGTCCATCCAGTGTCGTATTGCTTCAGGACCTTGTAGAGCGGGTGGGCTTCGCCTTGACGCGCGACATCGTCGTCAACATGGGCCAGAAACCCCGCTTGGAATATCAGGATGTGGTTATCGCCCTGACCGAACAGCATCCCAGAGAAGACATCGTCAAAGCTGTCGCCGATCTGGTCTCGGGCGCTGGTTATATGCTCAATAATTTCATTCGGCAACACCGCATTCCATTGTCGGTAGCCCTTTCCTTTGAGGCAGTAAAATGTGGGGTCGGCGCGGTGGGGAAACGTGACAATGTGGGCGTTGGCGATTTTCTCGGCAAGACCTGGGTCGATGTCTCCGTTATAAGTGTCTGTGCCGGCCCCATGAGCACATAGCAGACAATATAACGAAAGCCCTTGCAGTTGTCCGTCGCTACATCATAGCAGATCCACGCCTTGGTGGCGTTGTTCATGCTTGCGTTTACATCGCATCATCACCAGCTAGTAAGACGCGGGAAACGAACCTAATCCAAGTCGTCATACTGACATTGAGCTTGTTCTTTGCGTGGTCGGTGAACCCTTCAGGCATGTTTGCCACATGATACCGTCTGCCATAGCCAACGAAATATGAGTCGGGGGTGGGGCCGAGAACGATGATGGTGTGGGGGTCCATGGTGGTTTGCAGCAAGTGGTTCCGTGCGGTGCTTTATACTAACCGCAGGGCCTGAGGGCGGTGCCGGCCCCGACAAGCATGGCTCAGGATTATACGGTTCATTGACAGGTTGGCAGCTGTCACTTGCGCACATGATCGTTGTTTTCATTCCCGGAGGCAGGCGCCAAGCTGCGCCAAGCAGGAATTGGTCGTCATAGTAGGGTCCCTAATACAAGACTCGAAGAATAAATATAAGTGTACAATGGTCGTTGAGATGCATCTGCGAGTGATTGTGAGTAGAAAAAGAAAGACTGGTTGTTGCAAAAGTCGTGATCTCATGACAATGGAGTTGGATTCAGTCACTTTTGGTTCTGATGCAGTCTTATCAAGCGGTGGCCAAGAGAGAGGAGAAATTGAATAGCTTACGGAGTTGGGTGTTTGCCGTTGCTGCTCGTCGCTCCAAAACCACTCCGGACACACTCCGGGGTGGCTTATCGACCCCCTGCGTTTGGCATTGTCGTTTTCAACGGAAGAAGAGGAGAACCCGGACCCCGATCCGTTTGAGAATGCCGAGCTGGAGCTTGACGAGGATGTTGAAGAAGCACGTCTGCCATGAACAAGCCCTTTAACGCGCTGCACAAGGCTTGTGGGAATATGAGTTGTTGGTGGAGGAGGGGACTGTTCACTGATCGGAGGAGCAACACGGATAGCCGCCGTATCGACTGGTGGTGCCCCAGAGCCCGATCGTGGACGGGGAAGTCGGTCATTTCCAAGTGAAGGAGCAGGCATCGCCAGCGACTCGGGTGGAACGGGCGTAGGAAGTGGAAAGGGTACAGCCGGCTTAGTCACAGACGAAGCAGGTGCAGAGACACATGAAGCTATCGAAACACTCGAGCTACGTCGTTGGAAAAATGCGGGTCGAAGACTAGTGATGGAAGTCCGTCGTGGATTGGGTTGGGCGGGATGATTGAGAGACATGGAAATCGTGGGTGGGCATGGACACTGGAAGCAAAGGGTGAAATCTATGGATTATATACTCACAGGGACAAAATGAGGTCTGGTGCTCCCTATTCCCCACCGATATTGTCGTATTGCACAAAGCTGGCAGGGAGGTTCTCAGACCAGTGGAGCTACAGTATTCACCAGCCAGGAGGCCGCGGGCGACTTTGTTTCTGGTTTTGGTTCAATGGCCTTTCGAAATCATTGTCCGGGTGAAGTTATCTGCGACGGAGCGGGAGCATGCACTATGCGGTGCTGTGATGTGTTCGAGTTCCAAGGCTGGATTTTGCGCCAAAGGAAGACATGGTTGGAAGTTCATCAGTTGTGCTGTTCATCGTTGAGGACGAGGTTCTAAAAAAAAGGTCATCCCCGATCACGTCACATCTGTATAACGGGACCGTGGGAAGTCGGCAATCGCGGGCTGTGCAAAGCGAGATAAGAGTACCCCTGACCCAAACTCGATGTAAGTATCTCCCAGAAAATAACGGGCGACGTTGGCGGAGTATGAGGGGACTCCCAACTTTTACGATAGCCTGGCTAAATGATGGCTCGGCGTAAAGTGGGCGCCGAGAGAAAAAAATAAAAATCGTCATTATCAGCGCCGAACATTAGCCGATGCGAATGCTGTGCATACTTAACTTGAAGCGTTTGTTTGTTTGCTTCCCCCACCACCATGTTTGAGTCCACACCAGCCAGCCCACTACACTCTCCGGCGGACTCCCTCTCGGCGCGTTCACCTAGGCTGCGACGCTGCCGGACTTCGTCTTCCTTATACTCTACTGCACCCAAAATCTCGCTTGCCCTCCCAACCAAAACGGAGCCATCCATTTTCGTCACAGTACGAACTGGAAACCATGGCGCATTCGCCCCAACCGCGGATGCCCACTCCTCCTTACAGTTGTTTGTGCGTCCCAAGTCTCGAAAGAGCCTGCCGCCACCAGTTCCGTCGCTCGACATTCCCCAAATAAGTCGGACGGCTTCGTCTATAGGCTCGCCTGTCGTTCTTGGAGAGTTTGATCGTGGTTACACACCTTATAAACCTCCAGCGCCAAGCAACGACAGATCGAGTACTCCCCCGTTACTCGCCTCTGTTGAGCGGCGGTCACGACTTTGCAGCAACCAGGTCCACTGTGCAACGTGTGGCGTGCTCGGTTCAAACTTTCCATCATGCTCTCATTGTGGCCAGGCGTGGTGTTCAAGGGCTTGCCGTCTGCCTGGTGGCCGTAAACATACGTGCCCATTTGGGATCACTATCGGGTCGCGCACTCCCGGCAAGTCAATACCACCGATAGCCATTGATTCTGTCTCGTCGCATCCTATATGCATTCCCTCTACACCCATTCCACAGAGACACTTTTAACTTATCCGTATGTACTTATCTCTCCTTTTTTTGTCCTGTTGTAGTACCCTTATGGAAACAAATCGTTTCAGAGCAGCGTCAAATTACCATTGAACAGGTACAGTATTATAAGAAAACACTACGAAAGGGCAGTGGTGTGGCAATAAATATTCGAGTCTTTATGCGAGGTGATGCTGGAAGAAGAAGAAAAAATGCTGAATGCAATGCGACAGTGATACATCCCAGTCCCTGAATATTGGTGTCGTGGCGGTTCGTAACTTGACTTGAAAAACATAACATAACAAAGAGTGCTGGTTAAGCGGAGGTGATCGTCTTGCGTTTCTTGCGTGGAGGTTGTCGATATTCTGTGTCATCCCCATCACTGTCTGCGACATCGAACAGCGGGTTTGGTCCAGAGGATCGGCGCTCCTGCTCATCGGAAAGCCGCAGTATTCGCAAGTTGACGTTCAATGAGCGCAAAAAGTCGTTCTGAAATCAGATCAAATAAAAGCTGGACTCACTAATGGCGGCCGACCTTTGCGACTCGTATCTTTCCAACGACACCTGCTGCCTTCCCCTCTTCCAAACGCTTCTTTCTCTCTTCCTTATACTGATAACTGATCAAGATGTGCTGCCAGGACACCAGATAACACATACCTTTGCCTCTTCTTCCTTGAGCAATTCGCTCAACGCTTTGATCCACTGTTGCAAGTGCGATTCATGGGGCTTCCTCTCCTTCTCGACCTTGGTGGCCCGTTTGCGCTTTGCGTCGCCTAAACGATAGTCGATGAATTCGTCGTTCAAGTCATCCACTTGAGCGATAGCCTCGTCGTCCGAGTCCGGAACGATATACGAATTGATGCTGGTCACAGAGCGTCGAGGTCGCTTTTCGCCAGTCTCTACCTTGACCTTGGCAGTCTTTCCTGGCTTGATGTCCGCATCAGGCTCTAGCTTGATGGGCGATATGTAGTCGTGTTCAGAGGCATAGAAGGGAGCACCTTCCCTAATTCGTTCGAATAAAGTGTAAGCCTATGCGACTTAATTAGCGGACAAGCATATACAATAAAAGAAGGGCTGACAGCACTGGAAGTTCCTAGTTGAGCAAGGATTTTGAAGTGTTTGAGGGTAAGTGGTACCCGTGTTGCTGCGTCAGATCCTGCAAGATAACTGTACAAGACTCCTCCATTGTTGTTTACGATGCTGTGAAGGAGAAACACAGCGGTGACCGGACTGCTGGCAGAGAATTCCGACTTGATTAATGCCGACACAGTGCGTGTATCTAGCTAGAATTGGCGAAAAACTGGGGGAAGGTGATACTTGACAACGCACCAGCTGGATGCCTGGCGCTGTTATTAACGCTGGCTGAGGTATACATAAAGTAACGTCGCCGTCTTCCTTGGTGTCTTTGCGATGCCTCGTCACGTCGCAGCATAACAGAGAGAGGTTCCAGCCCAATCGAGCCCAGGTCGCGTACTATTTCTGATTCACTAGCAAAGTTGCTGTCTCCACCAATGCTCGAATGATCTTCGTCGTCAACTTCCATCTCCTCATCCGTGTTAACAACATCGTCTTCCTCTTCGTCGTCCTCATCATCATCTTCGTCGTTCTCGGCCTCTGAATCACTATTGGAACTAGATGCAGAGACACCCCATGCACATCTCCGTCCAAGTTTGGCCCGATACCCTGGCTTCAACTCCTCTATAGATATTTGGTAGTTCTCCAAAATAGTCTTGCTAACAAGACGCTTGATGCCAGGATAAGCCTCGAGTAAACGTTTGAGAGTTTTGCCTTTGTTTTCACGCGTAAGACATCTCAGAGCGACTTCCTCAGCCAGCGCTCGCAAATCAGCACTGGTGACCTTTCGCGTTTGGCTAGGCGAGCTATCAGATGCAACCCCTGTTCGGCGAAGGTAGTCGAACATCGGCTGATGTCGTTCAACAAACGCGCTCAACAGAATGTCTGTCGCATCGTTGAGGGTAAGTGGTCCGAGGCGCAGAGGGTCGAGACGCTCCGTCATGGCGTTGACTGCAACGTATGGTTCGGCAGCAAATACTGTCAAAAACATGGCTCGTCTGACAAGAGGGTCTAGATCTGCAGCCGCCTTTCCTGGGGGAGGCAGCAGGAAATCTTTGTACAGTTTCGTGAGAATTTGACGAGTTGTCGCCGTCGTTATGGCACGGGCTTTCAAGAATAGCTATAGGACGTCAGTTGGGCTCAATGAGACAACATAAAAGAATGCCAAGACCTTGATAATGTCCGTCACCAAGTCCCTAGTCCCGTGAACATTATAGTGAGCGTAATCAGGAATGAACATACGTCAGTGAGAATGCCAGATCTCCCGTTCGATTTAGCTGTTTCAAGGCCTTATAACCTGCCTCATTAGAATCCGCCTCGATGCACACCTCGGCCGCGACAGTTCGTGTGATGAACATACTGTAAACGGGTCAAAATTGGTTCCAATACGAAAGTTGAGGAGGAAACCTGGCATCGAGACGACACAGTTCGCGGACGTTGGAGCAGATCTCTTCCGTATGAAGTTGAACAGTAGCAGAGGAGCGTTCAAACATTTTACGGAAGACGAAATCGCGATACTGGGCTGGTTGAAAACAGAGTGTATGGTTGTTCGTGTTGCCTACCTTGGCATCCATATGGAAACCATTTGCGACAGCATATGGAAGAAGTCGCGGTTCGATAGCAAGCGCAAGAGGAAGTTGAGTCATGAGTGGGTCACGGTTACAGAATGGCATGAACTACAAGGGGTGAGGGATTTATGAGCAGAAGGACAGCGACGAACGTGGTATGTCTCGAAAATTTCCCGTATCGTCTCCCATGAGACGCGTGGATTCTCGTATCTTGCTTCCTTAATGAAAGTTGAAAAGAGAGTCTGACTGAAGTGAGATTCAGGCAAGGAGAATTGAGCATGGATACCTACCCCATCGTCCTCGTGTTTTGCTTTAGGAATATCATCCCCCAGCCGTTCGGCGGCGACCAACAGGAAATTCGAAAAATTCGCGAGAGATACGGTGCGAGCCCAAGGGGTCGAAGGTTTGATAAAATGGCTGCAAGTGTAAAAATAGTGGTGAAACGCGACCTAACCCACAGTCAGCGAATGAAAGTGCATACGGGATTTGTGGATGCCATCTACCTGAACCAAATAACGTGAAATGACGGCACCACTCGTGAGCAAGATATTCAGCACACTTGGACACAATAACCGGCCACGTCCAAGGGCGTGGTAAAGCGCTTCATTCTTTCCGTGGCGAATGATGAAATATTGGGCAACGACCCAGGGTATGCGCGAGACGCTGTTAATACGTCGGTTGACTTGTGAAAATGCACTTGGGTCGGAGAGGGAGAACAAGAGGAGCTGGAGAATCTCTTCTGGACATGAATTGAAGAAGGCGTTTGGTGCACTTTCGGGGGCTTTTCCATCGCTAGGGTAGCATTCTGGAGTGGACATGGCTGCGAGGCCAAGCAAATGAAGGTAGGATGGTAGACCACGAAAAACGCCGACGAAAGAGATGGAGGTTGCGAAAGGGACTGTCACGATCCGGTCCGTGCCACACTGACAGCAATATTGATTAGGTTACATTTTTTGGTCAGCAACGCCTCAAAAGGTTCTATGGTATGCGGCTCTGTAAATCCTCCATGACACTCGCCAATCCCGCAAAGCCAGCGACTTGTTGAACGCGTCAAAGTTACATTTTTCCAGCCGCTCAAGAAAGCTGGTCACGGGAACGCCAGCAAGAAAGACAGGCATTGCCAATGCGGGAACTTTACCTCCAAGTTCTTCTTTGAACATGTCCCGAGCAGTGAGCAAATGGTCGTTGGCCAGAACAGCAACATCATAAACAGCACCGTCTATTCCTGACGCGTCTCCGCCGTGTCGAAACACTTCTTCTTGCTTGACCCCATGCCGAGCGGAAATATCGAGAGGAAGAGGCAACTGTCGGTTGGCAGCATGATGGGGGAGTCCTCGGACTAGGGTAGCGATTGTTTGTGCGGTCCCGAGGTGTGAAGCGGCATGAGCGAATGTGTCTGACCCTCCCAAACCTCTCAACGCCAAGAGGAGATATAACACACTGGAGGCTACACTCTCAGCATGGGCGACTAGTCCTTCTGATGACTGATATGTCCCTGAACGCAGCTCTGTATCCTAGAAACCCCAAATAAGTGACATTTAGGAAGTAAACACGGCATTTACTCGGGCATCGACAATTCGCTTGAAATAGTATGCTGGAAGGTCTGCTGCTTTGGTCGCTTGATGCAGGGCAAGTGCAATAGGATGTCTTGGAGGCTTGTCCTGTCAGTTTAGGTGTGAGACGAATGAGCCAGGATTGAGACTGCTTGCCGCAAATATGTCGCGAACCGCGTCGCGCCAGAATTGAATCCGCATCGCACCAATTGTTGCGTTGGACACGCTATCTTGTATCATCGCGAGCTCTGTCTGACATTCCTTAAGATAGAATCGCGGAGAAACCCAGCTGTGCTCACCGAAAAGGCTTTTATGGCAAAATATGGTTGCTGCAGTGGGCCAGACCAGAACTTGCCAATAAGAAATGAATCGTAGTCGTGTTTTCTGACAAAATCTTCGCAGTACGCGGCTGGGTCGACATTGGTCGAGAAAGCGCGTAGTCGTGGTTGACGAATGGAACGAAGTAAAATCATCACATGAGGTCATGCCTAGAACCTGACAGCAATGTCGCATTCGGGACTGCAAAAAGAGGTCTTGAGTCTATACAGACGGTATTTTTTCCCGCTTTCCAACGCCCAAGGGTTAATGGACAATACTTAGAGCACTCCGCATCCCGCGCTCAAAGCCGGAGGCCAGTCGATCCAAATGGAATCTGATGTTGCGCTATACTTTTCGTACTCAAGCCGCACGAGCTCATCCAGGCGCATTTTCGACAATTGAATATCTCTTACGAGCTGGGCGGAGACAAATCGACATGTTTGAGCACCCCTCGGTGAAAGACTGCCACGTTTCGGCCGAAATGCAAAGTTGGCAAACAGAGCACAAAAATACTAGTCGATCCCAAACTTAGACTGTTTGTACTGCTAGCCTTTCTTTTTTGCGTTGCATCTTTTGCTCCTTTGTCCACCTGGGCCTCTTTTCGCCTTCTATGCCTCCCCGTCGCGCCCTCACCTTCGCTCCAGCCCGAGCCGTTCGTCCTGAACGCTTTGCAGTACCATTGCGCAAGGATTCTGCGTGTTTACGATGCATTTCTGTTGTTTCCATGTTGGTCTTAGCTTTGAGAATAGCCGCTTTGGTCTCCGCTTCTCGCTCAGACTGAGCGAGCTCAACAGCACCTTCATAAGCTAGTCGTCGCTCATTCATGATAGCCTTGATGCGAGCCATTGATTTTCGACACTAAATCCATCGTTAGCTATGATGGCTAGCTGCTAGGAATGCAGCGCACCTTGGCAGCATTTTCGCGATTGATACGGAAGGGAGGTTGAGACATCGACCACAGTCCGAGCTGTCGCATCTCTTCCCTCTGGGTTGCAAGAAGATTTCGCTCTCTGAGCAAAACGTACCACAATGTGTGGAGGTCTTTGAAACTCTTGACTCTCAGTTCTGAGGCTTGCCATTCACGGCCTGTCTACGCGTTACGTTTGATCTAGTCGCACAAAAGAACGCGCACCATTGAAGGTAATAGTCGGGTCCGTGAAGGTCTCGTATTGGTCATCACGAATTAGGTTTTCTCCAGACCTCCGCCTGAAAAAACCAAACAGACCATGGTCTTGTGAGAGTTGAGGCGCTGAAGGAGGAATAAAGGCCAAGGTGGAGGAAGGTTGGTAGGGTTTTATTATGGGATCAATATGTTCTGGTTCATCTTTCGTCGGTTGTTCAGGAGACGAGGCCGCCGCCTTTACGGTGGAAGAAAAAGCGCGCAGGGAACGTGCAGTTCGCGGTCGAGCTACACGAAGGAAAGAGGAGAGCATAACATGTATATTGTGACTTGTTTATCTACAGCCTGTGATGTTCCGGTTTCGGCAAAAATTTAGTTTACTTTTAGTTCATAAGATAAAAGTTGGACACAGATCTTCTTCGAGGAAAGCGAGTCGCCTTGATTGGGTCATCGTTCTGGAAGATAGTTATGTCGGAGACCATATAGCGAAAAATCACTGACGATCCAAAACTTTTGAGGAGTGGAAGAGAAAAGTATTTTCTTTCTTCGGCACAAGTCCTCAAGCTCAAGGAGACGATCCCCGACATACGTCAAGAGACTAAGACGAGGAAGCAAACCCACGGCGTTTAAAACAGGCTCCAAATTCAGACTTGTAGTGTATGTCTGTATGATGATAGCCAAATGCTCCAGCGAAGGAGGGAGATGAGGAAACGTGACCAAAGTTGGTATGTTGAACAGGATAAGCTCGACCAGATTGATGCATTGTGAGATCATGGTAGTGCATTGGTTATTGAAGCGCATGAGACGGAGCGATTGGATATCGGAACAATACGGCGACAACTGCGAGGCAGTTTCGTGGCTGGGGGGGTCCCTGATCTCGAAGACGCGCAAAGATGGACCCAAAAGGGTTCCTAAAACGGGGGAAGACGAATTCCTGTAGCATTTAAGCTCATATATTGAGCAAGGCATCGTCCATTGCGGCGGTACATCCCGGATTTCAACGCCAAGCGTGAGGAACTCGATAGTGGGGAGCAGTGAGAGGAGCTGAAATAGGATAGGCGACTGGGTACTGCGGCCGCTGAGGTGTAAGGCGCGTACTCTGGTTTTCGTGAGAGCCATGCAAGAGCTAATATCGACAAGGTCTAATTGAGAAAAGGCGAAGAGCTGGGCGTCAATAATTAGCTCGTAGACGTTGGGCAGTAGCTCGAAAATAGTGTTCATGGTTGGCGCCTTAGTGAGTGAGATAGCGAACGATTTGACGTGAGCCAAGAGGGAAGGTTCGTGAGCGCTGCGCAGGAAGGCAGACGATGCATTAGCGGTGATGCGGCGATAAATCAAGCCTCTGGAAAGTGGGCACCAGGACTTGCTTACGAGTGCACAGGCACGCAGGGATTCATAATCAGGGTTATTCGTCTGTTCACTCTTGTAGAATATGTAGCCAAGTATCAGTTGTATCACTTCTGGTGGAAGTGCAGACATTGAGAAGTTACGCGTGACGTCACATCATTCACGACTCACTCGACGCGACCTCCTCCCAAACTTAGTTGATCCACAATTCTTCCTCCGACCCTAGCCAACTCTGCGCATTAAGTCTAGGTCACGCGAAATAGTCCATCCGCGGCGGGGTGATGTCGTCTTTGAATAAACTTGCTATTCGTGGCATTCGGTGCGCATTCCACCTGTAAGCTGAGGACAACGCTGAACTCATCTAGTTCTTTCGATGACAAACAAATCTCTGTCATTGAATTCTTCTCCCCTGTGACGGTCATAGTCGGCCACAACGGTAGCGGAAAAACTACAATTATCGAATGCCTCAAGTATGCGACGACTGGTGACCAACCGCCCAACACTCGCGGTGGTGCATTCATCCATGACCCGAAGATGGCTAATGAAAAGGAGGTGAAAGCACAAGTAAAACTTCGCTTCAACTCTGCCAACGGGACACGCATGCTTGCGGTCCGTAACCTTAGCGTCACTGTGAAGAAAACTGGGCTGACAATGAAGACTCTCGAGAGTATTCTTGCTTTGGCGGACGCTAACTCTGAGAAAGGTGGAAAGGTAGGAGTGCTGCCATATACATCCGGTCAACTTATCGCAACTAGAGGAGCGCAATTTCAACCAAGTGTGCTGAAATGGATCAGGAAATCCCTCAATTACTTGGCGTATCCAAGGCCGTTCTCGAGAATGTCATATTTTGCCACCAAGAAGACTCTTACTGGCCGCTTTCTGAACCTTCAACGCTCAAGAAGAAGTTCGATGACATCTTTGAGGCAACGAAGTACGTGCTTCTATTGTGCAGTCCATATCTTCGTCGTTAACTATAATTCAGGTATACTAAAGCCCTCGACTCTATCAAGTCTCTCCGCAAAGATCGTGTTGCCGAACTCAAAGCGGAGAAAGAGCGGTTAGAAGGGCTTGCGAGGGAAAAACAACACGCAGACAAGCTTAGGAGTCGCATTGTTGCTCTTGGGGATGATATCGCTCAGAAACAGGTCGAATACGAGGAGACCAAGGAGAGATATGATGAGCTCGCGAAAGCGAATCAAAAGTTTTCGGACTCCGCCAGCTCCTTCCGAAACATCTACAACCAGTTGGAGCAGTACGAGGCAAATATCAAGCGGCTGAAGGAAGACTTGGAAGAGACAAAATCATCAATGCAGGAGAGATCAGGTTCGTGTTTTCTGAGTTTCAACCGTTGTCGTATTGATAAATTGTCAGAGAGCGACCAGGAACTCCAGGCCAAACTCAACAATTCGGATGAGAATTCTCGAGCGCAACGTGAAAAATTGCGGTCTCAGCGGAGCAAGGCTCATGGTCTGGAACAAAACCTCAATGAAACACGTCAGAAACAGACACAGCTGGCCCAACAACTGGGAGCATTCAAAGCTGAGCATGAGGTTTGTCCCCTCGGCCGCTGGTGATACCATAATTCATCCATACATCTAGGCTCAACAAGAGCGAATAGCCGAGCGTGAACGCCTGATTCATGCGACAAGTGACAAGTATAGAATAAAGGGGTTCACGCACTCAGGACTGAACGCAGAGAACATCATCCAGTTCACTTCCAAGCTGGACGATGTATTCGAGAAGCAGAAGAAGACAGCTCTTAGCCTCCAAGTTGTGCTCTCGTTATTCTCGTTATTGCTCACTGATCATATCCCTCAGGCGGACAGTAATGCAGAGAGCGAGGCATACAATCGAAAGCACGGTGAGTTGACCAGCGCTGTTCAAGCACATAAAGCACAACGCCAGCTTCTCCATAATCAACTGGTATCATATGAATCGTTTTAATTTGTTGCTGTTTCCTCATTGGGTTCTTAGAGCAAGGCGCAGACCTTCGTCAGGGAACACGAAGAAAAACTGGAGAGTATGCAAACCATCATGGCGGACGTCAACAGTCTCCGAGGCGACATCGAGGAAAAGCAGAACCGTTTGAGCAAGGCCAAGGCTGACGTGGAGAGCGCGAAGTATGATGACAAGATCCAAGAAAAGACCAATATTGTCAAAACGCTCGAGGAACAGCGTGATGCACTTAATTCTGAGTTCAAAACGCTCAATATGCAAAGTGATTCACGTGCGAGGCTCAAGCACTTGCAAGTAGATGTCAAGAACAAGACAGCGGAGATTGCCAACACGTTCGTGGATTTTTTTCGTCTTCACCCTCGATTCTCAACAATCAGGTAGAATAACGTCAGCTAGTGCTGCTTACCGACGACTTGTTGGCGGTGGCGAGGCTGATGCTAATACGATTGAACGAGAGGTCAATCGAGTTTTGGAGTAAGAACTTCTCCATACTTGTCATGTATTAATGACACTGCTCAAGGGAGAGAGAGCGGGAGCTCTCGGAAACTGAGCTGGACTCGACGACCGTCAATAACGAGCTTCAACAGCAGCATAGTGTTCTGTCAAATCTCAAGCAACAATTGAAAGAGAAGAAGGAGCAACTAAAAGGTACAAAGGACTCCGTTATCGAGTTGTTCTCACAGTTAATTCAGCAATGGAGAAGAAGATCGTGGACGGGTTGGAGCACCCGGCCAAGGACATCGACGACCAAATTGAGGAGGCTCGTGGCGAATTGGCCTACCGAATTTCGTAGGTTCTATCTTGGTCGTCCTTCCCAAATTACAACTTAGACAGCACTGCAAATGCGGCCAAAAGTGGGACTCAAATCTACGAATCTATCTTGCAAGATAGCAAGCGGAAGAAAGCCTGTACGACTTGTAATCGGCATCTAGAGGATCATGAGATGCCAGAGTTCGAGCGAAATGTGCGTCCTCTTTTCCTCGTCGGTTGACACTAATTTTCTATGTTCATATCCAGCTCAAAGATCGAATTCGGCGCGCCAACGTCACGACTGTCAGTGATCTTCAAGCAGAGGTTTCGGAATGGGAAAGCCTCGTCAAAGAGTTGCAAGACATGAAGCCGCACTTGATGCTTCGGGATACGCTCCGAGACCGCGAAGTTCCAGCACTAGAGGCAAAAGTCAAAGAGCTGGATGCCAAGATCCCTAAGAGTGTTAGCAAGGCAGATGAGGTCTAACAATCAGCATCTTCGCACTTCACCTCTAACCTTGCGTCACAGTTTACTGAAAAAATGACTGACCAGAAGCGGGAAATCAATGGTCTTCGCGGTCTCAAAACGCACGCACAGACGGTCTCCCGCTTACAACAAGAGATCAAGAAGGCAAACGATGAAATTGCCACTGTCGAGGAGCAGTTGTCCTTCACAGGCTCCCTCAAGACCATTGATGATGTTCAAAATGAATTAGAAGAACTCAGCGAGAAAATGTACGTAGCGGACTGGGTCCGTTTTAATTTATTGTAAATGTGAAATATTGACACTTGCCCAGCCGCAAGAACGAAAAACAGAAGGAAGCAGTGATGAAAGAAAAGGAGACGCAAAACAGTGCGATTCGTGCTCTGGAGAACACCATTCACAAGATGGAGATGAATGCAGTCAATCTTGAGGGTAAACTCCGCGAGAAGGAATCATTAGAGACACAGATCGAGAAGAACAAGCAGGAAATCCAAACCAATTCCGCCTTGATCAAGGCAAGGATCCTTTGTGTCAAGTTGTGAAGCTGACGTTTGTTAGGATGTTGACACGAAAATCATGGATGCTGGCGGGCCGATCGAAGGCTTAAGGTCGGAGCATGAGCTTGCACAGAAAGATCTTCAGGCACAAATTTCCGATGCGCAAACTCTCTTCCAAGAACTACGAGCGAGCATCGACCGACTGAAACAAACGAACAAGGGCATCGAGAAGTAGACTTGCCCATCACTGAACGTTTGTGAGGCTGATGCGTTACAGTTATGCCCGCGGGCGAAGAGATCAACTCTGGCAAGAAGCTGAAGTGGAGGCAACGACCCTACGAGATGCGATCGATACTCAAGACGGCCAATTGAACACTGCTCGGGAGGCTATTGGTAAACTTGAAAAAGACATCAGTGCGCAAGGTGCTGAAGAGGCCATCATTCGAGAGAACCTTCGGGTTCGCAAGATGATCAGGGACATTCAGAAAGAAGAGGAGAAGATGAGTCAACTTGACATAGAAGGTGCTGCCCGCGCGAAGCGTCAGTTCAACGAAAAATATGGTCCTTCGAAAGAGAAAGAGACTGAGTTACAGACCCGGGTTTGCGAATTATTGTTTTTCCGAGGGAAGAAACGTTGACGCCTCATGACAGTATTCACACCTCGCCGGTGAACTCAACTCTCAAAGGTCTCAACTAAAAGGCCTTGAAGCGGACCTAAAGGATTTCAAGGAGGTCAACAGGAAGTATACGGACCAGCTAATCAAAGTTAAGGTACGGGTACGCATCAAACGTCGGGACTGAAATAATGTGTTGGCCTACCTACCAGATGTCCGATATGGCGAACAACGACCTGGAGAAATATGCCAAAGCTCTTGACAAGTTCGTGTGCTCTGAGTCTGCCTCATGACCTTCCCAATACCGAATCTTTCAGCGCTATCATGAAATACCACTCATTGAAGATGGATGAAGTCAACGAAACGATGAAGCATTTGTGGAATAAAACTTACCAAGGATCTGGTGAGTTTCTCCTTGAATCTTGTCACCGTACCCGTGCTACAACAAAGCTAGACATCGACGGTATTAGAATAGCCTCCGACGTCGAAGGTGGCGCCTCCAAACGCTCGTACAACTACCGCGTATGCGCTGACTAACATCTTGAACTGTCTTTTTTGATTTTTGATTGGTCGCTGTAGGTCGTGATGAATAAGGACCAGGTGGAAATGGACATGCGTGGACGATGCTCTGCCGGCCAGAAAATGCTCGCGTCTATCATCATTCGCCTCGCGCTCTCCGATTCTTTTGGTCAAAATTGCGGAATTCTTGCATTGGATGAGCCGACCAACGCGTTGGATACGGAGAACATCGACGCCCTCGCTTCGAGCCTCGTTGAGTTGGTGCCTTTTCGTTCTTCCATCCCCTTGCGCTACTCATCATTTCTATGCAGTATCATCAAGGAGCGAAAGAACCATGCCAATTTCCAACTCATCATTATCACTCACGATGAGAATTTCTTGCGACAACTCGGCCAGAGCGATGTCATGGAATATTATTGGTGTGTTGGCTGGCTTGAGCACGCGTTTGGATGGCTGTTGCTGACTACTGCCATAGGCGTGTCTCACGTGACTCGCGACAAAAGTCTGTCATCGAAAGGCAGCGGTTTAGATGAGATGCTTTGCACCATTTGTATTTTTATAATGACATTTCAGCGCTCTAACCACATCATGTATTCATTTCTCTACTACAATTGTAACGATTTCGGGAGGCCGTCTTGTCCGAGTACAGAGTCTGCCTGACCAAGAACTCGAGGGCCATCGCCGACCTTGGTGTGAATCAAACTTTTGACAGCGCCAGTTTCCCACGTCTTTGCAACGTTTACATTGAAGCCAGCGGCGAAAGAGCCGGTACCAATCCCGTTCGGACCAAAAAGGCCAAAAGGGTCTTTGAAAGTCTCTTGCTGAGGGAAGAAGTGAGCAATCAGACTTATTATCTCCTTGATGTGGGCAGCCGGCGCGTAGATAACAGCATTTGGACCCGCGTCATAGGTGTACGCTGCCTTGCGCTTTCCACCATTCTCCGGCAGTAAGGCAACGCGGTTGTACTCTTCGATGACCGCAATGATAGCGCGGCTGACATCGTTCATATAGAAGATCGGCGGTGATGTGTCCAAACAAACAGCATGGAACTGGTTGGAGTCGGCCATTGTAATCTCTGCGAAGCGGTCGAAATCTTTGGCCAGGATGGCCTCTGATATTGTTTTCATTCGTTGGGGGACAACGTGCTTGATGCGGTGTTGGAGCAAGGGGGACGTTTCGACTGTCCGTTGCATACCACTCGTAGAGCTAGTTCCTTTCTTTGTATCGCTGACAACACAGATTAAAGCGTGGATGTCTGGCCAATGCGTTTCTGCCGCGATCTGAACCGCATGAGAGTCGACGCCTGAATCAAGGGTGCCTGCGTTCCACGCGACAAAACCTCCCATAAGAGATCGGCATGCTGAGCCTGACCCTTGTCGGGCAATGAGGGAAAGCTCCGTCGGAGGAGACGGCAGAGCATATAGAGCTGCCAAAGATGCTGTCAAGGCAGCAAAACCCGAGGCAGAAGAAGCTAGGCCAGCGGCGGTTGGGAAATTGTTGTAGGAAGCAATGTGGACAAAAAGTGTCGATAGCTTGCAAATATAAACTGATGAAAGTCAAGAAGACAAGAAGAAGAAACGCACAGTCGGAGCAGACGTGTCGACATTTTCAACGAGTTCTTTTCGCAATCGCTTCATTTCAGCAATACAAGTCGCCATACGACCACCTGGTTTGATGTCTTCCTCGACACCATTGAGCCAAAGACGGTCCTTTGTAAAGGACGCATCCGCGCGAGATGTCGTGGTGGAGCGAAGATGGTCCTGGTCAAGGGTGACAGATAGAGATGAATTGGTAGGCAAAATGAGCTTGGTGTCTCTCTTGCCCCAGTACCTGCGCAACAGCGTATCAACTACCCCATCGATGGCTTATCGAAAACACAAACTTGATGCAAGCTATGTTGACTGGCGCAGAGGTCGTGGCGATGAACATGGTAGAAGGCAAATCGTACGAGTACCTCCACAAACAACTTGAAACAAGCAGCCGCTACCGAATCGATCAAAACCCACGCAGCTTCTTCTTGTTTTGAACCACCATGATCACAATACCAGTGAACCATGCAATAACAAGCGGACGTTGTACTTGCGACCTCCGAGCTCAACCCGAGTACAATCGAGATTTGTCTCTTGGCGCTTGACCAACAAACTTCTGAGCGGACATTTCACGGCAAACCACTTTCCAGACTGGGCTTTGACGAACGCAACATCACCAGGACAGCAATCCGACAATCCGACTGGCACCACGTCATTCGTTCCTGAGAAAAACTTACCTGTCTCAGGCCTTTTCGGTGTAGATTCCTCCGCGATCCACCATGAGACGCATTTCTCTACAATTCCCGCCCAGTGCCAACTGACCCGCATTACTAACTTAGCACCAGCTCCAAATATTTAAAATGCAGCATCGTGCTCTCTGGTACCCCACAACTCGATGGACGCACTCTCTGAAAACGATAGACTCCAATTCGTCAAGTTCGGAGTCGGGCCGACCGTCGCGTCTCCCTTCGAATGCGTCCACCATGCATTCAAGTTTCACGCTCTCGCCAACCCCAACGCGATCGCTGTCCAAGACATTAACGACTCGATAACCTACGCTGAGCTGGATAGACGCTCTACGTGTCTTGCTGCTCGCCTCCGCAGTGGAGATGTCCGCCCAGGCTCCCGAGTATGCCTCCTCGTTGACAGGTCGATTTGGATGGTCGTTGCTATCCTTGGCGTTCTCAAATCTGGCGCTGCATACGTGCCTCTCGACGGCAAGATCGTCTCTGACGCGTCTCTCCAACACATCTTGAAGGATTCGCGGGCGGAGGTCGTGTTGACGCTTGACAAATTCTCTAATCGCCTTTCCATTTTGTCCACCCCACCACCGGCAATTATTCTCGACCGCGACCAACTCTGCGATTGCTCCGCCGACTATTGTTGCCCCACACCCGTGGACCTCTCCTCATCGACGGATAGTGTCTATGTAATCTACACTAGCGGTGCGTCATTTTGTTCACACTCATTTCGCTCGCTGATGGTGCTCGTAGGAACGACAGGCTCACCGAAAGGGGTCAGCCCCACCTTTTAAGCTTCATTCTCTCGCTCATCGTGTATTAAGGTTGATGTCTTGCACCGCAATGTCACCAATCGTAAGCTCTTCCTCGCCCAGAAGTTGATTCTCCAAACTGACGTCGCCGCGCAGTTCTCTGCCTCGAACCGGGGAATCTTGGGATGGCCCCCGGCGTGCGAGTCTCACAGTTGATGAACATATCGTTTGACATGGCTGCTTGGGTTCGTCACCTCTGAAGATTGTGTCATTTTTCTGAGCACTCCACAGGAAATCCTTGGCTCGATGAGCAACGGAGCCACTCTATATCTTCGAGGCCAATCATCCAAAGAGTGGAAGGCGACCATGAAGAAGGTTGACGTGGTTATTGGTACCCCGTCCATGCTCGCGCCACATAGCGTCGAGGATTATCCGAATATTAAGGTTGTGGCGGTCGCTGGCGAAGCCTGTCCTCCAGGTAGTTTTGACGCAATTCAGCCTCGATCGCCATCACTCATGCGCTATTTTTACAGCACTCGCAGACTCTTGGGCAAGATCCACACGATTCTATAATTGCTGCGGCCCAACGGAGGTAGGTGTTAACAGAAAAATTTATCAAATAGTTGAGTGTGTTCTAGGTGACAATAGTCAACACCATGCAGCTGCACCAAGTCGGCGACCCAATTAGCATTGGTGGCCCGATTCCGAATAATACAGTTTACATTCTCGATGACCTGATGAAAGTTCGTCATCCTCCTTCTTGACCTTCGTGTCTTCTGAAATCCTTCCCACCCGAAGCCAGTTCCCATAGGCGCCGTTGGCATTATGTGGGGCGGTGGGGCTTGCGTCTCACGCCAATATCTCAACCTCCCAGATAAAACCCAAGAGCGTTATCGACTTGACCCATTTGCGAACGACGGGTGGGCATACCTTCCTTCCTCCCATCAAAGTCAGGTACTGACTGAATTGCCGTAGGTCAATGATGTTCAACACGGGGGATCTAGGGTAAATATCGGCCTCTTGAACATGTGTTGTTCTGACATAAATAGCTGCTGGCGTGCTGACGGTACTCTCGAGCATCTCGGAAGAATCGACGACCAGGTCAAGGTTAAAGGATTTCGCGTTGAACTTGCAGGTGTGGCTGTTGCAATGGAGGTTCGTGTGAGTTGAGTAGCTGCATTCAGCTCTGACCCTCTATGTAGAGCAGCCACGGGGTCAAGGCAGCTTGTGCAATCGTGGTTGACGGCGCTCTTCATGGGTTCGTTACGCCAGAGACTATCAACGTCGAGGAAGTCAAAGCGGCGACGGCCAAGATCCAGCCATATTACGCGGTCCCCTCCCATATTCATGCCATCAATGAATTCCCTAGAACCAAGTGCGATAATCTCGTCCCTTTGATTATCTCATCTAATCTGATCTAATCACAGAAACGACAAAATAGACAAAACTGCCCTACGACAACTTGCAGTCGCGGACGACTCGTCCTCTATGAGCTCTCTTACGCTCGCCACCAATACACCCGCTTCAGAACCCGAGAAGGAGGTAGCGATCGCAACGCCGCCTTTAGCACTTGTTCGACATTCAATTGTCGGTCATGACTACCCATCCCAACCCCCGAATGCTGCGGAGCTCGACGTTAAAAAAGAATTCTGGGATGGCTACCAAGACGATGAGCTACCAGAAAAAGTCCATGGAAAGCTGCTCCGCAATTTGCGCCACCAAATCTTTTCTCTCTATCGCCGCCTCTTCGGTATTGTTTTCATCACCAACATGGCCATATTTATAGCTATCTTGGCTCGTGGTGGCGCCAACGCACAACGACTCGGCTTGATCACACTCGCTAATCTATTTGTTGCGATGTAGGCCGTTACCCGCGCATTCTGCATTTGACTTGACTAACGAGATGTAGTTTGATGAGGCAGGACTATGTGATTAACACATTCTTCAATGTTCTATGTTCGGTTCCTTCTAGCTGGCCATTGATGATTCGGCGGGTTTGTGCTCGGTGAGTTGCCGCAGTTCCATTTGGTGTTTGCCGTCATGAACTTTCGATTAGAGTCTATCACATTGGTGGCTTGCACAGTGGAAGTGCGACATCGGGAGTTGTTTGGTTGATCCTTACCTGTGGACAAGCCACCAAAGAGTTGGTTCATGGTGGCCCGGTGCGCTTGACCCCCCTTTTCCTCTCGGTCTATTTACCTCTGACAGGCTTCTATCCCCACTGTTACTGTGTCATATGTCATCCTGCTTCTACTCCTCGGCATCGTGACATTCGCTTACCCCGCGCTGAGAACCAAGCGTCACGATTCATTCGAACGCGTTCACCGTTACCTCGGTTGGACCGGTGTTGCACTCGTCTGGTGTCAGGTGGTCTTGCTGACGAATGATTATCGCGGAGTCCAGTCCCTTGCGCATGCTCTGGTCCACTCCGCCCCATTTTGGATGCTGTTGGTCATGACTGGTCCGTTTTCAACGCACGCCTCTTGCTATTGTTGACTTTAAGAAGGTTCAATCATCCTGCCCTGGACTCGGCTTCGAAAAGTCCCAGTACGGAGTGAGGTGTTGTCAAAACATGCTGGTGAGTTCATTTCCCCATGGATATCTTACTCGCCTCATCTTTCCCCAGTTCGCCTTTACTTCACGCATGGTGAGTTTTTCGTCAAGCAAATGCCGGAGTCGCTAATATATATTTCAGCCACCCCCAAAACCGGAAGTTTCGTGCGCCTCGCCGTCGATCCGCTGAAGGTACATATTATTTCGACCCCCCCTCTCGTTCGGTCTGACCTTTGCCCAGGACTGGCATGGATTTGCCACGATTCCGGTCCCGAACGAGAAAGGCTTCTCTCTTGTGGTCTCAAAAGCCGGAGACTGGACTTCGGAACGGATTTCTGATCCGCCAACGTCCATCTGGATTCGCGGAGCACCTTGTTTTGGAGTGCTTCGGATCGTTCCACGTATGTTCCATTTCCCATGCTGTTAGAGTTGTCAACTCAACTGGTTGGCAGTGTTCAGAAGAGTTGTGCTCGTTGCAACTGGTAGGGCATTTTTTGCCTGTCATCTATCTCTTTCAAGTGCTTACCCTGCGGCAGGAAGCGGCATTGGACCCTGTGCTCCTTGCATTCTCGAGAACAAAATACCGATTAGACTCCTTTGGACTTCACCAAACGTCCGAGAGACTTTTGGAGATAAGCTAGTTGATGAAATCGTCACTGCCAATCCTGAGGCCTGCATCTACGATACCAAGAAACACGGCAAGCCGGACATGGTCAAGGTAGTCACCACTAAATGGGCTTGTGCTTGAACTCACAAACTTCTAGCTGACTCTCCGTCTTGTGGAAGAGTTCAACGCCGAAGCCGTCTGCATCATATCCAACCAAAAACTAACGCAAAAGGTGGTCTACGGCGTCATGAGTCGAGGAATTCCTGCTTTCGGGGCGATCTGGGACAGTTGATTGAACAATGGGTGACGAAAGGAAATGATATACCCTGTAAAATATTTTTGTATGTATCCTACATGGTGGGCACTCTTGAAATCAATGATATCTCGTGACACAATATCATTGGTCATCAACGGACGTGACGAGAAAAATCATCCTTCCAGCCAAAACTCACTCTCAGTTCATGTTGTACTTATGTGGGCGAGAGCCAGATGCTCTATTGCGCGTATGACGGCTTCGAGCTCAGCAATATCTACCCTCGACCCTGCGAAACTCAGAGCAAGAGATTTTCTAGACCTCTCATCTCTCAGACGTTTCCTTGTTGCGAAAGGCTCTAAAACTGAGTGTCGCTCCATGCTCTACTATCAGCAGTCACAGAAAAATATCGTTCCCTTTCCGCCGAAAACGACTGGATTTCTCTACTACTACCGACCACCGAACGGTACCTCCGTTGCTGGCGCTCTGCGTTTCCGTTGTGTCAAACCACAGCAAGATCCCCAGGATCACTTTGCAACTGGTACCGACCTCATATTGGAGGATGGGCATACCCCATGGGAGCTTCCTCCAGCTCGGTTCGCCCGAACGCAATTGCCCGCATTGCGGAGACTTCTTTTGGAGGACGGGTTAGTCACCCTTGCAGAATTGGCCCACTGCCGAGAAACTATGGCGTTACGGTTCCGGACACGTCTGCATTCGTTCAGCCAGCCATTCGTCACGGAATTTGGCGTTAAACATCATCTACACATCTTCTTCGCCAACGGCGATAGCGAATTGTTGTGCCTTAGGGGCCCGTTCGTAGACCAGATCAAGCAAAAACTGACTTGGCCCTACCAAGGTGCATTTTCTTCTCCAAAACTCTGGCATTTTCATTGACCTGGGCCAGGCAAAGCTCTCGTCCGCTTTGAGCTCTCTGCTCACCCGTCACACATCGAGGACGGCAAAAAATATGTTGTCATTCGCATCATAAAGATGATTTCTCCGCCCATGTTGAGGATTTCCAATTATTTGGGCTATCTTCCGCCACCTGTGGAAGGCGAGCTTGTTATGCGAAGGAGGAGGAAATCGCCGCTTGGGAAGGAGATGGTCAAGAAGGATTTAATACCTTGGGCAGTCAACTTGAATTCTTCTACTGATGTCGGGAGAATATTAGCAAGACTTTTCAGTGAAAGCGGGGAACTGAGTACATAGACCATGTACTCGTCACACAAAGGTCACACATGGCTGAGACTCCTGCTCTTGACGACAAAGGTCGATACGAGGTCCTCAAGGAGGCGTTGAAGGTCGCCTTGCCAAAGAAGCGCGCAATTGACCAACAGCTTGTGTGTGCCTCCTGTCCGCTTGCTTTCCCATCTCAATGACTACTAGGCGCAAATTGAAAGCCAAATATACGAGCAAGAGAAAACATACCTGACCGAGACCGCATTGCACAATGGGGGAAATATAATCATTGGGTTCGAGGGGTACCTCAAGAACTCGAACGCCACTCGCAGGAAATACGACGTTGCGGATGGGGAGCGATTGTTTTCCAACAGCAGTCTAACATATGCTAAAGTGAGTTGTCCAAGTCCCAGGACGATACACTCTCACAATGAGCATCTCTAGTCGCTTGAGCTACTCCACGATGGGGAAGACACAGACGAGACTGGGCTATTCAAGCAACCGAGCACACCCGGATTGACGACTGTTGTTGTTCCCCCAGCCACAGGCCGCCACGAGATGGACCAGTCGCAGTTGAAGAAGCATCGAGACCGCGAGTATCAGCGAAGGAAGAGAGCCAGTGCGAGTGCCAGCCAACGGGACACCAGTGATGAGGAGACCATTCCTACTAGCTCACGGAGAGCAACGAAGAAAGCGCGCATGGATGAATGAAAAAGTGCGTTTGCCCTATTATTACCTGAACTCCAGGGCTGATGTGTGCTTATAGCTGTAATCTGTATTCTATTTGTGTACCATCTAGAGTCCCAACGAGTCCAATAACTCCAGCACACCCGTTTCATCCATTCCACCTCCGTCAGGATCTACCGCTTCGATACAGCGTGCAACGGCGATGGTTTCTTTTATTTCTTTCGTATTTATCCAGACTCGTCCATTGACGCCAGTTGCGATCTCGAGGTGAAAACGCCTTCCCAGTAGCTCGACCAGGAAATGGTCTGGATTCAAGAGTCTTCCTCTTGCTGTCAGTAATGGAATCTTGCCAGAGTCATCGGGAGCTCACGATCTACTCATCCCCAGGCTACAGCGGACCATGAAACCACCTTTCAGTTCTCCGAACCCAGCTGCCTTCCGAGTCTGAGCATCAAAGCATTCAAGCTCTGGCTCCATATCTTTATGCGCTAAGGAGACACGAGCGTAAACTAATGTGCCGATCTGTGTGGCCATAAGCAAGGACAATATGCTGTAGCTTCGCTTACTTTGAGATTTGGTTTACTCCGTTTTGTTACACCCTCGAATGCCAGACCATCCAGTGAAGCGGAGTGAGCCGAGCCAATGTCGACGCGAAAGCCCTCGCCAGCCTTTTGTACAATGACACCGATTACGGATTCTTGCGCGGCTGGTACATACTACACTGATGTTCAAACTTGAGCTGGTTCAATGAGCACAAAGGCGGACTCGTCTCGAGTTGTTTTCAATCCACCACTTGCTACGGTTGGTGGAGTGGTGTAAAGACCCTGCTCGCGTCGCGATTATAGATGACGACGCTGTTTGAAGTAGGCCTGGCCCTAATTTGAGGTTGACATGTTGTGCAGGTACTATCTGGCCTGGGAGGACAATTTCAGACATGGCAGTCAGGTTGAAGAGGCGTCACGTTCAATTCTCTTCATCGTACCATGACGACCCCGCTACTAACGGAGTTTCCTGAACTATCCAGTCTCTCGTGAGCAATTCACAACTTAAAATTTACAATCTCTGAAAGGCTTACTAGACGAGAAGATCTAGAGGATTTACTGTCCGATCCTGTTTACTTCCAAGCCATATTTCACTCTCTGTCGCGCGTCAAGGCCATGTATCAGGCGCAAGCGGAGTTAGGAATGGCTAACGAGTCCATCGCAAGTGCGTTGGCTATCGTTGCTTTACGAGTTCCTTCTCATAACTCTCCAGAGCGCAATCTATCCTTGCAAGAGCCCCTCCATAGGCTGCGCACAGAAACAAAAGAGGCATTTGACGACGCGAAAAATCTAGAAGAACGCTGGAAGGTTGTTGAGAGAGACCAGCGGGAAGTCTATCAGGTTTTGGACACCTTCGGTTTGACGAACCTTGGCTAATATTCTCGCAGCGATTCAGCCCCCAGTTTCTGCTGATGCGACTAAAGCATAGTAAGACTGCGCAAGACGATGCGTCCGAAGAGCTTGCATCATCCTTTGTTCAACAATCTGCGAGTGTGGGCGGTACAGGGACGCCAAACGGGAAGGAGGTCGATGATTTCATCAAGGAGTACAAGGAGTTGAGAAAAACATATCACAAGAGAGCGATGTGGGAGGATCGCTGGTCATCAGGACAGGTTCACTGGAGAGAGGATTGATTTGGTATAACATATAACAGGTGCGCAATTCTCCCTCGCTTTCAAGTCGTAATGACGAGAAAGACAGCATAGCATGTTCAACTCTTGTATTTTTAGCCCACTGACTGGAAACTCTTCTGCTTCACGTTCCTATCGACTGGCCATGTGCTAGGTCGACCGTGATGACTTTACGTACCTTCAACGTTCGCACTCTCTCGTCAGGATGTTGTTGCTCCAAATGCGGACGCTCAAATTCCCCTCATATCTGCTGCTGTCTTTTGGTAACTCGTTTTTGATTACGCTTTTGGCTCATTCGCAAGTTGCAATGATCAAAGTGGCCAGATTTTCATGAGCAAGGAACGACAACCCAAACTGGGATGACGCCGCCTTCGATGTCGGGCCGTCTGGCTTCGCACTACTCATCCACGCGTCGCCACGCACGTGCGATGTAATGGCCTTCCACTATTGTCAGTCAATGGAACCCATTCACCCAGCAAGATAAAGTCTCTGTGAGTCTGGGACTGGAACCAACGCATTTCCCACTATGAAGGCAAATACTACGGCTGCTTTCATTGGCAGCTTGCTCGCCACATCGATGCCTTTTGCGCGGTCTCCAGAGGTGGTCGACGCCCCACCCTTCGGATATACCGCCGGATCGCCAGCGTCAGTCGCGAATATGAAGGAAAAGATCAAGGTTCTCGGCTAGTCATGCATTCCAAGTGGTGTCTTACATAGCCATGGCAGCACGTTGTCTGGGTCCTCCTCGAAAATCGTTCCTTCGACAATCTCCTTGGTGGCTTAAATCGTCCCGGGCTCGACAACCCTATCAACGTCGGTGATGTTTGTAATCCTGTTGATGTCACCAAACCCAATGGCGCCACGCTCTGCACGAGGTCCAAAGATTTCGACTCTGTGCTAAACGATCCCGACCACAGCGTAACCGGAAACAATTTCGAGTTCTATGGTCAATTTGCGCCAGATAATACGGCCATCCAGAACGGGACTCTTGTCGCGACCAATCAGGGCTTCGTCAACAAACAAACCATTTCGTATCCGTCCATAGGCTCGAGCCTTGCAGCAGCGCAAGTGATGGGCTACTATAGTGAAAGCGAGATTCCGACAATCGCCGATATAGTGGACTCTTTCACGACATTCAATTATTGGTAGATCAACATTACCTCTTGTCGCCACTTGAATGACTCCATTCTTTTCCAGGTTCTCATGCATTCCTGGCGTAAGTGCACAGTCTTCATCGGCTTTCCTTCTCACGCTATCAAGCCCACCAACCCCAATCGTGCCTGTGCTACTTCTGGCACTTCTGCGGGCCATGGTTCTAATGACGCCTCATTTACAGTCGCTGGACTAACTCAGAACAAGTAATATCCTACTCAGTTCTATCTGCTCGCTCACCTAATTGTCAGCATTTTCCAAACTGCCACAGCGCATAACATCAGCTGGGTATGTTGCGATGTGTTGGCTGTGATTGAACGCTAATCTACTGTTTCTGAAGATCAACTATGACGGTACTAATGGTGCTTTCGCCCCGGATGCCTTGTTTTATGCATCAGTCAAAGCCCACTCAACTGCCAATATCGTTCCCATTGAGAATTTCTTCCAAGATGCCTTCCTTGGACTTTTGCCCCAACTCTCGTACTTGAATCCTTCGTGTTGTGGTGTCAACACAAATTCTATGCACCCGGTCAGTATCCATTCACATACGAGGATTGGAATCGTGACTGACCCGAAGGAATAGGACGGAAACGTGTCATATGGACAGGTCTTTACTAAGCAAGTTGTCGACGCCGTGAGGCAAGGACCGCACTGGAATGACACGTTAATCTTGCTCACCATGGACGAGAGCGGAGGTTTCCATGATCACGTCCCTTCTCCACTTGCAGTCCCCACCGATAACCTGAGCTATACGGAGACCAAGAGTGGCCAGACCTATACGTTCCACTTCGACCGTCTGGGTGGTCGCATTCCCACTTTCTTGATATCGGCGTACTCGCCCAAGGGTCATATCGAGAACATGGGGACTAACCCCAAGACGGGGGGTGTCGAAGCTTACAGCGCGACATCAGTGTTGAAAACACTCGGACTGCTATGGGATTTGGACGACCTTACGCCACGTGTCAGCAATTCTCCTACATTTGACCATCTTATCGGGCCAACGATGCGGACCGACGTGCCGTTGATCTTGACCCCACCGTTACCATTCCCCAACGACACATGAGTTAGGTGGAATTTTTGGTGTACTGGTTAGCCCTATGTACAAAGGAGCTCCATGCAATGTTTGAACTCGTTACTCGACCAAGGTCGTGTAATTCAAAGCAGAACTTGAAGATGACATGTGATCGTGACTGTGTGACTTGAAATTTACTGCAGCCAGTCATGAACCAATCTCGCGTACAATCGCCAGCACCTCACTCTTCTTCTAAATTCTTTCATCCCTACTTTACTCCAGCAGAGACCGAATATCTTTCGGAGAAACAACGCGGAAAGCTGTCCGTGACGCAGGAAGAACGCGTGAGGCAAAATGCCTGCAACTTCATTGATACTCTCGGCGCACGCGTTGGATTGTAAGGACGCCTTATGAATGTGCTTCTTGCTCATCTATCCGTAGCCCGCGACGGACGATTGCAACGGCGCAAAACCTGTACCACCGATTTCATCTCTTTTTCCCGCGTAAAGACTTCAACTATGTCGTATGTCTTCTCCCTTGAGCGAAAGGGTAGTCTCATCCGAAGAAAGGAGGTTTCCCTTGCTGCACTATACGTTTCGACCAAAATGCATGACACCTTGAAGAAGACGCGGGAGCTGCTAGCAGTGTCTTATGCCATCCGTTTCCCTGAGTTGGTCGCGAAATCGAAGCACCCAGCCGGCATCGTTGATGTGGACAGCATGGACCCTACCATCGTCGAGAACGACAGGCAGAGGGTGTTGTCTATTGAGCGGTTACTGCTGGAAACTATCTGCTTCAATTTTACGTCGCGGATGCCCTTTCCGTATGTAATCAAGTTGGGCAAAGCATTTGGAGGTGCGTGCTGTGCGCTTGTAGACGATTCCATAGTCATATCTGCTAGCCAGCAAACAACTAACCAAGCTAGCCTGGCGGCTGACGATTGATTGGTCAGTTTTTCCCCCCTGGTTGGCATTGTCAATGAACGAGCACTAGCCATCGTACCCTAGTACCGTTGCAATTCCCCCCTCACATCGTGGCTCTTGCTGCTCTCTATAGTGCGGCCTTGCTCTCGTCGTTTGAACAGCCAGACGGGGATAAATCTGCCCATGAGATTGCGGAGGCTCTGGGTAGGAACGGCGACTGGGAGGAAAAATATCAGGTCCAGGTGGATGATCTTGAAGGTCTGTTCATGAGAACTATTTTATTCACAGCTCAACTCATTATCGAATAGCCATTGCGCATACCTTGTTGGACATGCTAATTCAAGGGGCCCAAACACAAACACTCAATACTTCACCCCGCACGCCCTCATCACCGTCCACAAACCCATCGCCTCGTACTTCACACCCTCTGGTTGAACCACAACCATCGACGATCCAATGGAATACGGATCAGCTCATACGATTAAAAATTGCGTTACGAGCAGCTGAGCACCCGCAAAGGCAACGCCAGCCTCTAGGAAGTGCAGACCCGAGTGCGCTTTACAGCGGTGACGACATTGACTTGTTGGGAAGAAGTGAAGGGACTGTCAGGTTCTTATTTGGCCCTCCAGGTACAAGCGACGATTTTTAGGCTGGTACAGATTATAGATTTGGTTCTTACATTGTGTATCGCTATTTGTGTACATTATAGTGTGGGTGGTCATGCTAATGGCGCCTTCCAAATCCGAGAGCTGCGAGACTAAGACGAACGGGGCTCAAGACTGGCGGAATCACCATTCCGCCTCCGAACCCCCGGATCATCCAGGAGTTGACCAGCATTTGGCCAGCACCAAATATTACTAGGTAGACCCAGAGGGTACCCCATCGTCCTCCGACGCGTTTGCCTGTAGCAATACGCCATATACGTTCAGCAACAATTAACGGCCCCTGTAAAAAGAAGAAGAACGTGACCGTGTGGTCAATACCTCGACCCAACGCATACGCCGCTGGAAGAACATGTCAAGAAGGGCACAGACTGACATTCCACAAAACGCACCAAGTTCGTGATAGAGGCCAGAAGCCAAAAAGGTGCCAAATACAAAGCCGAGGTCGCCGGCAATCCAGCGGCCCGGATATCCGCCATAAACGAGGAATGTCCCGCGTAGCCATTGTTGCCATTGACGGCTCCAGAGCTCATGGAGAGAGCTTGCACGCCACGGGTCACCGATTCCCGGTGGCCAAGCAGAAGGCGGGGTGTTGAAAATCAACACGCCAACGAAGGTAAACAAGTCGTAGACCATCCCGAAACCGGCAAGCATGGCGCTACCAGTCAGGATGTGAATAGTGGTTGAAACAACATAACGAGGGACAATTGGTAGTTCCGCGTAAAAGATCGAGCCACCTTTAGTCTCTCCAACCCCGGGGAATATCTTTATGGCAGACTCTAGCAAGTCGAGTAATAGGAAGTTGGTTAGAAATGAGGTGGCTGTAGCGCGAAGGAACGCGTGTCGCTCTAGCGGACGCGTGTGTGGAGGAATATAAGTTCCTTGGGCGAATTTCCAGTGTGGCCCACGCATCGTATGAATGAGTTCGGCAGCATCGGAGATCCATGCGGGGAAAATCGAGGGCGACCGTGTTTCTCGTTCATGATGCCCATTCGCGACTTCTTTGCCTTTCTGCTCGCCAGGTCGCTGCTCCCCGAGCTTTAACATTCCCTCTTTAGTGAAGGCATACTGCAGGCTTTTGGCTATGATGACTTCAGCCAATAGAGCCAAGCCCCAGTCATACACATTTAGTTGGGGCACGTTGGCAGTGAAGCGGAAGCCCGACATGAGGGCTGAGGTGATAACAGTCGGGAGGAGCAGGAGGCGGATCGCATGTGTGTCTTTCCGTCTCGCAAGGAAAGCGAGAAAGACGATGGGCAGATATAAGCTGAGTAGTTGTGGGGCGGTTGACCACGTTATTGGAACGCGGTCCTGCGGTCGGGGTATTACAACGCGAAATGCGCGTATTGATCCTACTGTGACTCTGTGGATGGGATACTCAGTCTTGAATGGGGAAGATAGACACTGCGGCGCACTCTTTCCACAACATGGCCATGGACTCGCGTCAGCTCGCGTGACACCAGTGACAAGATATTGCCCACGCAATGTGCCATCCCTCGGATCAGGATTCACGCTCCAATCATCATGATGATGCGGCTCTTGGAATCTATGGAGGAAATTCTCCTAGAGTGTGTAAGACATAACCTAACGACGCCCAGTTGCATCCATGGGCCTTCTTATCTCAGGCTTGAGCCAGTCATTTCCTCCAAAGTCCAAATTCGCTGTGTCCGATATTCCTGACCTGTCAGATCAGGTCATCATCGTGACGGGCGCTAGCACCGTCAGTCAACACTCTCAAAAGAAAATAAAGAAAGGACGACTGACCACGTTTATTGCAGGGTATAGGCTTCGACACTGCTCAGGCTCTCTTGGAGCACAATGCCAAAGTGTACATTGCCGCACGCAACGAAGAAAAGGCCAAGGCAGCGATCGTGAAACTCAAGCAAGAAACTGGAAAAGACATCGTCCACTTTCTTCTTCTTGACCTCGCAGACCTGCATTCCGTCAAACGTGCTGCAGAGGAGTTTGCTCGGTTCGTGCATATCCATCCATTGTACCATGAGCGTCCACTGACATGTACTGTAGCAAGGAGACCCAACTTCATGCTCTCTTCAACAACGGGTGAGTTTTAGACGACCATCGAATTTACCCCTCAACTCTCTCTCTCTTTCTTCAGCGGTGTCATGGTACGCGTTTCTCTTGTTGTTTTGCCACCGCCCATCACTGAGTCGCTGTTAGGTGCCGCCCGTCGATCAATTGACCACCCAAGGCTACGACTTGCAATGGGGTACAAATGTATGTCAAACTCAACTCACTCGCTCCAGTTCAAGCTGAATGAAACGACAGGTGCTGGGTAGGACCTAATCATTTCACGAGAGTCGGCTTGAACTGTTGCCTATAGGTCATTTCTACTTCACCAAGCTGCTTCTTCCTATCCTCACAGCCACGGCACCCACGACTCCGAGCAAAACTGCACGAGTTATCCACACGGCCTCTTTTGCATCTTATATGCCTTCGCGTCTCGACTTCAACACTTTCAAAGACAGTCCTGCACGCAAACGGATGGGTGTAAACAATCTCTACTCTCAGAGCAAACTTGTGCGTCAACGTTTCATCGGGTTCCTTCGCTGTGGCTTATGCTCTACAGGGAAATGCCATCTTCAGCAACGAGTTGGCGCGTAGATTTCGAGGCCAAGGCATCGTCTCGGTCGCTGTCAACCCAGGAAATCTCAAGACAGAACTGCAGCGTCATTTGGGTTCCATCGGTCAAATGATTCTCGTGTGTTGCCGACTTGAGAATACTTCCAAGGTTGTCTGATCTGATCTTCAGAACACTATTTTGTATCCAGCACCATTCGGAGCTCTAACACAACTTTGGGCTGGGACAACTGATGCCGGAATGGAACTCAATGGCAAGGTATGTCGGCCCTAAGGTTGTTGCTTCCTTGATCTAATCAAAAGCCAGTTCGCAGTCCCGTGGGCACGGGTTGGTCCTATGCCATACGGTGCCACCGACGAGAGCGCTGCCAAAGCATTGTGGGACTGGCTGGAGGAGCAAGTAGCCAATGTCTAGACGGCTGCATGATTTTTGACGTGTCAATTTATTCGCTATTCTATCTCACAGGGCTCTCACTTCCCACTTCCCTGATTCGTTGCAAGCCTCTTCGTCTTTCACACGACATTGGACCCGACGTTATCTCTCTATCCTCCATATGGACTCTCAAAGTGTCCGTTCTCTAGCCCTTTACTCTTCTGCGGGCTTGGTCGTTGCGTATTGCGTGAACAAGCTGCTGAACAGCAAGACCAACTTGCCTTACCCCCCAGGGCCTCGTCCACTTCCCATCTTGGGTAACAGCCGGCAGATTCCCGCATCTTCCCCATGGTTTACCTACCACGAATGGGCGCAGCAATACGGTACCCTTCCAGCGCGGGCTTGGTATGCATCGGTAATACTCACCTCGACTACAAGGGCCCATTGTGCACTTGAAGGCGATAGGCGAACATATATTAGTCATCAACTCGGCCAAGGTTGCGGATGACCTACTGGAGAAGCGTTCAAACATCTATGTATGCTTCCAATCTTCTGCGGATTCAGTATTTCAGACGCCTATCCAGAGTGATCGTCCTGATATCCCTATGATCCAGCTGTAGGTCGCTTTTTGTCAGCTTTGGCCCTGCTTGAACTTTGGATAGGATGGGATGGGACTTCAACATTGGCTTCATGAAATACGGCGACAAATGGAGAAAATACCGGCGCCTCATGCACCAGTATTTCCGTCGGGACGACGCACCGACATTTCGTCCTGTCCAGTTGAAAAAAATCCATGACATGCTGCGCAACTTGCTGTCAACACCCGGGAATTTTCGCGACCATATCAAAACGCAAGTATTCGATGCTCACTTCACTTCTTGGAGCTTGACCTTTGCTGCAGTCTCGCTGCGGCCATCATGATGGCGAGCGTGTATGGTTATGACATTCAGCCTGTGAACGACTCCTTTGTTAGCCTCGTTCGGGCGGCCGTAGAACGGCTCGGAGAGTCTGTTTTTCCAGGCGCCGTTGCCGTCAACAAGTTTCCCTGGCTGCGTCATTTTCCAGGCTGGCTGCCAGGTTTTGGATTTCAAAAGTTTTGCGCTGGTGCGTCTAGCTCATTTTGGTGTGCTGAAGTGAATCTCAGTGATCCCCAGACACCAGAGTTATCAACACCCGAATGAAGGAGGTACCATACGAGTTTGCAAAACACAACATGGTCTGTTACTGCTCATAACATGTGCTCGCATCTTTTGAGGCCGTCGCCATTAGCTGGAAGGAACAGACACGACCTCCGTTGTCGCTAGGATCCTGATCTCAGGAAAGCATGATGACAATGTAGAGCTCATCCAGGGCGTTGCAGGTCTTGCCTTTGCTGGTACTTGGGCTGGTGCTTGGCAGTCTATCAAATACTGATTAGATTTTAGCTGGCGCCGATACTGTGAGCATACAAGTCAAGTCATTGCCACATTGACACCGATTCACAGACAGTGTCGGCTATATCCACTTTCTTCATGGCGATGGCTTTGTATCCTGAAGTCCAAGCAAAAGCTCAACGCGAACTCACCGCCGTAGTTGGAGCCCACAGATTGCCGGAAATTTCCGACAGACAGCGTCTACCATATGTCGACGCGGTGTACCGAGAAGTACTACGCTGGAGACCGGTTACATAGTCACTCTCCTCGCAAGAACCTACTTTAATTTTCAATCAGGTTCTGCCCTTGAGTGTCAGTCATGCAACCTCGAAGGACGATGTTTATGATGGCTACTTCATTCCAAAAGGTGCAAGTGCTGTGATCCCATTTTTAAGAGGACTTATTATGTCAAGGAACCCAAGTTGTTGCAAACATCTGGTATGAATATTTTATACTAGTCGAACCACTCGAGCGAAAAACTAGGTCCATGTGTCACGATGAGTCTATCTATGCAGAACCAGACAAATTCAAGCCGGAAAGATTCCTCGATGACGATGGGGGGCTCGTGAACGATCCTCGCATGAACATTCTTGCCTATGGGTACGCCAGTTCCACGACGTGTCAGCATGAACAATTCCGAGTCGTCTTTTAGCCATGGTCGCCGCATCTGTGTGGGCCGCCACATGGCCGACGAAACAGTTTGGGCAGTCATTGCGTCAGTGCTGCATGTCTACGAAATCGGCAAAGTCAAAGACCTGTCTGGCAATGACATCGACATCGTCGTCCGATTCTCGGGCGGAATCGTCAGGTAAATTGTCCACTCATCCTAACTTGTAGCACCGCTCAATATACGTAGTCACCCAGAACCATTTCCGTGTAGCATTACTCCGCGTTCAGAGAACGAAAAGCAGCTTGTGGAAGGCACGATAGCGGCCGTCTACGACATTTGAAAACACATGTATTATGCATTCGGACTTGGATGCTGTGCCTGGACTGTGCGCTTTCCGAATCGACGAAAACCATACCACCCAGCAACAACCAAAACAAAGGATCCTACGATGGCTATCCCAATCCATCCCGACTGCTCATTGGCCTGGAGTGATTTTTTCAACGTCGAAAGTAAATGAGTTTCATCGGCACAAACCTGAGCCCATCCTCTCCACCAACTCCCAGCTAGTCCGCCCCCGTTTGGATCGTTCGCAGCTTCTTGACAGCGCTTGCATTGTTCACCGATCAGACCCATAATAGTGATGAGCGATATGCTTGTCGAAATTCAATGACAATAACGGTGAAGCAAGGCCAGCTCAGACCTGAGGGCAACAAGAATACTGATGAGGGTGAGTATAATGCTGAGATTTGACATAACGTTGAATTTCAGTAGACCCGAAGTGCCGCCAGGGCTGGCCCCGTATGGTGGTGAAGTATCTTGGTCTAGAGTTTTGAGTTGGGTCTCAGCTGCAATGCCTTGGGCGGTTGGTGGCTTTTCTGCTGGAGGTTGCTGTGCAGAGCGTTCAAAGACGGTCCATCGTCGCTCGGCAAAATCGGTATATGAGTATAGCATAATCACTGAATCCGTCGAGTCGATCAAGGACATTCCAGCAGTGAAGAGTACCTTCAACTTGTGGTTAATAATGATCATCGACAAATTTGGGAAGATGTTTGACTCACTGGAAGCACTAAAATTTGACTAGAGGGTATAGACGATCCATCGGTCTGTCTGTGGGCAAGTGCAGAAACACTAAGAAGGGCAATAGAGGAAGCAGTATCGAAGCCTTAGGGTTTATCAGGCTGTGCGAGTACTGAACAAGTCTAAGTGGTACCTAGGCCGAATAAAACCCCAACAGGATACATCTGAATCGAGCACAGTGAGATTCAAGAAGTTAATAGGAAACTTCTTGGCTTACGACCACATCGTGGGACTCTGATCGACACTCAAAAACTTGCTTGAGTGGGTGCATTGGAACCACGGAGGGGCTGTAGCTACAGGCTTTACACTACCTACGTACACAAAACACCTTTAAAAATGGCGAATGCGAGGGGTACAAACCTCTCGAGGAGCGGAACACCAAGCGCGACGAATCCAGGGCCATCACAGGCCCAGAAGAAACCAGCGACGAGGGCAAACTCGCCCAAAGAATACGTATACATGAACAAGAAACAGCTATACGAGTGTGGACAAGAAAAGGGAGCATGGGAGACAGCCACGGCGCACGACGCGTGCGAAGGGCTGCACCAAAAAGGTGCGTTCATCACCGACTACGAAGAGGGCGTCACCCCCAGTGTGCAACAAATTGCGATGACGGTGCTGCGAATGGGGGCGGACCTACAGAGCCGCGACGTCAACATGGCCTGGTGCTGCAGGGCAGTGGCGAGGCTATTGGACGAGGTAGCGAGAGACGCGGCAGAGGCGATAGACAGGAAGATGAACAGAGTGCTCGAAATTCTCGAGGAGGCGGAGGGAGGTGTAGCAGGGGGAGACGCAGCAAAGTGGGGGAGACGGGGGGGGAAGGAATAGCGGAGGAAGTCAGAGGAGCAGCAGCAATGCTGACCCGCACGATGGACGAGCAGAAAGAGGGGATGGAGGAGTTGATGAAGCGCATGGAGACAACGGTGCTAGAGACGCTGGAGAGGGCGGAGGAGACGGGAAGAGATAAGGGGGCGCAGGGGGGGTTCGTATGCGGCGGCAGCGGCAAGGGCGAGCGTGAAAACGAGAGACCAAATGGAGATGATAGGCAGAGCAAACGAGAGGGAACAGCAACTGTGGATAGAAGGAGCAGCGGTAGAGGGGCTATCGGAGAAGGAGATGGTGGAAAAGGCCAAATACGCGATCGAGTTCGCAGCAGAGGACGAGAAGGCTCCGGAATGGGTGAGAGTACTCGCGGCGAGGAGAGTAAGGAACGGGGCACTGCTGCTTAGGATGGCGTCCAGAGAAGCGGCGGAGTGGGTGAAGGAGAGAATGGGAAGGTTCAGCACGGGAATGGGGGGAACAGCAAGATACCGAGAAAGGCTATACGAAGTCATCGTGGAGTTCGTCCCCAAGACCATAGCGCCCATCAGCGAGAATACTCTCAGGGAGTTAGAGGACAACAACAACATGCGCGAAAACGACATCGGAATGGCGCGGTTTATCAAGCCAGAAGAACGACACAGGCCAGGGCAGAAAGTCGCGCATATGATAATGGGCTTCCGCAGGCCAGAGGCAGCAAACCGGTTCCTGGCGCACGGCATGTTCGCAGAGGGGAAGAAGGTGCAGGGACGCAAACTGCTGGCGGAGCCGATGAGGTGCCTCAAGTGTCAGAAAATTGGCACGGGTCACGTGGCCGCGACGTGCCCCGCGAAAGACGACACGTGCGCGAGATGTGCAGGAAAACACAGAACGAACGACTGCACGGCAGGGGAAGGCGAGAGGAAGTGCGCAAACTGCGAAGCCGCGGGAGACGAAGCGGGATGCAGGAACCATGGGACAGCAGATCGACAATGCCCGATATTTGAAGAAAAACTCAAGAGCGCGCTAGAAAGGAACCCTGACGCAAAGTACACATTCTTCCCGGTACCGGAAGACAGATCAACGTGGCTAGAGATCGGGAAGAATACGGTGGATGAGGAGAGGGAGCCAGACTGGAAGACCATACTGAGGACGAGAACGAAGACCACGGGGCCAACGCAGAACGTGGTGAGCGAGATACAGAGAGCGATGACAAGGGGCCCGAGGCCGACAATGCAGAGGGGGCCAATACTCAGGCAGTCAGCGATCACGGAATACGGGACGATGCAGAACGCGGGCTCGTTGGGGACCGGGAGCATGATACTGAGTACGAATGCAGGAGAAATAGAGCAGGAACCGGAAGCGCTGGGAGAACAATGAATAACAGAGAAGAGGTCAACACAAGCGAGAAGAACAAACTAACACTTTGGCAGCAGAATGTAAACAAGTCGTTGGACGCGCAGTTGGATCTACTACACAGGATGGACCCGAGAAGGTACGATATGGCATTAATCCAAGAGCCGTACTTTGACCACTGGGGCCTTTCGAGGGCGAACAATCATTGGCACACGGTATACCCCTCAACGCACAACAAAACGCAACAGAGGTCAAGAGCGATGGTACTTATTAACGCGAAGATACCCACGAGGATGTGGTCGGGCGGTAACCATACAAAACCCAGACATAGCAGCGGTACAGATACAGGGCGACTTCGGAACTCTGAGAATCATAAACATATACAACGATATCGAGCATAACGAGACGGTCAAGGCCTTGCTGGAGTATATGGCGAGTCCGGGCGGGAAGATGGTGCCCGATACAGCCGCTGCGATACATATGGGGGGGAGACATCAACAGACACCACCCGGATTGGGAAGACGAAGCCAGGAACGCGCACCTGCTGAACGAGAGGGCGATGAACCACGCGGAAGCTTGGAGGACACTGGTGTCGATGTTTAGCATGAAGATGGCGCTGCCGAAGGGGATACCGACGCTGAAGGCCTTCGTGTCGGGGAACCACACGAGAGTCGACAACGTGTTCATATCCCCTGGACTGGAGCCGCACTTGGTAAAATGCGTGACGGAGCCGGGACAGCAACCAGTGAAAACGGACCATTTTCCTATCATACTGACGATCGAGCTACAGATACCGATACATCAACACCAGCCGAGACCAAAATACGCAAAGACTCACTGGGGACAATATCGCGCGAGACTGCTTATCGAAACTGCAGGAACTTCCGAGGCCAAGGAGTTACGAGGACAAGGAAGAGGCGCAAGAAGGACTAGAGGCAGTGGAGGGAGCCATCAGAGAGACCACGGAAGAGATGGTGCCCATGACAAAACCGTCGCGACACTGGAAGAGGTGGTACGGGAAAGAGCTGGACGAGATGAGGAAGGATAGCGCGAAACTGAGGCAACAATCGTACAGGTGGAGGTTCGAGGAACAACATCCAGTCCACGAGGAGGCGAAGGAGGCGAGGAGAAAATTTGCGGAGGCGGTGAAGGAGGCGAAGAGGGAAACGTGGGAGAGGTTCCTGGAGACAGCAACGAGAGAAAAGGTGTGGGATGTAGCGAGGTTCGCCAAAGCGAAGAGGGACGACGGGGGAGTGGCCAGAGTACCCACGTTAAAAGTGGGGGAGAGGACCGCAGAGGAGGAAGCGGAGAAGGTACGTTTCTTCAGAGCAGAGTTCTACCCGCCTGAAATGATCGCGCCCGCAACGTGGAACAACGAGGAATACCCGCAACCCAGATTCGAATTCGAGGCGGTTAGCGACAAGATACTAAAGGAAGCGATAGCCGACATGAAGCCGTACAAAGGGACGTACCCGGGGTCCCCCGCAAACTGCATCTTCAAGGAGTGCGAGAATCTGCTGGTGCCGTTCCTAGGACCGATATACAGGGCGATGGATAACTTCGAGTGGTATCCGGAAGGCTGGGCTGACACGATGACAATAGTGCTGAGGAAGCCAGGGAAGCCGGACTACTCGAAACCGGGGGCATACCGACCGGTGGTGCTATCGAAGGGGCTGGCGCGACTATACCACGCATGTAAGGCAAAACAGCTGACGAGAGGAGCGGAGTTAGCGGGGATCCTGCCGGCAAATCAATACGGGGCGCGGCCCGGAAGATCGACAACGGACGCGGTGCACAAGACAGTGTCAATCATCAAGAGGGCGTGGGAGAAAGAAGAAGTTGCCAGCATCTTGTGTATGGACGTAAAGGGAGCGTTCCCAAGTGTCGACTTGAGACGACTCAAGCACGATATGAGATTGCGGGGGGTCCCAGAGGGGTATGTGAGGTGGGTAGAAAGGAGATACGCAGCAAGAACGAGCAAGATGCTATTCGGCGACTTCCTGTCGGACAGCTACCACGTCAATAACGGGCTCGACCAAGGTGACCCGATATCCGGGATCCTATATCTCATATACAACGCGACGTTGGCGGAGATACCAAGACAGAGGAGAGGAGAACACAAGGTGCTTTTTGTGGATGATGACACGTTGATAACTACGGGCAGGGACTTCGCGAAGACGCACAAGAAAATCGACGACGTAACGCACAGAGACGGGGGCATAGTTCACTGGGGAGCGGAGCACAACGCGATATTCGGACCCGAAAAATACCAGCTGGTGGACGTGACGAGGAAAAGAGTCAAAAACCCAGCAGGGCAAGCAGGGACAAGACAGACACCGAGGACCGACATGACACTGGGCCAGCACGTGATAAAATCGGTGACGGCGGTGAAGTTGGTGGGCGTGCATATCGACAACGAGCTGCGATGGAAACAGCAAGAAGCGGCGGCTATAGGGAAGGGACAAGCATGGCTGGCGATGTTCGAGAGATTAGCGAAGGTGACAGGCGGCCTACCCCCGGTGAGCATGCGAAGATTATATCTGAGCATATGCGTGCCACAGATGTTATACGCAGCGGACGTTTTCCTCAACCCAACCGACAAGACAGCAACGGGGAAAGAACGGGAAAGAGGCGTCATCAAGAGGTTTAGGACGATACAAAGGAAGGCGGCGCTGAAGATTACGGGAGCGCTATCGTCGACACCCACGGAAGTACTGGACGTCTATGCTAACTTACTCCCCATAGAAGAGCTAGTGCACAAGGTCAGAGAAACCGCCGCGCTCAGACTAGCGACACTACCAGAGACACATCCCCTCAACAAAGAGGTACGAAGAAACAGGCCGGCAGACAGGAAAAAGGACCGCAGCACAATAACGGACCTGGTCGGATACCTCCCGCGACCGGCGAGGGAGTTCGAAATGATACAGGCAGTAAGGAACGTAGCGACGAGGGACGTGAGGGTGGAGACAAATATAGCAGGGAACAAGGAAGCCGCCTTAGAAGAAGACCTCAAGGACGAGGCAAGGTGGAAGATCTACACGGACGGGTCAGGCATAGACGGGGAGATCGGCGCCTCGGCGGTGCTGTACAGGGACGACAGGAGAGTGAAGACCATGAGGGCGAGGCTGGGAACGATGCAACAGCACACGGTATACGAGGGAGAAGCGGTAGGAAGCGGCATGGCACTGGAGATGTTACGACAACAGAGGGATGTGCAAGGCAAGGTAACGATAGCGATCGACAGCCAGGCGGCGATAAAGGCGGTTAACTCGTCGAAGGCCACACCATCGAGCTGGATGTGGGACAAATGGCACGAGAAGTACTCAGAACTAACCGACATTCACGCTAACATGGAACTGACCATCCGATGGACCCCAGGGCATATAGGGATACCGGGCAACGAACGAGCGGACGAGGAAGCGAAAAAGGCAGCGGCAGGCGACACAACGAGAGTGGGAGAACTGCCAGAAGAGTACCGACCGGAGCTCCCCCTCAGCAAATCGGCCACAAAACAGATGCTGAATGCCAAACGCAAAGCCAGAGTGGCGGAAAAGTGGAGGAAGTCGAAGAGGTACCAGCAGACCATGCAATACGACGCGAAGCTGGTCAAAGGCTCGTACCTCAAGATGTACACGAGCGTACCGAAATCGTACGCAGTACTGCTAATGCAACTGAGGACGGGACACTGTACACTGGCAAAACATATGCACCGAATCAGCAAAGCGGACTCACCGATATGCCCATGCTGCAGACAGGCCGACGAAACGGTAGCGCACTACCTATTACATTGCAGCGCACATGAAGAGGCGAGGAGGAGACTCTACGAGGAGGGGGGTAGAGACACAAGGGTCATAAAGAAGCTGCTGGGAGCGGGTAAGATGCTCGAACCGCTGATGTGGTACATTTACAGAACGGGACGATTCCGCGCGGTACACCGACACCTGAGAAAGCCATTGGACCAGAACGGCACTTACGGAGACGAGCTACTCGACCTCATTTCGAAACTTAAGATAGACGGGATGGAGGAAAAAGGACGACTTACCGACGCTGGCAAGAGAAGCAAGACCATTCGGATGAGCGGGACGGACGCGGAGGACGACATAGCAGCGGGACACGCAACGAAGGAGGCAGAGAGCAACGAGAGAGGAAAGACGATGAAGAAACGCGCGGAGGGCGCGCACACCCACACAATACCAACAACATATAATCACTACAGGACACTATTTCACCCACCTTCACGCCGCCGCCCCGAGCATAACGGCTGAAAGGGCAAGATACCGAGGGAAAGCGAAAACGAGCGGGCAAAACGTTGGATTTGCATAGCGCAAGGTGATGGCTACCATACATATATTTTGTAGAGGCCAAATAACGGGAATCAAAAAAAAAAAAAAAAAAAAAAAAAAAGTTAATAGGTAGGAGATTTACCTTCCAAGGCCAATTTACGAAGTTGATGATGGGCCCTAATAGCCTCATCATTAGCATATGGTTATGTTGGGGACTGGGTTCGGACTGTGAGTTGTCTTTGACCTAGTAAACCCGCCATTGGCAAGAGCTGACACAAATGGGCAAATTCAAGGACTCACCCGTCGTCTCTGCCGAATGATTCGCCACAGAATAATCGAGTTTGCAAGTCCGACGATAAAGAGAAATGTACCGCTCACAGCAGCACCTGCCAATGAGCAAGGCGAAATTCAGAGGGTCTTCACCTACCAATGATGCCGCCAACATTTCCCACACCGTCGAGGCGACTATAGATCGAAGATGATACGGCTAAAGCGACTGTCTGTAGTCGTGTGTCAGAATTATTTTGGTATCTTCAGTAGTGTTGGACGCACCACCGCTACGACAATAGTGCTGTGTCCAAGGGAGAAGTAGAGACCACAGGTTACAGGGAGTTGACCCATGCCCAATAATCCCCGGGTTGCATTATCGATTGCACTTGAAAAATTAATTCAGATTCAACCGGGTAGCAACTTGTTTGGATAAAGGACCTAATGTGATCGGCGTCAAGAGCTAATGATACGTAAGTGCAAGAAAGCGAGGAGAGCATGAGCAGACCATGCCTCAATCCCAATGTCTATTCCATTAGATAAACAGAGTGCGGTATATTATCAAGTCAACAGACCCAAGCTAATAAGGCAAGACTGAGAATGGAGGTGCGGCCAAAGAGTATGCCAGCGGCAGTCCAGGCAGATGCGTTGACCACCACTAACGATCCCAAAAGTAGAATTGAACGACCGAACAAGGTGAGTTGCATACCCAACCCAGATAAGCGATTGATGCCATCGTCGTCACAGTCACGTCACGTTGTGAAAGGAACTTTTCAAAACGCCATGACGGATGTAGCTCTCGAGGCCAACGTAGGCCCAGATGACCCTGCTTCTTCTCTCCGTGCGGCAGCCCTCTTGACCTTGAAGCGTCGCAAGCCAACCGACGGCCCTCTCCAACGACCTACTATCGACGACTCGTCTGTTCAGCTTGACTACGGGCAAGACGACATCAAGCCAAACCCCTCCAACGACCTCGAAATGCCTTCAGAAGGTCCGCGCGAGGAAGGCGAAATAAGCGACTCAGAAGACCCAAGCCTCAAAGTATCCAAGGCAATGCTTGTCGCCATTAAATCCGAGACCCCATTGCCAGACAGAGAAATACCTTCTCTCCCTCCCGGCGAGATTTTCCTCGACCCAGATCATGTTCGACCTGGTCTTTCTAGTCAGTGACTCGCAGTCAGTGACTCATTTCCTGACCTCACCCTCTCAGTGAACCAGGAACAATACGATACGGCTAAAGACATCGTCCTTGACCTTCTCGGCTGGGGTGTGCCTCCCGACTATCTTGTTGACTGCAATCTCAGTCGGGAAATCATCTACTACGTGTTCAGCGAATTGAACCTCCGCCTTCCCCAAAATCTTGATGTCACCGGTCTTGTCCAATACACTCCTGCCGTCGTGGCGAAATATTCTCGTCCGCTATCATCAACACAAGACAAAGCTTCTCCACTCCATCCAAGCCTACCAGCGAAACCTCTTGGAGGTCCAACCGGCTCGCCTCCCTCGACCCTGCACGATATAGAGCGACAGAGACGTCAGGAACTACTCGCTCGTAAAGCCGTTCAGGCTTCCCGCAAGATCAAGTCTTTGTCCGATTCGTCATCAACCGAATCATCCCATGTTCTAGTTGACCCGCTGGAGCAGGATGTTGAAATGTCACCTGCCGTTGCAACAGAAGCGGTCGACGATTTTCTTAAGACAATTGGAGAGAAAAACCCCGAGGTCGACATTAATGCACAACCAGTCGAGACCATGGATGTTGACGAAATTACTGTGACGACTGGTGCAAGCAGCCTTGCCGACGCAACGACTCCAAGTTTTCCACTGGCTGCTGAACAAATCGAGTCACCTCAGTCTACTTCTCAACTTGACCCGATTCAGTCCCCCGCCGAGCTTGACCAGACATTAGACGAACCCGTCCCGCAACAGCGTTCCTCACAACGTCGAGTTGGAAAACGACCAACTGCAGCCGATTTCGTCGACTTCGAATCAGGATCCCGGAATGGCACCATTCCAGCTTTGAAACGCAAGACGGCAAGTTTTGCGAGTGTGAGCAGCCACAGGAAGCTTGTCATCGATTTGAGCGACAGTGAGGGCGGAGACGATTCAATTCAAGACGTATTTGACGGAGAGGCTTCCGCTGGGTATATTTCACCCGCTCCAGCCCGAATGGGCGGCGCTACTCCGCCGGTTGTGCCAACGAGCTTGGTGGAAAAGGAGGAAGAAATAAGACGAATGAGGGAGCTTATTGCACAAAGGGAGCGAAGCCGTTTACAAAGAGCAGTTGGTTTCTTCTTCGGCATCGTTCGCTCTGACACAATTCATAGATGTCGCGGCCAATACCGGTAGACCCGGGCCGAGAGGTTGGCTTCATCAATACCTCCGACGCAAAGGGTATCCCCGCTCTCGATCTCATCAGCTTGAGCATGAATCATGAATTAGACTCCGAGACTCGATCTGCGACTGCAACACCCCCCCATATCGGTTCCGTTCAAATCTGCTTTGTCAGCGGACTATCTAACTGACATGTCGTATCCTAGAATCTGAGGGTTCAGTGACGACTAATGTTGTTCAAGGCACGTCTTCTCCAGGCCTACAGATGCTCCGAAACTCATTACCACGTTTGACATTTCATTCTGGCTTCTTCCCACTCGTGTTTCTTCATCTGGCTTCTCTCGCTTCCTCTTCTCTCGTCTCTAAATGGGAACCTTCCAGATTCGACGCATCCCGAGAATGACCCATTGGCAAGGATCCCAATATCACTTTGTCCCAATATGTTAACCTAACTTCCTTTTGCGTCAGGTTGCTGCCGTTGGTCTAGTCGACGTCGAATCGACCTCGGCAGAGGCGGAGGAGGTGCGTCCGGCGAGTTCGTTTTTATTTATTCTACCTGGTGGGTAGATATAGACGGATTGACTTTTTGCCTCAGGCTCAACAGCCGACCCTCCCAAAACGCGACGCAAGTCAGCCAGGAAGAAGCAAATTTAACCACTTTGTCCCATACGATTCTATGCTGTCGTCTTATCCTTTTCTCTTGGCATCTGCATCTTGCTCCAGCAATCCATCATCGCTATCGTTGTCTGCTTCCAATTCATTGTCTATATCCTCGCTATCTTCTACCACGGCTCCGTTGCCACTATCCTCTAAACTAGCTACCTCTAGGACTCTAATACTGGACCCGACCAAGACGATTTGCAAGTACGAAGTACCGGGTGGTGGTATATGTCGTGATAGTGGATGCAACGACCTTCATTTGGGGCAACCGGAGACCGTGGAGCTAACCGGTAAATGCGACACTCCTCATCTAATTCCGTGCTGATTGGTACGCCCTTCAGATGCCGAAGCCATGCAAAATGTTGTTCAGACATGAGTGGACGAAGGCTTAGACTTGGAGGAGGGAGTGGGGGAAAGCAGTGAATGTACTTTGTTCCTAGTAGCAGTGATTTTGAGCACATGGTCATTTTGGAGAATTCGGCCTCGAGGCGGCGCGTGTGTAACGCGGGGATGAGTGTCTTGTGCTCCGAATCAGGAACTTGACTTGCCTGATGGAGTGCCGAGTCAACATCAGTGTGACGTGCTGTGACGGACGTGACGGGCTCTCTTTTAGTAGCGACCTTAAGGAGACGAACTCCCTTTTTGGACGACTTCCGCCGCGTGAGGACAACAACAGCTTGGGGTCAGACGCGCGACATACCACCAACAAACAACTCCATCTGGTACGTTCAAATCACCTACTTCCCTCCATGAACCTCATACCCTTGCCAAAGCAATGCGCAAGCGACAGCGGACTGCGCTCGATGACCTTCCGCCAGAGCCGACCGAGGACGGCAACAACTTTATTACTGACGATGTCGAATCTGGAGACGATGACGACGACGACAAGCCAAAGGGTGGTCAGAAGCAAGGTCGTCGCAAAATAAAGATCGAGTTTATCCAAGACAAGTCGCGTCGACATATCACCTTCTCTAAGCGTAAAGCTGGTGCGTCTTTTAACGCGTCCTATGTTCCATCTCTCACACTACCGGTCAGGTATCATGAAAAAGGTTTCTTCGATCTTGAATTGTTTTTGCATCCTGAATACTCGGCCTAGGCTTACGAACTTTCTACGCTTACCGGCACACAAGTGCTCCTGCTCGTCGTTTCCGAGACGGGATTGGTGTATACGTTCACCACGGCTAAGCTTCAGCCACTTGTGACGCAACCAGAAGGAAAGAATCTGATCCAAGCATGTCTTAACGCCCCCCACGGAACTCTACCATCGTCGATGCCTGTCGGCCAAAATATCGGCCGCTCTTCTGGCCCGATGGGAGGTCCAGGAGGTCCCCCGGTATCTAGCAATATGCCCGGAGGCCTCTCTATTAGCGGCGGCACAGCAAACTCTAACTCCAAGGACGATGAAGAAACGAATGACGAGGAAGATAGTCGTGCTTCAGTCGGTGCCCCTGCGTCCAACACCCGTAGTGCGACATCACCACACGCCAATGCCCCACCACCGTTGTCAATTCCGAGCGGATCACCAACGTCTCCACAGCAATCTCATCCTTCCGCGACGAGTCCAGCGCAGTATTCTGCCGGCGCCCAATACCACCATCCTTCCCATCAGCAGCACGACGGCTCAATGTCATACCCTTCTTACTCGCCAACCTCATACCAATATCCCCAAGGCAGCACATCGTCTCCACAAGGGTCTGGCCAACAACTGGGTGGTCTGGCAGCTGCTGCTGCCCAACACGGGCATTGGCCGCCGCCGCCTCAGGGCCAAGTCCAGGGAGGTAGCTATGGCGCCAGGCGATGAACTTGTACGTTGTTCTTTGCTCAGCTGTCCTTTGACAGAACCTTGGCAATAGACGTATACGATGACAACGACTGGCCAACACGACTCATAACATGCCTGTCTTTCTGTTTGCTCCCCTCCTACCTACTTTGCTTGTAACCGTATAAGTTCGTCTCTCCTCTGCTACTCTCGATCCAGTGTCTTTCTTTCATGGGGAGCTGGCTAGTACAACGATCTCTGCTGCACTGTAATCAACAAGTATTTTATGCGCGCAATTGTGTTTTTTAGGGTGCCACGTTCTTTCAGTGCTGTTACGGAACAATAGAGAGAGAACAAGGGCAGTGCAGACTTCTGAGGAGTCATCAACGCCATGAGGCCCGAAATGGTATCATATGAAACCTATTAAAGGCCTTTCCATCATTCATGAACTTCCCATCCCGTGAACACATGAGCACTAGGCTAAAAACCAACACTGACTGACAATCGGCACTCCGCAATTCACCGGCGGCAATTCCTCATATGTGGTTCTGCTGGGTGCCTTGCCGTCCATATCGGAAGTCTCCTTCCTTCTGTGGCGCGCGATCGTGGAGGTTCTTTTTCTTTTTTAATATAAATCTCTATGCAAAATAATACACAAAATGAGTCCGTAAAGCGTTACATGGTCGTTAACATTGAGATACAACACCAATAATGTGGAAATAATAAGGATAAAAAAAACACATCGACAAAACGACGGATTTCCTCTTTTGCTGCCGAGGAAGCCAAAGGAGTGCGATGTTTGCCTCCGTCGACCGTTTTGGGAAACACGACGATCAGGCTTTCCACGCCGCAAAGACACGGAAGGAACGGCTTAATCTGCCATCGGGAGGTACTGCACTCGATGAAGTCGTGCTTGACCGGCGAGAGGGAGCAGACGTGGCAGTGGTAGGTGGGTCAGGCCAAGAGCTTCGCCCTCGCGCCATCATGCTTTCAATGGTGGCATCAGTTGAGTTTCGAGACTGGTGGCTGAACGGTCGCCTCAGTTTACGCCGTTGCTGCTCCTGCCACTGGTCCCACCTCTCGCACGCCGCATTAAAGGCTTTGCGCTCTGGGGAGGGAGCCAAAGGCACGCAGGACCATGAAAAATGGTCCCTTAATGTTGACCCGATAGCCATATGGTCTTGCATATCCCTCAAGTTTAGATTAGTGGACAGATGGTGATGAAATGAAAGATCAACGTACAGGTCAAATCTCACCAGAAGCGCGTCAAAGTCCTCCCTGCTTAGTTCGAGCAGAGCCTTCTTGAAGGCGTCCACCTCTGGATCGGGTGGAAGAACGGGTATTCGAGACGATCGCGGTGTCATCTCACTGGCAAGCGAACCAGCCCGTTGGCGACCCCCCACCCGTGTGGTGGCAGTCTTCTGGTAAGACTGAACCCATTCCCACATTGACTCAGCGCACGCAACGACCTCAGCTGTCCTGAGCGCCAGATGCATATTGAGACTGCGCATGTCTATGTTTAAAGTTTGGTTGGGCAGTCGATTCCGGCTCCCACCTGTTGGGGCACGATTGGCCAAACTGGAAGGGATGCCTCCCACACTAGAACTTTCCGGAACGTCAACAGCCGGGAGTCCAGATAGTGGCCTCAGAGGAGACAGGGCGGGAAACGACGAACGCGCAGAGGGCGAGAACGCATTTGGTCGCGACTCGTCCAGCGAAATGTATCGGGATTCCCGCTTTATCAAGTCGCTAGTATGTAGCCATCGATGCTCGTCAGAAATGGGGGTCCCATCACTGAATGTGGTCATACTACGAGGGCTATTTGGGGGGGCCGCAGTAGATAACACGGATTGCCGCCTATTTGGTCGCGGAATGATCGCGTCACGTGCCCCATCTGAGTCCGTGTCATCGTCGCTGCTTGTAGGATCCTCTTCGGGATGTTGTGTTGCCGGTGGAGGGAACATCATATTGAGGGGTGGGTGGGTGCGGACATCTATTGCGATCGAATTAGCGATCAAGTTTGTGGAGCAGAAACAACTGTGTTAACCTTTGAAATAAAGACCGACCAAGTTGGCGAGCAACGAGAGCGGAGAAAGGTTGATAAACCTGGCCGCATTCATCTCGTTATAAATCTTCTCCAACAAGGAGTGATCCCTTGGGTTCAGAGGCGCTTTGGGTAAAGTGCGCAATAAAAACGGAGAGATCGCCGGCTTCGCTGTACCCCCAGCGGAGATGTTAGTTTGCGGCGCCAATATCGAAGGATGCTGGTTTGTTGACGAAACAAGGGTCGAAGTAGAATAACCTCGTGATTTTCTCTTCGGGTCAGGAGAAGCGGGTGCTGCGTGTAGCGATGCTGTCGAGGAACTTGTCGTTGGTCTAGAACTGCTAGGAGCGGAGGGTATCCGAGGTTGATATGACGAGTGACGATATGAGGTTGGATGAGCAGGAGAAGACACCAGAGTCGGCTTTGTGGACGGCGGACTCGACTCTTCTTCTATTACCTCTGCCTGGATGCTAGCGATAGGGAGTGGAGATGCGGTTCGCGGCGGAGTTGGCGGCATCGCTCCAAGACTGGTGTTGGGAGTCTCGTTAGATTTACGCGAGCCACCGGAGGTAGTTAAAATCGAGTCGTTATCCTCTTCTGCGTCTGATGTCGACGAGTTCCTTCGGGCGTAACGAATCTCAGAGAGAGTCTCCTCTTCTGAGTCTGTGTCATCGTCTGCAGGCTTGCCCGGAAAGAAAAGATCCTCTTCGATTAACTAACCCGAGGTGTCAGTCATCATACTTACCTCAGATCAGTGATACGCACCTCGAATGCGCCGCCCGGCTTCAAAATCCGTGCAATCTCCTCGAACAATCCATCCCACTAAATTCAGGCATTCAGTGTCAATGTCTGCAAGGGTAGACGCCAGTGGTTACCTTGTCCTCGGGAACGCCCAGCGCTATTCGTTTGATGTGCCTGGGCCAGTTCTTTGTTGACGGAAATCAATCAAGAATGCGGGGAAAAACTCACACGAAGTCAAACTCTTCATTGGGGAACGGAAGACCTTCCAAACTATAAACATCATCAATCAATCGCAGACGTCTGATAACGATGAGCGCACAAATTAGCTTGGACCCATGTTATCCGGGAAGCCAGCTCAGAGGCGCCGAGATTAGGGTGTAGCGGAACGACGTCGAGACCTGTGAGTGGTATGAATTCACGTGGAATAATCGCCTGCGATGTTGCGGCCCATATAACCCATACCAACGAATTGACATTGCTATACGAGAGAGTGAGCTTCTTTGGACAATCGAGTGAATGCACTGTACCCTCCAAGCTTTCCCGCAATTTAGAATCCACGTGCCAGTGCCTTTGCACCCGTTAGTCAAGACCACCGGTACCGCTCTCAATAACCGCCGGACATACCACAACCAATGTCGAGACTGTAAATGAAATGAGTATCAGCAAGGGACTTGGGTTTAGCGACGCACACTCGTGTGGGTGGCGTCTCAAAGACATGCCAGGTAACACTCTCGCATATTGTCTGACACAGCATCGTTTCCCATATGTCTCTGGAAAACAGCAAGGTCAACAAGTCGTTTCCGTTTCGGAAGGACAGACAACGTACAAATCGAGGACCTCGCGGGCATAACTTCGCGGATAAGGAACTTCGTCGCGGTTATACGCGTGGTGTTTTGCGCCAGTCACAATAGCTCGGCCACTTTCCGCCGGGCCGCCTTTGATTATGAATTGCGCGGCTCGGGCATTAATATTGCGCTTGAGCTCTTTGAGAATCGTCCGATCAGCAGTTGAAAATTTTGGATCGGATGACGACGCTTGGTCTGGGGACTGTGGTGATGGCTGGGAGACCGCGGGAGGAGGCAATTCGAGAGTGGAGAGGGTAGGAACTGTCCCGCTAGCTGACTTTGGCAATAAAGGTCGCACGGTCGATGCCGATGGAGTTTTGTGCAGGACTTTGGGAGATGATGTCGGTGATTTAGTGGGATTGGAGGGTGTAATTCGAGGTGAAGAAGCCCCGTTCACATGAGGGAAGGCTTTAGCGCCAGTACTCTTGCGTCGACGGAGAAGAGCCATGTCATGGATTGACGAGGAGATAGACGAACGCGTCTGTCAAGCCATTAAGTATTGAGAACATGATAGAAATGAGATGTGCTTGCATGACGAGGATGGTTAGTGGAGGGGTGAATGCCATTGACGACAGGTTTAGTGGGGGGTGGATCGTGCTCTGTCTCCCAGGGCAACACATCTTCTACTTTTCCCGTTGCTGTGTACTCCCATGGCAGTATATCTGCCCTCTTGCCGCCACTCGTTATTGTTTCCATCGGTTTTGCAGAAGTTGAGGGAAAGGCTTCCCATGGCGCGTCCTAGTCGTAGATAAGGCTCATAAATAGAAGAATCTTGGGTCTACACACCTGGTCGCGTGAGGGAGTCCCAGTTGCGGTTGACGGTCGTAACTTGGCTTTGGGTTTGGTCTCCCGGGCGGGATTTCGGGGCGGTCGAGGAGGTACTGTCACGGTGGATAGATTATGGTCCGAATGCCGCTTTTGGATCGTTCGAGGGGAAGGGAGAAAGGAGCCACCATCTGTTGACGCGCTGACCGGGCTTGGACTTGTGCTTGAAGGGAAAGCCCCAGAAGAAGTTGACGGGCGTCGAGCAGACGGCATGCTTGGAGATGTTGTTTGCAAGTCAAGGAAGGGCTATATGCTCTCTTTCGCCATCGTTGGGAGGAGGAACGAGTCGTGAAACCAGGCACAGTCGAGGCTGATCAAAACTTTGTGACTTATATCTCCATCCAACAAAACATTTCAATTTTTTTTTGTTCACGATCCTTCTCCCTGTAAACCGTATACCAAGCTGATAGCAACTGACGCTGCTACTTTACGTTTCTCTCCTTCGTCTTCCATGTTAGCAATCTCCGCCTTCATACCCTCCAAGGCCGACATTACCCTTGTCAAGTCAAAGGCAGCAAAGCCGTCGTTGGAATCGCTAGAAACCGCCTCTTCACGCATGGGCCCCCCAAATATCCGCGTGCTCATAGCGTCGATCTCAGCTTCAGTTGGCATGTCATCGTCTTCTTTGTCTCCCTCTTCGATTTCTCGAAGATCCAGTCCTGACCCAAGTGAAAGGTAGAGAGGACTGGAGCCGGGAAGACCCAGTCGAGCAGGCGATTCTTCAAAGTCAGAATCGGAATCGACGTCTTGATCTTTGTCCTTGTCTTGTTCCACTGGTGGCGCAGAAATGAACACTGTGAAATCGTCATCGAACCCAAACTCTTTTGCGCCTTCCGGAAATTCAGTTGATCCCAAGGCTGTTGGTGATACAGACATGGAATCTGCCGCAGTGCGCCATGGGTCGTCGCGAGCATTACTGTCGTTATTGGTGTCTTCTTCAAGCCAACGAGTGAGCTCCGCTATCTCCTCTTGTCGACTTCGGCTAGCCCCAAGGTCAGGCATCTCATCTTGAGTGGTATCCGCCCAATCAAAGTCTTGGTGAAGTCGAGTTGTTGAAACTCGGGACCGTGTCTGCATCGACGGCCACATAATCGTGCTGAGTGCATCATACACACGAGGAAGGCCCGGTATGCCTGATCAACAACATTTCATCAGGTAAATTTATTCCAAGTTATTCACACCTTCGGCAAAGGGGGAGTGAGGGGATTCTTCATTGGAGCCATCGATGAACTCGAAGCCATTGGATGACAGAAACTCGTCAATGTCTGCGTCGTCTTGTTGCTCATCCTCGGCATCGACTGGGATGTCGCTTGACGGAGCGACACGAACGGCAAGCGAAACCTCTGGCTCGTAGCCAGCCATGTCGCCAGCGAATCGTTGGATATGATGCTGGTACGCCTGAGTGCGACAACCTTGGCTCTAGCGAAGAACACGCGAATAACGCCTCACCTCCCCTTTAGGCCAAACAAATATCACAGCAGGTACATTTCGCACATGATGCGGCGCCAATCCGCTAACAGTGTGGGCTTGAAAGTGAACGTCGGCCGAGTAATACCTGTTGGATATCGTCCACCGGATTCGACAGCTCTCTCCTAAACCAGACCGAACTATCTCAGCATCCGATGGTGTTGCTTTAATTCCTGGCCCGATGTCAACAGCCGTTGGAATAAGAAAGAAGTAATTGGTTGCGGACGGTCAACAAGGTCGATTGCACAGCGAAGAGTAGATGATACAGTGAGAATACGACATGTAGAGCTTTCAAGGTCGTGGTTGCTTGAAGAGGACATTCAAATCATCTGATTTTGATGCCGTATTCCTTCCACTCAATGCTTGACACTCCCTGTCGACGACTGAGTCGACTCCCGAGCACAAGTCATAGCGTATACCCCTTGTCTTGATGACTGTGAACCGGCAGCCGCATATCAAGTCACCCAAGGCCTACATAAAGGAGGATGTTTGGGGACCCTCAACCCATGGCACTTTCTGCCCGCTTGTATCGAGACCTTGCTGAGCTCCATGAATCGACATATCCCGGCGTAGACGTCTTCTTCGATGACGCCAACATCCACAAATTCTGTCTCGTTCTTACGCCTCCCAGTGGCCCATGGAAGAACATGTCTTTCCATTTCAGCGTCGAGCTATTAGCGGACTGGGTGCGCCATTTTGCCGTATCTGTTGGCGCAAACTGATGGTTGTTGTAGCCTGCCAGTCCGCCCCAGGTTTCATGCAGTGTCTCTGGGATTAACCATCCGAATCTTTTCGATAGTTATATCTGCTGCGACCTCCTCAAGCGGGAGTGGGAAATTAACCGCCATGACGGATATACGGGAGGGTACAGCCCAGCGTTGACGCTGCGCGGCCTATTCCTCCAATTTTTAACCTTCTTCAGCTCGACCACCGTATGTGTTTACATCATCCGCTTGGAGCATCACTGAAATTAGACTATGAAAGGTCGAGCAAGACTATGGCGGTCCCCCAAGGTACATCGGCAATTATTCGTGCGTCTGGTTCGCGCGAGAATCTCATCTTCGAGGCGGTCAACTTCCTGTTCGCGGCAACACTCATGTTCCTGGTAGCCTCTTCTCAGCCGCGACGCAAGGTCCGCTGAAGGAGGAGTGGGAAAAGGACAAGCGCCCTATAATAATCCTTCAAAGTGAGCTGACAGAGGTCGGCCCACTCTCCCAAACCACCAAGTCTCCCCGCGCCGGCAAAGACAGGTTAATACGTTTTGAAGAGAAAGATCCAAACTGGACGCGAACTCTCAAACGGATCAGCCAGTGGACTTGCCCATGCTGCCCATATGGTTCCTCTGCGTTTCCCCATTCTGTGCCAATCGCTTCCTCTCCGGCCAATTCTCCAAAACCTGCACGTTCACCGCTTATGGTACCACCCTCTGTCTGCCAACTCGACAAAGTTGACGACGATGCGCTGTACACGATCGCCTGCAGTCTCCCATCTGAAACAGTGATTAACTTCTCTGTTGCTTATCCTCGCCTGGACGCAATCGTTCGGTCAACGCATATACTTCTCCAACGAGAGCTTCGTTGTTTCTTCCTCCGCACCCCACTGATCGACTCGGTTCTTGGTATCGGCATCTCACTTGACCCACGCTCTCGGGCCCTTGCTTCGGACTTCGACTGGCTCAGCCGTCGTGCATTTTCCGAGTTCGGCGTTCGGTTAAGCGTCGAGAAACGTGCTTTCGATTTCTTTCTCCCCCTCGCCTTTTCGCCTCAACATTTCCAGCGTGTGTATCCGCACATCTGGTCCAGTTTGGAACATATCGACAAAGAAGTGAGAAAGGCCGAACAGAAAATGAGCAAAAACCCGCGACACCGTGCCGGTGGGCTTCCACGTCGGCAGGATACGATTTCCGCCGTCTATCGGCTGATGAACAATATTGTCGTCTCTCTCATGCGCAATTGCGACGACGCCTTGGACACCAAAAAGGCAGGCAAGTCGCTTCTCCATGCGTCAGAAAAGGCGGTCATCGCATACTGTCATCTCTTCCATCTGCTCATCAGCCTTTCTCGCACGGACCCAGTGATTCTGCGTGACGCTACAGAACGGCTGCGAGGGTTCATTCAGCGGAAGGACCTCAGAGTGAAGACCCGCTTCCCCGATCTCGGCGAACTCATCATCCTCATTATGCTCGTCATCTGCTGTCCACCCCAAAACTCGAATGCCCCAATCAAATGGGCTGACCTGGCAGGACCCTTCCTTGAAGAGGCAATCACAAGGAATGTGCGGTGGATTCTGAAGGACGCGCCGGAGCTGGAGGTTCTGGAAGAAGGCGCCAGTGACTATCGGCTTAAGGAAACCTTCACCCGTTCAAAGACCAGTCTAAGGCTGATCATGTTCCAAATCACCTTCCTCGACTTGTTTTTCCGTGCTTATGCTTCCAATCTGCGGCGTCTGGACGATAACTACGGGTTCCCTGACAAGAAACTGCCAGAGACGATGGTCGAGGAAATCAAGGCAATCTACGCAATCGATACCTGGCCGGCATTCTTCACCAGGGTAAAATTTGCCAAGGGTATTGCGTTTGGACGCGCTCGCTTCTCAGAGATGTTACGGGATGCGGTGGTTTTGAGTGGCGAAAGGCGATACCATACGCCAGCTCCCCACTTCCAGATGATTCAGCTTCGGAAACGAAGACAGTTGGTGGAGGAAGCTAACAAATCAAAAAGTATTATGTAATACCCAAAAATAATAATATACAATTGCAAAAAATGTTGTTCAAAGCAGATGCAAGTAAATGGACGTTTAATCAACCTCGGGGTCGTCTAGTGGAGGAAGCCCAGCAGCGGCTCGCCCCGCAGGAGTCTCGTCGCGCACTCCGCTTTCACTAATTTTGTGATCAACTCCAATCAAGTAGAAGAGGGAGAGACGAACCTGAACGGAATGATACCTGACATATCTAACCGTTGAAGAATGTCTTCCGCTTCTTCAACCTCCATTGCACCAAGGACCTTGTTGACTTCGCTCAATTGCTCCGTCTGAAGTGCCTTTTGCAAGTTCTCGGGGAGCCCCTCAAATATATCCCATCGAAACTGTAACGCTTTGCGGACTTCTTCGATGTCCATATCCTCCATACCCTCACCAAGAACGAGCTCCTTCGGAGGTGGTCCAGTAGGTACGTTAAACGAAATGTCATTCTCGTTGTCAGTCGCAAGCATGATGGTCTCGCGCCCACCAGCTTTGGCTTCTTCCTGGTTGATCTTGACGCGATTGGTCAGATGGGCGTATGTCTTCTCGACGTCGTCGAGGAAGACCATTTCCGCACGCTTATCGCCGGCGATCATCCTAGAAAATCCGCATTCAGTTGGAATATTAGTCAGATCCCCGTAACCCACTTCTTGAAGAAGACTGCCAGACCATCAACACCGATTTTGTCACCGTATTGCAGAAGCAAGCTTTGGTGGACACATTGTTTCGCATATTTGGGCTTGCCGTCATACTGCGCCTTGAACGCTGCGCCGAGAAGAGCATCCGACGCCCCAGGTACGACCACATCTCGGTGTTGCTGGATGAAACGGAATGATTGCTCGAAACCCTTGATCGGAATTCGAGAAAATGCCTCGAGAGAGGGAGTCAGGTTTGCAATATCATCCTCTTCCGCCTCCTCATCTTGTTGTTCCTCCGCGACTTTCTCTGCTGGCGCGTTGATCACCTCAAACTCTGTCGTCTTTTTTGTTGTCTTTTTCGCTGGGGGATCGAGTTTGGCTGCAATGGGAAGTGGTTCTGGCGCTGGTTTCGCAGGGACATACTGAGAGTGTGGTCTAAATATTTGACTAGATTTCAACGGTGACACACACACCTTGTTCGAAAAGCCGTCATGGAGGTCGTCGCTGGTGATATGCTTCTTCTGCTCTTTTATCTCCGCTGCCACCGTCTTTTCGTCTTCGTCGATTGTCTGTTTGAGCTGTACAGCATGTTCTGCAATGCCCTCTGTTAATAACTTGCCCAACCGGTCCTCTCGTTCATCCGCAGAGACATTTGCTTCTTTCACAGCCGTCTTAGCTGCGCCGGAGACTTGGTGTAATAAGGAGAGCAACATGCCGTCGTAGGTCTGCTCAAGCTTTGTCGGATCGTTTCCGGGCGGAGAGTCCTTCGACGGGTTCCTCTCCAGCTGCTCAACAAGCGAACTGAAGTAGACAGTCCGTGGTTTATCAAGCGTGCCCGACTTGAGAGTCGCCGCAACCTCTTGCACTCTCGGAAGAAGGATGTTGTTGCAGGCGATTTGGGCTTGGAGCTGCGCGATTTTGTACTTGCGCGCCTCCCGCTTCTCGTGAATATCGCGTTGTTTCCATCTAACAAGACATTTCAATATCGGATGAGAGATCGGTTACTTTGAGAGAGTCTACCGAATGAGCGACTTAGTGTCGACGTTTGGGTGCTCCTCGATGTCTGAGTCGTCCGAAAGCTGGAAATCTTGAGCTCAATGCGACGATCAACAAAGGACAGTGGGGTCAACCTCGAGCTGGTCCCATTTGCTGTAGTTGAGAGGCATGGTGGAGCAGTAGAAAGAGATGTAGGAACCTTCTGGAACACGCTCGTAATAGCTGTGGGGAGCGCGTCTAGGCTGATCAGCGATGTTTGGTCCGGCGGCGGCAGCCAAACAACGCGTCTTAACTTTTGATGTCAACTTGGACTGACCACCTCAAACGCGCCAGGGCGCTGGTAAAGGCCTCCAAGCATCCAAAAGCGCTCAGGGAGCTTGAAAAGGTCAGCATGACGCGCAATTGGCTTTGCTGAACTGTGTTTCAGGCCTTGGCCGCTGGTGGGGATCGCGAAACGAGTGTTTACGAATGTCGTTCAGGAATCTACGAAGGACAGAACAAATACAAGAGTGCCCTCATAGATGCCAAAGCTATCATCCAACTCGCTCCAGCACGGTGGCAAGGATATGCACGCGCTGCTCGACTCTTCCTTCAGGTCCGCAAACTCGAAGAGGCGACGCGGATGGCCGACATGGCTCTCACACGCTTGGACGGGAAGGATGCCGCTGCCCAAAGGGAAGCTCTGGCGCAAATAAAATCAGAAGCAGAGCGCTACCGTCGCCAAACCATGAACCATTTCGTCAATCTCCCCGTTGAACTTATGGCCATCATTTTCGAGCTAGTGACGCTGGACTGGCCACATCAACAGGGCTTCATTCTGGGGGGCGTCTGCAGACACTGGCGCAACGTTGCACTCGGGACACCGCGGCTTTGGTCAACAATCATGGTAAACAAGACGAAGGATGTTCGGAGAGCTCAACGTGGCCTGGAACGAGCAAAGGGAATAGTCGATCGCCTTGTATTGGGTCCATTTGACCAACGAACCACCTCTTTAAAGCTCGAAAGCGTACGTTGGGACCGTCTTCGCGTGTGCTCACTCGAAAGCAACGACATCACACCGTTCATCGGAGGAAAGTCTCGCCTCGGTCGGCTTTCTAACCTGGAACAGCTGGACATCAGTCATACCGAAAAAAGCTGTGACCACATACTCGTAGTTCCAGTCTCAAGACTGAAACTCGACTCCGCGTCGTTCACGTGGAGCGTGTTATGTGCCCAACAGAACTACTTGACATCTCTGGAAGTCGAGTCCCCTACATTTATCCCAACGGTCGAAGAAATCTGGCTTCTGCTCGAGACAAATCCTCTCCTCGAAACTTTCGCGGTCGCCCTGAATCGTGTGCACCATCAAACAATACCTGAATTGCCCCCACTTGTGATGTCAAACCTACACACTCTACGGTTAGATCGTACACCATGGCTGGGTTACTTTCTCTACTCGGTGACAATGCCGTCCCTCCAAAGTCTGCAGTTCTGCAACACGCAGCTGATGGAGCTCGGCCTTCTTGCACAGAAACAACCCCGGCTGCAGCATTTATGCATCAACAACATATTCTTCCCTGGTAGAGAGCTTGTCCAGCTGCTTCACAGCTGTCCGGCGCTCCACACTCTCGAGCTCCAATGCCTATCGGAGATGGACCCCGTCATCAATGCCCTCGCGAACCCCAGGCTGTCCCTGTGCCCAGCCCTCACTACCTTGGATGTCTCGAACGGTGGAGTAAAAACCGTGCCTCTCCTCCGATTATTGGAAGCTCGGAATGGAGAAGCAAATGCCGACGTTGCTAGGATTCGACACCTTAAGGCGGACCGTTGTCTGTTTATCGAAGCTAAAGCAGTTCCGTGGATCAGAACACAAGTCGAGACGTTCAGTTGTGTGTACTTGGACAGGAAAGCGGCAAGTTGGAAACGATAAAATATCAAGTAATGTTACATTCGCTTATATTCAAACTACGTACTTCACTCGTGCGCCTTCACATGGGAGTGGCCGATGCTCAGGTCAGCAAGCGCAGCGATCTTGCCCACGGTTGTGTGAAGCCCAGTGCCTTCCTTGACGGCTTCCCAGTGCGCCTTCCGGAGCCAATCAGCATGCATAAGATTATGAGCGAATTTCACAGGGACGCACCTCGACAGTGTCCCATCCAACGACGAGCAAGAACTTGCTCTTATCCTCGCGGCTCTGGCCAAACACGCAAGGCGGGTGGGCTCCGGTTGCAACATTGAGCCCACTCTCCAGTTCGGTGAGAAGGGGAACCAGCTTGTCCGCATCGGCCTCGCCGTTCTTGAGTGTGAACAACACAAACTCGACTGCCGGAGAAGACAGCGCGGTGAGGGGGTCCTTCGAGACATCGATGTGGTTGCGGCTGAATTGGGCCGAATCGGTCGTCGCGGAACGGAGGCCTTCGATCACGGTTTTATAGCTAGGGTCGGCAATAAGCTTCGCGTGGTCCTCATAGCTCTTCCACACTGAAATTTGTGTGTCAGTTGTACGTGAAGATAGGAAGAATATCCGGGCACACCGGAGACGAAGTATGCAGTTTCCTTGTTCTCAACTTGAGGTCCATAGAAAGACCTACGGATCGTTAAGCTCGCCTTCAACGCAAGATCGGGATATGTGCTTGCTTTACGTGTCCTTCGGCAGTGCTGATAACATCCAAGGGAGCTATTATCCTCAATAAACTTGGAGTCTGCGATGAAAATGGGCGCTTTAAATACCTTTGAATGTGTCCGGGGAAGAGAGAAGTTCAGCGGAGATTGGGAAGGTCGCGATCTACATGCACAGAGAGTCTTAACACCGACTACTGGTGGCTAGTAACCGACCTGAATACTTGGCATGGTTGTGGGCTGAGAGAAGGCGGAGAGTGAATGATCATCAGCAACCTAATCAATTCCACACTCAGTTCCAGAAACGAGGGTACAACAGAGTACAAGTACGTATTAAACAGATATTACTACTATTAGGATGTCATCGTACAAACAGCGTGCTATGAAGGACGAGGCAATGGGTCAAATAACACGTTCAAGAACAACCACCAAAAGCCCGACACACTGACCGCGAGCGCGATCCCTCCCACCCAAGCGGCCTTCATATTGGATATATCCGGCCCGAGAAGAAGCATAACGTTGTGGGCGCGTTTCCCCAACCCGATAACATCCGAGTTGCAATAACAGCGGTCATAGAAATTGGCAAACTGCAGCAAGAACGCCACAAGGATCCAGACGGCGTTGAGGGTGGCGAGGACTTTGGCGGAGCGACGGAGGAATATTGCGACGTCCCCTGCGATCCTTTGAGATAGAGTTTGGGCAGTCCCAGGTACAAATGGCGTGGCGTAGTGAACCAGAAAACTGCTGATGACGAGAAGGATCCACACAAGCGTCGCGGCACCAGCATAAACCAGGTAGGCAGCTGAGCGACAGCCCAGTCCAACAGTCGGAGTGTAGTAGACGATCAAAATTGAAGCCCCACTCGAACTCCATTGCAGTGTTAACCCTGCTATGGCCGCAATGAAGAATCGATTCAACACTCCCGAGCCCCAATGCGAGCGGCGGACATATGGAGGTTGCGCGCAGTATCGCTCAATTTGATCCGCTGTCCCTCGTCGATTTTCTGGATGCACTGTCCTCCCATCGCCTGGCTCCCATCGGTCACCTGACACAGATGTCCGGAGGTGGGCCTTTTTGGTAGCGGCCTCGAACGCCGAGGCGACCTCTTCCACGACGTGAATAAAAGGAAGGAACCTTGCATAGTTATATATGGGGGCCGTAGCTTCCTGGTCGGAATATAGCGTTTGATGGTGGCCATAGCTATTAATAGAGAGCGCCCGCTCTTCAGTCAAAGCGTCGACATTGCGCAGACCATTGGCTCCCGGAATCATTACGAAAGATTGTCTGTTGGCTTCGCGCAGCGCTTTTGAGACGCGTTCTGCATCACATCGAGGAGAGAGTTGGAGATATCCTGTCACCGGTATCAGCGGCGGTTGTCAAAAAGAGTCAAGGATCCACGAACCAATGGTCACGGGAATCATCCACAGCCAGATGCTGCCGACACCAGAAAGACCTTGGCCTGTGGGGATGAGAACTGATAAGAGGAGGCTCTGGGAGAAAAGGCACACCATTGCTGTTTGGATCGGTGCTGATGGTTGTGAATGCATCGACAACAGTCAGAGCATATGCCAGGATGACCCAAGCAATCGAAGTCACACCTAGGACAAAAATTAAGCAGAGTTAAGAGCTGAGATCTGGACACCCACTAGCTATTGACCAAGTATGCAAGTCCGCGTAGTTGAGGTTATCTTCGACCTTCTCCCACCACTGGTCATTCTCTTGTAGGACGACCAAAGAAGCGAGCAGAGAATATCCATCCTCACTGACTGTTGTCACTTTCAATGCCATTTGCTGCATTCCCGAAAGGATAATCGCAGCCCAAGTGTTATTTGGATATTTGGTGTTCTTGAAGCGGCGTATAACCCATTTCGTGTTGAGCACAGTCAGAGCAAGAGAATAGGCGGCCAAGCAGGGACTTCCGAGCGCGAGGAAAACCGACATAAGATTGTCCCATTTATATTTACATCCCTTACACCATCAAGTTCAGGGACAAGTGTGAAGAAACACAACTCACAAAGGGAAACTGGGACAGCAAAGCCAGCCACGGCAGGAGCCAAGCGGAGAATTGCTGCGAGAAAGACGACCACGAGAAAGCGCCGCCACCTGAGTCGATTATTTTTTGATATTGCCATACGCCTGGAAGGTATGCGTACCTCCTCCGCAAGACTCAAGACATCTCTGGTAAGTTATGGCGGTCGCCTTGGATGGGTCGGTAGTCGGGACCCCATTGTTGTCCGTAAATCCGTCAATCCTATTTCCGCTCCGCAAATCTGCAGTCACGTTCGCGAAGCATTGGGGGAAGTCGACTGATGCAGATATGGGCGCTGCTAAGATGATGAGAGAAAGAAACCACCCAGACTAGAAAACATCAGAGTGAGCGCGAGCGCGATGACGGAGACGCACATTGGGTCACCTTGCTTTAGTAAGGTCCCCCCCATGGTCACAACCTGGCACAACGATCATGATCCACTGATGGGGACCCAGCCAAACATGTACAAATCAACCCGAACGCCCTGGGTCAAAAAACCCAAAACCTTCGATGAAACCTCGGTGAAAGTCAAGTATCTCGTAATAGCAATTACACGATAAAGCTGTCAATCAGCCGTCGTCCTTTGACAGGCCACGCAAGTTCCCTTCTGTCAAGTACCGTAGACGAGAAAGTTTGACCCCTTGTTGACGATCCAAGAACAACGCCACTTTACCATCTCGACTGTGCTTAGGCAATATAATGCCGCTTTGTTGAACAATCCCCTCATCGCCATGTATATCTGGCCCAATAACCACCGCGTTGTTCGGGTTCCGGTCCTTTTTGGCTCGTTGCAGGTGCTGTATTTAGCATGACAGTGTCTGAACACAAAACCAATACCTGAGTAGGTTCAACTTAACTTAGCCGAATTATAAAATCCTACCGAGTGTGTTCTTCCTCCTTCCTGTCCCTGTTGGTTACAAGTCAATAAACAGTTTCTCACGCGCACTTTGGCTTACCATTTGTACTTCCAAAGCGCCGATTTTTTCCGAATCTCCTGTCAGACCAACTCTCCTTGTCACAACGCCTGTTTTATTGCAATATGCGCCCCCAGTTATCAACACTTCGTCACCTTGGCAAAAGTGTCTCCGTACTGCCGAAATCCTCACCGCTTCGCCGTCTCTTGTTGATTGTGTGCCGCACATGCACCAAACTTTCTCCACTCCCGTCCTCCACCCTTTCAACACAGAATAGTGCTTTATCCTTGATCTCAACACGCTCCCCTACCCCCGGTTGCCGATCGCAAGCGAAAACATGTCGTTGCACCCTGGCAATTGGAACGTCCAAGATGTCGCCGCTCTTTGTTGGTGTCATGAGGAGTCTAACCAAGTCGATCGCTTGACAGTCTATCCTTTCGCCAGCAACCGAAACTCTTATGCGAGCTTCCGTTTCGCTCTGACCTATGAGGTATCCGCTCCGCAATTCGCCATCGCATTGGGAGTGGAACACAACACGCGTTCCCGGGGAAAGCGCCATACCGGCGCAGTCCGTTCCAATGTCGTCGAGCAAGCCAGTGTCAAGTTTCTCCCATCTTCTTAGTACTTCAGGAGGTGGTTCATTCCAGACGTCCGTCACACAGTCCTCCAGAGCACAATACGCGCGGAACACTTGAATCTGCGTAAAGTTCCGTCGGAATCTTCCGCGATAAAGAATACATCGTCTTCGGCCAGAATCCATTGACGAGTAGCCAGAGGTCCTACGTTATAGTCCAATTGGAACCATCGACCGCGCCATGCATGAAGTTGACCTCCAATGCTGGGCTTTTCGTAGAAGCCTGCTCTTTGAACAGGACTAGTCGGTCCAGGCAATGACCTTGCTATTGTCAATGGCGCATTACATATGCCAACGATTCACGCACGTAGTTACTGAGACGATTTTTGTTAGCTTGGTTACCAGTACTTTTGCTACTCCCAAACTGACAGTCTCCCTGAAGTCTTGAATCTCTCATTTCCAATCGTTGAGATGACATTGGAAACTGTCTGGCCATCGACCAGGAGACCAAGGAACTTGAGATTTAGGCTATCGTTGTGTAGCGGAGGAAAGCGAGTGTTACCGACGTCACATGTCTTCCCCGTCCGTCTACTTAATCAACTTTCACTCCTTTTGCTCTACATACCCTTGTCCTCTTCGTTGTGACGTACACGCTACACTATTCCTTTCTAACTTCAACCACCTGAATCTCGCTGGAATCCCTTGCTGATATCAACCTTCATAAACAGGTACGCAATCAATGCAACTTGAATCCAACCACCGCAAGCATAACTGCACTGCAACGCACAAAGCCTTCGTTCCTTGCGCGCGCTCGAGTCAACCAGCGACTTCATATCCATGATCCGACTTTGCTGTCATTATCAAGACTTCCTGCCGTTGACCAAATGCTATCACTTACCTGGTCACTTTTCGGCCCTAAACAACATCTGAACCATCTTTCAGTGGCCCATATCACACTCGTCTATGTCTTGACGCTGTAATGACCGTTAAACTCTCGAGTCGCTCATCTTCCTCCCTGAGTTGCTCCGATGGGTGTGTTGTGAACAGTTTGGCATCGAAACCCCTCAATATTCGGATGTTATCTCGTCCATGACTCCTGGATAGCGCCACATATGCATTGAATGCGGTCAACTTTCCCGATGGTGGCTTGCCTAAGTCAATTACCACGTATTCTATGGTTTGGCCTTGCGACTTGTAGTCCGTGAAAGAATACCCCTGGTGTTACCGTATTGTCTCCTTGAAATGGTTACGTCCTCGTCGGCCCCCGTGTGGACCTCAAAGGTCGCAACTGAAGGAACAATGGGTATAGTACCCGATGGCAGCCCTTCAAACGCTGGGAAGGTGCTATGGTACGGCCTGAAGAGGATAACGGCTGGAGGGTACTGCAACACGATCCCATTCGAGACCGGGTCTTTTTCTAACGGCAGTGATTCTCTAGGGTCCAAAACAAGATCCGCGATGACGCCACGAGTGCCGTTAGCCAGTTCAGCTTCTGTCGAAATGTTCCACAACACCATGGCCTCCATTCCAACTGCAATCTCCACGACCTCCAGAAGACGACTTGACTTTTTGCTATCCAAACTGGCCACTGCGAATCGTTGCCAAGCATTTAAACTTGCTTTCGTCTTGCTGACCACATCTTCGCTGTGGCATCGATAGACGCGATGACCGCTCTTGGCCGCGTGCTTTCTCAAAGAGTGCGTGTTCCACAGCATTCTAGTGCTATGTCGTGGCGTTACCAAAACCGCCCTCGCCCAAGGATCGGTGTTCCAGTTTACTGGGATCGTTTCCGGGTCGTCCACCAATAAGTGCTCTAGGAGCTCGATATCGTCCTTGGTACAGTCGCCAACACGAAGCCTCTTCAACAACGCCATCCATTCAGGATCTGTTACGCGCCTTTGCTCAGTTAACGTAACGACAACGGTGAACTGTAAGTATAAGCTCAATCCTTCTGGCGAGACACCTGGGGCGGCTTGCAATCCATAAAACAACGCTTGTTTTGGGTCGCCAATGGGAGGGAACTGGTGCAAATCTCCGACTAAGATGACGTTCACCAGGCCAAAAGCATCAGTTGGCTGTGCCTCGCGGAGGTCCTGCTTGACAATACCCATGATTTGAGACAGCAAATGCAAAAATCTCTTGGTCAACATCGAGAATTCATCGATCACGAGGTATTTCACTGGTCCTATGTTCCTCATGCGCTTTTCTTGAGTACCTTTTCCTCCTCGAATTCGTGTCTCGTGGATTGATATGCCTGCCCAGTTGTGAACAGTTTGGCCACCGAAGAGACTTGCAGCTACGCCAGTTGTCGCCGTCAACGCTAATAAGCTTCTTGCATTCAGATCCTCAAATGATTGAGCAATCGCTTTTAGCACCACTGTTTTCCCAGTCCCTCCTTCACCTCGAATAACCATTAAAAGCTGTTGTGGTCTTGCTCCAGATAACGTGTCGCAGGGGTGATCGAGCACGATATGATGTGTGCTCTAGATTGTTCGGTATTCAGGATTGGGCCCATAGCATTGAGGTTCGCAACACTCGGAGTGATATCTGTCACACCACCTTTGTCAATCACGCGACCGGAAACGCTTCGCTCCGATTCTCCCAAGACGTGAATTCGCCCCAAGTCTTTCCCCCCCAAATCTAATGTCGACTGCTCCACGAAATTCTTGCTCTTAGTATATGCCGAAATCTTCTTCCCCCATTCATGGAACTTCACCATGTCATCCGTCGTTGCCTGTCGAACAAGTGGCTGAAGCGGAACATTACTTGGGTACTCCTCGCTGAAGATGCCTTGGCCGAATGCAATATCCACGGCTTGCTGTCCAAACATGCGCTCCCGCAAACCCCTGACGGCTTTGGCGTGCGAACTCGATTTCCTCTTCTGTAGGCTCTTTCGCAAGAGTGGTTGCATTAACTGATGGCACTTCTGTGGTAACGCCATTCTGTTCTCTTTCTAGATCCTGCGGCTTTCGTGGACCGTCCTTCTCCTTCTCTTCGCGTCGCTTCGCTGCGCGTTTTTGTGCACTCGTGGAAATACTGTATATTGGCAACCAATCGTTTCTGTTCAACGGTAGCACTTTCCAAGAAAGTCGACCAGGCCGTACAGAGAACGAGGTTTGCCCACACGCCAGATCTTGTAGGTGTCGCCATGGTAGGAACAGTAACAACATCTGAGCACTGTAGTACTCACCCGCCGCCCCCGTTTCTTTCTTAGGAAACCATCGGCCAATGAAATGCAAGTTAATCTCGTGCCCTCTTCCTCGCACAATTCCGACAATGGCCCTTTCGCTTGCTGCCTTGACGATAAGGCACACGCACGCTACGAGGGCGTCCTCCATTGTTACGCTTGGGCGCTGCGTTTTGAATAACTTCTTGCACGTTTGGTTCACTGAGGGCGACTGCAGAATCTTCGTCAACGATCATCAAGTCATCTGTTCCATTGTGTAAGGGCAACCCCGGAGGCCTGAGATCAAGGTCCTAGCAGGGGAGGATCCAAAGCGTGAACATTGGTAAGCGAATACAAATGAAGCTGACCTAGCAGGGGAGGATCCAAAGAGAAGAAACTCTAAGGGTCCGCCTGCTAGGTAGCTGACTATATACTGCTTGTCCGTAGCTGCCGCTGTCGGGCACAGAAGGCTTGGGCGGCGTCGCAGGCGAGGTCCCAGGGCGACCGTCGGGAGGGCGTTGACGGATCGGTGATTGTGCGGGCGAGATGGAGGGCCGGACCGGAGACGGAACCGAGTCGGACCGGAATCGGAGGCGTCTCCGAGGGGCCGAAAGGGAGGTTCCCCTGACATCACCCCCCCTTTGAATGCGGCGTCCCGACGCATAGACCGGAACGGAATCGAGTCGAAGGTCGCGGAGGCGATGTGTCGTGGGCTTGCCAGG